TTAATTTATATAAAAAAATAAATATATAATTTAAATTTATTTATAAATATATAAAAAAATATATAAATAAAAATAAAATTATAAAATTAATTTTTTTAAAAAAAAATATAATTTATTTACTATAATATTTATAAAGCTATAAATTATTAAATATTAAAATAAATAAATTAAATAATAAACTTAATATTAAAAAAATAAAACCTTATAAAATTTTTAAATAAATTAAAAAAGTTAACTATAAACTAGTATTATTAAATATAATAAAGCTTTAAAGCTTAATATTTTATATATTATAATTAAAAAAAGTATAAATTAATATATTTATAAAAAAATTTATTTTAAATAAAATTATTATTAAAAATAAAAAAAAAATATAAAATTAAAGAAATATTTACTATATATTAAAATTTTAAAATTAATAAAATTAAATATTTTATTAAATAAAAAAAATATATTAAATAAAAAAAATATATTAAATTAAAAAATTTATAAAAATTAAAAAAATACTTTAACTTTTAAAAGCTAATATAAAGGTTTTTTATATTATAAAATTAATAAATTAAAGTTTATAAACTTTAGGTTAATATTAAAAGAAAATTAATTAATATTATTAAAAACCCTTATATATTAAAAATTATTTATTATATTATTTTCTTTATTTAACTTTTATATTTTATAATAAATTAATTTATTACTTTATTTTTTTATTTTATTTTTTATATAATAAATATAAGCTAAATAGCTTATTGCTTTAAAAAGCTTAATTTATAATTTAAAAAATTAAAATTAAAAAAAATTTAAAGCTTTACCTATAGTCTTTTTTTTTATTTTTAATTTTTTTTATTAATTTAATATTTTTATTATTAAAAACTTAAAATATTAATAATATAAATAATATAAAAATAAAGTTTATTTATAAAAAAAAGCTATTAAAACTTTATTATAAAAATAATTATATTTAATATATTTATAATAATAAAAAATTTTTTTTATTATTTAATAAAAAATCTTTTTTTAAAAATAATAAATATATAATATATTAAAATTAAAACTATAAAAAAAAATAAATAATATAAAAAAATTATATTTATAAGTTTTATAAAAAATAAATTTAAATATTTAATTAATTATTATATTATTATTTAAAAAAGTAAGTTATAAATAATAAAAATAAAAAAAATAAATATATTTATAAATTAAAAAAATTAATATATATTTAACTTTAAAAATAAAATTAATAAAAAAAAAGTATTATATTATAACTTAATAATTATAAAATATATATTTATAAATAAACTATAAATTAATAAATTAATTAAAAAAAAATTATTTATAAAAGTATAAGCTATTTTTAATAAATTATAAATATTAAAGTAAATTACTTTAAAAGAATTATAATTAAAATTATAAGCTTTTTAGAATAATTTATTATATAAAACTATTTATTATATTTATTAAATATAGCTTAAATAATTAATTATTAATATAATATTTATATAATAATTAAATAAAACTTTTATTTAAAGTTATTAATTATATAATTAAAACTATTTATAAATTCCTTTATATTTTTTTATTAATATAAACCTAATATTAAAGGTTTATTCTTTAAAAACTAGCTACCTTATACTAGGTATAGGATTAGAATATTATATATAAATAATATATTATAGTTTTTTTTTAATATATTTTTTATTTTTTTTAAATTAATATATAATTTAAATTATTTTATTTTTAATTTAATATTTTATAAATATTAATTTATTATTATAAAATTATTTATAATATATAAATATATATATTTTTTTTTTATTTTTTTTTAGTTTTAAAAAATTTTAAAAATAAAAAATAAATTTTTTCTTTTATATATATTTAAAACTTTTTTATAATATATTTAAATATAGTTTTATAATTTTAATTTTAGTTTTATATAATAATTAAATATATATTATTTTTTTTTAATTAAATTTTTTTTTAAAAAAATTAAAATAAATATAAAACTTTTTTAATAATTATTATATTTTATATTATATTTAATTTAATAATATAATATTAAAAAAATTTTAATAAATTATATTTTTAAAAAAATTATTATTTTATTTTTTAAAATAGCTTTAATTATTTTTAAAAATATAAGTTTTTTTTATTATTTTTTTAAATATTATTTTTATTTTATATAATATTTATTATTTATATTATTTAATATAAATAAAATTTAATAATATTTTTTTTTAAATTTTTTAAAACCTTTATTAAAAACTTATTATAAATTATTTAATTATTTATTTTTTATATAAAAGTTAATTAATAATTTTTATTATTAAATATTTTTAATTTTTAATTTTTTTATTTAATTAAAAATTAAAAAAGCTAAATTAATAAATAATAAAGCTTTTATTTACTTTTTATAATAATTAAAATTATTTTTTTATTATTTTTTTTTTAAATTTTTTAATTATTTTAATTAATAAATTTATTTTATAATAATAAAAGCTTTAATTTTTATTTTTTATAACTTTATATATTTTATTAAAAATATATATTTTAATTTTATTAAACTATTTTTAATTATAATATTTTTAATTTTATTATTAAAAAATATTATTATTATTTTAAAAAAATTTAAAGCTAGTTTTTAATTATTTTTTTATAAAAAATATATTATATTAAAAATATTATAACTTTTATATTACTTAAATAACTTTAAAATAAAAGTTAAAAAATTATAAAAATATTAATAGCTAGGTAAAAGTATAAAAATATATTAACTTTAATTTAAAAAATTTTTATTAAAAAAGTATTTAAAAAATTATATATATTTAAAAAAAAAAATAATATAAATTTATTATTTTATATATATAAAGTACTTAAGTTATTTTATTTTATTATATATAATTTTAAATTAAATTTATAATAAATTTAAATAAATATTTATAATTTAAAAAAAAAATAAAATTTTATATAATAAAAAATATTTTTTTTAATATTTATTTATTAAAAATAAAAATATTATTAAAAGCTTTATTATTATTATTAAAAATATTAAAAAAAAATTAAAATATATTTTATTTTATTTTTAAATATTAGTATATTAATTATTAATAAAGTTATATTTATATTAAAATTATAATAATAAAATAATATTAAAATACAATATTATATAAAAATAATAACTTTATTTAATAAAAGCAAGGTTTATTTTATATTTAATAATTATAAACCTAAAAGGTTATAATTTAATAATTTAAACTTATAACTTTTATTTATTATAGATTTTATTATTATTTAAACTTTAAATAAAGTTTTTTTAAAATAAATAAAACTATATATATTATAATTAAATAATATAAATAAAAAAAGTATTATAAATATATTATAATAAAAATAATAAAAGCTAAATATTTATTAGCTTTTATAAAATTAATAAATAATTATTTTTAAAAAGCCTTAAAATATAAAAGTAATTATTAAAACAGCTGGCTTTATTACTTAAGTTAAAAAATACTTATAAAAATAATTTTTTTTTAATTAATAAAAAAATATAAAAAGTTATATATTTATAAAGTTATATATTTATAATAAAATAGTTATATATTCTTATTAATTACTATAATAATTAATAAATAAATTACTTTTTAATTAGTTTTTTATTTTTAGCTTTTATATTTTTATAAAAAAATTAAATATTTTTTAATTTAAATTTTAAAATATATATTAATTTAAAGTTTAGGTTTAGTTTATATTAAAGTTTAAGCTTTTTAATTCTAAACTATACTTTTTCTAAAATAATTTTTATATAATAATATATTTAATTTATTAATATAAAAAATACTTTAGCTTTAGGTTAATTTTATAAATAAATATATAATATATGTTTTTGTATTATTTTTTTATATAAAAATAAATAAAAGAATTAATATAAGCTATTATATTTATATATATATATATATATATATATATATAGCCTTTAGTATATTTAAATAAATAAATATTTATTATTTAAATTTTACAGGAACTGGTGCTGTTATAGTTATAATATCTACACTAGAAAACCTACCTTCATGATCCAGCTGCAAGTTATCTAGCCCGATGTTTACTCCCAGTAGACTCCGAAGAATAATAAGGCATCCTGCCTTACTTATAACTTCATTCGATTCCTTGCATATCTCGGACGCCACGCATTCAACACAACCTTGCTGGCAGGAACATTCTTCAACTCTCTTTAATGCACGCTGCAGTAGATGATCAACATGATCAAATGCCTTTGTGCTAACACCAGATCCATTTATGCCTCCTTTGGCATCATAAAATGTTAATCGTGCTGGTCGCTTTCTTTTTGTTTCCTTCTTCGCGAATTCTTTGAGAGCTACCTTGCACTCTGTTCGTACGTCTCCCGGAAGACTGATAATGAATGCAGGGAGTAAACTCATAATGACATGCTCGGCTGCATGTATTGCTGCAGCCGCATTAAGATGCTGGTCTTGTAGTATTTCTAGCACTTGTCGTGGTATATCTATCCACATGCCTTTGCTGTATCGTATGACAGGCGGATTATCTACCTGTACTGCGTCTATAATCCGTCCTTTCTTATCTACTTTAAAGAAACCAAATACTGTTTGTTGGATTTTTATACTTCCGTAGTAGGCATGACAGGGTGATCCGGATATAGCACGAATTGCCTCGATTTCGACAGGATCGATATCGGTGAAGTCTCGTGGCATAGTCATCCACTCAACATTAACTCTTTCCACTTTGGCCATCTTTTGATCTGGCAAGAAATCTCGAATGAGATACGTGTTGCCCTGGTGGAGGAATATGGCCCCATCGTATATAGTGAACGTTGCTCTCGACGCCTCTAGTTCTTCCAAGACCTCATTCTTCCCGTTTGTTATATCAATGATAGCATAATGGTCGTCCTCCGTATCCCGGATGGCGACATAGTGAGCCGGGTTGGGGCGGAAGCGGTCATGGCAGTGAAAGTATCCTAATTCATCTTTCACTAATCTTTCGAGGCAGATCTTGGGTAAGTCGCTGCCAAAATACTGTATGTCCTCCTCTTGTCGAATGGGCATCTCGTATGCCGCGCATTGAATATGCCCTTCGCGAATAAGAATATTTTCCAAATCCACACGTAATTCGCAGTTAGGCTTTGAAAAAAGCTCATCTGGATTATTCATATAATGCTGATCCGTTGGAAAGCTATCGCCAACTAAGATCGACAACGAGTCTTTGGTACGCCGTCCAGCGCGACCACTCTGTTGTCTTAAGTTTGCAATAGTATAAGGAAAGCCCCAAGTCAGCACGCAGTCCAGAGTGCCAATATCAATGCCCAGTTCCAGTGCCGTGGTCGCAACGATGCCCAACAACTTTCCCTCAAACATCTCTGCTTCGATTTTCCGCCGGTCTCGAGCTGTATAGCCACCACGATAACCCATTACCAAGTTGGTGCATTCTGGGCGACCAAGTTCCCGCAGCTCTTGTTTGATTGCACTGGTCAAGACTTCACATTGGGCACGAACTCTGCAGAACGCAATAATTCTGACGCCCCTTAAGAGGAGAGCGCAGAAAAGACGAGCGCATTCAAATTTAGTGTTTCCTCGTCCGCTGGTGGGATCGCCGGGCTCTCTGAAAGGAGTGTTCCAGCAAAGAAACTCTTTCCGCCCAGATGGTGACCCATCATAGTCAATTAGACGCACATTTGAAACTCCAAATATCAGTTTAAAATGCTCCTCAGGGTTGGCTACGGTAGCGGAGCAAGAAATGAACTGAACATGTCGATTTCCTACCGCCTCGCATATCCTTCTTAGCCTTCGCATGATGAATGCAACATGAGATCCGAGCTGACCATTGTAGTAGTGCAGTTCGTCAACTTGAATTGTCAGTCAGAAGATGATTTGGCAATAGATGTGGAAACAACTGACCAACCACATATCTTAAATGTTTTAGAAAAGTCCTCCACCTCTGTTCCTGGGGTAATATCGTGAGGTGAAGCATGTCTGGATTCGTGAAAATGATTTTTGCCTCTTCTCGAATAGTATCCCTGAGGCTCATGGGGGTATCTCCATCAAAGGTTTCTACGAGAACATCGCTAAGATTTGGCATGAATGCTAAAATATCGCTGAGACTGCGCTTTTGATCCTGCGCAAGTGCCTTCGTTGGGAATATGTACATGGCTCTTGAGCTTTTATCCCGTTCTAAGGCGTGTAAGACTGGCAGCTGGTAGACCAAAGACTTCCCAGAGCTGGTTGAGGTGGATATAACAATATTTTGACCTTCGTATAAACTATTCAGAGCCTCCGCTTGATGCGTGTAAAATTGGGTGATTCGCTTAGCATTGTAGAGGGCATTCACTAAATCTTGAGACAACAAAAAATTGAGACTTCCATAGCTAGGACTCTGGGGTTCAAACACTCTATGGCCATCAGGGACAATCTGGCCAGAATACCACGGGCTTTCTTTGACTTGGAGCACTATTTCCGATATACTTCCCCGCTCGTGAGGGATAGTATCAGGTATGGCACAAGCTGTGACCTTGCTTTGCTCAGCATCTTTCAATGCCTGTTTGGGAATATAAGCTTCGGCTTTTTGACGCAAGGCTTCTTCTGGGTTATTGCCGTCGTTTATACAGCTCTTGAGGAATGCATTGATAGAATTAGAAAATTTTTGGTTGCGTCGTTCGATCAACTGCATCATCTGTTTTCGGCCATATACTGGCATTTTCAACTTCTCATTTCTTAGTTTTGTATTTGGTCGTGTCGCTTCACCTGTTTCCCTATCCAACACTTGTCGCTTTAAATCGCCATCGGTGTATTCCAGGTATAATACTTCTTGTCCATGCACAGTATCATTGGCATCATCACCAAGACGTTCGTTTCCCGTCAGCCCACCAACAGACGCATCGTGTGCTAGGGTTTGAGACGTTGCAGATCGCGATGACTTGAAAACGTCGTCCCTTTGAGCGCCTCTGGTGTTGAGCTGTAGCATGAGTTCGTTGGTGTATTCGAATCTCATAGCTTCTGGGCGAAGGGCAACTATGTGAGCTACCTCTTCGATAGACAGGCTCCTTTTTATGTGGGATTCAACGGCTGGTCGAAGGGTATCAAATGTTGTGATGACATGTTTGCGCGAAGAGCAAAATGTGTAGACCAAATTCAGTGCTTTATGAGCTTTTTCAAGATTACGAAAAGTATCAGTCCAAGGAATATTTGATGGAATAGAGCTCTCTGGGTCGTCTTTACGGCTCTCACTTTTCGGAGTGGCTCGTTTCGTCGTCCTTGGCCTCTTCCCTGCAACAACAGCAGAAGTATCACGGCAGCTATCTTCTCTCACGAGAAGAGTATCCTCATGGATGCGCTTCCGTCCATCTAAGGACTTCAATTCATCCTTAGCTGGATGGAGCGTCGCGTTATCTTCCATGGTTGGATTTGATTGATGGGAAATGGAAGACCCAGCTTTCAAATTTCCAGCTGTCAAACTAGATATCGAAGCATCTCAATACAAAGATGAAAATCATTTGGCGAAAAATATCTGTTAGGTCTTTGTTTTCTGTAGTAGATACAGAAATGGAATGGGCACGTGTTAGACTACATCATTTGTAGCTGGTTAGCCGCAAGAGCCATCGCAGGTTAATTGTCCACGGTTTGCGTATCAGGCTGAAAATCGCGAAACTAACGCAAAATCACGTGCTTTAGCCGCCTTTCTCTTCTTGTCCTTTGTCCCTGTCGTATAAGGTACTTTATGCTAGGTTGTTGCATTAGAATTATTGGTTTTTTGAACTATGGATATATGTTAATCGATAGTGATTAATTCATATTGTGCCTATAATGGTATTATTTTTGGGAATCTCCTCCCATGTGACCTGTCTAAAGTATCCCTAAAGTACTATACACAGATGCCCGATCTTCCTTGCCCTATCCTCACTTTCAGTCTAAATGGCGGTTGGTCACATCAGGTATAAGCTTGCATCGGTCATGCTGTTTTTATCCGTTGTGTCAGAGCGCCAATGGGCAGTTTACCTCAATGCATGCTCTGCCTATTCTAGAGCAACACGGGAATGGCCATGGCCAAGTGTGGTATAACCACCTCCCTTCTCTCTACACCACGCTGTACTGCCAATACTAAGTCGATTTAGGTGCAACCATGCTGCAACAGGCTTTAGTTGCCTCGAAGTTCTTTCTGGATACTGCTAATTTCCTTCAAGAAGCTCTTTGCGCTTGCAGCCGACATCTGTTATGAGTAATTATTAGTATGAACGCGAAACAACGCAGATGGTGCAAAAGAGTTTGGGTGAAACTAACCCTCATTGTGATGCTCACGGGCTTCGCCTGCTCACCCTCAAACGCGGTGAACAGTATTCCCACAGATTTGAGGGATGCCTTTTCTTGGAAATTCATGGCCGGGAGAATGGCAGTGTTGAGAATCACACGGTGTGTCTGATCTTGACGCATTAGAAGACGGACAACTTTGTGTCCTCGCGTCTTATCAACCCCCTCTTCATCAGCTTCAAGACCGGACGCATCAAATGATCCAAGAACAGGCGATCCATTTTCATCAAACTCAACGCAGCCTTGGGGGACATTGATTTTCAACATCCCAGCGCCTCGTTCCTTCCAACCCGCCTCTTTGTCATGGTAGAACAACTTTGTTCTGACAGAAAGCAGGGTTGTCTCACCTGCTTCGCCATCATCAACTTCGACTAAGAGCATTATCTAAATTAGTACTCCCACTTACAAAAAAAAAGAGTAATAGCACGCAATGGGACCCTTTCTCACCTTTATGGAGTTTGATCCTCTTCTTCTCCTCCACTTCTTTTTCTGGTGGTGTGGCCCCCTCTTGTTCGCTCGGCTCAGGTTCATCATCTCGCTCTGCGTCTTCTTCATCTTCGCTCTCTTCATCACTCTCCGGGGCTCCAAAAGGCCTTGCAGGCTTTTCACTCTGAATTTGTTTGACCATGGGTGATGCGAAGCTGTCTAGAGGTTTGCCAGCTGAGAATGGAGAGCCAAGTCCAGCTCCATTAATTCCTGAAGCAAGGCTAGCGAAGGGCGAAGCACTGTTAGCACTTCCAAAAGTCAATTTAGGCATAGTAGTAGACGGTGTAAGCTGTGACCCCGGGGCGCTGAACATAGAGGCTGGCGGCAAAGTCGACGCGGCAGCTGGAGGAGCAAAGATACTGCTCTGAGATGTGCCCAAATTCGCAAATGGTGAGGATCCAGTAGCAAGTTTACCAAATCCTGAGGCTGAAAAAGCACTAGAAGATGTTTGTGGCATAACTTTAGTCGGAGAAGTTTTGGAGCCTGCTGCATCATCTGTGGCTAGCGGTAGGTCCGTCGTTGACGAGGAGTTCTGTGTCGCCATGCGTTAGATATGAGAGGTGTAAGGGGGGCGTGTGAAGTTTGACAAGATATTACATACCGATACCTCTCTGGTTGAGTCCTCATCACGATGTCGTTTTTTTTCTGGCTCTAACCGGGAAGCCCGATCTCTGGTAGATTCTGTAGATGTTACACTGTTGGTATCGTTGTTTTCGACATCTATGCTCCCATCTAACTGGTCGTGTGCACGTTTCTTCTTTGGAGACGGCATTCGATCCCTGAATCTATCGTCTTGGCCATCGGATACATGGTCGGTTGGGGTATCTGGGCGTGCCGCTCTCTCATCTATGGGATCAGATCCGAGGTCACGAGCAGCAGCAGGAGGGTCAGATATGGAGGACTGTTTCAGCTCTCGGCGGGCAGCGCGCGTCTCGGCATCTTCGCCTGTTTCCGAGTATATTTGCTCATTCTTAGGACTAGCCGTCCCTTGAGAGTTGTCGGCCATGGCGCGGGTAGAGGTAGCCAGAAAAGGGCGGGTGGTGTCGATCGCGAAAGACGGGCTTGGCTGGTGGAGTGGATTTGCAGCTTGGATAAGGCAGCGACGGCTGCTCGCGCATAACCGCGCGACTTAGACGGCGAACCCGATCGGATATGCTAGTATGGCTGTGAATACAGGCAGAAGGACAAGACGGCAGAGGCAATTTGCATCATCAACGCTTTGCTCGTGCGTTCGCCGTTGTCGCGCTACAGCAATTTTGTGCCGATAGTAGTTGGAGGTGGTCAGCCCGGCTGGTTGCAGTACCAATCAAAGACGTGGGCACCTGGTATCAAACCTGGGTCCTGGACGCAGCGAATAGAAGGCTCGGCGGGTACCTACTAAGTACTGCCTCGCAGTAGGCTCACTACTGAGTACAGAAATCTACAATTCCCCACACATGCGCCTAAGAGGGCAGAGAGGGGTTATAATCAAAAGAGGTCTGGCAAGCCTTTCGCATCAAGGTACCTTGCATATGATCGCGTTTGCGCGTATTGGAGCCGCTCAGTCTTGGCCAGCCTCCAGCATTGCTATCCCCAGCCCAAGAGACTCCCAATGCCAGCCGTCTCATCGCTGGTCTAGTCGGATAATGCATGATTATGTAATTGGCATTACCAAGATTGCCCAGCTACCTTTCGAGCTCGTGGCTGCGCAAGCAGGATTTCCACTTCGAGCTAGCAAATAGGACAGGGAATTACTTGTACAACGTTCTGGGTGGATATTGTGTATTTATGCCGTCAACATTTGCAACGCCAAATCTATAGCGCGATTCAAGATTCTGTCCAGAAAGAGTTTATTCATTTTGAGTATTTCATCAGTGGCCAAGAATATGTTACCAGAGCTGTTTCTGCCACAATGAGCACCTTGCAGTAAACTTATTGTATAGTGGATATAACATTGCTGGTGAAAGCGATATGATAAATAATGCAGATAATGCTCGTCGGTATCATTACGGGGTCCATTCTTCTCGGAAAATCATGCTTCTTTTATAATTCACATGGCCCTAGCGTTCTAAAAACAAGACCCGGCCATTCATCAAGCTGCCACACAACTTTTAGCTAATGAAGCATAGACAACCCAGCCCCAGATAAAACACAAAGAGGGGGTAGACAGCAATGGCCACACGATTCTTGACCACTCCGCTACCGCCAAGAATGCTGACGCCAGCAGCAATGGACCACGCGATAAGAACGATATAGACAGGTATCCGTGCAATCCAGTGAAGTTTCAGAGCTGACAAGAGGGCAGCAATTACCAAAGGAAACAACGTGTACCCAATGATGCAAATGCTCTGGGCAAAAGAGCTATCGTTTTTTGTCAGCTCAATGCCACCACCAGTTAGAGGGGAAGTGCGTCGCTGTGAATTGAACTTACATGTTACCTCCCAAAAGTTTGATCTGAAGAGTAACAATTGCCTCGCCAAGCCATATGGTTGCGAAAACGCCGCTAAAAACAGCGTCTCTCTGGTCGGATCGCGCCGTAAAGCTAAGCAATAAGCTTAGTAGCAGGCAGAAAATCAATGGGCCCCATAGGTCCCAGTCTCTGAGTCCTGGACTCATGTTACTCTGCAGCAGGGCCTCGGCATCCATGACCCGACTAGCCAGTCCAGTGAGCTCTTCTCGTGTACCAGTTAAGCCAGCGCCGCGAATATTGGAATATGCACCACGGAGACCGCCCTCTGAGTCGAACATGGTGCCACCAAGAAGGTATCGCGGGTATAAGACCTCTTTGAGCTTGGCCCAGACAGCTAGCAGATCACGTCGTAGTGTTTCCCACACGGTTTCATCGATAGTGTTCTGAGGCGCTCTCCGATCATCTCCGGGAATGCGAGAAGTAAGATAGCCCTCGTCGAGCCGTCCTGACGCCGACGCTCCGGAGGTAATGGTGTTTGTCAAAGGCTGCCTAGATGATTCTGGAGCTAGAGGATCGTCGAAATCGTTGAGATCAGCTGGTTTATCGCATTAGCTTCGCCATTCTGCTATTCTACGTTGAACGACTTGGACTTGATGCTTACCATCATCCGGATCAATTAGATCGTCGTCCTCGAGAGAGGCACGGCGGTATTGACCTCTAGCGCTTGACATTGGAATGTATAGGGCTCAAAATGAATTGAATATTCCAAATGTATTGCAGTCGTGAGATGCTTTTTGAATTTCGTGATAGAGTGGTGTTCTGGCTTGCAGAAAGGGAGCACTGCCTGATAGGACCTGCTGTCACAGGACTCTGGTGGGGCTAAGAAGCTGTGACGTGGAGCTTAAGAACATTGAAGCGCCTTAGTAGCAGGTACCTGAGGTAGGCCTTTGCAGCACTCGCAGACGACGCAAGAAAAAGTAGATCTACTTTCGCATGCCGAAACCAGAGCACATCTCGGTTGACCCATATGCTGCACTGTTAATTGCTTGGACTTTACATCTCCATTGTGACTTTCAAAGCTATTACTCGACCGTATGATTCTTATTGTCATTTTCTTCTAAGACATTCTACTAGCATTTTGATTGGGAAAGTGGCCTTGAGGACGCTCTTACCTGCTCCACAAGTGATTCAGCGTTGCTTCGTACCATAATGTAGGCGTGCGACTACTTCCCTTCGCATTTCAAGATACGAATATAGCGTTTGTGGCATGTTGAATAGATAAATCATTGTACTACATACTATCCTTCCATACTGGTACTAATACTGGTACACTCGTCCAGGAAAAAAGTTAAGAGATTCATCCTCTTTCGCAGCATAATATCCCAAACTCCTCAGACCATACATTATAAAGTTAGCAAGTGCCTAGTAATTGCTTACTTTCCAACCCCTCCAACTCCGAGACTTTCCAGATGTTGACCCGCGCCCTGATTGCTCGACTGATCAAGTTGGCTTTAATAAGCCTTTTATGCTTCAAATGTCTTAACCTGGCCGTTGCCGGTGGGTGGTAGCATTGATTGGCCCTCTAGTACGGTCTGAAACCCCAATTTCTCGCCATCCATTGCAATATCCTGTGCCATCCGAGACCCTTGCACTCCACCTACTTCAGCCGCCGCATTTAATGCGTCTTGGACAGTCTGTACTTGTCTTTTGAAGGCGAGCCTGTCCAAAAATAACTGTTGCCGGCCACGTTCCAATTCTCTGCGTTCCTCACGTAATAGCTCCTCCATCTCGTCAAAGTATTTGAGCTTTAGCTCCAGTTTCTGGAGCATTACGTTGGCAGCCGCTGAAACCAATCGCGTCATCTCTCGTTCTTCATGAGACGCAAATACGGCTCCACGAGCGCCAATAGAGGCCAACGGAATCGATGCAAGGGATGTCTTTGTTGTTGTTGATGTAGTAGTAGTCGTGGTCACAACTGTCTGCCGGAAATCGACATCCATTGACTCTGCCTTATCCACTTCAGTATCTTTCTTGTCTGCTGCTTCGGCATTGTCTGTCTGGTTTGTCCTATCAAGCTGTTTTCGCAGGTTACGCTTGAGCTCGTCCGCTGATTTATTTGCCGCCGCCGCAGTGCTAGCTGGGTCTGCTAAGCTTGCCAAAAAACCCACGACAGACATAACAGGGTTGTCCACCTGGTTGAAAGGGAGGTGGCCGTGTTGACTTCCCAGCATAGATAAACCTGTAGGTGGATTTGTGGGTGCCTCGGAATCGAGGTACTTCTCTTCAATGTCCAATTGAAGGAACTGAAGGACGCATTCTTCTCTGGTGCGAGTACCAACATGGTCTGCAATCTCTCCCCAATCGTCGTCGAATCGCTCTAAACCTTCCAAAAGTCGCAGGATTTCCGCATCGGTCCATGGTGCATCCCGATCCAGGATGGATGTATACGTTGGGTTTTCCACTTTAGAATACATGCTAGAAGTGTGGCTCGCAGGCAATCGTCCCTCGGTGAAGCAATTTGGGCATAAATCGAATTTAGCTTTCGCTCTTGAATCCGATTGGGAGCTGTGATAGTATATCCTAGTGCAGTCGTTTCCACATTGGTGGCAGTTGACCTTGGCCACGGGAGCCTTTGCACTCTCCTCGGTAGAAATGTCATCGCCGTTCTTTTGGCTTTCTGATTTTGTAATCGAAGTTCCCTTGGCACTGGCTTCATAAATATTACGGCCAATTCCCAAGTTTAAGTCGCCTTTGTTAGGAGCCGATGAATTGGCCTTGTCTTCGGTGTCACGATTCTTTTTGCCCTCTAGAACAACAGGGTCTGCGGCAGGTTGCCAAGGCTGAAGTCCTCGCGGCGTGTCGCATATAATTTTGAAGTGGCCTGTGAACGGCGGCCCAACGTGCGATGGTCGCTGGTCAGCATCAACCTAGAGGGCAGTGTTAGTGGTAGAAATTTAAACGATAGTATTTGATAGTTGAAATCACCTGGTAATTGATCAAGCCCCATTGTTCGAGAAAGGCATGAACGCGCATTATGGCACAAACATCTCCAGCTAGGTTGCGACGACACGCCGTCATTGTTAGATATTCAACCGGATTAAGTCGGTACGTATTGATCATGAAGTCGCGATAGTCTTTATACACTGCTGGCGTTTTACTCCGATTCCGATTATTGAAAAACTCGGCCATCGCTTTGCGCTCAATTTCGTGAATGCTGTTCATGTCAAACCAGGTGCTATAACTTGGCAGAACAATGGCATGCGTTTGAGAGATGAGATGGTCTCTAGCAGCGGATTCAAACGCTTCCTTCGATTTGGTTTCTATTCCAGTACCCGATGTTACAGGGGCGCCACTCGAGCCGGCGGGCAGTCCTTTTGCATCCTCAGATACGTCGCCCATCTCTTCATCGAGGCGAGTGGCGTTTGGCGCTGGAGTATCACTCGGGACTTCGCCTGAGTTGTCTACCGCCGCACTGGCCGCAGGACTCCCACCGCTCTGTGGAACATGTTCTGCGCTTGAAGATTCTTCAGACATCTGCACATCTGAAGGATTGGTTAGATGCAAGGTCGTTGGCTGTAAGTCGTAGATGATTGCTCACCTTGAGAATCCAAGCCTTTGGCATTGGATTGCGATGGCAGCTGTGCAAGCGCAGGGTTGGGGTCTGGCGATGTCGCGTTGCCCGGAGAGTCGTAGGCTGTAGAATCATCCATTGCTACGCGTCTCACCTCAAATGACCAGAAAGGAAAATGGGGGAGAACAATCTAGCTTGTTGGGATAACGCGCAACAAGCGTGCGTTGGAGGTGGAAAGTTGGTAGTGTGGCGTCTGTATTTTCCACGCGACGGAAAATGTCATTAGCGATTAGCACACAGTGTACGGAGTAAAGCACAGTATCTAAGAACGCCACAATTAATGTATGCAGCAGCATTGACGGTGCTCCGTAGTTCTAATTAGTTAGCAGTTATACGTATTTATTTAATTCCCAATAATATTACTTTCACTAGTTTTTCCATTATCCCCCTAGCCATTTTCTATATTGCAAATGGCCTATATATATATATATATATATATTTATATGTATTACCATGATCGATATATGTAACGACCGGTTGAAATAATATTTAAAACCTTTATAAAGTACATTTACTTAAAAAGCTCTATGCATTAGGTACCTACCTGGGTAGTTTGGCTTGATTATGCTGGTTTAATGTGTTTGCTAGCACTGTGCTGTATGGTGACTAAGCCATACAAGCTGCTACTTCACATGCTCCCCTCTAGATTGCTGCAGTGGGCAGCATAGGTGTCATTGCTGTCCTTGGCCTCGAGCCTTGTCCCCTGTCCTCTACTTGGCTGCTGGGTTTTCTTTGGTCGATACTATTGACGCATCTCTTAGCGATCCACGTTGGCTAATGTCATAATTAGAAGTCAATCATCAATTGGCAAACGCCCAATGTTTTGCAAATATGGCATTGCCTTCGCCGATTCATAGCGGGCTTCCCGCAACGCTCTCACCACATCACGAAATTCCGAGGATGCAATATCGAAGCCGCCCTGTGTCTGTCGCTGTTGAGCCTGTTTCACTGGTTATCTCCGAATGTATAGCCATCACCTCGGCCATCCAAAAACATGCGCGATCTCCCCAATTTTCTGTCTCTGCCATCCTTGGTGGGAACCCCAATACCATACAGTTCGGATCCCCTAAACCACAATCCCAACCGCGGGAAAGTGGCGTTAGCAGCCCCTTCGGAGAGAGCGAACACGATGGAACGGCCAATAATCGATGGAGCTTTCGCGGCCAGAAGGCAAAGAATTTGCAGGATAGCCCCATGGTCGCAGGCTTCGGCAAACTTCGTTACGAGATCACAGGTGTCCAGAGTGTGTATTAGCTTCACCCTGCCCTGCCATTTGCCGCTAGCTAATGGTAAATAGATATTCATTCGTTTGATGCGCCAACACTCCTAGCACCCTTTCTCTTCGTAATCCAAGAGAAAGGGACGGCAGCGCCGATTACGATCTTGGCACTTGGGGCGTTACGGAAATTCTTAGCTTACGGGTTTATTTGTTCAGAGTCTCCTCGCTTTGCTCTCGCGATGCAGTCACTCTCAGCGGCTGTTACCCACTGTCAGTTCGATATAAGTGATTCGGCCCAGGGCGAGGTTGTACTGCTTATGATTCTCAACCTGATGGAGGATATGATGTCTGGACCTGGAGGCTATATATTAAGCGATGAGAGTGTTTGCGACATGATGGGGCGTGGCCTGGCTATATGCTCTCAACCTCGATTCTCTCCTGTGCTGAGAAGGACTGCCGAAGCTGTCATGGTTCGAATGTGCCAAATCATATTTGAAGATATTAAACACCTGGAGGTTGAGGTGGGAGACGATTCTTCAGTCATGGATCAGTTGGCTGATCAGCACATGGACAATGTCAAAATGGATACCACCACCGATGGCACTGTTATAGAGCCGATTAGTCCCGCCCCTGTCCAAGATGAGTCTCCAGAAGCTTCAGATAGTGCTGGCAATGAGAAGGTAGAGGAAGGCTCTCTGAGTGGCCATACCAACGAAGAGAACGGGGAAAGCGACACAGAATCACTGGATTTACGGCCCTACTCCCTACCTTCTGTCAGGGAACTATTTCGAGTTCTAGTTAACTTCCTGGACCCTAATGACCGCCATCATACCGATACAATGAGGGTAGTGGCCTTACGCATATTACACGTTGCGTTGGAGGTGTCTGGCCCTTTTATTGCACGCCATCCTGCGTTGGCCACTATTGCTAAAGATCAACTGTGTTGCTATCTTTTCCAACTTGTCCGATCCGATAACATGGCCATCCTGCAAGAATCATTAACGGTCACTGGAACGCTACTCGCAACATGTCGGGGCGTCCTCAAATTGCAGCAAGAACTCTTCTTGTCTTACTTGGTAGCCTGCCTTCACCCAACAATTCATATCCCCCGTGAGGCCGGCATTGACCCATCGCTGTACTCCGGCATACCTGAGACGCCGAAGCTGGTCAAGCCGCCGCCGTCACAGTCAAATAGTGGAAGGTCAACGCCCGTTCCTGTCAAGGACCGACAAAAGCTAGGATTAGAGGGAGGTGCGCGTAAACCCGATGCTCGGCAAGCTATGGTAGAGGCTATCGGTGTTTTATCCAGGATGCCGACGTTTGCTGCCGAATTGTTTGCCAATTATGATTGCGACGAAGACAGGTCAGATTTATGTGAGGATGTAATTGGGCTGCTTGCGCGTAACGCCCTGCCAGACTCAGCTACATGGAGTACTACAAGTGTACCGCCACTTTGCTTAGACGCACTCCTGCGCTTTATCCAATTCATGGCCGAGAGACTGCATGATGACCCAGTTTATGAAAATCTTCCGGATCCCGATATGCTGAGGGAGAGAAGACGGAGAAAAAAGACAATCATCATAGGAACGAGCAAGTTTAATGAGAAGCCGAAGGTGGGGCTGAGCTACCTCGAGGCGAACAACATCATAACTGATATCGGAGATCCTGTATCCGTGGCTAAATTCCTCAAAGGGACGTCACGAATATCAAAGGTGGTATTAGGAGATTTTCTATCAAAAAGGGGTAATGAGGCTATCTTGGGAGCCTTTCTAGACTTGTTTGAATTTTCCGGCAAACGGATTGATCAGGCCTTGAGGGTGCTGCTAGAAACCTTCCGATTGCCAGGTGAAGCACCGCTGATCGCAGCCGTGGTTGAGTCCTTCTCCGAAAAATACTACGATTGCAACACGACGTCGGAGGTAGCAAATAAGGACGCTGTCTTTATCTTGACTTACGCTATTATCCTTTTAAACACTGACCAACATAATCCTAATGTGAAATCTATGAAGAGGATGACATTGAACGACTTTTCTAGAAATTTGCGAGGCCAAAACAATGGGCAAGATTTCTCACCAGAATATCTTAAAGAAATTTACGAAACCATTAAATCAAACGAAATTATCTTGCCCGATGAACACGACAATCAGCATGCCTTTGACTACGCATGGCGAGAGCTTCTCCTGAAATCCGAAACAGCGGGCCATCTATCTTCCTGCAACACTAACATATATGATGGCGATATGTTTGCCGCAACCTGGAAGCCGGTCGTTTCAGCTCTGTCCTATGTCTTCATGTCTGCGACAGATGATGCTGTTTTTGCCAGGATTGTGACTGGATTTGATGAATGTGCTCGCATTGCAACCAAGTATGGCAATGTCGAAGCGCTTGACCAAATCGTTTACTGCCTCAGCCATATCACTACCTTGGCTACTCGCGTGCCATCCAACACATCATTAAACACAGAGGTCCAAGTAGGCGATGGTAGTGTCATGGTCAGTGAGCTGGCTGTGAAGCTCGGCAGAGATTTTCGTGCCCAGCTTGCTGTTCTCGTGCTATTCCGGGTTGTCATCGGCAGCGAGGCTCTTATTAACCAGGGATGGAAATATGTCAGTATCTTTTCTGAGGGTCTGCAATGGCCGTTAAGCTAACTATTCATAGATTATTCAGATATGGATCCATTTGTTTTTAAATTCCCTAGCACCGCCGCTATCTTCAACTGACCTCCCAACTCTGCCAATTCCGGCCATTCCCTTACAAACTCCCTCACAAGTCATAGATAGGGCAGCAAGATCTAGCGATATTGGATTTTTCTCAGCGTTCACCTCATACATATCTAGCTATGCCGCGGACGATCCCCCGGAACCATCAGATGAGGAACTAGAAAGCACCTTATGTACCGTCGACTGCATTAATTCTTGCAACATTGACAAAGTGTTGAACAATATCTCGTGGGTATTAATGGAACCTCGTCTGCTTCAACATTGCTAATATTGATTAGCAAACTGCCTGCGGAACGCATTGACATATTGATCCAGTCGTTACTCGAGCAGCTGCCGCAGAGCGACCATTCAGCTGTTATTGGTGTAAAACAGGATAACGTGACAGTCCCGCCCCCTAATGGGCCAACTCTGCCAACAAACTTACCCAGTTACGACCCTTCTACGCCTTTTATCCTTGAACTTTGCACAATTTTAACTATCCGAGATGGTGGATCTACTTCCAACACTGCGAAACAAGTCTTCGACGCTGTTCACGGCATCTTGCGTGACTACGGACAGTGGCATGGCATCACTATCTCGCGTGCAGCATTTTATGGCCTCACAATACTCAAATCGGGTTATGTATGTTCGCTAGTGACTCCCGCTATGTTTTCTCTCGCTTACTCTAGTCGGCAGGACCATGACTTTGTTAATGTCCCAATTTTCTTACATACAATCTCCAGCTTGCCACAGGACCTCCTCCTGAAGACCGCAAGTGTTATACTCTCTGGCCTTTCCATCTGCACGCGTGATCCAGGCCCCTTGAGGAGCGAGATGATGACTTCACCCGATTTTTGGGCTATCTTACGGGTAGTGGCAGGAGATGCCAGTGCCGCTGCTCAGATATTCGACATTCTAGAGAGAAGTACTGCTGGAACCCCACCAGCCATTATAGCCGATAACTATGAGGCAGCTATTGCACTACTAAATCATTTTGCGTCCGCGGCTGACCCTCTCGCTTCCCGGGATTCTAAGGCGCATGAGTCGACGAAGCGTGAAGCGTAAGTCTTTGACAACGTCCCGAATCAAGACGGTCAGTAAATAACATTTTAAAATATAGCGATACTCAAGTGATAGCAAGGGGCTGCCAAGCGGTTAATACCTTGCATGGGATGACTTCTCGGATCCCACAACTTATGCAACAGTCTCACCTAGAAAGTAGTGAGGGTACGTTTACACATGCACTAGAGGCTGCGTTGTAGTTTGATATTAACTTTCATTTTTTTCAGCCTGGTCAGCCTACTGGCTCCCTATCCTTCAAGCATTGACGACGCAATGCACCAACTCTTGTCGCGATGTTCGCCAACTTTCATTCTCCGCTTTGCAGAGATCCCTCCTCTCGCCTGATCTGACATGCAGTGATCCGAAAGAATGGACGGCAATATTTAGCAAAGTTTTGTTTCCTTTGATATTCAGGCTCCTAAAGCCGGAAGTTTTCTCATCCGATAGAGATGGGATGAGCGAAATGCGTGTCCAAGTGGCTTCGCTCCTCTGCAAAGTCTTTTTGCAGTATATGGTTCTTTTGTCCGAGTGGGACGGCATGCTAGACTTGTGGATTAAGATCATTGAGATCATGGATCGTCTCATGAATAGCGGACAAGGTGACAGCTTAGTAAGTTTCCAGCGCCAACACATGCTACATCTATGCGGATGAGCTAATCTCTATCTATAGGCAGAAGCAGTACGAGAAAATCTTAAAAATGTTGTCCTGTTCATGGCTACTAGCGGCTATCTGGTCTCCCCTGAAAAAGATGCATCCAGAAAAAAGCTCTGGGATGAGACTTGGGAGAGGGTTGATCGATTTTTACCAGACTTGCGGAATGATATTATCAGCGAAGAGAATCCTGAGCCAGAGCAAGCTAAGGATGGCGAAGAAAAATGATAGACAAATGGTTTTGGTTAGAGGACAAATTATATTTATTTTATATAATGATAATACATATGTAGTTGTACATTGTAAAAATATATTGCATCCATTTAGATGGAACTTTTATGTGATAAGGTCAGAAAGACAAAGAAAGACATCAAGCAGGCCAGTCGTATTGTTGCAGGCCCCCATCCAACGCCTGATTTATCCGATGAGTATATACATGCACTAAGCAATTAGATAATAAATTCTCAGCGCCGCAACCTACGCCTACCTCCCTTAAGTATATATGCTTTTCTATAATCTAACAATCATGTAATATCCGCCTTCTGAGATGTTTCATCTCTCCCCTCACATTACCACAGCAGCTAATTTACCAGCTATACTCGATATATATCTTGCTATTACACCGGCTACCTATGCCAATCAATTTCTTGCTCTCCGAGATCGAGTCGAAGAGCCGTTGGCCATAGTGCTGCTTTCGCTCGTGATGGAGTCGACGAGGGCGCTAGGGGCTGGAGCTGTTTCTTCAGCAATTTTGCGTGATGTCTTTCGAGCGGCAGCCTTGCCTCCTTTCTTTGCATAGGTGGCAAAGTAAAAGGAAATAAAGAGGACTAGATAAGAGCTGAGAATAATGATGCCGGAAAAGGCAGCGAACTCTCTGCCGGCGCAGCTTCCCCAGTTGGGCATCCAAGGCCAGTAAGTGAACGTAAAGTACGTGTACGACGCAAAGTACACAAAGCCGAGATCAATGACAAACTGGATGATTTGCAGGCGAGTAACCCATTCTTTCCACCAGATGCGCACCCCACGGGCGCTCTGGAAGTAGTACCAGTACATGACAACGTGGACGAAGAGGTTGAGAGAAATGACAACCCATTGGACCGACGTGCTACCAATTAGCTGGGTATAGCAAAGGACAGCCGTTGCGCCGTGGTGGTAGCAATGAAGGAAAGTCAGGGGCTTTTTCTTGAGAAACAGGAAAACTGTATCCAGGAGCTCAAGGTATTTGCTAAGATAGGTCATCTACATGTAGGTCTGGTTAGCATTTTGAGTTATGGCCAGCCCATGGGCAACATACGTAGTACAGGACAATGAGGGGCTGCGTCCAGCCGCCATCAGCATCGCAAATGGCGTAGAGAACTCCACGGCGAACAATGGTGGGAAACAGCTGCTCAATGAAAAGCACCAGGATGACCGCGCTGACAACTGTGAGGACAAAGTTGTGAATCAAAAAGAGCGTCTTCAGCTTAAAGGGCTCCCGGTTCCGCATCAGCTCTCGGCCACCAAAAATGACGAGATAGTAAATGGCGACAAAAATGGAAGTGTCTCTCAGCGTCGACATGGGCGTCTTGCCAACGACAAACTCGAACTCGTCCGCAGGATATCCTGCCACATACTCAAACGCCTTGTTAAAGAGCGGCCACAGGTGGATGCCAAAAGGCCTGTCCACGCTGGGAATGGGTAGAAGCGCTGCCATGGCTGCAGCAATTGGACCTCAATTGAGCGTCAGAATGCTACCTAAACGAGAGAAAGAAGCCGAGAGCTGGCAAAGACAGCGGAAGGGAGGGGGAGGGGGGATAAAGAAAAACAAAAACAAAAAAAAAAAAAAAAAAAAGCCATATACTACAAGACAAGGCCAGCCAGCAGAGAAACAAACTTTCGCGCCGAGTGGTAGGGCGATCCTAGTGGCTTTCACTCCCGACGGTACCGAGTAGTCCACCAAACAGGCGTAAATCGAGCCAGGGAAATCACCAAAAGCTTGTCGAGGGTACACCGCGCATCTCTTGATCGGAGCTTTCGGGTCTTTCTTCGCACTAAAATTGCGGAGCGTGCCGACAACTTTCCCTTCTTAGTGGGCTGATAGACTAAGAATTTAGTATTTACACAACAGACGCGGTATCAGAGCCGTCAATCAGGCACGGGTACGTGAGATCAAGGTTCATATCCAGACATATCCAAATAACTACAGGCGGTGCTTGCTTGGTGCATCAATTATCATTACAGTAATGGGGGGTTCGGCCTGCTCTGCTTTGCCGCAACTAGGGACTTAGCAGCGATCTACTCCCTCTTTCTGCCCTGCCCTCTTCGGCCATCTTCCCGCTCACTCGTCGTCGCTCATGAGCTGCTGAGTGGCTCAGCCAATAGTCGTTTCCGGACGAAACTTTGCGGCTACCGCTGAGCGCTGCTGGGCCCGCCATGTCCTCATCTCCACCAGGCAGTCTTGTATCGAAGTGGCTATCCAGCTGGATGGAGCTATCTCGATAACGTTGAGACTGGACATTCGGCTGCAGCCGGTCATCGGCAATATCGCGACTCGTCCAACTGGGAGGCTCCTCATACTCGTCGGAGACGGTGTCGTACTGAGCTCCATCGTCTATCTGGCCGCGGCGAGTGTTTAAAGGCCTCGGCAGAATTGGATTCGATGTTAGAGGCTTGGGGTGTGTGACGCCCAGCCGGCCCTTCTTTCGAAGGATGTCACCCAAGGTGTCATCTTGCTCGGATTCTGAATCAGACGATATTCCGCCCATGCTGTAGGGTTGAGAGAGTGCGGCATACGACTTGGAACCCGCAGAGCGATGGGAACGCGCCGCATTAGTCGCACGTTGTTCGGCCTGATTTGTTCGCGATGATCCAGACGCTGGCCTCCTGGCCTCGGCAGCTACATTCCTAAGTGTCTCGCTGACTCGTGGTGGCATTGCCTCTGGTTCGCGTGAGGGAACTGAAGCATAGGAATTTGGATACGAAGCGCGTGGCAGGTATCTAAGCGGAGCCTTTTTGCGCTCAGGCGAACTGCCGGCTCGAGATCCCATGCTTATCCCAGAATCGCGAGATTCAGTCCTCGTGTGCATGAACGAAACAGAGACTCTCTCTGGGACACCGTCGTAGACGCTTGTCGAATTTCGCCGACTTTCCAGCCACGGCTTGTCAGTTTCATAGGCGGTGTTTGCAGCGGATATAGACGACCTGTTTCTCTTGTGCAGAGGCCGAGCCGTCAAATTGTCTTCGAGCGGATTCATATCCGGCGGCAGTAAGGTGATTTTGCGGAACATCCATCCCAACCAAGCACAAGAAAAGAGCGTGAGGACGTGTGTGCTGCCGGCCCCAATCGTCGTATAGAACACCGCCAGGGTAAAAACGGGTAGAATATCCTTGTTACTGAGGACAATACCCCAAGCAGCGGCATTCTTGTGCACGGTAAGGGCTCCTAGTGTATATCCAACCACGGATCCCGTGTCCACAAATATAGCAGAAAACTGGTACGCGGCCGAGGATGCTGGTGTTCTGCCTCCTGCGTCTCGTGAGAGGTGATATATGGCGTAGGCAGTGTGAGCGATTGTTACGGCTTGCTGTTCACCGCATTAGATTTATAATTTGCGTGTTACGTGAAGACTATATTTCTCAAAAGAGATGCATACCAGAATTCTCATTGCCCAGGATGTGGTGTTGTCCACGCCCGTAAACAAAGAAAAGAGAACCAGGACGCCAATGCCGGCGATTAGCTGCAGTATTCGCAGCGTGAGTTGGAATCGACGCAACCATGTGATGTAAGCCTTTGTTCGGCGATCCAAGGGGGTATAGTTGTCTCGCCGGTGTGGTAGAATTACATGGTAGCTGAACGGAATGTCAATTGGTAGTTCACAATCTTAAAAGGTAATGGCCGCCAGGTAAACCTACTCGGGATGAAGATCAAATGACACCATGGGTCCCTTTGGAGTGGGCTTTTTCGGCTTGGGCTCCCAGCTGGCGCGAGTGACAGCTTTTGGGTCGAAAGTAGTCGTCGGGAATCTCGAATCCTCGCGCCGGGCGTCATACAGGAAAGGCTGCGTTTGACCCATTCTGTAAACGTCTGGGCACTTCTGCCCTTACCAGCAATGCTGCTGGAGTGCTGCCTTTGCTTTGGAATGTTTGGGAACAGCCTGGCGGCGTTGAAAGAACAAACAGCAAGGGAAAAAAACAATCGAAAATCGAAAATGCCAACCATGCAAAGGGATGATCTTCCGTAATACGGCAATACGACCTCAGCTGCAAGACAGCAGTAGTCGCATGCGCGAGCAGGGAACACAACGCTGCTCCCTGCATCGCCGCTGAGCTCTGATTGGGAGCTGGTGACGGCGTCAATGGGCGCCGGGGTTGCCACAGCAACGCGCATTCGGAGCTCCGATCACCGATGCGGTCCGGGCCGATCTGCCTGTGGGAAATCTCAGCCGGTTGACAAGCGAAAAGGCTCCGCCGTCCGATGGACATGATGATGAAACAAAAGTTTCTGCACAAGTTTCTAAACGGAATGGGTTTCTACCAACGCCCGTTTTCATAATGCTTCTCAGCTTTGGCCGGCGTGCTGCCTGGCCATCTCATCAAGTCCATCTTAGAGCCTCCGTGAGGAACTTCTCCGTCTCACGTTGCGTCTCCCGGCATGCCGACGCTCCATTCCGCCTGGCCGTTGTCGGGTCCGGTCCTGCCGGGTTTTATACGGCATATCGGGTCATGTCCAAGCTGCCGCAGGCTCGCGTTGACATGTACGAGGCTTTACCAGTCCCGTTCGGTCTTGTTCGTCATGGTGTTGCGCCAGACCACCCGGAAGTGAAGGTGACTAAGTCACTGCCATGTTTCATAAGAGCGGAATTTCTAACCGACTTTTCAGAACTGCCAGGAGAAATTCGATGAAGTTGCTACCTCTCCCAATTTCACTTTTGTTGGAAATGTATCCATTGGCCTCCCCGGACATCAGTCAGAGCATTGCACTATACCGTTAAAAGTGCTCACGAGCCACTATGATTCTATTCTTTTTGCATACGGAGCATCTGAGGACAAAAAGTTACACATCCCAGGAGAGTCATCTCTTAACGGAATTTACTCTGCTCGCCAATTTGTGGGCTGGTACAATGGCCATCCTGATTGCACAGAGCTTGCGCCAGATCTGTCTCGCTCCGAGGAAGCAGTCATCATCGGCCAGGGAAACGTCGCCTTGGACGTGGCTAGAATATTGCTAGAAGATGTAGACGTACTTAGAAAGACTGATATTTCAGAAACGGCACTCGCACAATTGGCCCAAAGTCGAGTCAAAAGGGTCCATGTTGTGGGTCGCAGAGGCCCGATGCAGGTAAGCAAGCTGTTTTGAATGCAACGCTGTCATAAGCCAATTGATAGCTAAAACTAATGACATTAGGCGGCATTCACAATAAAAGAAGTCCGCGAGCTGATGAAGCTTTCCGATGTCTCTTTTCATGGAGTGGACAACTCATTAATGCCAGAAGCTCTTGATACCCTTCCGAGAGCTGCCAAACGGCTGATGGAAGTCCTTCGAAAAGGAACACCAACCAACCCTTCTAATACTCCAAAATCTTGGTCCCTCGATAGCTGCCTATCACCAAAAGCCTTTGTTGGTAGCAAGCTAAATCCTTCACATGTGGGCGGCACCGAATTCTACGTCACAAAGCTGGAAGATCCGTTCAACCCTCGATCTTCTGTCTCTCTCACAGAGGAGACTATGACTCTGCCGTCAGATATAGCCTTCCGCTCCGTTGGGTATAAGTCGGTGGCCCTACCAGGGTTTGCTGAAGCCGGTATTCATTTTGACGAGAAGCGAGGGGTTATCAAGAACGACGGAGTGGGCCGAGCGATACAGCTGCCAACCGATACCGGCAACTCCATCGAAACGCAACCATCAGCATTGCCCGGTGTCTACTGCGCTGGTTGGGTTAAGAATGGCCCCACTGGCGTCATTGCGTCCACCATGAGAGACGCATTTATAACAGGAGACGCTGTGGTGCAAGACTGGCTCTCGGGGGCTCCTTTCTTAGGTTCCTCAGCAAATGGCACGGCTGAGGGATGGGCAGCTGTCAGCGCTGACGTTGGCGCTCTATCCAAACAAGTAGTTACATGGGATCAATGGCGCCAGATAGACCAGGCTGAAAGAGAACGAGGGTCGGAAAAGGGTAAAGAAAGGGACAAGTTCACCGACGTTGGAGATATGCTCAACTCAATCACATAGAGGGTAAAATTTGTTGCACTATACTGTACTGCACTGTATTCTATTGTATACATATATATATATAAACAGTTTAGGAGCTCTTGAGCTTCTCCGTTAATTCTGGGACCTTCTCAAAGAGATCTCCTACGAGTCCAGCATCAGCGATCTGGAAGATGGGCGCATCAGGGTCCTTGTTGATGGCGGCAATGACCTTGCTGTCCTTCATGCCTGCCAAGTGCTGGATGGCGCCCGAAATGCCAACGGCCATGTACAGCTGCGGAGCAACAACCTTTCCAGTCTGTCCAACCTGGAGACTGTTGTCTGCATACCCGCTGTCAACGGCAGCTCGTGACGCACCGACTGCAGCGCCCAAAGCATCAGCCAAAGGCAGCATGACCTTGTCGAATTCTTCCTTGGACTTGAGTCCACGACCACCCGAGACGACTTTACTGGCGGTAGCGAGATCGGGTCGGTCTGACTTTGCCAGGTCCTCAGACACCCACTCTGAGATGGCCTCTGACTTGGGATCCACTCCGGTCTCGATGGGAGTAGATGCCTGTTCTGGTGTTGCAGGAGCAAAGGCAGTTCCGCGGATAGTGAGAATCTTGATGGCATCGGTGGACTCGACGGTGGCAATGGCGTTTCCGGCGTAGATAGGGCGGACAAAAGTCTTCTCGTCTTCGATGGATGTCACATCTGAAATCTGCTGTGAGTCAAGCAGGGCTGCGACTCTAGGTAGTACGCTCTTGCCGAAGGCTGTGTGTCCGGCAATAACGTGTGTATAGTTGCCCTTCTTGATGTTCTCGACTAACAGCGGCGCGTAGTTCTCTGGCAGGCCCTAGGATTTTGTTAGCATCACCGGCTGCGTCTCAATTGATCACTGGGCCGCCCATACTTTGTTGTAGGCATCGCTCTCCACCGTAATGATCTTTTCCACGCCGTTTACTTTGGCGGCCTGCTCGGCAGCCGATGACACATTGGTTCCAACCAGAAATGCATGGACAGGACCGCCGACCTTGATGCCCGCAGTAAGGGCACTGAGCGAGCCGTGAACGAGCTGGCCATCCCGCTGCTCCAGAATAGCTAATGTGGAAAGGGCACTGCTCTGGCTGTACTTGAACGACGCCCACCGCATGGATCTACCAAGGACCGCATCTCCACGCTTGGAGAGCAGCTGTCTAGTTAGGGACAACATGTTGAATCAATTGAGAGGATGCAGATGTCCAAGAGCATCTCTCTTCTGGCCGAACAGTAGCAAATAGGTCATCCAGCGGCTGGAAGCGGCCCTCGGTTGTACACTCGGCTGGCCGATTGAAGTGCCGGACTAGTCACGTGCTAGGAGTATGGCGAGGAAGAAAACGGAACAGGCGTTGTTCTCTTGAGTGCAGCTCAAACAAAGACCTGACTAGACCTATTGAGTGCTAGATTAGATGCTAGTTACTTGAAGGCATCAGGGTTCTCTGATAACTACCAATTACAGAGCATGGCCAATGTAAAAAGGGAATTAATATTTAACACAAGGCAGTCTCAGTATCCAGCGCCCCAGCCTTGGCTTAATAAATCAATTAATCTAGATATGGAATATTTACAATTTAATATATATATATAATTATTATTGAAATACCTGTAAATTGGCGATAGTAGCCACGCCGTAATATGAATCTTGCATGCGGCGAGTGGCGAGCATACTGCGAAGCGATAGAACAAAGTCCTGGGTGTCTTTAGAGTGACCAAGCAGCAAGAGTTCGAATTGGGAAGATCCATCTTCTTCAACTTGATTGTAAAACATTTGAATGGCTTGCGGCTGTGATGCTATGTGCATACCGCTTCGCTTGAATCTTGAGCCTTTTGTGGACGCCAAATGGGACGGCCCCTTGTGCCTTGTTTCCAAAAGCAGTCGTGGAGAACACACTGCCAGAGGTTTTCTGGGCTTCAGGACAGAAAATTTCAATACTTTGAAGGCATCTGATTCAATTTTTTTTTATCCCAGCATGAACATCGTCAACTGCTCAAACGAGAATATGAACAACATTCATCTTCTGGGTTTAAATCGCGAGCGTACAGTTTAAACAAAAGGGCGCAAGTCTCAGGGAGCACCGTGCACTATTGCTACGATGTCAAGCGGCCCATCGGAAAGAGAATCGACCATGTACGCACTTTTGATGTTTGGAGCTGATGACGTTGCCATTGAAGCTCAAACATATGCCCAATGCTTAGCTTCGCCAGCATTAGGATGAAACAAATCCTACACGTTATCTGTGCGTTTCAATAATTCGCCAGGAGGGCAGTCATCTTGAGGAACATATGTTAGACATTTTGTCAGTGATATTCAATATTGAAAGAGAGGCTTACCTCAAAGTCATTGGGCGCAATATCCAAAGCAGCACCCGCTATTTCAATAGCACAGTCGCATCAGGGATCTCTATGATGGCAGTTTTAGTACGACCTTAGGCGCAGACTAAGGTGAGTGGGAAGCAGATTTCTCGTAGGCCTAATATCACTTAGCGGCCCGCTCCATTGCCAGGGACTGCTACTAAATTCAGATGCTCCAATTATTTTTTTTATTAAGGTAAAACAAGGCTGTGCTTTTGGTGGGCTGGTGGTTTGTCACTGGCACTCTATTTGACCTATCAAACGCCAGAATTGAGCATGTTCCCTTGCGACGTCGTGTCCGATTCTAAATGTGCCCGTGGTCGCATTGCCTGTAAAATTCCCATACAGCAGCACACCCCGTATCAACCACGCTCAATCACAGCCTGGGGTGCTTGGTGCTTCGCAAGGTACGCTATGGAAGCTCATTGATTGTTTTTTTTTTCCATTCGACTTCTCTATCTCCTCTCTCTCTCTCTTTTGCTGCACTTCGGCCTCGCATCTGCAAGTCGCCCATCATGGCTGCCATGGGCCGGTTAGGCTTCTTGGCCACTGCGGTCATCTTTCACCTGGTTTACATTTACTCCATATTCGACATCTACTTTGTCAGCCCTATTGTCTCTGGCATGCAATTAGTTCCTGTGGACCGTCCCGCAAACACCAAAAGTCCTGCGAATCGATTAGTCCTGTTTGTCGGTACGGTTGCCATGCCACGTTCCATGTTGCACGTCGAGCCTCTTAGAGCTTGAGCTGACTACTGCTTGACAGGCGACGGGTTACGAGCCGACAAAGCATTCCAGGCCTTTCCTGAGCCATACCCCGAATCAGAAGAAGACCTTGTTCCCAGGCACTTGGCCCCCTTTCTTCGTTCTCGAGCTCTCCAACATGGAACCTTTGGAGTTTCGCACACGCGCGTTCCGACCGAATCCCGTCCCGGCCATGTGGCCCTGATCGCTGGACTTTACGAAGACGTTTCCGCAGTGGCAACTGGGTGGAAGCTCAATCCCGTCAACTTTGACAGCGTCTTCAACAGGAGTCAACACACCTGGAGCTGGGGCAGTCCTGATATTTTACCCATGTTTGAGCGCGGCGCTGTTCCTGGTCGAGTTGATGCACACACATATGATGCTGAGTTTGAAGATTTCTCGAAAGATGCAACTCACCTTGACTTCTGGGTGTTTGACCATGTTAAAGAATTATTCACCAAGGCCGCCACCAATAAAACACTTGATCGGGCCCTTCGACAGGAGAAGGTTGTTTTCTTCCTTCATCTACTTGGTCTGGATACAACTGGGCATTCGTATAGACCCTACTCCAAGGAGTATCTGCATAACCTTCAGATCGTCGATAAAGGCGTTCAGGAGGTGACCGACCTTATCCAACGATTCTATGCAGATGATCGGACTGCTTTTGTCTTCACTGCGGACCATGGCATGAGTGACTGGGGCAGTCACGGTGATGGCCATCCAGACAACACCAGAACACCCCTGATATGCTGGGGCTCGGGTGTGGCTTCCCCTAATCTCTATCCGGGGACAATAGCCCCAGGTCACGACGACTATTCAGCTGATTGGGGGCTGGATCATGTTCAAAGACATGATGTTGCGCAAGCTGATGTTGCTGCGTTAATGTCCCATCTCATCGGCACCGAGTTTCCTGTGAACTCTGTAGGAAAACTGCCTCTCTCGTATCTATCCGCAAACAACCGGCAAAAGGCAGAAGCATTGCTGCTCAATGCCCGTGAAATATTGGAGATGTACAAGGTGAAGGAGCAAAAGAAGCAAGCGAATGAAATGAGATATAAGCCATTTGGTGCTTTCAGCGGCGCAGAGCTGGCTCCGTCACAGCGAGTAGCTCACATTGATCAGCTAATATCTCAGGGGAAATATGAGGAGGCCATTGAGGAATCTGACGCCCTCATAAATATTACGCTTGAAGGGTTGCGCTACCTCCAAACATACGATTGGCTGTTTTTGCGTGCCTTGATCACGGTTGGATATCTTGGCTGGATAGCATACGCCATCACAACGGTCATCGATTTATATGTGATTCCGACGTCGACTGTACCCCAGCGCAATACCTCGAGTGTTCTCGGCTTTTTCTCAGTCTTGGCGGCACTATATGCGTCCTTCATTGCTTCGAAATCCCCCCTTACGTACTATGCGTATGCATTCTTCCCTGTTGTCTTCTGGGAAGAAGTTTATGCGCAAAGGTTCAGTCTGCATGAAGGAGGCAAAATACTCTTTGGACACATTGGATCGGCTGGCGGTGTTGTAACATTTATCGTAAATGCGTTTGCTTACTGCGCCATTCTGGTTTCTTTGGTAAGTTCCTTTTTACATGTGACATCGATATGTTGCTAACATATCGTAGGCTCTCGGTTACGATCACCGCGAGATATTGACTGGGCTATTCATCCTGGGGGCAGCATGGCCCGCCATGTCTGGCACATCCTTTATTCGCTCAAATATCCTTCTTAGCGCGGCATGGGCCATATTCTGTATGGTTATGAGCACTTTTACGCTCTTACCCGCCATGAAAGTCGAGAATGTGGACCTAATGTACGTCACGCAAGTTTATGTAAACCCCCATCTGTACTGCTTCTAACGATGAGTTCAAACAGTGTAATCAGCGGTGTAATCCTGAGCCTTATCGGCATATTCTATATGGCATCTGAGCCCATGATTTTATCAGACTTCTCTTACCAGAAGGCTAAACTTAACTACACTTCAAATTCGCTCGTCAGCAGGACTGTGACGGGTGTTCAGGTAAGATAAAACTCAGATTCTTCAACAGTGTCACTGCTCACACTCAATCTTATTACAGGTCGGACTCGTTATTCTTGCAACCTTGGTAACTCGCTCTAGCGCTCTATCTCTTCAAGCCAAACAGGGCTTGCCTTTGGGGAATCAAATCATGGCATGGATCATTTTGGGTAGGTCCTCGAAACTTAAAACATTCCACTAGCATTTTATCGGTCAAAAAGGTCTAACATCAGTCAAAGTTTCATCGTTTTTGATGCCGACGCTCCATCGATTGCAGCCAAACAGCAATTTTATGCATCGTTTGGCAATGATTTTCTTCACATGCGCCCCGACATTTATAATCCTCACGATATCCTATGAAGGCTTGTTTTACGTTGCGTATTCTATTTTGCTGGTCATTTGGGTTCGCCTGGAGTACCGTATCGAGACTTTTGGTAAAAGCCAAGCACCCAACGGAAACGGTTCTGTAAAGGCGGATAAAAGCGAAAGCGTACCAAATCGACCACTGCGTCTGTCAGACGCACGCGTATCTCTCTTCTTCATGGTGCTTCTTCAATCAGCCTTCTTCAGCACTGGAAATGTCGCGTCTATCTCATCATTTAGCTTAGAGAGCGTTACTCGTCTGATTCCGGTGTTTGATCCGTTTTCTCAGGGAGCACTCCTCATTCTCAAGCTAATGATCCCGTTTGCTCTCATTTCGGCAAATCTTGGCATTTTGAACAAGCGACTTCGAATTGCGCCGTCAGCATTGTTCATGGTTGTCATGGCAATCAGCGATATTTTGACTCTCTACTTCTTCTGGGTCGTTAAAGATGAGGGTTCTTGGTTAGAAATAGGATCCACTATCAGTCACTTTGTGATTGCCAGTCTTCTATGTGTGTTCGTTGCCGCACTGGAAGGGGCCAGCGCCATGTTCATCAGTGGAATTGATGTCAGTGATGCGCCATCTCTAGGCTCAGAAAGCCAGGCAAATGGAAAGAAGAGCCTGGGAAAGGCACAGAAGTGAAGTGGCATCATTTCAGCATACGGGGAGATTGACGTTAGACTTCTTCCCAAAGCATTACTGGAGGAGTGATCATCTTTTATTTACTAATTATACCAGCTCGCAATCTTTCCTGTACAACTAGAGGGTAGGCAGTTTTGCTGCGTTATGATTGCATGACCGTATTTTGGACTAGGTAGACTTCTAGACTTAGAAATTAGGAGAGGCATCATCTTCACATTTAATTTTATAATTAGTTGGGCGGTTTGACCCTTTTCAGCCCCCCTCCCATGCCTATTTTAATTTTATACCCAATTCCTCAGCTTTATCTCTCACTTGCTGTATTGCGCCATCTGGAGTCTTCTCTGCTGGATTTCGAAGCTGCCAAGCCATGCAGATATCCAGCGCTTTGCCCATCCATGTACCCGGCGGGACTCCCAAGGCCTTCGCCAGCGCGCGTCCGTCTATAATTCGCTTCAAGTTAGGAGCATCGTAGAGATCAAGCTTAACGAGATGCTGAAGAAATTTTTCCCATCCTTGAAGGAACTCCTTGTGGTCTGTGACGAGACCAGAAGTCAGCGTATCTGTTGCAACCGCTCGGGTGATGGGCTTTTTGCAATGCTTACCTTTACCTTTCTCAGCGGGGAAGTCTTCAAGCTGCTCCATAGCATCGATCATTATCACCCCTAGAACTTGAACCTTCCAGTTTCCGCCCACTGCTTCCCACTTCCTAATCGCCATGCCAAATGTGTCTCGTTGGTCTTTTATCGGCGAATTCTTGCAAACTGCCTTTTTCAGATCAACGATCTCAGTGCGATGCTTGTGACAGGCTGCCATGACTGTTGTGAGCTTGTTTGAAGCTTTAAACCCTTCACGGGCAATGATACCAACGGGCGGGAGGGCATTTGCCTTTTGCTTGCGCCCCGAGCGGTCTTCTACGGGAATCCAGGGGCTCACAGCAGCAAGATTCCACGCCAGATACGTGTTATCGCTGTCATTATCATCAACCAATAGCTGAGATATTGACCCTGGCTCTCGATTCTTTAGTAATTCGTCGAGACAGCTGTAGGCGACGTGCCATCGGGATATATCGGGCATAGCAACATCTTCTTGTGCCGGATCGCTAAAGATTGCTTGGTAGAGGCCAAGACGGTCCAGCAGCTCCAGTGCTGATCGGGGTGTTTTGCCTAGTAATCTCATATCAGCCTGTGGTTATGGAATATGAAAAGAGAGCTGGGATTTGGGAAAGAGCAATGAGTACCTTTCAGCATCTTTTCTAACTCGACACCAACTCTTTCACGGCTGATTTTTTTCCGGAGAGCCTCTAGTATTTTCTTATCGTTCATGAATTTCTCTGACGTCTCATCAATAGTAAACCCTAGTCTAGCAGCGAAACGTATGAGACGAAGTACTCTGAGGGGATCATCCATGAATGTTTGAAAAGGTTCTAGGGGAGTTCGAATTATCTTCGCCTCCATGTCGCGGATGCCGCCGGTGAAATCTTCAATCTCTTCGGTGTGCAGATTATAGAACAGAGCGTTTATGGTGGCATCACGACGAAGAGCATCTTCCTCTGCAGTGCCAAACTCCATCTGAGGGTTACGGCTGTCCTCGGCATATGTCTCTTTGCGAAGATTGACGAAATCAAGGTCCATGCCAAAGAGCTTGACCATGGCGGTTTCAAGATGCTTGGACTTGTCCGGGTTGCTCGCAATGTGGTGAAGCCTGCCGATATCCCCAGGGGCAAAGCCATGGATCTTTGCGACGTCGGGCTGTTCGCAATACTCTGAAATATGCTGTGCGAACTGCTGTCCAGTCATGGCATTGATTGCCACGTCGATGTCATGGCTCTCTATGCCGAGGAGTCTGTCCCTCACCCAGCCTCCCGCCCAGCGCAGCACCAGCGGCTGGTCGAGCTTTGTTGTCGTGTCAATGAATCTGGCGACATTCAGAAGAAGAGAGCGGAGTTGCTTCTCGCGCTCTGTGAGCTTGACTGAGGCAGTAGACATGGTGGTGGTTGGGCTTGTATCTCTTAAAAGAGCACTGAGTTTCCTCTTCATAACGAGGCGAGGGCGACAGATTCGCGATAACATAAAAAGCCCAGTCGCATTATTTATTTCCTAGGCAAAATCAGCATCGAGTTATGGCACCAGCGAGGCTGTGAGTAATTGGGAAAATGAAGAAAAATTAGGTTGAGTCATACCAGGCGAGTTTGTTTGTAGCATCATCTAATTGAGCTGTCCGATAAAGCTTTGCTCGATAATGGGCAGCCCACCCTGCAAAATACCTGGTGCAGTATGAGCTCCCTGTAAAGAGCTCCAGTAGCTCGCTGTTTCGGGAGGCTAAAAAGATGAGCTCGAATCCGGGAAGACTGCTGTACCTACTATACTGCCTGGTAAGTAGCCAGGTAGGTACTCTCATTAACCCAATCCAAGTGCTGCTCATTGGAATCATCAGTAATATAGACAATTCTTTTTTTTTTTTTATTAATAATTATACTTATTATTAAAAACAAACGACAGAGGTTCTGAATATCTTTTTGAAAATGACGTCATCGTCAGCATACAATAATGCTCCCACCATGGACTGAAGGTTTATTAGGTAGTATGTATTTAATTATCTATGCTGGTTTTCGAATACTGTCTGCCCAGGATGGCATGATTTCTCTACACACTTCCTCATAATCTCCAAGTTTTTGACTCTTACTACTCAGCTCTAGCGTTGTCCAAAACATGGCCCAGTTGCAATCGGAAAGTTTACTGGTTCCCACCGACCGCTCAAAATACCATTTATTCACAGGATTGTCTTTCCTGCTTCTCCAAAGCACGCCGTCAGGGAAACAGTCTTGGACCATGGCGTTGAAGACGATGTCGGCAACCCCACCACTTCCTTGCCGGCTTCGAAGAACAGCAAATTTGTCGAGGTATGGGACGTAACGCCCCTCGTCATATGCCGTTTGAGGATCAATGCTTTTCGGTCTCTCCCAAGTGAGAATAGCACACCCCTCGTATTCTCCCGCAATGATCACCCCTGCCAAGCTCTCATTTGTCCGTCGCAGATAATCTTCAACGTCTAGCTTGCGGCCAAAAGAATCTTCAATTAGTGTGACCAGCCGTGGCAGATCAATGGACTTGTCAGTGAGCTGCGGACGTCGCTCGCCGGGCGCCGCTGGTCTCCATGGGGAGATTCTCGGGTCGGGGTAGATGGTCAATGGCAAGCCTCGCTTGACTAGAGTTGCGCTGATTGACTCTCCTGTATTTGAAAACGCCAATTCGGGAGATTGGATGCGCTGCAATGGCAACGAGGGGGAGTATACTGGCTTATCGGTAAGAAGATTGTGAAGGAGAGGATTTTGTTTTCTGCGAGTGTTGACCATGCCGTCAAAACCAAACTGGTATTCGCTGTCTCGCGTAGGAGAAAGTCCTGAGGAGGCCGATGAAGTATTGGATGCAGCGAATGGAGTCGTTATAAGAACGGAAGCTGCCTCGGGTAAGAGAGATAGAGTGTCCTTTGCTAACTTGAGGTTTCTTGCGTGGGCAGCAGAAGCACCCCAATTTCGACTGTCTCCCGCTGCCTTCGATGAATCATCACCACCGTCGAGGTGATCCAGGATTGTGTTGTATTCCTGTTCAAGATTGATGAATCTCTGGTAGACATCAGGACGACCAATCACGGGAATTCCCCCGAACGGATCGAGGATAATGACTCTTTCGACGGAAGCAAGAGGCTCTTTGGCTCCTCCATGACTTCCACCTTGGCTGTGGCTTGAATCTTCCTCGAACTGTAGCCCCGTAAAGTACCTTGTTAATGCCAGGGCGGTTCTCTGAGCATCAGCAGGCACAGGGGACATGGTCTCATCGTTTCGCGCAAGGGATGGGATGACTGCTATCATATTATGTTGAAGTGCGCGGTTCAAGATGCCATAGTCCTGAACCTGTATATCATCCCAAAACGGAGAAGGGGTGGAACTTCGAAAATGAGAAGTACCGACAAGTAAGTTTTCGACCAGTCGGGCGCCTGGTTTGCCAAAGGAATCAACAGCTTCGCAAAGCCTCAAAGCTTCATATTGAAAAGTAGAACGGCTCTCGCCCATGTCACAATCCACAACGACGACGCTCGTCAGACCAAGGCTCCGAAGTTGAGTTAGGGTCTTGGCTATTCCCTTGACTATGTCCGGCTGTAGCTTTTGGGGATTCCGCAGAACCACAATGGCGACATTGAAGGGCGGCTGAGCTTGGAGTTGCCTCGCAGGAGGCTTGTGCTGATGCTCAACTTGCTTCGATGCTGCTACTATAGAAGTAGGCTTTGGTGCTGTATATTTTTGGAGGTAACCCTTGGCATCTCGCCTTGTGGCCGTGGACTCTAGGACAGACACAATGACGTCCTATTACAGTGTTAGTGGCTTTTACAAAGGCACTGATACTGTCCAACAACGTTGCAATGAGTTGATAATAGTCAAGTAAACTAATACGCACCCGATCAAAATTTTGTCGCTTCGCTCGGGCTTCTGTGGGCGAAGAGAAGCGACGAGTATTGGCTATCTGAAATATAGAGGCATTCGACACATGAGAGACCCGAGCTGTGCCAATTGGCGCTATACTTTTGCCTATGGACCAATACGAAGATGATGAACGGTGCATGTGAGCCAATCTTTTGTTTAATGAAAGGAAGCCATGACTAGGACTGGGGGAATTGATGCTGGCACGGCTCCAATACACGTTGGATGCCATGCCGCATATCGGACAGCCGGAAAGAGTCTTTTGATAGTGCGAGTCTAGAAATTCTCTCTCCCTCTCTTTTCGTAACAGATCAATTGGTAGAACTTACGGGCCTAGGAACTGCAGCTTTACTTCCAGAGACACATTTTTGACAATCAACTCGAGTCAGTTCAATGGGGAATGAGAATTTTAGCCTGGGGGATATGGAGAGAGTTGAATGAAAGGAGTCTAAACAGCAACTGCACGTGATGAACAAATGGATAAAATAAGAGCAGTATAGAGATAAAAATAATGACAAGAGAAAGGCGATGAATTACTCAATTGATGGCCGATTTAGGACTGGCAAGTGGATGTAGAGAGACGATAAGCTAAGCCTTGCGGCTTAATGGACGTTTGATGGGAAAATCTTGTGCGCTGAAAGAGATAACAGCAGCCATGACTCTTAGCCGTTGCCGGCCACTTGTTCCGAGGTACAGTCATGGCTTGTGGCCGCTAAACAAACGATTTAAGAATCTCACAACGCTGTGCCATTATTTCCCATCTCAAGCCCGTTCTTTGTTTCATCTTTTTTTCCGCTTTGCTTTTCTTCTTATCGTTAATTTAAGCTTTTTTTTTTCTCCTGCATCATGCAGATCTCACACACGACGCTCCCCACTGCAGAGACAAATCGTGCTCTCGTATTCGGACATGCTCGCTCCCCTGATGAAACTAAGCTACAGCAGCCATGACTGCTGTGTCTGCCTTTGCAGGCATGAAAACGCCTAACGAGCAAAATGTGACTCACGCCGCATGATTCCTCTTCAACGCCCTCACAACGTCCCGCAGCCATGAGGCTCGAGCTCTTCGGATATGCATAGTCCAGTACAGTAACCGCAAAATTGTATATATATTTATTTTTCGACAAGCGGCAAGGAAAGCGGGATAGTTCTCACGCATTCCTTGTCTGTCCTTTGGTAACCACCAATCTTTCATCTATCTAGTTTACATCTCTCATCTTTCTGTCTGTCCAAGCTTTGTGAAGTGATACCTTTCTTTTATTTCTTCTTCTCCTTCTCCTTCTTTTCCTTTGAACCAATCTGTACAGATAACTGCGTTTGCATTTGATACGTTGTCAATGGATGTTCCCGCTGGGCCGTCTTTTGAAGAGTCGCACGACACTGCACTCTGCCTCATACCTCCACCTCACCTTTGGGGCCCAGTCAACACGCTACGATCACTCAACGACGACAAGTTCACAAAATGGCCACCGCATGTCACTCTAGTCTACCCATTCGTGAAACCAGAAGTCCTCCCAGATGCCGTTGAGGCGCTCAGCCACCTCGACCTGATGCCAGATGGTGACGGCATTTCCATCAACTTGCAGGAGGCTGGGGTCTTTTCCCATCGCCGACACAGCACAGTTTTTATTCGTCCAAAATCTGGACAGGAGAAAAGACGCCTTTCGGAGCTGAGAGACCGGATATACCGCTTTCTTGGATGGCCTAAGGGTAGACAGTACCATCCTCATCTAACAGTCGCACAGAGTGAAGATTCCCACGCAGCATGGCATCAATTCCTCCTGGAAAAAGCACGGCTTGTAGCGCCGCTGGCATGGAACACTCACCAACTTGCAATTTTGATACGTGACCCTCTATCTCCGAACAAGATGACAGCCTCGCGACCGATGAGGCTCTGGGGATATATCGATCTGGCTTCTAAGTCTCTCGTACGCGATCCGACGAACTTGGCGACAATCCCCGATCTACCACAGGATACTTCTTTGCCATCTCCTCAAGACACTTTCCGCTATGACGGCGTGAACACGTTATGGAAACCCCTTACAGACAGCCTCAACAGCCTGGAGTCTGAATCGGAACGGCCTGGTCGCCTTGTTGTCGCTTCCTATAATGTCTTGGCTGAGTTCGGCTGGCCGCCTACTGCATCTAGATATCCTGGACTTGTTAGCAATATTCTCTCTGAGCGCGCCTCGGCCGATATCCTTGTCCTTCAGGAGGTCACAGATCAGTTTCTCGACTTTTTACTGGCAGATGGCAATATAAGACGGCAATATCCTTTCTCTACCCATGGATCACCTCAACAGCTTGATGTTGGTCCTCTACCTAGTCACTTGAACATTGTGGTTCTCAGCAAGATTCCCTTCCAGTGGAAGTATCTGCCGACCGCAAAAAAGCACAAAGGGTTTGCAATTCTCACATTTCCTACAGTACAAGTTGGCGAGTCCTCAGATTCTCATACATCGCCCTTGGTTCTAGCTGCCTGCCATCTTAGTAGGGGGCTAACGGACATTGCTCTTAATACGAAAAGAGATGAGATAACAACTCTTGTTGAATATTTGAAATCCTCCTTTCCTCGGAATCCATGGGTAATTGCCGGTGACTTCAACTTGGCTTCATCGTCTCGCACGATTGATGAAGCGCTGGAAGCAGGCGAAATTTCAGAAAAGGGCCTTGAATGTCTTCAAGTAATCGACACCATTGTGGCAAAAGCTGGATTTCAAGACTCGTGGCTAATCACTCGAGTTGGGCCTGGAGAATCTTCAAGCACGACAGGAAGTCATGAATCAAATTTGGGGCTTTACGAGGGAGAACAGGGAGCAACTTTTGACCCAACCTCTAATGACCTTGCTGCCGCTTCTACCGGCGTTGTTAACAGCCGCCCGCAGAGGTATGATAGAATATTAGTCAAAAAGTGTGCGCAGTTGCACCCCCATGGATTCAATATGTTCGGTCAGCCAGCCGTCAATGAGAACGGAAGCACCTCTCAAACTTTTGCCAGCGATCATTGGGGCATTCGCTGCCTACTTATGCTGTCACCTCGTGAAGAAGGAAATGAAACACAGTCTGCTTTTCACTTTCAAGTCGACTTACATAAAGCTGCCCTTTCTTTGGGTAATTTCGAAGAGCTAAAGGCTAGTCTAGAATCCAGTGGTCAATTCCCTACCACTGCTGAAGCGAATCTGAGAAAAGAAGCAATTGATCTCCTTCAAAGAATTTTGATCGAAGAAGACGCTACTACCACTGCCGCTGAAACGCGCTCAAAAGTGCAACTTGCTCTTATCCCAGTCGGTTCGTTTGGCCTGGGTGTGTGGACTAACTTGTCAGATGTCGACTGTCTCTGTGTAGGCAACATAAGCACCCGTGTATTTTTCAACCTGGCAGTACAGAAGCTGAGAAAGGCTTCTGCAGATGGTGTAAAGATTCTCCGGCGTGTAATGGCAAATACTGGAACAATGCTCGAGCTGGAAATCCGCGGTATCAAATTTGACCTTCAGTATTGTGCTGCCGCAGCTATAGCTCAAGGGTAAGTTTCTCTTTATCAATCTTGTATATTTCGTCTTTGTCATACAAGGAACTTACTAAATCTCATACAGATATCCTGATGTTCTGAAACGGCCACCATCGGACCCCGTCTTCACTTTGCCGCTCCAAACTTTGGCAAAACTAAAACCTGCAAGGGATCCCTTTTACCTACGCAGGTCCATCCCTGATATGACGAAATATCGCGTAGCACATCTCTTTATCAAAGCCTGGGCACAGTCAAGGGGCCTATATGCAGCAAAGTATGGGATGCTGGGCGGAATCCATATTTCATCCATGTTGGTGCCCGTCTGCAAAGCATTGGCAAATGAGTCCGAAACAGTCTCCACAGCCGATATTCTGACGACCTTTTTCCAACACTACTCACAATTCAACTGGGAGAAAGGGGTAGTATTCGATCCATTTTATCACCTGGGTTTGAGATATCATCGCACATTTAGAGAGCCACTGTGTCTACTTGGTTGGCATGGGCCATCTCTTAATGCTGCATCCACTGCATCTATTTCCACCGTCAATGCTCTTACTTCTGAACTCACCAGAGCTGCAGCCCTGTTTGACCAAGAAGATATGACATGGGGCAAATTTCTCGGCTTGGAACAATCCAGGGCGCCGTCGAGTTTAATTGAGAAGGGAGCTGCTGATTTTCTTGCGTCATATCGAACTTATATCAAAATAAATGCTCGCTACTGGGGATCCTCTCAACAGAAAGGAAGAAAATACCTAGGCTGGCTAGAGTCTAGGTGTATATCTATACTTGTTGGTAAGTTATATTAATATGGGTCACCAGCATTACTACATACTTACAAGCAGACTAGATATAAGTCGAAAATCCCCAAGTCTCATACCACGCATCTGGCCAGCCAGATTTGCAGATGCAGATCCGGCAGACAGTGCTGACGACCAGAACTCGGAACTCAACGCTTGCTATCTAATAGGTCTCAAGTGGGATGAGAGTGTTACTGATAAATCTACGGCGAACCTGGCCGCCGCAGAGGGAAATGTCCAGGTGATCCTTCAAGAATTTGAATCACGTATCCAGAAGGACGAGAAGTACTTTGATGCCGAATCATGTTGGATGAGCGCATCTATTACTCGTCGATCTAGCCTTGGCTCTGTGCGTCTTGCGCCTGGCCAGCTATACGACTTCGATGCCGATGATGCCGACCTGGACGAAGACGATGATCCGGATGAATTGAACGAATCAGACAGCGAGTTCTCTGGCACCAACAAGGACTCTCGAGCAACAAAGACAGACTCCTCAAAGTCTCCACTCAAAGCTGTCAAGCCACCGGGGGCAGGTAAACTTCGCAGCGCCATCGACACCCTAAATAGAATTCGTTGGGACGTTTCCATGGATTCCAGCGACTTCCTGGTTGGATATGAGGACCGCTTCATCGGAGCTCAGGAGAAGGCATTGGATAGCTGGAAGGCTGAGCAAACGGACGAGGAGTTCATCCCACAGCACCGAATATTGTACTTCAAGCGCAAGAGTGATGGAGTGATTGTATGGGATAGAAGGTCACGAGTGGACACTGTATTTGGTAGTGGATGAAGTGAATGGGAAACATGTAAGCCGACAAATTACGCACTGGACGTTAGATATCTTTTTAAAATTAGGAGCAAATTATTATTATGTACAGACAACGTTTGGCTATATAGCCATACATGGTATAGATGGTATCAGATCCCAGCTCATCTAGGCTTCCCAGGACTCACCGGTGCTTCTGCAATCCGCTGGCCGGAAATATCATCATCTCGCTATTAGCATCATATCCGCGCTGCGAGATTGAACTCGCTCGTCAAACAACAGGCCTGCGCAAGACCTTAAATCTCTAGTAATCATCATTTCGCGTCTACCACGGCATCTACAGCCTCTAGGAAGCAAGGCTCGCGAACACAGCCGCAATAGACGACTTGTCATATTTGACATATTTGCCCTTGCCTTTATCAATCTCATGGTAACGATCCCAAAATCTGTCATACAAGGGCTGGAGCTTCTGGCGAATGTCTTGACCAAACATTACCCGCACTTCACGCTCCATATTGTAAGATTTGTGCTTAGCCACCATGTCATCGAACGCATTGTTGAACTGTGTGAATTTCTCTTTGATTTTGTCCTTGTCCTTGCTGTTCAGGCCCTTTACTACTGAGGCTGAGTCGGCGGAGTCAGCATGGCCAGAAGTCGGACGCTTAGTTCGGTTTGTATGGATGGTGTCAAACAGATATACCGATAAATCTTTACAGATATCAGTATACTGAGCGGTAGCCCTCTTTCTCCATTGGTCAAGAACATCAAGTCGCGAATCGAGTAGTGTAGCAAGCTCCGAACTGCGGATCATATGCTCAATAACGACAACGCTGTTGGCCATGAACACGCCCAAAAGAGACTTGTTTCTGAGTAGCAACTGAGACTTTTGGTTCAGAGAGGTGAGCAGAACATCAATAGTGTCAAGGCAATAATGGGCGAAAAGCTCTTTGCCATCGGCGCCAACATCAAATGAAGCCAAACTTGGGATTCCTTCCATTGTGCGACCGCCACCAGCAGCTCCTGGCTTCCAGCCTCCATCACCCAGGGATATCATGATGCTTGATATTGGTCTAAGGAACTCCACCATGGAGATCAATCGTTGCATCGTCTCCGCGACAATGGGGGGCGTGACTCCGTCTGATGAAAGTGTCTGCAAATTGCCTATTTTTCGTCTGGTTTCTTCTAATAATTCGGAGAGGGACGACTTGGCCGTTTCACGAACGGGTTTTAATGCGGCAGAGAGGGAGTTCTTTAGTTCGCCTGTCCTCTTGTCAAGGTTACTCGATAAGCCAGAAATGATTTCGGTAACCTCGTAGGCCATATAGCAGTCGGTCGTAAGATGAGATTTGATATGTGTATTGAGCTCTCGTAAAGTTCTGGCCAATTCAGTAATGGCGCCCTGGCAGGTTGTTTGCAAGATGGGGCCCCAATCCTCGCGCTTGAAAATGCTGCAGATATTATCGTATTCTGCGAGGAAGATGCCCTCCATGGCCTGGGTGTACGTTCCAATGCCATTTGCGCCTGCTTGATACACATCGCCCGGATTTTTCTTCTTGGCGGTATTGACACTAGCTGCAGCCAGGTTTGCCAAGGAGGCAGCCAAATAAGGCCCCCGTACATCAGCATATATCCTCGCGACAGACGAGTCGAAGCTGTTTGGATAATTCCCTGCGACATGGGAATAAACGAGGCCAAGGCGGGCGACCTTGTCTTGTGAAAGCACGGGAAACGGCTTGTCTTTGGTGATGTAATGGAGTGGTTCGAGTGATCGGGGGGTTTCGCCGCGAAGGATCTTGTCGAAGTGGCTCTCTAGCTGTGAATTCCCCAGCTTAATAAGACGGGTCAAATCTGCCATCGTGCCCTGGTTTGCGCGGAGGTTCGACGTCTGCATTTCCTTGTATGAGTTGCTTAGTCGTTTGATGGAGGCCAAGTAGTTTGACAAGCCGGCCTTTTCAGGCCCAGAGCGAATGATCTGCTCCTCGTCATCTTTGCTGTCTGAAGGCTGGCGCAGGCGATCGATGGCAGTAAGCACAGACTCGACATCTAGCTCTCCTACTTAGCAGTGATTCGAATTTCGACAAGGGAATGTGGCTGACTTTTGCAGAGTGTCTGGAGACGTCTCGTCTCGCCATTCAGAGGGCCGGCGACATCCCGAACGCTTTGGCCCGTAGCTTCGAGGCGGCCAAGGGAGGCCTGGATCTTCTTGGTCAACTGGGAGGTTCGGTCAAGCCTGGAGTTTAGCACGTCAACTTCCGCTCTGGCTTCTTCATCTACAGCGTTGTATCTGCTATTGGACAAAGCTCCAATAGCCATTGCGCGTGAAACGGAGGCTCGATTGCTGGGAGACGGAGGGTATTGAAAGAGCAGGTAGCCGATAGCTAGCAGTAGTGTCATTTGCGATAGGTATAGAGAGCAGGGGTCGTGGTAGCTGGCCATTAGCGGCCGCTGCCTGTGTGGCCAATGAAAAGGCAGAGCGGCCATGATGGATGTTACAAGTATGTGGAAGAAGCAATAATAGCAGGATTTCCAACATTCTTGTTGAAAATAAATACAACTAATATATATTGTGTTTATGGCAAACAAAGTTTGTATTACCAATAATATAATTCCAAGTGGCGGTATGTAATTTTTTTTAATCAAACATTATTGTAGCCAGCGCTTAAAATGAAGTTTGTAGCAAATCTTATCCAAGGATTGTGGATTGCAAAGATAGAAAGACCCAGGTAATTGTGCATATAATATTACAATATTTGTATATTCATACCAGCCCAAAGCAAATATAAATGACATATGAAGCTGATTGCTTAGCTACCTGTAACTTGTAGCTAAATAGGTACCTTGCCTGCTATATCTACCAGGTGGTACGGAAAGAGAACAAAACAGGCTATGCTGGAGGGTGACGTCAATGAGCAACGGAGATCATGTGGCGATACTCAATCTCAACAGCTTCTTTGTCGCCGTTGAATGAGGCTATTTTGCGGGGTAACCAGGAGTCTGGAACCGGTTTCACTGACGACAGCTCCTCCAGCATACCACCCAATATCAAGTCAAGTACTGTAGATCTCCGCCATATATAAACTCCTAAATACCCCATCAAAATGCGTCCTTCTTAACTAGTCAGGCGTTGACATCGTTCGCGGTCCATCGTCATAACATAAGAACTGAAGATACCACGTTGATATAAAACAGCATCATGGAGAACGCAGCAAGCCCCGGAGAGCAGCAAAACCAAGCTACAACTGCTGCTGCTGAAGTGGGCAGCTCACCGGTTTTGAGCGGCAATAAAGATCGTCGACTTAGTGATGAATGGGGTTCGTTCCTATAGCCTTCCAGCACCACAGCTGTCGGGTGTATTTGCCGGCGCAGAGCAAAAAATTAGTCGATATGTGCAATCGAACCACTAACAAGATGCCAGATGCTGCAAAAGTGCCCCCCAGTCGCTTTCAGAAGCGTAAAGGGTCAATATATGCCACACCTAGCTCTCGTGATGGCCACATCGAGAAGAACTACGCCGAGAAATACCATGCTAAGATTGCCGAGATGAAGGCGGGGAAGGCAGGTCGTTCTGCAACCAGTGATGAGACTTCGAATAAAAAACATCAGGTTGATCCCCTTGCATGAGGCTCTGCAAGGTAAAGTTGGTATTATTGTAAACACGGCAGCGAAATCCCCCCTCTTAATGTAGCTCTCTTTTATGCACATTTAGTCATCAAGACCATCAATATCAATAGCATCTGGATTTGATGCCAAAGTTTCCTGTCTTGGATGCACATCTTTGGGCCCTGTGCTGGCAGCGACGAAGCCCTGCGGCGCCAGAGACTGTTTCTCTAGAGCCGCAATGGGATCGGCAGCTTCTGCGCCCGGGGAGCCTTCTGGTTTTTGTAAACTTCGTGCCAGAGCTTGTGACGCGATGAAGTTGACATCGGTGTTGTATTTAGCTTGGACACTGCGCTTGATACGCAGCATTTCTTTGAATGTGTCCTCATTGCCATGCTGAACCTCGAACTGCTCCCACTTTGTCCAGAAATCGGCATTCGTTCGGGGGTCGCAGAACTGTGAGGCATGTCCATAGATGGCTCTTGCCCGATCAATCTCTCCTAATCGTTTCTCCATATCTGCAAACTTGAGACACATTTCCTTGGCTTCGCTGTCTGGAAGAGCTGTAATGGCCCGCTCATAAATAGGTCTCGTAGATGGCAGGCCGAAATTGGAGGCCGATTTGGTGATGTAAAAATTGAACATATCAGCTCGATCTTCGTCAGAAACCGCACGCGTTGCTCGTTCATAAATCCGCATGGCATGGCGCGCAAGGCCACGTTCTTCCTCCAAATTGCCATACATGAGGTATATCGTTTTGGCAAATTTTGGAGGACAGTCCTCTACCGCCTGTTCGAAGAGATCTCGCAATCTCTCAATGCCAATCTTCCTGTCGACGGCCTTGGTGAGATACAGATTCCATAATTCAAAGGCCACTGGATAGCTGAAAAGATCCAAGCCACGCTCGAAAATCTTGAAAGACTCTTCGTAATACTTATGCTCTTCTAGAAGATTGGCATAATTCACAACTGTTTGAGGAGTTGCAATTCTCAATTCGAAGATGCGCTCATATACCTTCTTCACTTCATCTAGAGTTGAAACGCTCTCCACCATGTCCACATAGAAACTCCAAAGTTTCCAGCTTTTGTGCACCCGCTGCTGAGGAGACAAAGCCTCATCAAAGTAATCAACATTGGATCTCTTCGGTGCTTGAATCGCCTTTGCCATTACTCGGATGGCATCGTCAAAGTTCTCGCCTCGGAGTTCCATTTCCGCCCATTCAATCCACATATCGGCCAGCTCTGCCACTGATTTAAACGGGACCTTGACAGCCTTTTCCATGATGATACGAGCGTTTCTAATATCTCCACCCCGTTCATAAAACTTGGCGTAGTTAGCCCATAGTTGATGAAACGGACCTACGGCCCTCTTTGGGTTAATAGTTGTAATCGCATCCGTGTAAGTCTGAACAACCTCGACATTCTTGTCACCCCAGAGCGCGACCCGTTTTTCCCATTCGATGACATTGTTGGGGTTCTGTCGAAGTAAAACATCGTTGAGAAGAAATGGACGCCGGTCCATTAGATTCTCGAATCGCATCATCCGTATGTCGAGCTCTAAATCCGTTTCTTCATCTTCGATGCCCTTACCAGCGCGGGAGTTTGAAACGTCCATCAAAGCACCAATTATGGATTCTTCGAATTCAGCATAAGCGTCAAAAATGAGGGTAAAGTCTCTGACTGTCATGACGGTTGTTATGCCTTCCTCAAAGACATCACGGGCCCGCTCGAAGCTTCCCCTTCTGATCCAATATGTCGCAAGCCCAACCCAAAGTTTGCCTCTTTGATCGCTAAATCGAATTATTCCGGACCTAATGATGCCCTCTACGTCAACTCCATTTTCGTAGCTCGTTTCAATTTCAGGTGCGTGCTCGACCAGCATTTCGACCATCTCGTTCCAGAGTTCATAGTGGCCTTTCCCACGTTTGCTTGAAAACCGTGTGTCGTTGAGGATTTCTATATATCGTTTTGCGGCCTCGGTATAAGCACCTCTTAGAATGAGAAGCTCGATGAGGTCCTCGGCGTCCTCAGGATGGACTTGCATATATCGTCGCCAAATCTTGACTGCAGTTTCCCCTGAAGCGGCGTTGGCAAAAGGAAGATACAGTGACCATATGCGATTGTGCTGCGTAATTGGGAGTGCTCGCAGGGCTCGATCAAACGTTCGGCGGGTGAGTGTGACCAGTGGCTGCTTCATGAGAAATTTGAGGTACATTTCCCATATTGACGGCATTTTGTGTAGTAGAATCAATGATTTCTCAAATAGAGCGTTGACTTTTCGGTATTCGGCGGCGTGGATTGCTGGATTGAGCTTCGAAACATGCTTCACGCGAAAGGTGAGGTACTGTTGTTCTGTTAGCAACCGGACTAAATTGAACTTCATGACTCGACTCACAAGTTTCCAGAGCTTGTATGATCGCGGCAATTTGACACAAGCACGCTCCATCACAAAAGCTTGTTCCAAGACGCTCCCATGGCGAACCTTGAAATCGATATACTCTAGCCATGGCTTAACACGTGTGGGATCGCGGACAATATCTTGCTCGTAGACAGAATCTTCGTTCGACTGCAATGAGAGTTAGAAAGAAAGGTGCAGCGCAAATCACTGCCCGGAGGAACTCACAACAAGAAAGAGGTCCATTCTTCCGTCCGCTACTGGAGCCGCCATGGTGGCTTTCCCCCTCTCCTGCGAGAGGTAACTGCAATGCTGATGTTTTTCAAAATGATTCAACGAGGCCCATTGTTGTGTCCTGGGAACAGTGTTGCACAGAAATTGCTGTCAGGGTGTCGGATATCAGCCTACAATACGCGAAGCTGCATATGATTATCGCGACAGAAATATTTAGGCGCCTGCCACGACCATGAAAGGTAGCAGTGCTAGCGCAGGTAAGTGGCAGGCGGAAGATGCCCGCTTATAGTGATATCGGCTTTGTGGGGGAGCATGCACTGCGCATGCCGTGCTAAACATGGGGAGCTATCTGCAGGTACGCAACTTATCGAAGCATCCCGAGTGACATCCATACAACAACACCAAACTACAAACCAGTAATTGATAGAGGCTCTTAATCACTCTTGCAAACATGTCTGGCGCTGCAGTATGTTCTGACCCATGGGCTATTACTCATTTCTGTTTCTACCGCGGCCGATCTGCTGTGTCTAACCAACTCATAGGATCGTGAGGCCGTCTTTCCTACTCGGCAATCGCTCGGTATCATGAAGGCCAAGCTCAAGGGAGCTGAGACTGGCCATAGTTTGCTCAAAAGGAAAAGTGAGGCACTTACCAAGTAAGGGAATAATGCTATTGTGATCGCTTTTTATGCTACAAGAGCTAACTAGAGCTATCACAGACGCTTTCGAGGTTAGCCATTGTTATTTCAGCCAGCGTTTCTCTTGGACAAACTAACGTCATCGTAGAAATTACTCGACGAATTGACGAAGCGAAGCGAAAGATGGGACGTGTGATGCAGATTGCAGCATTTTCTCTTGCTGAAGTTAGCTACGCTGTTGGAGGCGATATTGGATACCAAGTTCAAGAATCCGCGAAATCGGCTCGATTCCGAATACGTACAAAGCAGGATAACGTTTCGGGTGTTCTTCTGCCGGCCTTTGAGAGTTTTCTGACAGAGGGCAACAATGACTTTGGACTCACTGGCTTAGGAAAAGGTGGACAGCAAGTCCAGCGATGCAGAGAAACCTATGCCCGCGCTGTGGAAGCTCTGGTAGAGCTAGCGAGTCTCCAGACTGCATTTGTGATATTGGATGAGGTTATCAAAGTGGTTAATCGACGAGGTTTGTCCCTCAATGGACTGACTGCTCTGTCACATTGACTAACTTGATGCAGTGAACGCAATTGAGCATGTCATTATTCCCCGAACGGAAAATACCATCAAATATATCAACTCCGAGCTGGACGAACTGGACCGTGAAGAATTTTACCGCCTGAAGAAGGTTAGAGGATCTATACATGGCTCATTCTCTCTAACGACAAATGCTGACATTGTTTCTTTATTCAGGTCGCCAATAAGAAGCAACGAGATAACGCTGCTGCTGATGCCGAGATGAAGGCGAAGAGAGAAGCCGCAGGGAATAACAATACAGCTGCTGGGGCAGATGATTCAGGCCCGGCAGATATATTGGCCGCAGAGGACGATGACGACGTGATTTTCTAAGCGCGCAAGGGCATATTTTATATTAAGGGCCCGACGATGATTTTCTTTTGCTCCTTGTAATTGTAGACTGCGAACATTGCCATAATACAGAAGTACATACCAAAACACCAAAACGATTTGCCCATTATATTAGTGGTCTCAACGTCCTATTGACGTTGGTAGGTAACCTTGATAGGCTTATCTGCTAATAGCATTCCAGCAGTATTCTCCTTCGCTGTAATAGCACCTTGTTCATTCTGGTACTCAACAAAAGCAATTCCACGTCGGCCTGGAACCAGTCTAATTTCTCGGAACCCATCAAACCGGCCGAAGATGGCGTTGAGGCCGTCAATATCATATTCGTCGGGGACATTTTGGATAAAGAGGATCTTGTTCGGCGGCAAGTATTCGTCTGGCACGACAGCTGATGCTGGGGCGCTGGTAGACTTCAAGCCTGACGGCTTCGCTGATTTGGACGGTCGAGCTTCGGCTGCGGCACCGGCAGCTCTCTTGAGCTGCCTTTGTTCGTCGGCTGCCTCAAGTGCCTTTCGTTTATCTAAGGAAGGATTAGTGCTGAGGAGACCAATTCGATTATTCCAGCTCCTCTTACCCTTTTCTGCTTGCCTATGCCGCTTGTGAGTCTCGAATTCATCCTTACTGCAGTTGGTCTCGACGGTTTTGTCGCTCTGCATCCGGGCCATGGCAACCTTCATAGGCTTGCCAAAGAGCTCGAACCCTTCAACTTCTTCGATGGCATTCTGGGCAGCGCTTGGTTGATCAAACACAATGAATGCTTGTCCCTTTGCCTTGAGGTTTCTCTTGGCCACGATGTCAATTACATTCCCAAACTCGGAGAAGATGGTCTTGAGCGCTTCCGACAGCACTTCAGGTTTCACCCGCTCTTCCAAATTTTGAACGTACACCCTACGAAAATATCAGCTTGTTGCCATGTACGACGCGTCGCGGTGCAATGACACGTACGTAGATATTGGCATATCGGACGCCATCTTGGAAGCCTGTGTTGGTGAAGAAGCCGTCAGTATGGGGAGGTCTTGGTTCGCATTAAGAGGGACAGCACTAACTTAGAACGCCAAACGCGACTTTGGATATTACGCCACTTTTCAAAGCAGCCAGCAGCAACACTCAAAAAGATGATTAAATTTTATGTGATGTATGAAAATATTCTTGAAGTTTATTTATTTTGTTTTTCGCAATTTCTTTTCACAGAAAACTCCCAAGTTACTACCTAATATCTGGGGATATATAATGCAAAGAAAATGGCTGTTCAGCCTGATGCCGCTTGTGAAAAACACGCTAACCCAAGAATGAAAATCAATGACTAAGCTTTGCCAGACCACTGGTGGTCCTCGAGTATCGATCTACTACTTCGTCTCTAAGCAGCGAGTTGTAAGAGCTATCTAAATGTATTGCTTAATCGATGTCGTGTTTAAATGGAGTGGCTATCTTGCTTTATCGAGGAATATACATTGATGAGCGACCAGTCGAATTAAGGACACCCATTTGACTGACGCTTCCTACTCTGATCAAGCCACCTAGAGCACGTCGCCTTCTAATGGGGACCCCAGACTAATAGAAGCCAGGTTGCTTGAGCAAAGGTCATTCTGTTCGGACGCAGCCAAAACAAAACAAAATACAGGCAGACATAAAGTTACTGTCTTCTTCAGTAATTGTGATTAGCTAGGGAAGCAAGCTTAATTCCAACCAATCCAAGTGCTGATTGTTATGATTCTAACAAAAGGCACGTGCCCGAGATTATCTTTGTTCAGATTGACCACAGCAGCCAGCCAGGATAAAGTTTCAACCAAGAATATCCTCTTAGGCATATCCACTATTAGTAGCCAGTTGCTAGCATAGCATATCATTGGCATTACAGTGAGATTGAGATTCTTATTCGGCTTTGCTATTTGATACGGATTAGAGTCTTCGTGAATCAACCGGACATATCTGCTGGCACAAGATGCGAGCGCTTGTTCATTGATGATTCCTATCTCTACTAGTATATCGCCACCAGCTAATCTCAAAGTCCGCCACCAAGTAAATAGCTATAGACGCTTTATGCATAGTCATCTAATATTTATCCTCTTCCTTCGTTGAGCGTTGCTGGAATTTCCTCCATCGAGGGATTCATTTAGCTGCTGTTCTTAATGTCGCAGGTGCAAGCAGCTTTATACTGCTTACACGAGTACGGCAATAACTGGCGTTTAATTCTGTACCTGTAGAGAGATGTGCAAAGATTTTCTTGCTTTGGAACATCGGGCAGGCCATTATTCAACCAGCTGATCTATAAACTCTGGCTATGTATCTGATGCTAAAATAGTGAGACCTCCAAGTATGTTGTAGGTAGCCCTGCCCAGCTACATTGTGCTGGGTCAATAGTAGTGTGGACGTAAAGCTTTTGTGATGTCAATAAGGCGACTATTGTAGTTTGTATTAATAAACAATGCAAGTATATACTGATTTGAACAGGCAAAAGCATTCCTTTACGAAAGATATCACTACTCTATCGCAGTGGAGTTCCAGGGTATGCCCGGACAGTAGTAGTATATCGTGCAAACATTTACACCATCCCAGCAACCTCAGTGTTGGAGGAAGAAAAAAAGTTATCCGCAAAATGAATATCTGTACATAAAGCAAAAATAATAGTAGTTGCGTTTGTACAAATTATGCTTTAATTGGTTGTCCTGGTGTATGTATAGCTATTCCCCTATTGTTTGGCTCCGGGGGCTGTGCAGTAAGGTCCCATCTAACTTTTACAATAGTTCTTAGCGATATAAATCGCATGGATATTTTGAGATAGGCGCACTTCGAGTCTAAAATAAATTGAAATGGAAGGTAAAGACAGCTCATTGCATGGGCCAAATTCAGTTCAAGTAGAGGCCTTTTCTACAATTCGGATAAAACATCATGTTTTCTTCCTCTCAAATGGCAATTTTCCACAGCCCGGGTGAGACGACTCTTCAAAATGCAATATTTCGCGTTAGTACTCCGTAGTAAGGTGGTAAAAGGCCCTTGTTGGCCCACGCGAAGAATCCCCAGCACAGCCATCTTTGATCTTGCTAGCTTGCAGAAGCACTGACCGCCGTAGAGTTGCATTCGTATGTCCTCGGCTAAGTGCCGAGGGCGTCAAGGGCACATGCAGATGTGATGTTTGCCTTGGCGATCGATTTTGCCTTGGCGATCGATGCTGCCGTGGCGCCCGAGAAAAAACTACTGCCTAGTACTGGGAAATCATGTTTGCGAAAAAATGCTGTCGCCGACTCGGTTCCTGTCGCAGTTCAAGACAAGGTATGGGGAAGGAATGCATCTCTCCCTCGTTTCCCGTGTCTGTCCGAGGGCTAGCATCAGGAAGAGCTGCTAACCCTGCCGAAAAGCTTAGCCATGCGGTCCTCCCCCCACACGCTCTTCCTCGTGCATCTCTGGATCATATATTGGTCTTAGTTTCAAGGGGTTTGTTTTCTGGTAGCTATTGTCCCCATTTCACTAACTGGTATGGATCGTCGGCACAGTCGGGAAATAGCAGTTGGCAGAACAAGCATGAGAACTCTGGGCTGCCAAGCACTCGGCGACTTATCACCATCAAGCATTCCCTAACTGATTAAGGATTTTGTGGCCGCGCCTTCGGACAGCCTGGCGAGTGTGGATTTGCGTTCCGACACTTCAAGAGGGCTTCTTTAGCTTGGTTGTGAGTGCTTTACGACTCAAGTACACGAATCCCAACGGGTCTCGATGCACCTACCATGGCAGTAGGTGGCCCGGAAACCTGCTTCATGTTCAAAGAGCCTATGTGCTTCCCGGGATCTATTGGGTCAGTTCAGCAAGTACATGTATTCACTTCCTATTGGGCAGAAGGCGCGAAAAAGCGTTTCCTCCTAGCCGGCGTATGGCTGACGATGAGCCTATAGCTGATAGCCTCTCAAGCAGATTCTGACGGCCAGGAGTCGTGTTCCAGGTCCTAGACATGTCTTATCGTTTCGTTCTGTGCGGCAAGGCATTTGGCTAGTCGATAAACTGTATCATCGTTTCAAGATTCTCAGTCACCAGGATCGGCAGCTATCCAGCCAGAAATTGTCGGACGATCAGCTCCCAGACGTATAGTCTTCAACGTGAGATCACACATGGTATTCTTCTACAAAGCGATAGAGGAGAACCGCCTTCCTAAGTAGGCGTCCTATCATCGCGAATTGCAACGACCAAATAAGCATCCTGTTATTGTTGTGATAACCAGCTTCTATTCATGAAGTTTATTGCTTATGGCCACTGGAATTTTGAACGGTCAACCCCTAGATGTGAAGCTTCAGATATGGCCGACCCTGAATACGAAACTTCAGCGATAGACGACCGACCAACATAAAGCCTTGAATATGGTCGACCGTGCTTCCTGTTATCTGATTAATTGATGAAATCATCATTGATTTGGAAGTTACCAATCGTCGGAATCAGGATCGGCCCTAAGTGTATGGCGTTGAGCGTGGTGTCTCACATCCCATTCTTTCGAACGGCCATGGTATTATAAAGAGAGAGAACATCCCGTGTTGCAGCTGGTATGCGTAGCCTTCGCAATGACCATTGTGATCTTCGATTGATCGCCCGTCTAGCTGGAAATCTATCTCAATTGCCCTCACTTGATCGTCAATGCCCTCTATGTATATGATATTTGGGCTCCCACTGCTGCAAAAGTCTCTCTGATGTGCTTTCTATAAGTCGCAGCCCGGCGATAGGACATTATAAGCGACTCCTGACCAATTGTTGAACACAATTGGGTTCGGGATAAAAGCTGATTCTTTTCGGCCAAGAAACATTTGACTTGAGATGGACTCTCTCCATTCCCTCTCAGGACTCTCAGTCTTACTTGAGAGCTTATACTCCTTGCCGATACCTGAAATCGCCACCAGCGGAGAGTTTCAAACCCTTCTATGTTCAGGTATTGACAAGAAACGGATTTTGGAGGCAATCCCAGACACGCCACATCCTTCCTCCCGACCGCTGGCGTTACTTCGTGTACTATTGACCGAGTTACCGGGACTCTGGCCGACGTTCCCCCTCGTCAAGTGCTTCACAAGACTGTATCACTTGATGCCAGAAGATGCCAGGTCTCATCAAGATGAGAGATTGGCACAAATAATCCACGACACTTCGGAAATGGTCAAAAAATCGTATGGGTCGTTTGCGTCTTTTATTTCTTACGACTCACGGCCAGCTCTGAGATCATCAACGCCAGGAAGCTATATAACCCACAAGGGCTTACGAAGATTCGTTGATAACTTTCGACTTCCATCTGGAAACTTTGCTCGGAAGCCGATTGTCGCAATAGCTTTACCCAATGGCCCGTTGCTTGCTGCGACCTGTATCGCGGTTACAACATACTATACCTCTGCGCCAATCAACCCTGCTGCTGGCGCTGAGCAATTTCGTGCAGATGTGCAACAAGCCGGTGCTCTGTTCATACTGACTACGAGAGACGACTATGAAAGACTGGAACTCGGGGATCCCTGGGTCGCCTCAGCAGGCATCCAGGTCTTCGTGGTGAAGTGGGATGATGGCGACGAGATTGAAATTCAAGACCTCAACGGCACTGCTGTTTCACAGAGCCAGAGCCTTCCTTACAATGGACCAGATGATTTAGGATTGATACTCTTTACAAGCGGCACGTCTGGCACAAAAAAGGTTGTTCCCATGACAATGCATTCTATTGTCTCTGGTATTTCCTTTGTAGTAGACTCCTGGGGCCTGACTGCTTCGGATATATGTCTCAATATGATGCCATTATATCATGTGTAAGTGCAAACCATGGAGCGTCTGTGGGAAATAATCTCGGCTAACACCTATGGTAGTGGAGGATTGGTTAGAAACATCTTTGCTCCCATCTTCGCAGGCGGATCAACAGTATGCTGCCCAGCATTTGATCCTAGTTTATTCTGGGATGTAGTTCAAGAAACTCCCGTTACGTGGTATTACGCGTCTCCGTCAATGCATTCCGTTATCTTGGCTGCTGCTTCGGATCGCAAGACGGTCTTAGAGCAGAGCTGTATTAGATTGGCATGCAATGCTGCAGGAGGTCTCCTGCCGTCGTTGGCGTGTAAACTTCGAGATACATTCAAATGCGTGGTACTTCCAAGCTATGGGATGACCGAGTAAGAGATATGATGTCAAACTATACTTGTAAATCATACTGACGCATATTACTAGATGTATGCCAATATCAACGCCGCCACTTAATTACCAATTAGACAGAGAAGGCACATCCGGCATCAGTGTAGGACCAGAACTTTCTATACTGAATTGGTCAGATTTTCCGGTATCAGTTGGCGATGTTGGGAGGATATGTGTGCGCGGGGAGCCTGTATTTCCTGGCTACCTCAATCCTGACGGAACTCTGGATAAGTCGCCATTCAACTCAAACGGCTGGTTTGACACGGGCGATCTTGGCTACATGGATAAAGATGGCTACCTTTATATCACTGGAAGAAGCAAGGAAGTGATCAATCGCGGTGGTGAGCTCATCTCACCGTTCGAGGTGGAAAATGCCATCATGCGCTTATCTATGTCCCAAGAGTCGCCGCTCCATGGACGTATTCTCCAAACTCTTGCCTTCTCCGTGCCTCACGACGTGCTGCAAGAAGTGGTTGCGGTGGTGCTGGTAACCCCTGCAAATACTCCTCGCGTGGATCTGAAAACATTACAGACCGCTTTACGTTCATCATTGCAGCAAGCCAAATGGCCAGTTCTCATCACATACATGAACGATGTTCCAAAGAAGAACAATAAAGTCTTGAGGATCAAATTGGGCCAGAGATGCGGGATACCAGAGTTGACAGATGATACATCTTATATGAAGAGGCACTGGGAGGCTACGTGTCCCCCTCCAGATACTGACCTCTCAGTTCCAATTAGCTCCTTCCAATGTGCTGTTGACTACAGTGCCTTGTCTGCTAGTTTGGATGATACCATACCTGGTAATTTCAGACACTACTGCAGACAAAATACCACCAGAGGAACACTGCAAGCTTTTATAAGCCCAATTGAAGAGAAATCAAGGGCATTGAATCAACAGCCAGATGCCTTAAAAGCACAGCTATCCAACATCATTCACGGATACTTGGTGCCTGAACAGGTATACCTGCTGTCAGATCCTGTGCCACTTGATTCTTCTGGCGCCGTCGATAATGACAAACTCGACCAGTTACTTGCCGAAATGGGGAATGCTTCTTTGCAGGAGCTTGACGCGTCCACTGACGGAAAAATCAGAAAGATTTTTGCCAATGTTCTTTCTCGGGACCCAAGGGACATAGCACTTGACGTCGATTTCTTCACTCTAGGTGGAGATTCTCTAAAAGCAGGGCGTCTGGTATCGGCCTTACGGTCTACATTTGCTATCCAGATTCCCATCCAGCTTGTTTTCAACCAAGGGACAGTTTCTGCTATTGCTACATTTGTCGACAAAACAATAGAGCTCCAACCGGCTGATACAATCACCGATAACAAAGTTGGCTGCTCCAAGACTTACAGCTCGACAAATCCTATCGTGATGCTTCTTCAGCTGATTCCGCTCACTGTTATCTATCCTCTACGTCGCGCGGTTCAATGGACCGCTTTCATTGTTGCCTTGGGCTACGTTCAAGGATGGCCAACGAACCATCATACGCTGGGCCGGCTGTTTAATGTGGTGGTTTCAGTTCTATTTTCAAAATTTGTAATTCGAATTGTCAGTCCATTCTTTGGCATCGCCGCCAAATGGCTGATCATTGGTCGCTATCGCGAAGGGCTTTATCCCATGTGGGGGACATACCACACGCGCTGGTGGATGGTTCAGAAGATTGTCAGTATCTGTGGAAAAGGGTTTTTCAATATGAATGGAAGCATGAAGATTATGTACTACCGCCTGATGGGGGCCAAGATTGGCAAGAATGTTGAGATCACTGGCACCTCAGTTGGCGAGTGGGATCTCCTTGATATCCGAGATGGGGCAACCCTTTCACGGTGCATGTGCCGCCCGTTTGCCGTGGAGGGCAATACGTCCATGTACCTGGGTCGTATTGTTGTTGGAGAGAATGCGTCTGTTGGTGCAGCATCAATCATAGCGCCCGGTGCGGTTGTCCCCGCCAATGCTTGCATTGGACCGAATTCGTCGAGCTGGGAGCTTGATGATGCTGACGAGGAGAACCGGGCACTTTCTCCTAGCCTGGCGCAAAAGCCGTATTTGCTTCTCACTTGCCTATTCACGGTACCGCTGGTTTTCTTCGTATGGATCTTATCGCTGCTCCCTTGGCTGGGTGGCATCCTCGGCATGGTGACAGCGATGCCTACTCCCGATATCTCGCCGGTGAGAAGTGTTGTTGACTGGTTCTCGACACCCAAACGGGTGGGATACCACTCCCTTGCGTTAGTACTGCGAAGTGTTCTCAGTCCGTACATCTTCTTTACTTTCGCCTTGCTCGTGAAATCACTGCTGGATGCTGTATTTGGGAAGATGACTTTTGCCTCTGCAAGAGACCGAGGAGCGATTACTACGTGGCGAGCGGCTTTGCTAAAGACCTTGTTGCCAGTTTCGCGCCTGCACGACATGACGGTGATGTTTGGCCAGCACTACGAAGCAACATCTATAGCTTTACGCTTACTGGGTGGTCGAATTGGTAAGCGAATCTACTGGCCAGGCACGGGCCCCAGTATTGGTGATTATCATCTGATAGACATTGGAAATGATGTCGTATTTGGATCTCGCTCTCACTTCATCACCTCGGATGGCACCGGCTCCGAAAAGATCACGGTTGAAGACCATGCTATGATTGCAGATCGAGTATGTCTACTGCCGGGTGTGACGATTGGCAGTCAAGCAACCATGGGCTCTGGCTCGCTGACGCGCCGGGGAGCATCTTATGCGTCTGGTGGTACCTTCGTGGGCGCAAAAGGCCGCGACTGTGTTCATCTCTCAGGTGGCCAGAGCACGGCAGTAGATGAAAAGAAATTACATCGTGTCCGCGTGCGACATATACGCAGTGACGACACACTCACAGGCAACACGATGGATTTAGATCTGAAGGAGGGTAGCATGCAAGTTCGAATTCCCCATTCGAGCAGTGATGATACGCTCGCCGAATTACGCACTTCACAAACGAAGCGAGGCGAAATAAAAAAGGGGGGCTTTACGACTTCTGAGAGTGAAAAAGATGACAGTGGATCAGAAACGACGGAGACAGACGACTTGTCTCCATTTGGGCGTGCATTTTATCTCAAACGTGCGCCTTACCACGTCCTAGGGCAATTTGCCATCTTCTGCTATTCTTCATTCATCGTCATTTTCACTACCTTTTACTGGAATGCGCCAGTCGTCACATGCGCACAAGTGGTTGACCATCTTATGGATCGGTTTGTTCGACGTGAGGTAAGCTATACCTTCAATGTTGGCGTGCTATTGCTCTTGTCTTGGGCAAGCATGGCTGTCATATTTACGTTGTTGGCCATTTTGGCGCTCTTCATCGTCATTGCGAGTAAATGGATTCTATTAGGCCGCCGCACGCCTGGCAACTATGACTGGGATAAATCGTCTTATTGCCAACGGTGGCAGATTTTCCTCAGCATCGAGAGGCTTCGGCGGCGCTGCTTTCATAGCCAAGGTATTATTGGGCTCTTAACAGGGACCAACTGGATCGTTTTGTACTTCCGAGCACTGGGAGCTGAGATTGGCAAAGACTGCGCCCTCTTTGCCAATGGCAACCCCAGTTTGATATTCACAGAGCCTGACTTGATCAAGCTAGGAGACAGAGTGGCTATTGACGATGCTAGTGTGGTGGCTCACATCAACACTCGGGGCAAGTTTGATCTGAACAGACTGCACATTGGGGACAGGTGTGTGATGCGTTCAGGAAGTAGACTGCTGAGTGGTGCCACGATGAAGAATGATAGCTGTCTTTTAGAACATACGCTCATCATGGGTGGCGATGTGGTGGAAGAAAATTGGACAATGCAGGGATGGCCTGCAGAGAGATATACCGGGAAGAGAGCAGCGGTTGAGCAGCGAGCATCGAAGTGAATCGATGGACAGATTATGATTGCGCTTAGTATCTTGCTCGCATGTGGTAGACACAATAAGTAGAGCGATCAGCGAAAAGGGGGCTAGTTTTGTGTTTCATTGGAATCTCAGTGAGTTGACGCTTGTTTGGTACCAAATTCTTTAGTTAGATGGATAATGACAAAGTGATGATTGGTATTGCTCTTATTGCGGAAAATTAGGTCTCTTTCCTGTTTCCAAAAGCATCAGTATCCACACTCACAATATGTTGACCGTCTAGCCCATATATAGATGACATTGATGCTTAGTTTGAGCATCTTGCGAATCTTTTATATACATGCATTATACTCATTATCATTATCATCATCATTATTATTATTCAAGATATGTACCTTAGTTTTGAGTGCTGCCGATAGCTTCGCTTAAAGACGCCGAAATCAACCCATGTGTGCCCCTGCTCGCCTGTACCGCCCTTGAAACTAGTGATTGGTGATTGCATGAAGCAGGCGAGGGTAGCTGGCCCTTGAACCAGAGATTTGTAACTTCATCTCTGTTGGGCAGATATGCCACACAGCAGGCTGCCAGAATAGATTCATGCTCCAGCGCCACAGGATCCAGCACAATTGAGGCATCTTTGCCATCCTTGCTCGCCACCAGGGCAGCCACTCCTCCAGAAACGGTGTCCACGCAGTCAATGCCTGCATCGGCAATGGCCGCAGAGGCAACAGTGATGCATCCGCCTAGAACGTTCATCACATCCCATTCCTCGACTCGCCGCTCCACCGCGTCTTGCCGAGTTGATTCCCCTTCGATAATTGTGACGACGACGTCGACGCCACTCTTGGGCCACCGGTCAGCAATCAGAGCTCCGCGAAGGGCCGTTTCTAGGTGTGTGCTGAGGTCCTTTTCGCTCGAGTCACGAAGATAGCCTCTACGCTGTTTCGTGGCAAATGGAGCGAACTTGACATGAGTTGAGAGCACCATGTAAGGAGAGAAGGGAGCAGAGCGTGGAAGCGACCTGGGTCCATGGACGGTACACGTCAATTTCATGCCCGAGCCATGTTCCCCTTCTCGAGGCTCAATCTCCAGATAGGCGGAGCCAGATGCTGAGGGAGTCACCCCTGTCTTGAGGTCTAGCAGAAAATGAAGTCTTAGTCTCAAAACTCTCGTGATAGCTCATCGCTGTATATGGTTGGGATGGGTTATCTCACAGAGAGGCCGGATGGCATCAGGTGCTCGCTGGCGGCGCAAAGCCGCATCTAATTCGCCATCGTCATAAACTGGAGGTAAAGTAGAGCTCCCGGGCCCATTTACTCGTCTTCGATCCGCCATGATATCTTATTCTCTGGCTGTGCAGCACCAGCAGCTCGAAGAACTTTTTTTCTCTTTGAGTGAGTCTCAGAAGCTGGACCCACTATGTTTTCTTCGTTTCAGCGAGACGAAGCACTGCGTTTTCCCCGATAGGGCATAAATCAGGTACGTACCTCCCTGGCAGAAGCTCTAGAGCTAGAGAGGCGCTATTCACCTAAGCGTGCGGATCTAGTCGCATATTTGCATATCGATACGGCAGAGGTCCGCTACTACAAAATCTTCGTGAAATTTTTCTTTGCTTTGCTTCACTCTTCTTCACTTGGTAAACAAAACACTTTCGCCACGCAATGTCATGGCTTGTGTCAAAAATGCATCAATGAATGCTGGGGCTGCTGCCATCCACCAGGATAAGCGAGATATACGGCCCCAGCCGCAGCTGAAAAGGTAAGCAATGCAGTATTTGCCTCACCATTCGAAGGCGTTTTGCCAACTTCGCATCACCAACCTCCAAACATCTTCATGATGATTTCTCACACTCTGTTCCCGCGAATCCTGAGCGCAGAACAAAACATGCATCACCATCTGACCTAAGCCTTCTCACACTGGCTATGCTGTATCTATGAAAACGTCAGTCAACTAACGCTGATGCTTTAGGAGATATACTACCTGCTGCTGCTATTGGTAAGAAGTTCGGTATATACCTATGCTGTGATATAATATGGTAAGCACTACAATTTCTTTTTTTCGTTATTGCTTTTCTCAAGAACCCTCCGACTTTATGATGAAAAACCTTTTTTCCAGTTCTGCTACTGAACATTATTGATGACTCCTAAATTACCATACCAAGATCTCTGATGTCGGTTTCTATTACTATTGTTAATGTTTATTTCACCGCGCTACATTTCAAGCCGCTAACAATTTGTTCTAAAGTCTAGTACTGTACTTTGTCCATTGTCATACCTTTCCCACTCCATATCATCCACAATGAAATCTCGAAATGGTAAGTGATAATGTTTTTTTCTTTTTATCTCGACACCATCTCGCGGCCTGTATGATGAAAATTAAGTTCTATCCATTCAACAATCGCCTCTAAGCCAAGTCGTGCTTCTTTCTGGCACATGTTTACGCATGTTGCTAGGGATGGAGATTTCGGCTCCAGTGTTTTGTTTGTGGAGGGCTCGTTTTGAGTTCTTTGCAAGCAGGGCCGGCTGGACGCATGAGTCAAATCGGCTTATCTGATAGGCCACGCTCGACACTGTTTGCGTATACAACTAAGAGCCCTGGGAGTAGCGCTAACGTCTAAAAGATGTTGTAGGTATGCTGTGTAAACAACTGTTGGCAGTTTCAGAATGTCTAGAACACAGAGATTCCGACTGTGTTTCAGCGTAAATAAGTAGACTGTAGAGATGTAGCCCCTTTGATTGACGAGTGGTTTTGCACCTTGGTTCAAATAGCTGGCTCTGATGTGACTGGGTGATCTTGATCAACCTAGATCAGAAGGCGTCTATTTCGATCCAGGTCATCTATCAAGACCAATGCTATCCAAGATACTGCATACCCCGTAGAGAGGGCATACCCGATATACTGAAACCTTAACCTTATGGCCTGTTGGTCGGCCCGATCAAGTGATTTACTCGATGTACGCTCTGAAAATGCGCTATTCACAGTGGTGCGAAAAAAAAAAAAAAAACAGTCTGATATCGTATGTGCACTGTACTGCGCTCACTTCCAAGGCGCCACCGTATCATGCGCCTACTGTACAACGCTGGTACCTGACCAGGCATGCTTTTAGCACGCTGCTTGCCTTGGCTAGTAACAACTGCCCAGCCTACATGTAAACTGCATGCTTTCTCAGCACAGTCCGAGTTGACAGTTGAAAAGGAATTAGGAAAAGTCGCAATACAGCCGTTACTCACAATTTCGTTCATCCCAGTAAATTATCAAAGGCTCTTACCATGCATGAATCTCTGCTTGGCGATACAAACCGTGAAAGGCTGCGTGCAATCCAAGCTGGTTTGTTTTGGGATATCTTGATGTGTTCGGGGAAACATCACTAAGCCAATTTTCAGCAGAAACGTCACAGAAGAAGGACCTGAATTTACAAGCTATTTCATCCACGTTACGTGATGCAGCTACTCCAGAGGTGAGCTCTCAATCCATCATTGCTGGACATGGCTTTGTCTCACCTTCCGCTGTCTCTCATCCACAGGCACTTCATCCTATATGCCTAGAGCTGTTCCATCATGTCGATGCCCTCTTAGCTACTCACACAAACGGCCAAGAAGACCAGCAATCTTCATCAACGCAGGCCTCTAGTCTAGCTCCCAACAGAGAATCTTTGCATGTACGAAGCCTCGTTGACTTGGTGGCCCAAAAACTGTTACAATTCCCCAGTCTTAGCAATGATGCCGCTGTTAAAGGTAAAGACTCCCGACGCTGGTTAAACAAATCACACTGACCGAGCTATATTCCTATAAAATGACTTAGATTCCGATTATGCTACCCATTCTCTGGTCGCCGAAGCTGGACTGGCCCTGCTCGTTATCATCTCGCTTTTCTGCGCCTCGCCTTCTGAGCCTTTTCTCCTCGACGACGCAGTTTTGATAAGCGTTGTTACGTACACAGACGAAGACGATGCCTGGACAACGAAAGAATCATCCCACCTTGCGGCTCGCCTGCTGAAAGCCAATCTGGCTGATGATAGATTGGATACGTTCATTACACAACGCTTAATCCAAGACACGCTTCGGCCGCTATTTTCTAAATCGTCTACCCGGTTAACTGCCTCTGGGAGGCCATCTCAACTTGCTCAACAGCCTGCAAGCACACAAGCCAGGACATCTCTAGACTCTGTTTCACAGGAACGCGAAAAACTTCAAGCTGCTTCAAGCTTTAAATGGGCAGTCATGTCGTGCAGTGTAGGTCACTCATAGGCCAGGACGTCCAAACAAACACAAGTGCTAACTCGTGCTAAGCAAGCTACAATGGGCCGCCACTGGCCCCTGTTTCTTCCAATTTTACTCTCACTAGCCGAAGATCACAACACAGCAGTCAGGATAAAAGGCTTGCAGATTCTTGGTTTATTTCTAGATACATGTCCGGCAAACGTAATACTGTCCGCTGGCGTTGACAACGTAATCCAGGACGCCGTTTTCCCTACGCTGCTCTTCTTACCCTCCACAACACCTGAGAGCGAGTCTATAGAGCTCTTGTATCCGGCATATCGAGTCCTCCTTCGGATAGCCCAGCTGGATCCTGACTCAAAGAGTTTGCGAAGGCGACGTTTTCTTGACAAGCTCTTGAGAGATGGCGTCTTCGTAGGCCATTTTCATGCCTCGGAGTATCCTCGAATCGTTGAAGTTCTCATGAAAATTACAAAAGATATCGTCTCCTGCTTGGGCTTCTTCTCAGCGAAGCATCTCCAGGTGAATAACAGAAGACTTGATAGAATCTCTCTGTGTTATGTGCTAATAACCTTCGGGCAGAACCTTCTTCGTCTGTTTGCCTCTACGCTATCGGATCCCTTTGTTATGGGCTACCCACCACTGGTCTATTCCACCACAGAAGCCTTGAATGCAACCTTGGTGAACTGCTGGCCAAGATTTTCGTCTCCTGGGTATATCGACCAAGTAATCCATACGATTTCTTTGTGCTGGCTCAACCTTAAATCTTCACAGCTGCCAGCCGAAGATGTGGATCAAATTTCGGCACACCTAACCCGTACATCGACGATCTTGCACTCTCTTTGGAGCCGAGAAGGATCTGGGCCTATTGAAGGGCTGACTGCTGCGGTACAAAAAGAGCCACGACTAGCCGAGTTATTTCCTAGTATACTGACATAACTGAAATATGCAAATACTTGTGCCTTCTCCCGAGAGCCACATGACGTTCAGTCGAGAGGCTGCTGCTTGAAGAAAGATTTACCTCGGAGCCACTTCCCGTAGGCTTTATACCTCTTCTTAGGCGCATCCTCTTCGGTGACGGTCAAAGGATTCTCTACTACCTTGACCAACTCTGAGTATACATCTACATCTGCATCTTCGTCGACCCCTGACACCATTAGGCCTTGATTCAGCCAAGTTCCGTCAACATACTCCTGATACTCCGACGAGTCGATGTCTATAGGAGTGTCGCTAGATACAACAAGTGGAAGATTTTGAGGATGACGAATGTATCGTTCATAATCATCTGCCTCCTGATCCTTTACGACCGGGTTTAGTGCGTCATGCACCGCCTTGGTAAATGTCCACTGTGTTGTTTTAGATTTTTCAAGGTCCGATGATTTCTCTTTCAGATTCAAAGTATCTGCCGACATGGAAGCTTTGGGTGAAATCATGGCGTCGTGACCATCGTAGATGCCCCAGCGTTCGCCGCCCTGCGATGGCCGCAGCCAGAGATTTCGAGATCCATCCCTTCCAGTTATTGTGTCGGAGAAAGTAACCGAAGCTCGATCTCCCGTGTCTAGCTGTCGGTAGATTTGCGTCGAGGCCAGAGATGTGGTTGGCGATGTCGGTTCTTTTTTCATTTTCCTCTTGTCCGGATCGACATCACCATCGGTTCGGACTCGGAAAGGGCTCAAATCGTATCTACCATCCTGGGTTGCCTTCAAAGGTATATATTTAATGGTAGAATTCATCTTGTACGCAAACATCTTGGGGAAAGAAGATAGGGTGGCAGGCCGATAATATTCCAGCCAATAATCGTCGAAAGATTCTGCGTTCTTGCAGCGGCCAAGGGCCGTTGGTGCTACAAAAGGCGGTATCTTCCGTTCTTCGAGATATGCTGGTGTAAACCAGTTGATGTAATTAGGCCTTCCCTTGTCGGTCCATTCTCTAGGACTGGCGTGGTGAAGGTAGTAGTCTGTTGGGAGATCCCAGAGCATGGGTTGGCCTTGTGCGAAAATGTAGTTGCCTAGGAAGAGATTATATGCCTCCTGTCTCTGGCTGTCAAGAAAAGAGTTATTGTAGTACCGTTTGAAGCTTTCTATCATATCCCGAGAGTGACTGGTCCATTGATTGATTTTTCGATATGTCTCCATGGTATTGACAAGCTGAGAACCGCCGTATTGCACCGCAATTGTGTCTCCATGATCATGCCACATATGAGTGAAGAGATTCACGGCATCGGTATCGTACTCGACAGATGTGTTTTCAAGTATACCTAGAGCGTGAAGTTGATGGCCCAACGCACGTTTGCCGATGACGAACTGCGCGGCATTGGTACGATCTAAGCAGTCGATGCAATTTGTTCGGGCAATGCCGTTTTGAGCCGTCATACGGCTTGTGAGCCCATCGCCATTTTGGAAGAAGCCTGTTGTCTTCAGGACCGATTCGGCGATTGTCTCTAGATTCCCAATCACATCCCCACCTCGGATTTTCGAGGCACGGCTCATGTCCCACGCCTTGTGAATGATCTTTTTGTCGTCTGGCAGAAATTGGTTGAGGTAGTCTATGGCATGCGTGTACTCTGCTAGCAGCTTTGACTCTCTAGGTTGCCGTTCTTTGGACTTGACAAGGTTGAGCACATATATAGGCGCGCCATACCGCTCGAACAGATTATCAAAATGAAGCGCGGCGGCGCTATAGAATGGGTCTACCAGATTGAGCTCAATGGGTGGCTTTGGAGTTACGCCGGTGTTGTCTTGGGTCCAATAGAGGGGAATGCTTCCTCGGTGCTGGACGTAAGAAGTATACTGAGGGCTGCAGTAGGGTCTCGGACCTGGAGCATGGAAAGACGTTGTCAAGGATTCAGCAACGATTTGCTCCGTTTCAACGTCATTGGCAACGTATCCCTATTCTTGAGTGAGAAGATTGTAACAATATTGCGATTTACGGCAGCTTACCAAATCATTTGCGCCCCGTTTTAGAAAGCGGGCGCCAGCAAAATATCGTGACCGCCTGGCAATCACGGTTATATGTGCAGTTCGACCATATATTGAAAGCGCTGTGCTGTGTTAGTCAGTGGCTCGTGCCTGTCTGAGACTTGTAAACGACTTGCCTGCTTGATCTATGTATCCATGTATGATAGGACGGCACCAGTCATAAGGGTCTTGAAGGGCGTCGACTGCTGGCTGTAATAAGTAGCTGTTCCAGACAAACATTGAATTGAGATCCTCGTTTGGCCAAGGTATGGTGCCGTTTGCGAGTGATTTTCTCTCCCTGGTAATGTTATGCTGGAGGGTTCGAGTAATGTCGTATGAGTAGCTGTAGTAGAATGACTTGGTCAGGTCAAGCGTGTTCAATATTGTCAGGTAGCGCTGTTCTTCCGGCTTGTTGCGAGCGTCGACCTTGGACCGTCCGGGCGTCAAAGGTACCAGCTCAGTTCCCTCAACCTGGTGGATATAGTGGCCACCGATCATGGCAACAGTGCTCTTCTTGGTGATGAGAAGCATGTAGTAGGGACCGGTAAACTTGATAAAGCCCAGCAAGCCCCAGGTGGTGCAGCGGAGCTTGATGCCTCCAGTCCCACGATTTCCGTCATCGATGGTGTCGAGCAGCTGATTCACTTCCCTGAGGCTGTAGATGATTTTGTCGTCGGTGACATTCAGCTCGGCCCCCTCTGTGGTTCTATCAATCTTCAAGATCCTGTAGCGCTTCTCGCTCACATCCACTCCAACCATGTAGTAGCGGCTGACTGTTTCGTAGAGACTGAACTTGTGCATCTTATAGAACGACCGCCCATCGTCCCGGCTGCTCTCAACATCGACATCCTCATCTTCATCCGCAGGGTTGGAGGCACCCTGCGCGCGAGCCGCCGAATCTGGGCTTGACATGCGGGCAAAGGGCTTTGCTACAGCTGGCTCATCATTGTCCTCCTCTGGATCTCGACCCCCCCATCCGTTGGCAGCTTTTGGGGTAGCAATAGCGGGGGCCTCAATGTTCTGCAGCAGGAGAAACGCCGGAGCATCGCTCTCTGGCGTTACTGGCTTGGGTGATTTGCCGCTATGGTCTGTGGTATCCTGATCCATGAGAGCCTGAAGGGAGAGGCTCGCATCTGTCAGAAGATGGCTGAAGGTATAAGGCGGCGGACGTGTATAGACCGCTGGTATGGTATGCTGCTGGTAGTGAACCGCCTCGCGCAGCGCTCTTAAGAGTATTGACACTGGCCACTCGTTGAGCCCTGATCCCAGAGAAGGATCTCAAAGATAGAGAGAGAGAAAAAGACAAAATCCGAGTTGGAATCACTCAAGACGGCAGTTCCGTCATTACTTGGTTCCCAAGTGTTGCACTGCTTGCCACAGCGATGGCTTGCTACGATAAGTGCTGTAGCGAGATCGGGGTACTCTGTGGCTTGGTGGACAATGCCGCTAGTGCGACTACGATAGCGCTCCATACCTAGTATCATTCTGCTATAGGATGCGGGAGCGTCTATATCAACGCAGCTGACAGCTTATTCATGTTGCGTTTATGAGGAAGAAACGTGGTTTGTTGGTGATGAATGCTGGCTTACTTTTCTTATTCTGTGCTTATTGCTATTTATATTCCAAAGTCTTTGATTGACCATATGAAAAGTAGCAGTACTCGCATGTTATTGCGCTGGGCTGGGCACTTGCACGAACTAAGGCATGATGTCGACACAGGGATCGTACTCGTACCTCTCCACGTCCGCACTAGACTAAAGTACTACTCTAGGCCTTATGTAGTACCTTATCCTATGCTAGAGGCACAGCAGTACGTACTCGATGCGTTGCGGATGCAAGGCGCTCTCCCATGTTTACAAGATCTATCTTAGGCACGCAAGTAGCATGTGGTAGTGCTCTCATGACCTCCACTGCGGAGTTTCCAATGCCAAGGGAGCCATTTCACGTCTGCAGTAGCGCCAAGGTACTGAGATCCCCCACTATAATCTAAAGCACTCAGCGTTCTGCTGAGACGTGATTGTTCCACGACCTCGCTCCAGAGGCACTTCAACCGAACCCACGCCTGCGACAGCCCTGCCTGCGACTCCATCGCTCCTGGTCTCTTCCGACACCCTCTGGGACTCTCCAAGCGCGCTGCCTTCGTGTGCCTCGGCCGATCGGACCTCCCCTCCGGCGCGGCCATCGCTTGACTGGCCTCGGCCATGCAGGATGGCATCGGAATAGCGCCGCCTCTGGCAGCGACACAGCAAGCTGGCGATTTCGACCTGACGACGACGAATGCCTGGTACAACCTCACGGCCCTCGCCCGCGCAGTCAACGTGACGCGGTATGCACCTCTGATCGAGGGCTTCGTCAAGGCTGGCCCGCGCATTGTGATGAAGCTGGGCTCCTTCATGGCAGCTCCCAATGCCCTTGGCCTTCCGGCCCAAAACGCCATGTCGTCTGCCATGCCCGAACCGGGGATTCTCGCTCCCGCCGCCACCGGCTCGAGTCTCTATAGCAATGTCGTCGATGCCGCAGCAGCTCCCAGCGCCCAGGCGGGCTCGGCAACGCAGCCGCCGCTCTTGTCTCTGGACGGAGTTCGGGGCTTGGGCAGCGTCTTCAACTACGCCACCAGCAAATGGGCCCTCTCCTGCATTGCCATGGCCGTTATCCTTAACCGGACTCATATCTTTGCTGCTACCCGCCGGAGATTACGACTCCGCTGGCAAGTGAGGCTGCTGGTGCGACTTGTTCCCTTCATGTTGTTGGTCTTCCAAGCCCGCCACCTTCTGCAGTCTATCCAATGTCAGACTTCGCCCGATTTTGCGATGCTGAGATGGGGCGATGCCAACAAGAGCTCTGATCTCATGTCTGCTCATACGAATCCCTTTTTGAATACCATAAGCTCGTCGCTGCTTTTCGGAGCCTCGGATGAACAGTCTTGCGTTTCTGTGAAAATGGTACCGCCGCAAGATGCTGACGTCGTTGGAGAGCTCCAAGGCTCTCTATCTCGGCTGTGGCCCTTGTTTACCTCTTTGTGTCTGAGCCAATTCCTTGAAACGATTTCCTGCGCTGTACAGGGACGTCCCGTTGCCGCCGAGACGGGCATGACGCTGTTTGAACAGTCACTGGCCTTTGCTGAAGCGGATGCTGCCGTTAATAGCCAGCTTGGTTGGGGCGCGTTTTCTAAATACCAAAACCTGCCTCCTATACCAACCAGCCAAGGCAACACTATTACCTTGACACGATCGGCAATTCTCAGGCGTATTAACACGTCACCTGAAGTCTTATGGATCGCCCTCCTATCCTCGATGACACACATTACAAGCCATGTCCTGGGCGTGTTCGACCTTCAAGCCAAGTATCGGCTTGTGAATACGGGATTCTGGGGCTTGTGCTTTATGGGTAGCCTCGTATGGAGCTTTTTCACTTTTGAGCCTGATAACATTGCATCTCAAGGATTCTTCAGATTTCCTACTGTTTGCATCATTGGATTCGTTCCCCACGTGTTGATTCTAGTTGGCATCGTCATGTGTCTATTCATATACGGATTGGCACTGCTACTTACAGCCGCGATGCCAACAACCAGCCAAGAACAACCCAGGATGAACTTTCGCCAGCGACTGCTTTACGCACATGAAAACATGCAAGCCAATGTCTCACTATCGGAGCTTCGCATTACGCGAGAGATGGACTTCTACACTGCACTGCTAAGGACAGGATTCGCTGCTATTACTATGGCCAGTGAAGCTGTTTATCTCAACGAAGATCGTGGTGTTAGTCTCAAGCATCAGACTTGGCTCGAAGAGGCCCGTTACAGAGAAGCGGAGGAGTTGCGCAGGCAATGGATAAGTATGGGCCTCTCTGACCCGCGTTATGACCAAATTGGCACCGTCGGACTAATACCTGTTAAAAATGGTCCTCTTCTGCCCCCTAATGGTTATAGCCGAGAGCGTGCTGCACAAAAGGTTCCCCGTGGCCGTGGCGATAAGGTGCTCAGAGTCGGTATTGGTGCTTCCGAGAGGAGTTCGAGATGGTTCCTCGCCTTGGAGTTTCTCATCAGCATTAACAAGCTCCTGGCAAGAGTTTTCGCTCTATCCCTTCTGTGGATTCTTGGTGTATGCCGTATTCAGTCTCGGCCTGCATGGTTGCTCTGGCTGGCGCGCCGTTCGAAGACGCCGGAGAATGAAAATGCATCGAGACCAAGCCGTGGCCCCGGCGGAAGCAGAGATGCGACGGCGAAGCCTTTGGATGGAGATGCGACTCTTAGAACGGACGCTTTAGATATCGAGGCTGAATTTAGACGAGTTGGTACAAGCCAAGATGAAGAGACCCTGGATAAGGATCTATATAAATACTGGCTCAAAGGAGGATGGTGGGGATCTCAGGATATGAGCGGAACATATCAGCCTCGTGAAGAAGAGGAAGAATGGGACAATACGAGCGTAATCACCATGACCACCAATGGAGGCGACAGCGATGATGAAGCAGGCGGCTGGATGTCAGACGAGGGTAGCGGACAGAGAACACCAACTCAGCAATCGCCACGACCTGGGCGTGAAGGGACTCCTTTTGTGGATAGTCCACTAGCAATGGGTGATTTAGCCCGCCTTTTGCATCCTACCAGTCTGGAAGAGCGGCAAGAAGCAGAAAGACTTGCAGCGCATCTCCAAAGCGATCGTATCTTGACCAGATCTGGCTTTAGACGAATGGAGCAGCTGCAACGGACGCGAATTCTGACAATGCAGACCCCAAAAGGGAAACAGCTGAACAAGCTCGGTCCTCAGGGCCGTCTCACAAAGCTTAGTCCGGACGAGGAAGAGCTTCTACTGGAACAGTTGATCTGGACGAAACGACAAGCCTCTCCAGGGAAAGATGGCCAGCAAAGCTCTGAGGCAGGCGAAACGCCGACGCTTTCTGAGGGAGAGAGCCCCTCCTGCGTTGTATGCCAGTGCTCACCACGTACTGTTATCGTGTGGCCGTGCCGCTGTCTCAGCTTGTGTGATGACTGCCGTGTTTCCCTAGCTATGAACAACTTTGACAAATGTGTGTGCTGTCGCCGCGATGTCATGAGCTTCAGTCGGATCTACGTTCCCTAGAGTATGCTACATGGCAACCTCCGAGGCTTAATGCGGCATAACAGCTTAGGAAGCTGATAATTGCTTGTTTTTTCTATACTTAAATTCATACCTGGGAGTTGGGGCGGGCAGCTTGATTGCTTTATCTTTGGCTTGGGAGTTTATCCTTTTATTTTTCTTCTTCTTCTTCTTCTTCTAGACTGACGTCGTATTATATATATATAATGCACCCTTTCTTTCAACAGCGGAATTCGTGTTTATAGTATCAATTAACATTAACATGTTACATGCCAGCCCACTCTATGCTGAATGTTCTCACAGGAGATGTGACCATATCAGGACTTGTAGACGGTTTACGGCCGCCTATAAGAAACGCTTTCTTTACGGCTGTTGCCAGTCTGCCGCCGCCTACGATATCAAGGATAGGTATCTCTTCCTCCCAGCCATATTCATTTGCCATGAAATGAGCATGGAAACGTAATGGATCACCGGGATAGACACTATAACGTGATCCGAATCGAAGCCCCGGAGTCATGTAATACCCGGATCCCAGCATGAACTGGCAGAGCGATCCTTTTTCTGAGTTACGAGGTTCCTCGGGCAATGCATTCGCATCTGGGGAAACATAGTTGATGCTAGATGTTGGTGTGACGCCCAACAGAGTCACTTGGCTATTGCGGGGCGATGGATTGCCATCTGATTTAAGGGCACCACTATCAGCTGTTCCGAGGTCGGTAGACGGAACAGCTGAGCTGGAATCACGGGCTTTCTTATTCTTCTTGCTCGCTGTTATGGACGCTTTCTGCGCGTTTATCTCGGCAAACACCTTCTGCGCAGTCTGTTTCCGCAGCCGCAGCGAGCTGACATATGCCCTCCGCGAGTCGGGATCTAGAGACTGCAGAGCCGATTTGTGAGCGGCCACATCATCTACGACGTACGCGACGTTTGTACGAATTAGAGCGTCCACCTCTTCAGGCCGGAGCTCAATTGGCAAACCCAGGAATATGTTCTGCGTTGGCTGCTGCGGAGTGGTTCCCACCAAGGTGCCATTGGTGTTTGCCTGGCGGCGGAGCGCGCTCACAGCATCCGGGTCAAACACGAGGTAGCGCCCTGAGATGTTGGCAATGCGAATCAACTTGGGGGATTCCATTGTGGCTATAATCCTATAGAGGCAAGGAGTGATTAGTTTCATACGCTTGCAGATAACAGATGAATTTCGGATTGATTCAATTAAAAAAAAAAGGAGTGTAAAAGATCATAAGTCGTCTTCGTAAAATTTGATTTTGTCATCAGTGTTCAGGGGATTGACAGATTTTCAAAAGGAATAATCATGTAGAGCTCCAAAGAAGCGCTTGAACGGTGTAGAATGCACAACATTGATTGCTTACCTTGCATGTCTGCCAGTCTCCCTTTCTTTAGCCTCTCCAGCTTTCGAACGAGGAGATTGAGAAAGAGAGATTTGAAGAGGTTGAAGAGAAGAACTTTAGTTTTTTGGTAGCTCTTATACTAAAAAATACGGACCTAGTATGGTGGGGGAGAGCTCCATGCCCCAGTAGAGGAATATGTATCCACTAAAAATTCTTATTTCGCATTGAGCGGCTCTTGGTACTGGATAAGTGCATATAGCACTTGATATATCTCACCAGCATACTAGATCTCACGTAAAAGTCTAAAGACGTGGGTGATAAACAAATAAAATGGAGAAGATATCCCAAGCTAAAAATCAAGCTTTGGTTTACTCTCATTCGAGGGCCCATTCGAAGGACCCTCGTCATCTAATAAGGGCGGCAAGCTATAGGGTGTAATGATAAGGCCGCTTGAAGCGCTGAGCTTGAAGGACATGTCCTCCTTCACCCAGCTTCCTTCCAGACCTCCTCCCTTCTCGTGGAAAACAGGCAGCGAGTGGATTCTAAAGAGCCCCTGTGCCTTATTCTCACTTGACGAGTTTCGGTCAACAGGGTGATGTGGCTGTTGTTGAAGCGGTATCATCTCCACGACACCGTCGCAGAGAAGCTCTGCTCGTCGAACAAGCCCCGTCGAACGGGGATATAGCGAGACGGGAAGCGTCATCATCACAACAACCCTCGAAGGGAACTGCCGTAACAAAGCTCGGATGTGGTGCAGGAACTGCAATATCTCCTGCGGCCGGCACGCTGACGGGGGATATATAGTTGGAGAGAGTATACTTGGGATGACAATTCTGTGGATAGAAGTTGGGGGTGAGCTCTTCAGCCTGGCTGTGATGTCACTGATAAATCGCCGGAATGGTGACTGCGTTGGATCCATGCCACTGCCGCGTGTAGTATAGAACTGGCCCTGAGCAACGCTGTCCTCTAGGCGAGCCGAGAGATCAAACGTGTGACAGAATGGGGCGATGCCTTCTGCCGAGTCTGATATTGAGGGCCCTATTTTAAGCATTGTCAGCACCATGACTTATAGCCAGGTATAAAAGGAAAAAATTCCTTACCTCGTGAGGGTGTAGCTCTGCTGCTCAGCGCCTCATACCTCCAAGCAATCTTCATCTTGCTGTCCGAAGACTTGGAACTGTTGGAGTCTTTAGATCGGCTCTCGCTTGCCAGCCCTGGAAGCTCACGTCGCCAGTGATCTCCAAATCCCAAGACATGCACACAATGACCTTGAACCAGTCCTTCGGCAGCAAAGTAGCGAAGCAAAATCCCACCGAAATCTGTCGTGCCTGACTCTTCAACTAGAAGAGAGGTTCCCATAGGTAGTCCGGCATGGCCTGCTAAGAGCTGATCCAGGGATGAAGTGCCGGTAGATGTGGTGAGCCTGCCATCATGAGGAGAGGGCCTGGTCCCTGGGACTGATACTTTGGCTCGATGCGGTTCTGGTGTAGTCCCAGCGATGCCAATCACGGTATTCCTTTTTCGAAAGGACATGCTATGATTTTTTTTTTCTTGGGTGTCTGACTCAAGGAATGAATGGATTTCGTCAGCTATAACACTGGTTCTGTAAAATCTGAGGTTTATGGCGTATAATTTGTGAGAAGTCCGAATGATTTTTCCAGTAAAGTAACGATTTCTTCTTAAATATGGCAACAAATTAAATCGACGCTTTCATTCCTTCATCAAACTATCATACTTTATCGACGCTAATAGCCTGGATCCACTGGCGCCGCAGCCACATATATGCATATATCCGAGCTACACCCCTCCAACCCGAATATTTTCTAGACTAGAACGATTTCAAAAGTTTCGAGGCCAAGGAAAAAGCAGGCCGTACTACCTATCGATTCCCACGCCATACGAAGCCGATCTCTTCCAGGCTCTGCAAATACAAATAACCAGAGAGACCACTACCCGTCAAACGACCTCATCCCAAATTCTACAACCATGTCTGGAGGCGGCAGTGGCGATGCCACTCTTTTCGAAGAAGGCTTTACCGTCACCCACTACAACCAGGAAAAATATGACCGAGTCGCACGCATCATGTGCACGTCCATCGACTCCCAGACCCTATTAGAGCTGGACATCAATATTGAGCTGTTCCCATGCAGCGAAGGAGACACACTACACGTTGTCCTCACCACCACGCTATCACCAGACGGCAGCAAGGAGGACGACAAGGGCTGGCGGGACGTTGGCAAATCTGGCGATGCGCCAGCTACTCTCGCCGACCTCTACGACTATGTATGCTACGGAAAGATCTACAAGTTTGAGGAAACATTTGATGGCAACACCATGTATGAAGATCCATTCATAAGCAGTGACAACATTCTATACGTGGGGTTAAAGAAGGAGAGTGAGAGAGATCCATTGCTAACGTTGTGTGTTTGACTACTTTTAGCAACGCTTATGTCTCCTTTGGCGGATTGCTCATGGCACTCAAGGGCCCGGTGAAGAAGCTTACGCCATTGCGAGTGGACAACGTCTATCTGTTGATCAAGCGGTAAACGAAGGAGCAGAGCGAGCGAGCCATTGCATTACGAACAGGGGGGCCGTGAGAGGGAGAATAAAAAGTTACATCAGACAAGGACAACTGGCGCCTATAATTTATAAACTCATGCCGAGAAAACACACATAATCCGACACCATGGTATTAGAAGAAAGAGGAAGTTATATCAGGGCCAAAACAGAGAGAGTGGGAAATCTGAGCGCCATATATTGTCATTTCATGCGAGAGCCAAGAAAGAAAGAGAAGAAGAGAGAAAGATATTGGTCAACAGCTAGCTCATATTGCTGTAACTGACTGCTCAGTAATATGGCCAGGCCAGTTGGGCTGGTGTGGACCGGGAAATGGGAGCTCTCGGGTCATTTTGGCCTTAATCAAGGCCAAATCAGGCTCGTTGGCTTCGGTCAGAATGCCGTGACGAATGAAGAAATCAATCATCACCATGGCGCAATTGGGCTTGAATTTTGCGTCTCCCAGGTCCTTCTTAATCTCGTCCACATCACGCAGCCGAAATTCTTCAACCTCGCCATCCTTTGGCACAGGTACAACTTCGGCAGGTAGTTTAAGGTCATAAACCCATTGGCATTCAGGATAAATGTAGCCATCCTCTCCGATATGCTTAGCCTCGGTGATGTAGATGTATGTGGCATTCCCGACCCATTTAGCCGTGTTACGAACCAAAGCGTCGGGGAGGCTTGCCTCTTCATCAGCCTCTCGGATGATGCATTCAAAGGGGTCCTCGCCGGTTGTCAGACCACCGGCTACAGTGTTGTCCAGCATACCAGGGAAAGTGGACTTGTTGGACGCTCGTTTTGGCACCCAGATTTTAATGCCGTGAGGAGCAGTTGGATCCTCAATGTAGGCAACCATGTGTACTCCATATCTCGCAGTGCCAAATAGACCGACGGCAGCTCTTTCCACGCTGAAGAGAAGCTCTCCTTTTCGACCGTAAACCGGCCAGAGCTCGTTACGCCATCCCTTGAGAGACTTGAATGTGCCATTTCTGTACCAATGGCCTGTCAATTTTGCAACAGCCCTGGTTCGAGCCTGCTCTGTCTGCGGCGTCCTGAAGAGCATGACAGTGCGGTCTGACATATTGAGACTCATGTCGCCGCGGATGTCTTCAGGCGTTTTAGATAACTCGCTGATGACCCAATCTGGCACATAGCCGATGGCATATTGCCCGTCTTCATCTTCCCAGAGCAGCTGAAATAGCTTATCCCGCAAGGCCCTGGCCTCAACACTTTGATCAGTATCGTACGGAAACCTGCCAGGGATAGTGAGTTAGTGACTAGTATATTATAAAGAGCCTTGTCATTGGTCAAATAGAGATTTTTCCTTCTGACGATGGTCCCCTCCAGTTCTTCCTTTAACGGTGAGTAGTGAAAAGTGAACGCACCGATCCGTAGCAGCAATTAGCTCAAGATTAGTCTTCATGGTGGATATTGGACTAGGCGAGAACAAGACACCTGGTCCTGAAAGCTTATTATATGGTGTTTTTGAAGAGTTTCTAGATATAAGATTAGAGGTGGCTGCACTCGTCTAGCACGTCATGAGGCGGAACAAAGGAAAGATGTGCAAATTTTCATAATTCTTGCTGGCTAAAAGTATAACGTTTCAACCGTAAAAACGGCCCAGTGCCGCTTGACACAAGAGAGAACAGGATCCCAGCTCTCTTTATGCCTAGCGAAGAGCCACGAGTTACTTCTAGGCATCCATCTGCAGCTAGCAGGGGATCCTACCAGCAGCAGCCAGCGAGCAAAGCAGTCAACAAGCGAATGATCAGCAAACGTACTGTGGTCAGTGGAGGCAACGCAGCATCAAAGCTCGCAATCAGATTTAATAGCGCAAGAGTGATTGTGAGGAGCAAGAGTACTGTATTTGTAGCCGAGAGTAAGTTGGACGTAGATACTACTGTAGTAGGTACCTGCTACCAACAGCCAAGCGGACAAGGAAGAGAGGCGGTGGTGGCAGTCAATGGTGCTGCTGATAGGATGACCTGCTATGGCTGCGGCAAGGCAGCTTCAAGGCGTTCCTCCCAATTCCTTCCAACTGTTCCTATAATTTTTTTTTGTTCTTATCATTTTCCCCAACAAATAAGCTGTTTTTTCCCCCTCTGTTCCCACTTGCGACTAACTGCCTTGAGTAGCAATTTCTTCCTTGTCGACGGCCATCCCACAATTTCTTTCTAGCTAAAGCTCTAGCACCACCACCAGAACCTCCGATTTTGACCCTTGTTCGCATCACAAACGGCTGCTACCCCACGTCATCGGATCACACCGGCTGTGTCACCCCAACAACGACCAATTCGAACAATCAACCCAGCGGAACGCAGTACGATACAAGAGGACACAAGACAAAAGACAAACAACAAACAACAAACAACAAAAACAACAGCAGCAACAATGTCCGGCCCTCTCTTCGGCATCGTCCCCGCCGGCCAGCCTCTCATCACCGACCCAACCTCAGCGCCATCCCCCACCTCATTCCTCTATGCCCTCCCCACGACAAAGCCCTTCTCCCACATCGTCGTCTTCCTCCTCCCAAACGTCGTCCTGCCAGACAACTCCGCCGCAGCCATATACCTCACCACCGTCCGCGACGTCGCCGCCGCCTCGCAGGCCAACACGACGCCCGATTTCCGCTTCCTGGGCGGCATCGGCCCCGGCAAGGAGAGCGCAATGTTCAAGATCGGCGCCGACGCCAGCGGTAGCGGCTTCATGATTGGCGTCTCAATCGAGTCTGCCGATTCGGTCGGCACGCGCCTGCAGGAGCTCGCCGCCAACAAGGCGAATAGCGGTAGCGGCAGCGGCACATCAACATCAGGTGCGACGTCAACAACCACCGCCGTTCTCGCCCAGCGCATCATCCAAAACGCCTTCAACTTCCTCGCCAGCTTCAGCGGGACTGCTGGCCCTGGTGGCGTTGAAGTTGTTCCTCTTCGGGCCTTTGAAGACTGGTGGCGCAAATTTGAGTCTCGAGTCCGTTCAGATCCCAGCTTCCTCGAGAGGCAGGCCGATTGATATAATTCTTTATTTCTTCTTTACATCTGGTACATTCACATCTTTTCTTGGCTTTTGCTTCCGGTTCTGGATCTGTAGCGTAGAGTAAATTCATCTTTCCCTTCATGTCACGCCTCTATCCGTATTATTCCATCGCCGTACACGTGTTTGGGGCTACATAATCGCTTGCAATACCGTGTTTATTTCTTGCTATCTATTGGTTAGAACTCTATGTTCTTGAATTCCTAAAACTCCTGAGCATCGAAAAGATATCAACATGACTTATCGTAGCTTTAGTCACGAGCTGAGCCCTGTTTTGTGGGCGACATGTTCTCCTTTACTCGTAACACCAATGACGACCTCTGAGGGGATATTTGCGCCGTAGACGTGGCCTCCGTCTTTCCAGGTGAACTATCTCGAGGTTGCGTCGGCGCGATATTGGTTCTTGTGGCCAGCGGCGATGAATTTCGGGGAACTGAATTTCGGGAGATTGGATCTTGGGGAGCTGGATCTTGGGGTAGCTGAATCTTGTAGGGCTGGTCTTTCAACGCCGTGTCTCTAATGCGGCGTAGATGAAGGGAGGTCTTCAATCCAGCTCTCAACCCGTTCAGCAACAGCAGAACCTCCCGCGCCTCCTTCTCCATCTGGGGTATCGTCAAGTTCCCAGTCTCCAGCAGCTCCCGAAAAAGCTGAAAGTCTAACAACAGCCCACTGAACATCTAGGACAACCTTCATCTTTTCTGCATCTTCTTTCTCCAACAAGATATCAAATGTTTCTCCTGTTTCAAGCTCACGAGCGGAGCTATCCTTGAAAACAGAGAAGCCGGGAATAGTGTCTTGCTTATCAGTCAAGTTTTGGATCATCTCCTCCACAGCATCCTTGTAAGGAGGCTTAACCAAGTCATTTTGCTTATGATTGTGTCTCGGCATCCAATGAAACTGCAGCCGGACGATAGAATGCTTATTATCTGAGGGGATAATGCCAAGACATTTAATTGCAAACAGACACTTCCCCCAAAAAGAATGAAGCAAAGGATGCAAGCAAAGCATATTCCAGGACTTGTCTGATGATCCTGGTGCTGTTGCGGCAAGCTGGCTCAGGCTATTTGCAGTCTCACTACCCATCAAGCCGGTCGAGGGGCCGTGTAGCTGTTTCAAAAAGGCAATGTTTATCTGCTTCGCATTGACAGCGAATGGTATGATGTGGCACACTTCAGGATGAGCTGTTTTCGTAAAAACGCAAACTCTGCCGTCCCTTGCGAGGCACTATTTTCAACGGTCGGTATCACGAAATGAACGATTCAGTGGCGGGAGACTAGGGCTTTGGGCTTGTGCTTTGCTGAGGGAGAAAGAAAAGGGCAAACTATGTGTATTCTTATGGAAGTGGAGAATGGGACATACTTTTTCTCGTTCTCTCGCGTTTCGATGAACACTTGCAGAGCTGTTGACTGACGCAGAGGCTGATACTTGAGATGTGCCACCACTTCCAGCCTGACTATCGAGGAGTTTCCCTTGCATCACTAGGTAATCAGTGTTTAGAAAATGTTTGTAATATAAGGTGGAACAGCACGGCTTACTGAAACGTGGATACAGATCAGTGGGAAGCCATGTCGAAATAAGCGATGGCATCTGCTTTGCTAGTCGAAGAGTATCCAAGGGCATTATCAAGAGGGCAGATAGCTGAAGTTTTGTGAAGTGAAGTGTCTCAATATTCGCCGTCTCGTATTTCTCGCAAATATCTTTAATAAGTTCAAGCCTGAGTTCAAGATCTACCGTCGGGATGATGGCATCTGGCGATGAAAAGCTTGGTCTATCTTCAAGATACTTGAATAGTCGCATTATTGCTCTTGGGGTTGTAGAGCTGTGGTTAAAAAAGGCTTCCATAGCCATGGTGGCCGCCTCTTTGGAGCATTGCTCCATTGTTCCAGATTCGGAATGATTTCTTTAAGGAAAGGCTGCCAGGTTGGAGATGGTAGCGCGGTTGAAGGAGAAAGAATTGAAGAGGAAAGAGAAGGGGGGGGGGGGTTAAATATGTGAAATGATAAACAAACAGCCTTTAAAAGCTAAAGTGAATATAAAGTGAAGTTACATGTTACCTCCCCCCTCAAAATAAAAATAAAAAAAAAAAAGAAGAAGAAGAAGAAGAAGGCGCATTCGCTGTATTTAAAATTTTAAGTATTAAATTTCATCCCAAGTCAAATTCTATAAATAAGGTATACAACTGGACGGTCTTCTAATTAAATATCTGTGGTTCAAAACATAATACTACCATCTATAATAGGTTCTCATTACGCTCTGAATGAGAATGTCTTTCCTCAAGCCGGCTTGAAGACATTATATTACTGTCCACCCAAGACCCCTATATACATCCTTTCCAAAACAAGGCGGTTTTTGTGTAACGAAGTGAAGCTGACAACCGTAAGATCCCCGCATGAGCTTTGACATGTCCAACATACAATCATGACTTTCCTTTCAGAGAGTTTGCCCTCGTCCTCTTACAATCATTACTAGCTCTCTTGGGGTATTATTGAATTCTTCAACCGTGTCGGACTGCCAGTCCTACTGCGACGGCCAGCATTCAGCATCTGGAGTGAAGGGGCCAGTCGTTCGCAGCTATCCGTTCGTACAACAAGGCCATGCCTGTCCATCACTGACGGTGGCCTGAGGTCGTCAAATCGCTCAAAATTCAGTCTCGGTCCAGCTAAGCGAGAACCTCGAACGGATCTTGACACCTCGCCACCATCCGAACCATCGGTTTCGTCAGACTCTGTGCCTCCCAGCTCGAACTCTGCCGCATCCCCCTCTTCCATTATTCTTTCATATGGCGTAGAGTTTCTGCCAAAGAGCCTTCTCACAAAAGACGAGCTCCTGGCCTTGCGGTAACGCCGGAACTTGTTAATCACTCTGGACCCTAATTCGCTTTTCCTTAGGAGATAGGCAATAAGGAGCAGGATCAACATCAACACCAACAGGCTGGAGAAGGGCATAGACCGACCCGTAAGAATGTCATCGTCGTCATCGTCATAGTCGTCATCTATATTTGAAAATAGTGGCTTGGACCCGGCAAATTCAAAATCAGCCGGGATTTCGGATCCTGTATTGCTTCCGAATCCAACAGGAAGCGGCGACTCTTTGGGAGGGATTTGTCCAGCGGCGTAGAGAACCATTTTGCCCAAGGTCCAGCTGACTTCGACGCCGCCAATCGTATCAATTGGCTGGAAAGGATCCAAGAATCCCTTGTCTCTAGCTTTTTCCAGCGCTTTGGTTGCATTGACTTTGTGGCTGGGAGTATCTCCTAAGCCAATGCGGGGGATGCCAATACCCTCGTATAGCACATTGATCAGCCAAGACGCCTTGAAACAGGCCTCTCGGGCGTTCTCGGCCTTTTCCTCCAAAGTCTTTTTTCGCTTGTCAAGCCCGTTTTCAATGACCGACCAATCTTGACTGCAAAAATTATTGACCTCTTGCTCGTACGCAATCAAATCGTAGACCGTGCTCTCTTGGCCAAAGACGCCATGTGTCGTGTGCCAGTACTCGGAAACGCCAATGAAATGGTTTACATCAAAGTCAATTGCAGGCACATGTTGACCATTGAGTAAACACGGCTCGTCTTCGCACGGAGCATCCTTGCCAAGCAACGGGTAAGTTTTGCGCAGACACTCCTCAAACATGCCAGTGCCAACAAGCGCATCGTCTGATGCCTTACCAGAGAGCGGCTCGCCCGAGAGTGTGGTCCGCAAGCCTTTGGGTAGACAGGGATCTGGGATATCGCCCTTCGCACTGCCGTACTGCTCCTGTAGACTCCCAACAAATCTTTCCCGTGCTTTGTTAGCACCAAAGCCTAGCCAAGAAGCCGTAAACACTTTGTACTCAGCGGGAGAGCCATCCAGTCGTCGAAGTCGAACCAGCTTGAGATCATTGGAGTGCTTTTCTGCCTCTGTTGAGTTTGGCGCAAAAGCAATTTGCGCGGATGCGCCGCCCATATCCAAAAAACCATAGGTGTGGTGGCCCTTGCCATGTGCATGTTCGTCAGGCTTGTCGAAGCCTCCAAGAAGGTAATTGGCAGCGATCCATCCATACAAGCCCTCTGTTTCACCCGAGATGACCTGAATATTGCTCGCACAGTCGGGAAGCTGAAATTGCGTGTTGGCTTTGAGATATGTGCATATGCCTTCCAGCAGCGATGTCTGCTGGTGCTTGGGTAGGAACCGAACACCGGCAGTTGCAAGGAGGAAGATGGGCGTCTCGGAGACTTGCGATGCTGGTATCTCGTCGAGGGCTGTGTCGATAAGTGCTTTCAAGTGATCAGGACCGACGGAGGCGACATTTTCGGCGAATGTAGAAACGCCCGGGTGAATCTTTTTGCTCTTATGGAGTTTTAACTTTGGTAATATGTGAGCTTCGGAGGCAGAAGCCTGCTTCAGGGCCTTTGCGGGATCTTTCCATTTGTAGATGTACACACGGGTGCCCGAAGAGCCAGCATCGAGAATTACACCGTATTGACCTGCGCAATCACATGGCATTAGCGAAACCAAAGTCCCTCTATTTTTCTTTTCCAACAAGATTCTACGAAAATTGAAGACGCGGGAGTCGCGATTTACCCATTAGAGCATGCGGGCCACGGGGATGAACTCGAGTCTCGCGCGGCGTCTTATTATTTGTTGTTTAACTGGGCTGGGGGGCTTGGGAGAATGCGCAGCGAGAGATGGATCGACCTGCGCAGCTGCGGCTCCGTCAATGCGGGGGGGGGGGAGAATGAGGAACGAGGTCGCAAAAGACGAGACAAGAAAAGTCGGTAAAAGTCTTTTGTCTCTTGGCCGGCCCCAGAAGAGAAGTGGAATTAATGCTGAGGAATGGACGCTTCTGGAGACGGCGGCGCAATCATGGGGGTTCGATAAGGAAAGCCGTAGGATGAATCGGACTAGCAGCAGCGCAATGCAGGGGTATATTAGAAGTAGAAGAAGAGCAACAAAGGCGAGCGAGCGATCGAATTGAAGGAAACTGCAACGCAGGGATCGAGGGTAAACGGTCTAGTGATGGAAACGAGAGACGGTGCAGCAGTTGTGGTGCGACAAGATGCTGCAAAATTGCGAAAAATGTCAAGTCAAGCCCTGGCGTTACTGACGCGGACTCGCAGATGTTGGGCCACTCACAGGCTCTGGACGTCTCACGCACGGCGAGGCGGCCCGCGCCACACGGGGCTACCTTTACGCCATGCTGAGAAGTGCGCCGATCGGTCGATGTACTTGATGCGACGCGCTGGCTGGCAGACACGCAGCGTACTTCAACTTGTCCCGCTTATCTTTCAAGTACCGCGCGCCATCCACCCCATGCCATGCCCATCCCTGTTTCGTCACTGCTAAAGATAGAATACGAAGTCTCATGCAGCAGCTCATGTCCGCTTCGAGTCAAACTGCACGTCGACGCTGACGTGATTGGCCCTGCACCCTACGCATCACGAGCTTTTGCCCGTGTTCTGTTGGAGTCGCATCAGGATCAGGTCTCGTCACGTTGTATTTGCGACGATTCTTGCTCTCGGGTTGTGGCCGTCTTATGGCGAAAGGCGGGTGCGAAGATAACGCCTCCCTCGGCTTGCCCAGCTTCTTCATGTCCAGCTTCTTTGTGTCCAGTACGATGCCTTTTGTGCCATATACGGCAAGAGTCGTCAGATCCATTCCTGGGAAGTTGAACTGAGCCAAAAACAAGTGATTCACTACGTTTACTTGTATAGAGTGTCTATCTTCGGCTCCTGCAGGTCGTGTCGTATCATTAGCATTTGCATCAGCAGCCCATGGCTTCTTGCGTAGGTGGTCCAGCCCCTCTTCTCGTTTTCTGTGTAAGTCAATGGGAGGAAATATTCTTTTGACGAGCCGCCAAAGACGCTTTGACAGAGGTGCAATGTTGGAAATGCCCCCCCGAGATGGCGGATTCCACCGCACATATCGTTCGCTTTCCATCGTTTCGAAACACATGGCTAAAAATTTGTCGATTTATGCAGCATTTGGGAGATGTGGAGGGAAAGGACAACATCTTTAATAGGTATATAGATCTTGTCGCTAGTCTCTCTCATGATCGTTTACGAGCTTGTTCACTTAGCAAACCATAGAAAGAAAACCAATCTTTGTAAAACATTGTTCACCTTGCTTTCAAGGTGGATATATTTTCTCCCTCTCCCTCTCTCCCTCCCTCTCTCTTTTTTTTTCGGCTGCACTAGAACTAATTGTTCAATCTCGGTTCATCTCAAAGAAATCACTAATAAATATCCTTTTCACAAAGGTTGTATCATCAGGCCAATGGCTTAGCCTCTCATAACCAAGGTCAGTCCATCAGAGACCCTTTAATGGTCCATTTAGTCCAGAATGACCGGCTGATTGTCCAATCTTTAACCCAGATGTGAGGCCAACGCCAGCCCATCCATTAGGCTGCTGGGGGAAACTTGGAGAATTCGCTCCTGACAGCCTTATGTCGTCCCCTTTAGTCAATTCAATATTACTGGGAACACTAGGGCGAAATATCTCTGCAGAAAGTCGACCGCTTGCGCTTTGACGGTATGATCGAGCTTCTGGGATCTGGTCTATCATTGTTATGGGTTAAACTGAGATTAAATTTATAGGTATGGTGTGCCTCACCATAAGCTTGAGGCCTTTTTCTTGGCCAGCGGCTGTCACTCTCGTACTGTTGCACATTTGATCCAGGCGGGGCCGTGGAAAAATCGGTGGCATCGAATCTTGGCCTAAGGTTAGGAGGGAAATTGCGCTCGTTATCGCCATTCAAGCTGTGTGGACGGAATATGTTGGACGCTTGTTTGCTGTTTGAAAGTTGTGGCACTGATCTAGTGGAATTATCCACGGCGTCGAAAGCCGCTTGCTCAATTTGACTCAACTCGGCCTTTTTCTTGACCTTGTTGTAAAGTTCCTGCGTCTGAAACAGCTTGCGACTTTTGTCTTGATACGCTCCTGCGAGTTCGTCATTCTTTCGTTGTAAAGCATCCCGTGATTCCGTCACGTCTATGTGTAATGAATGGTAAGCTCATATGGCAAAAAGGAAAAGAGCGGAGACAGAAAGATGGATTCTGAGGCTACTAACTCTTTAGCTTATCGTATAAGTTATTGATCTCTGCAGATGAATCTCTGTTTACTTGATCATATCGATTCCACAATGCTGAGTGTTTGTCTTTGAGCGACTTGTATAAGTGATGTTGATAGTATAAATCATGTGTAGCTTGATACGACCAAAAGCTGATGGCTCGTCCGGCACACTCCATGATTACATTGGGACTCAAGCCACTGAGAACGCACGTTTTAAACTCTTCGGTAGGGTTTAAGCTGATGAGGGCAACGTCTTCCTCTTTAGGCAGCTGGACGTTACATACGGGGCAAATGGTGCATCTCTGGTCCCCTTGGTCAACGAGACCAGACTTTTGAACACATTCGAGGCAAAATATGTGACTAGATTGCGAACGGATCGTCAGCACACGTTATATAAACCCGCAGGTCCCATTTATTAGCCAACCTGCAAGTCGTTACAAGTGCCCGGTCGTTGAGCTCCTTTCTGCACTTGAGGCTATTGCAGAGGAGTGTTTTTTCCATTTCGAACAAAGACTTGCGGTAGATCCCCAGCGAATTTTAGCTCAGGACATGGATGGACGTTTATCAAGAAAAGCACGGTTGTAAAGATCTTTCAGTCTAGTGGGCAGTTCTCTGAGCATTAGCCAAAGCAAAAAAGATGTCGAGAGAGAGAGTATTATGAAACCTCATCGTAAATTAGTAGTCAGGCAGCACTGGAAGATTCCGAGGCACCTTGTCCGGTGCTCTTTCCTGGCCAATTCCATTCCAGGTACCATTTGGATGACTTAACGCTTTATCTTGGCGAGCCTCTTCCCAGGAAGGAGCCTCTTACTCGAAGAATTTTACTAATGGGTGCATTAGCACTTGCCTGTCATAGCTGAGGGATCTTTTATCCTTTCTGCAAGCTACGTGGGTGCGCTTTGGATTAGACGCAAGGCGAAAGCCTTTCACGTTGCGGTAATTGATGTGCTTGCTATGATGAGATCTTATGACGCTGGCGGATTTTATTCTACGCCTCATTTTTGAGAAGATATCCTACCCCTACGATCCTATCGAAGCAAGGGTACGGCCATCGCTATCTTGCCACCACACAATATATGACTAGGTAGTTTATCAACCAACATCTTTTAGCCCTTAGAATTTCTCCAAGTAACATGATTTCTCATTCCTGAAGCTGGCCATGATTTGCTGCTGATAACCATGTGTATGCTCTCCATCTCGACTAGTTTGTCACCAGCCCTGTATATCAGCTGCGCCTTGCGTTTTTAAATCTAGGGTCGATATGAACATTATAAACGCAATACCTGGCATCGGCTCTCGATTCCGTCAAATATGCAAGTGTTGTCTATCGGAATGTATTGTTTTGTGATGATTTTAATAATCTCCTGCGCCACCATGCCTCCAATAACGGCGGAAATGTTGTGCAGCTCTCCGCCAGCCGCTCGCGACAACTCCTGGGCTACCTGAGCTAGGCGCTCATTGTTATTGAGAGTAGGGGCCTTTTCACAAACTGCAGCAATAATATCATCAGCTGAGGCGACCGACGTAGATGACAAGACGCTCAAGGCAAGGTAGATGGAGATTAGTGACATTGGCATTTCTGGTCCGGCGATAGCAGAGATCTCGTCGTTGCCAAGTTCTCGCTCTGTTAATTGACGCCAATTGTCAGCAAGTCAACTAGTTGATCGAGGATTGCCACGTTGTTTACCTATGATCTGTCCCATGCTTGGGGGCTCCTCTCCCGTAGTATTAATCAGCTTGATGAACCGAGCATTCGTGCAGAACAGCTCTACCTCTGCTCGGTCAATATTTTCACCTCCTGATATCTGTTGAGCTCTAGAAAAAACGTCGTTTGCGTCTTGGCGAGCTTTTTCCTTGTAAATATTCTGCAGCCGGATGTAAACATTGGACTGTGCCTTCATATCAGGCAAGCCACCAGCCACAGGTAGGCGTTGGTGTTCGGCATAAAATTGTTTCAAGGCCTCAGCAATGATCCAGAAGCTAGATTTAGACTGCTGTTCATCATTGTGCTCGTACTCAAAAACCTGTTTTAGCGATGAAGGGACTGACGGGGCAACGACGTGCTTCATAACGGCAGCAACAGCTTCCTCAAAGTTTTCTTCACCTCCTTCGGGATTATCCCGTCTCATGGCTTTAGATACCAGCTCCCGAAATGCTGTCTTTTCACTATAAGCTGTTGGATAGGCGCCGTTGTGCTCTTCCTTCCAGATGTTGAGGTAGTAAAGCAAAATTACAACCATGGGAATATGGCCATGCTCGTGGTGGTCTAGATTTTCAATGTCTTTGGTCATTTCACTGGCAAACTTAGAGAGTTCTGGCCAAGGGGAGAGGAGCCTCAAATCCGTCGTAGCAGTTTCGTCCGGGTGAGTATCAACAATGGGAAATGTGCCCGGTAGTGCAATTCGAAAGTAGGAGTAGAATCCAACGGAGTGGATAGCAACAAGAGGAGTCCCATGCTGGCGACCGTATGTCTCAATTGCCTGAATCATTTCTGGCTGTAAAGGAAGGCTATACATGATCATGGTGAAAATCTCTGGTACGTCAAGTAGTTTTTGGAGGCTGGCGGTATCCTAGAAGAACTTAGCGCTACACAAAACACCATGAAAAGTGCAGAGAAATGACACTCAAAGGAGGGACACACTGTCACTGTGGAGTTCCAAGATCCATCAACTTCTGGATTAAGCTCGAGCAGTAGCTCAGTACAGCACTGCGCCCTCGATTTGCCGAGTGAGGATTCGTCCAAGAAGAAGTTGACGCCAAGGTCTACCTCTTGAACGAGGGCATTGTCGGCAATAGTAAATTTTCCAATGCCTGAGCGAGAGAGCATATTAGCACTCATTGACGACTTTGGTTATTGAGCGAAAGGTTTGACAAACCGGGCAGGACGAGGTTCTTCAGAGTCTCGATACCAGCCGTGCCAGGCCCCGAGTTAATTAAGAGGATATTTGCGGCTTCCAAGGCAGCCTGGCCCGAAGCAGCCCATAATCTGAGCTGACGATCATACTTCCTTTCCTTATCCGAAGGGCCGTGTAGAATAGGAGGCGTTTGTGCTAAGATCTCTGTCATGCTGAGCGAGACTCGCCAATGCGGGTGAATGAGATAAGGTGGGAGTTGGGCTCCTGCGGGGCTCCAGGAAGAGGCACGTTGCGTATGCAGCTAGATTGCAAGTATATACGGTGTTGCGGAAAAATTCGACGTCAAAGTTTTGGTGATTAGGCAGATATCAAAGCGAAACAGAGCTTCTGGTGGAATAGAAAGACGAATGATGGTTGATGTAGCTATTTGATATCGAGAGTGGCACTAGGCACCTGTAATAATATAGTAGCTACCGAGCACCACTTATTAAAGGTAGCTATCGCCGCACCTTGGCTTTGAGCTGCGTTACTGCCTGCTTTAGGCTTAAAGCCGAGAGAATGCGCATCTGCTCTAGTCTGAAATAGGTACTACAATATTGCAGCTCCAGCGAATATGCTCCACTAGATAATATTCCCTCGATAAATTCAGCATCTCAATTCGCATATGACTGACGTCGCAATCAACGTCACCGCTCCCTTTGGATACAAAATGTATTTCTAAAATCATTTTCCCTCTTCTATCTCCTCAGTCGCTTGATATCATTCGAAAGAATGAAGTGTTTTCTTTTTCTTGCCCAAAGCCATCGATTTTCTTTCTAAATAGAACGTCGTCTCTGAGTTGAAGGGACGCACAATGCCTGTTTAGCCTGGCGTAAAGCTCCCTATAAACGAATTTGAGGCCTCTTCTTCTACTGCATCTGCAATCACTTGTGACTCCTTGGCACCGTGCACAGGCCCTAGCACATTTTTACGTATATCTTTGTGTGCGTGGATTGGATAGTCGTCTCTGTCATATTCCCCATTCAGCGAGAGCCTACCATGATTTACGGTAGCATAACTCGACTTGATACGCTGGAAACAGTTGATCTTTGACCCCCAACTCTGCTATAAGCATCATACTCTGCACAAATCATCGTGAAAATGGCTTACAGGCAAGATCAAAACTCGTACCAAACAAGTATTACGATTTCTTTTGAGTCACCACGCCAAGTTTCGGCTACAATCACGGCCATGGCTCACAGATTCCTTCTTTCTACATCCCACCAGCAGCGATGGCTAACAGGTGGCTGCAACTTACTGGACACCTGAATGTCATTGAGGGCCAATTTTTGAGCTATTTGCAAACGGAGATGATCCTTCTACATTTTGCCTTGGCGTGGTTGTAAATCTCAGCCTTGCATGTGTGTCTGCCGCTTTGATTCAGAGAGGCTAACCGGCTTCGAGTGTTACTTGATCAAGCTACTTTCAATTTGTCTAAATGCTCTTGCTTTTTATTTCATGAAAAAAAGGCAACATCTTCAAAGATTTCACCCTGGGCCGTAGCTTCCCTGTCTATGAGGATCGTAACAACACGCATAGAGGTAAACAAGGCTGAGGTACATAACCATACCTCGCCCAGCTCTAACGACACCAGAGTGAACGTTCCCCTTTCAAAGCCATACTGAAGTGTTGTGATTTTCTCAAAAGTTTCTTGAACAGGGTTTCGCCAAATTCTCGACTATAAACTGTTCGCCATAGAAGCTGTTTCTTCTTTACTGGGGGCTTTAGCTCTCTTCTCTTCTCTACGATGCCGACACCCTGTGAAACAGCACACGCCGATGCCGAAGATGAATCAACGGAGAGTGTGAGAATGTCTAATATAACTCAGGCTCTGAGAAGTCTATCGCAGGACATTTCGTCGCTGGAAATACATATGCGGAGCTGTGAAACTCCGGAGACGAGCATGTCGATAAAACGATTCGGGCTCGTATGCTTTGGGTAAGCATCAACACTCATTCACAGAGAAAGCCCATCATGACCGAAGTAAACTGAGTTGCCGCCTTAGAGTTTGCCCAGGCTTGTTGCTGTCCATCATGGACTCATCCGTACTTGCGGCGAGCTTGTATCGCATGGGAGTCGACTTCCAAGAGCACAGTTTGATCAACTGGGTGGTCCTAGCATATACTCTGGGCTATACTGGTTTTATCGTTACATCCACAGTCCTCTCAGATATCGTCGGACAGCGCTGTGCTCTCTTGCTTTTCTATTCTCTGTTCTTGGCATTCTCTGCTGCGTGTGGATTTGCTAAAGATGTGAATCAACTGATATTATTCCGGACGTTTCAAGGAATCGGCGGCTCAGGTTTGTGGAAATGGTTTTTTTCTTCATGGAAGAGAAAAGTAGAGCGCTGACGACACCTTTTAGGACTCTATGCCTTACCCATCCTGATACTGACACAACATAGCCCACCTCGGATGCGTCAGTATATTGGCAGCATTGTTGGGGCGACTATTGCAACTGCGGGCGTTCTGGGCCCTGTTATTGGCGGGCTACTCACCCAGTACCTAGACTGGCGGTGGATCTTTTTGATCAAGTCTGTAACTACCGCAGTGAACATTATATACAATCAATGGAAATCAGCTAACGTGGAATATAGTATTCCGATTTGCTCCATTGGCATGGCCACTTTCTATTTCAGTTGGCCTCGAAAAATGCAGACGGGATATGCTCAGCTTCGATCGTGGAAGCAATTTGACATCATTGGTGCCGTACTGGGTATCGCAGCTTCGGCCCTCGTTGTATTCGCGCTCGAAAACGCCGGCGAGTCAGAGGCCTGGGGGGATGTGAAATTTATTGTACCGCTAATTCTTGGCTTGTTTTCTTGGATAACACTTTTCTTGTGGTCAAACTTCGTTGATACAAGCCTTTCTCAAACCGTCGTCTCAGTTTTTCCCATGACATTATTCAAAATTCGACACTACGCAAGAACCACCTTGACAACTTTATTTGCAGGTTGCCCATATCTACTTTTGATATACTCGATTCCCATCAGGATGCAAGTCGTTAGCGGTAAAAGTCCGCTCGTCGCTGGGCTGGCATTACTCCCTATGTTAGGCACAGTCGCGCTCGGAAGCATTATCAGTGGAAAACTGAATGCGTCAGCAAGCAATCTCACTCTCACTCTAACTATGCGTACCGGCACATCATTAATGGCTAGTGGATGCGGATTCCTTGGATTAACAAAAGGGTCCAAGGACGATGCAATAGTACTTGGACTTGTTACCATGGTTGGTTTTGGATTTGGACTCTGTACATCAGCGGCGACCAACATGATTAGTGTGGTAGTGCCTATGAAACAGCGGGGTATAATCTTTCTTTTCTATCCTCCTCTTGAGATATTTGACTAATAATTGGCTTATCAGCATCCGCTCATGGCATTCTTGCCCAAGCAAGAATACTGGGAGGAAGCTTCGGCGTAGCAGTTTCGACAGCGTGTCTTCATCACTTTGTCATAAATCGACTTGCAGATATCCTCCCCGCTGATGAGCTTGGTTCCTTTGATGGAGACATGACACATTTTAAAGGGGGTAGCTTAGAGGCAATCCAGTCGGCATTTGTCGCGGCCTTTAACCGGAGTATTGTATTAGCCACAGCAGGATGCTGGGTCGCGGTTTTCTCGACCTTTTTTGGTTGTCCAATCACCTGGAAAGGCGTGAAACGTCAGAACATCGTGGAACAGATTGCAATTATGCGAGCAACTGTGGATAGGTTGCAAAATGAAACGCAACTAAGGATTGATGGACAAATATCGATCTAGGTATCAGTGGGTTGGGCATGGCTATTTGGCTATAACGGTGGTGATTATGAGGGTCCATTTGTCTATGATGGTGGAGTTTGGATATGGTGGTTTTGGTCTGCGTTCTTCTTCTATTAGTGTCATTGGAGCATCGGAGGGCCCAAGCAGCTGCTGGTCTGTCAGGTCAGCCTTGAGGTACCTGTAAATAGTAAGATTATGCTCATACGGTATCACAGTATCATGGAAACAACAGGTATATTGTCAAGGCTATTACTATTATTGCTTCGTATAAATATGTTTCTTCTGATTTAAGCCATATTTATCCTTTGCGTTGATGAAGTGACAGCATACCACTATAGATTTCTTCTAGTCTCTTCTTTCATTTCTTTTCTTTCAATACGTCTCCTCAACTCTTGTATTATCTCTCTTTACTAGCAATACTTATGATGAAGCTGCAATCAGCGACTGCCACACCGCCATGATTCCAGAGGATTGCCGTCTTTGGGGAGCTATTCTCGCTGTTATAAACTTCGAGTAAGTTTTTGTATTCAAGACTACCCCTTCATGTTGTCATCGAGATTCTGTCTGGCAACTGCCCAAGCTGAAGGATTTCGATACGGAATGCCAGGTCCAACATTCAACGTGCAGGTTCACTCTTCTTAATGGGCGTATATTTCGCCTCGCTGCGGATTAGTGCAAGTTATTATTACGGATTATAATCCGCTTAGGCTCAATGAGTAGGTACGGCACCAAGTAATGGGCTTCATTTCTGTATATCTTATTAGTACATGTAGGCATTCCCCTTCATAATTGGCGGCAATTGTCCGCGGGCGATTTATCACTGATCCATCGCTCGCTCTTTAAGCCGACGCCCCATACGTTGTGCCCCACGTTAAACCAGCGCGGGGTCATCGGCCTTCACCATGGGATTAATTGCAGCATCAAGGTGGGGTGGGATTGGCAAAATTTGAGAGTCGAGAACGCAAGGCATTCGCCGTACTACGCAGCGCCTGTCGTCATTTTTCTACAACATGATGAATGATGAGTACCTAGTGGACTCTGCTTCCACTTTGAAAAAAAGGAAAAAAAAGAGAGGAAAAAAAAAAAATAGACTAGGTAGCTTATAGTGAGTAACTATAGGCTTAATACTACTGTCAAACACGTGTAAATCTGCGTTCATAGTAATAATAGTGCTAGCAACAATACCTATCAAGGGCGCCATCCACACATCCAATCCACTTTTCCTTCTGCTCTCTAGATACCTACATTCCATCTTTTCTTCATCTCCCTCTTCCTCTTAATAATACCATCTTTGAGAAATTGGCTTCGCATCCGGAATTGATGCCGTCCGTACACGCCAGAATTGCCACCAATCTTTTCCGTCGTGCTGCCATAACTCCTCTGTCTCGGTCTAGCTGCCATAGTAGCTTCTCCACACACAGCCAGAGACCATTTCTCTCATCCACGCGCCCCAGCTCGGCTTCCAGACCAGCTACACTGTTAACCAGGCACAGCACCGACATCTTTGCCCGCAACATGTCTTCCGCAGCAGCCAGGCGCCTGGAGGGCAAGACCATCCTCATCACGGGAGCCTCTTCCGGAATCGGAAAGTCCACGGCCCTCGAGTTTGCTCGCACAAACCCCAACGGCAATCTGCGGCTCATTATCACGGCTCGCCGAGTCGACTCGCTGGAGGAGCTGGCGGCCCAGATCCGTAAGGAGACCAACGATGGCGTCAAGGTGCTGCCGGTGAAGCTCGACGTGAGCAAGGCCGATGAAATTCGGGGCTTTGTGGGCAGCTTGCCCGAGGAATGGAGAGATATCCACGTCCTGGTGAACAATGCGTACGTTGCCATCTCTCCCTTCACATGTGCTGTACTCGAGAGCAATTCATTGTTCTCTGAGTGGACATGAGTCAAGATTGCAGTTTGTACTAATTTTTCCGTCCAGTGGCCTTGTCAAGGGTGTCGCCAAGGCGCCTGAAATCGCCGAGGATGACCTGAACATCATGTTCGCTACCAACGTCACCGGCCTCATCAACTTGACGCAGGCTATCCTGCCCATCTTCCAGAAGCGACCAAACGGTGGCCAGGGAGACATTATCAACATTGGATCCATCGCCGGTATGCCATTGCTCTTTATATATATATATATATATATATATTAAAGCACTTTGTCTCATCAAGGTATATATTCATACTAAACACTTGTGCTTCATAGGCCGAGAACCGTATCCTGGAGGCTCAATCTACTGCGCCACCAAGGCCGCTGTCCGAAGCTTCACTGAAAGCTTGAGAAAGGAGCTCATTGCTACTCGCATCAGGGTCATTGAGGTTGACCCTGGTCAGGTTGAAACGGTATGAAATTTCATTCTGGCGTCCATCTTCATGCGAATTTTGCTCATTAATATCACCAGGAATTCTCCATTGTTCGCTTCTACGGTGACAAGTCCAAGGCCGATGCCATTTATGCGTAAGTCTGCCCACTCTCCTCTCCTTCTCGTAACTTATGTCACTACTTGATCATATCGGACCTAACATCGTCATCAGTGGTTGCGATCCCCTCACACCTGACGACATTGCTGAGATTGTTGTCTTTTCTGCTACCAGACCAGAGAATGTCGTTCTTGCTGAGTCTCTGGTTTATCCTAACCACCAGGCAAGTTCCCTATCCGCATTATTATTGCTCTTGTTTTATGTCTCATGGTTACTAACAAGTTTAAAGGCATCTGCTCTTATTATGCACCGCAGGCCAGCTTAGATCTAAACGGGAACTGTACAGACATGTAACATAATAAGCACAATAAATAAAAATAGAGAATTAAACCGGTAAAATTTTTTGTTTTTTTATTCTGTACACTATGCTTGTCCCAGTTATTCTATGTTATATGGTCTAGAGCAAAGGGAGTTTGGAAGTCACAGCCTTTCTACTAAAGGAAACAACATCTCAAAAACTTCTCTGCATGTTCGAAAGGTTCTCTTGCCCCTAATCCATTTAGCCAACAGAAGCCGGCAGAATCAGGGGCCTTCTAGGATCGAATAATTCAATCTACCAACGTTCCGTTAAGAATCCATTCTGAGATGAATCGGATCCTTGCTGCCACAAGGACAGCACCGCTGGGGGGTTTTTCACAGACTTCACACGGTATGGCAAGACACTCACGCGACTGAAAGAGGGAGCATCATCTACGAGACTTAGCATCATTCATAAATTTTTTGACCGACCTTGTGCGTATAAATCGTCAAATATTTCTTGTTTCTTTTGCTTTCCTCAAATCCGAAGACGCCACGCTAGAATGAAACAATCCAAATGATCCACCCGGCCAGACTATTAACAGTCTTGAAAAAGACACGGTAGCATGCGATATCATATTGCTCATTGAAATCATCAGCCTTCCGCGCTTCAATCTCCAATGTGCTGGAACAGAGGAGAAATCGACTCGCCGTAGTGGTTTCGTCGGATTGCTTCGGCTAGGAGGAAAGAGAGGTCTAGTATGACCAGCTTACTCGAGTTTTTCACTCGTTCCTCATTAATGGGGAAGCTGTTAGTAACAACAATGGTATCGATGCACTCGCATGCTTGCAATTGCTCCAGACAGTCTCCGCCAAAGACACCGTGGGTAGCAATGCAGTACACCTTTTTAGCCATGCCCCTCTTCACCACGGTTTCGGCTGCAGCGATCCAAGATCCTGGCTTGTCAATCATGTCGTCGACGATGAAGACTGTGCGATTTTTTACATCGCCTACCAGCGTGATCATGTGCTCCGCCTTGGGGTCTTCGAAAGCATTGTCCTCCTCGTCAGAACTGCTTTCGTTGTTGTTGGCGCCACCAGCCAGTGATTGGCGGTCGGGCGCAAAGAAAGATGAGGCATGAGACATGGTCATGGGATCATCCTCATGGACGCTGTTTGCTGCCGTTGACCTCGCTGGAGATGGGAAATCATCTTCAACAATGTGCCCTTGAATCAATCGACCATGAATGACTTCTTGGGCGCGACGATCATCGTAGTCAGAGTCGAGCTGCGCAGAGCTTTTACGCCGCGTTGTACTCGGATCTTCTGTACTAGGATCAGCAAGATTCGTCGCACTTGACGACAAATCGCTCGTCCGAATAGGCGAACCTTGAGAGTCGGTAACAATTCTAGCATTCCTCACAGGGGTCCTCGCTCTAGCGCGTGGCGGCGCAGGCTTATCGGAAGCGGCCTGTTGGCTATCGCTCTGCGCCAAATTCTCAGAGATAGGGCGTCGCTCGAGACCATCGAGCTGATTCATAATCATGCTACCGGTCATGTTCGTTCCACGTCTCCTATCAGTGGTAACCAACCCAAAGTTTAGCTTGAGGGCATCGGCGAGCGACGTCACTCTCTTTGTGCCACCTGGATTTTTGGAAACCACCACAGCCTCTCGCCAGTTTGGTACGTTTCGCTTGATCCACTTAGCAATAATAGGCTCAGCGTGAAGATTGTCAACAGGACATCTGAAGAAGCCTTGCATCTGAGAGGCATGGAGGTCAACCGTAACGACGTGCTTAACGCCAGCAACGCCAAGGAGGTTGGCCAGCATCCTTGCGGTGATAGCCCCTCTGGGAGACTTCTTCTTCGACTGCCGGCTATATGGGAAGTAGGGAAGCACAGCTGCCAAGTCACGTCAGCAATGTTTCACAGCAGAATCCGTGCTCCATCATCGAACCTGTGACTTTGTTGGCGGAGCCGCCCTTGCAAGCGGATATCATGATGAGCAGCTCCATGATGGAGTCGTTGATCCTGGGGCTTCCAGACTGAACGACGAAGACATCTTTCTCTCGGACGCTGGTCAGGATCCTGACACTCGTCTCGCCCTTTGAAGGAGTGAGTTAGTATCTGTCCGAGGCCGGCAACCAAGGAAAACCAAAAGCAGCGACGCAGAGCTACAGGAAGCTCACATTGGAGAATTGGGTCAGCTCCGCCTTAGCAGGAGTCATGCCCAGGTTCTCACATATTTGGCCTGTGAGAGCTGGGCACGAATTGCCGGCGAATATGAGCGTGTTGCGCATCGTGGCCGACCCTTGGAGAGAAGAAAGAAGAAGAAAGTTTTGGCAGAAGATGCTGAGCGAGATGAGCAACTTAGATTTTTTTTTTCCTGGTCCTCTAAACGTGGGGCTTTGGCGAGTCATACTGTGTGGATTACGAATGCATCCACGGTAGCAATCAATGCCGAGTCGGTATCGATAGTCGACTTGATTGGCTGCAGGCCGCTTAGATCTTGCAGCAGCCCACATAAAACAATACAGTGCGGATTGCATGCACAGGCCATCGTATCAAGCCGAACGGCGGGGCTCTCTCATTGGAATACTATTGCCATAGACACATGCATGGCTTGCCGATTGTCGAGTTTAGACCAGCCAGCAGTTCCACATAATTATCGTATTCTCATTATGAAGGCATCCAAGCACTGTCCCAGCTGATGGCCTATCGCATGTATCCAGCCACCGTCTCAATTCAACTCATCTCATAGGCCCCAGTTCAGCCGATATGGGAATTCCTCACTTGATCACAACTTTGGAGCGCTATGCTTCAGACAAGACTCTGCAGAGTCAAACGGTGGTCATTGATGGCCCAGCTCTAGCATATCATGTCCTTCATATTTGCAGAATTCGAGGCGCCAGCCAACCGTCATATAGCCTTCTTGGCCGAGTCGTCATAGACTGGCTGGATCGGCTAAAGGATCAGCGAGTAGACATGTAAGCTTTTCGCCATAAAAAGAAGGGCAAACAATATGACGATCTTGGCTAATATGCAAATAGTCGAGCCATATATTTCGATGGCTACCTGCCAGAGTCTAAACGGCCAGTACGCATGGAGAGGGTGATCAAAGTAACTTCCCGGCTTAATATATTCTACTCTGCCAACCCTACAGCTTGCCCCCGTAAGCATGTAGTTCCATCAAATGACTTATCTCTGGACACGAACCACCCAGCAAGATTCACAGACAAGACTTCTCTTGATCCAGCATTCCTAGTGCCTGCAGTCATTGATGCCATCCGGAGCAATGAAAATTACCGAGACAAACTATCCATTGTTCCAGGAGAGGCTGACGCTTACTGCGCTGTGGACGCGGCGAGGCATGGCGGTACAATCCTTACATCTGATTCCGACCTCCTTGCCCACAATATTGGCAACGGCAAAGTTGTGTTCTTCCGGGATATCTATGAGAATGCGAGCTCGAAGCTGGCCTGCACCGAATATGCTCCTCGTGAAATCTATACAAAGCTCGGCTTAGACAAGTCTGCTGACCCCTGTCGGCTGGGGTATGAACGCATGCGATCCCCTAATGCCACCCTTCCTTTGTTATTAAAGGCCTGCTCGAATCGCATAGTAGACGCCGTGGACTATGATCATTTCCGACAACAATATATCCAACACGAAAGTGCTCAGCTGCCACGGCTGATCGGAGGTGACCTGCTATCACTGAAAGCTCTTGACCCGAGAGTCTCCGAGGTACTTCTTCAGATTGGCCAGGCGCCCAAAACCAAAGTTGCCCAAGAGAAGGTCAAAATTTTTCTTCCTTCTCTAATTGAGAATCCCAACAGAGGAACTTCTTGGGATGCAAGCGCGCCTATAAGGCAGTTGGCATATACAGCAGCATGCCGCTATATTCCATGCCGGTGCTCCATTTCGGTCGAAGAATATAGAAGGGTGCAGAACGTCGATCAAAAAGGACGCGAAATCCTGTTATTCACGAATGATGAGGCGAATATTGCAGTCAATGAACTTCTGGCGCTTATGAGACGAATAAAAGAAACTCAAATACCGCCGGAGCATTTCTGGACTCTGTTATCCATGGTATTAGATATCATAGAATGCAACCAACTCGGTAAAAGTTCACATACTTTGATTACGCTTCAACGGGACAATAGCAATTTGGCCACTTCAGGAGACAAAGTCTCATGGGACACAATTCATTTCTCTGCACATATACAAGCTGGATACTACTCTCTTCGCATTTTGAGCCAAGTGCTCACTTCCGTTATTCTCGAAAACAACAGCACAGACAATCTGACTCTCAGCCTCATCCAGCTCCGCAGCCTTTTATCAGAACTGCCCCCTCTCTCCGAATTTCCAGATGTTGGTACGCTGTCCGATTTTCTAAAGGCATCAAAAGAGGTCCAAATATTGCGTATTTTATCAGATTTTACAGTTTTTGAGCAGGAGTCTTCTCAAGAGCCTGCGAATGCTCGCCATCAAACACAGGAGAGGAAACAAGACAAGCGCGGAGGAAATCCAAATGGCGTTAACAAGAAGCAAAATAAAAAGAAAAGCGATGCAAAGAGAGGAAACATGTTTAATGTTCTCTCCACAGACATATAGGGGCTGAGACAGGCGTTCTCCTCCAGGAAATTCCAAATACAAGTGGTAACAAGACTAAGATATCCAAGAATAAAATATAAAAAGGAGGAGACAGACAGAGAGATCTAACTCAGCCACTCAAAGTATACCAATCTCCCCTTGCCTCTTGAAACCCTTTCCTAATGCCATTTCACTCAAGCTGGAGTAGGTCCGTGTATGTCTTGAAGTAATTGCAAAAATGTGGCAGAAAGCTCTTCCTGGCTTTCAACATCTTGAATCAGGTTCTCCTGGATGTCTCCATTGCCAGCAGCGCGAAGGATCTTCCAAGCCCGGCGGAACTCGTTACGGATCGATACAATGCCATTGTGTGTCACGGTCCGTGCCACATTGTGATCCGTCTCAAACGGATCTTCGATAGCAAAGAGATATCGGAGTCGAATCTCTTTGACCTCCCCACCCTTAGTGGCTTGTGGAGCTACCTGAGGTTGAACATTCGGCGGCAAAGGACTTGCTGCAGTAGCTGTGTCGCCAGTTGCCTTTTGAACTTCATAAACAGTCTTTGCTCCCGTCCACCCTTTTTCTTGCTTTGTCAGGATACCTCCGTATGTTCGGAGGCTGATGACATTTCGGCCCCAATCAAATCCTTTACCAATACCATTGCTCATCATGCCATTTTGAGCATAATACTCGAAGAATCCCCTTAGTAGGTGCCCAATGCTTTCTGTATTCCGATTTAGCTGGTTATGAGATGCCAATCTTACGATTTCTTCTTCATTTCTCCAGAATTGAACGTCGTAGCCTCGACAAGTTATGGTAGATTCTATTTCGGCTGGCGACAAGTTATTGGGAGGTATTGGTGCAAGCTGTTGGAGATTTGGGCAAACAAAAGGCTGTACAACGTTGACCAGATAATGCAGGGCCATCAAAACATAGCCGTAACTACTTAGAGTACCGCGGTATCCAGAGTTGATGCCTCGCACTTTAGCCCAGTGTTTGATGAATAGGACCATGGGTCGGACTCGTGGATCCGTATGCGAATAGCACCGCAGCAAAAGTGTGTTTTGAAGAGCCAAGTGCGCAGAGAAATTGATATCGCATTGTACCCCTGCATCTGATTTAGGAAACTCCAGCGGATCTCGATATCTGTCACGAGGTTGATTTGGCGCCATTTTATGAGGATCAGTTAGAGACTGGATCTTGGCAAATGTAGAAGAGAGGTCAGCGGGGGCAGGTATGATATAACATAATTTCCCGGGCTTGATCGTTCTTTTCTGTAGCGGCTGCTGCAGCAGCTCAATATACCGCGTGATATCTGGCACAGAAGCTTCTTCGTATAGATTATTTTCAACAGCTTTCTTTAACTCATTGACCAAATGAATGCTTTTATGGCGACATCCCACTGCTTGGATGGTCCTCTGCTCCGGGAATTGTCGTATATAATCGCTCAATTGAGTACGTATCTCTTCATGAAACACTCCAGCCACGTACTGACTAATTATAGCTTCCTGCGCTGCGGAAAAGGAGCTTTCATGGTAAGGTCCTATATTACTTATGATGCTTGTGACGCGGATGTTGTACTGTGCTGGAGTCTCTTGCTGGTCTTGCTGGAGCAGCAGTAGCTGCATAGACGGTATCTTTTTGAGTTTCTCGAGAGCCAGGTGAAGGTCCCTATTATACGAAACGGGCTCGATATCTGAGAGCTGCCTTGACTGCAAAGCCTCCCACTGTGCGATGAGTCTACCATCTTCAACCTGTTTTAGTGGACGGCCCTCGCTCCATGAATCCCATCGGCGTATTATATCTTCTCCTTCTATTTGCAGAAATATCCCTGACAACGAGCGGCGGCAAGCTGCGTTTGGGAGAATCCCTGCTGCCGAGATGGAAGGAAATGAAGCAATACGATCTCGCAAAGAGGCATCAGCAAGACCTTGGATAAATGCATAGCAGACTCTATTTAGAATATCCCAGTCGGACTCGGTAAGGTCTCTCCAATTCGAGGCGGTAGCGTCATACCCCCCAGCCCTTCGCAAAACACGCTTGGCTAGGCCATAGTAGGAATCAAGAGAATGTTTGGGTCCTTGTTGGAGTTGAAAGCGCCGCGTCTCGCCAGAATCCTTACAGATAATCTCAAATTCGCCCACAGAGTCTGATCCAGCATCAGCTGCTCCGCTATGTGTGTGAACATCATCATCGCCACCATGATTAGAGCCATCGTTATCATGCTCAGCTTCGGTGGCTCCGGGTTGCGCATCGTTGTCAATACCGCGTTCCCATTTCTCCCGCTCTTCCAAGAGGCCTTTGAGGAGATTCTCAGGGGGGAGCTCGCAAAGTTTGATAATTGGAACTCTAGTACGGCTCAGAAGCCTCGCGCCGAGACCAGCTTCTAAGAATGCCTTTTCAATTAGGCGAGGTATGGGAGATCCAGGGGCATCAGGCGGAAACCTAGATAGAGGTGATACGAGACCGAGATCCAAATCCGAAGCTTTTGTGGCAAATCCAGAAGAAAGGCTGCCGAAACACCTTAATTCCACAGAATATGGTGGGATCTGATTGCCTGTGCCTTGCTGTTCCTCAAACCGGCAGATAACCTCACGACAAATTTGTTCTATTCGCTGCCGAAAGGCTTCTTTCCCCGCTATCTCAGACCTGTCGATTTCGGAATGAGCTACGACTTGGTGGGAAAGTTCGTCCAGTAGACGGGCTTGGTTTGCGATTTCCTCTGGCCGAACGTAAGAACGTCGATGGCTATGATTGTAGATTGATCCTGTGCTCTGGTGCGCACTGTGAGATGGTCCTGTATTAAACGGCCTCGCTGACGGCGAATGTTGGTACGCAGACCTATTTGCAGGCGATTGTGGAGGACCGTTCCATGAGTTACGCGGACGGTCGAATTCTGAGGCCCTTGGCACTGGCCAAGCTTGAGGCTGCGAAGCTGTCCATTGGGAATTGGGCCTGGCTGTATGGGGATACTGAGGGACCTGTGGCGGCGACTCAGGGGCGATTGCAAACTGAGATGCCATCTGTCGCCGCTGAGCTTGATTTGGGCGCTTCCGGCCGGCCTTTGGGGAAGGGTGCCCCTGCTGGGATGTGGTGTCAAAGGCCATCTGGTTTGCCGAATAATTGGAATTGGCATGTTGCTGTCTCCAATTCATTGAAGAACTTGGTTGCATGCCGGGCATTGAAGGCGGGTGTGGTGCTGCGACTTGAGGGCGAGTGTCTGCAGACATAAAGGGAGCCGGGCTGAGGTTTGGATTGGCGTTTGTGAGAATCAGGTTTCGGAGGTGACCCTCAAGTCCCAAAGCCGACCCATCACCAGCGATGCCGCGAGGCTCTTTTTGAGTAGGCAGCATCTTGTTCTTAGGCGTGTCGCCCAAAGCAATGAACCTGATGAGTGAATCACCGTGGTGGCAATGCGAGCGAGGCTATAGCGTTCAGCGCTTTGAAAGCTTCGATCTCTTCCGCCTACCACATCGATATAACTGATATTTTCGGGCAGCTACCTTTTTGCAAGAGATGCAGGTGAGGAGTAACGAGGAAGAAAAACAAAGCAAATACTATAGGTTGATAAATAATGAGGGGAGGCACACAGAGGTACTCTTTGTTCAAGGCTGCAGAGGGATCCAAGGCTTGTGTTCTGCTGTGTAGGCTGTGATGCGGCGTGAGAACCACACGGTAGAACGGCCAGAGTAAATAAACAATAATGGTCAGATTTGCGTAGAATAAGTATATTCTGTGTTAGTGTTTAAACAAACAGCGCGAGGCAGAAACTGGCCTTCTTTTCCAAGGGCAAAGTGTCGAGTTTGAGCCTGTTTCTGGCAACGAAGCAAGTACTGGAAAGTACTGCGCTTTGGAGAAGTGGAGGATCCAGAGCCAAACAAAGAGCTGGTAGCGCAGAGCTATCGCTCTACTGAGTCTAGTGCCGCCGAGGTGCAGCACTGTTTAAGGCTCTCGCCAGCGGCTTCCTGGTCACTCGCAGCTTGAATCGGCCTCAGCCGCGTCTTGCTTGCCCCTCTATTGCCTACTGCGAGGCAGGAATTACAAAGGCAATAATTTACGCCAAAGTGTAGGTAACATTAATCAATTTTTTCTTCTTCTAAATACATACCATATACAGCCTATATCAGGTGGATACCAGCAGATTCTACCAAGGCTAAGAATACAATGGAAACCGTCCATGTAAGTATAACTAGGACCTGCTAGCAGTACATAGCATCTCCACCTTATCAGACTTATCTTACCTGTTCCTCCCTCGCAGTCACAATGCTGCCATACCTTGGTTATTGTTTTAAATTTACAATAGCATTGCCTAGTAGATCCTTGAGGAGAGACCATAGAATAGCCTGCGTCAAGAGCCTTACAATAAAGTATCAAGGCATGCATAAATGAATACGTGAATAGAAGCAAGCACGTGTGCATGTACTAGCTCTGCATCTCTGGACAATCAATTAGCGCGACGTCAAGCTCTGCCTTTGTCATCGAGCCGTCATACCTACTAGTAGTTAAGAGGTGCCCACGCCGCGGCAGTTCTCCGGCTGGTTGCCGAACAGAGAGCTAAGTTACTGCCTACTACTAGGCGCTACCAAGCCTCTCGCGATCTGCTACTCTCTTTCACCTTTCGCATCCACCAAGCGTCTTTCCTCCCGTAGCTGTGCCTATTCGATAGCAGCATTCTATGCCCGTCCGCCAGACACAGTAGCAGCTATAACAGCGTCTATTGCGATCTTTGTTACGACGCCTTTTTACCTAGTGCGCTGCCGTGATTTGCCATAGCTCTTTGTTTAGCAGCGGAAGCACGACAAGCTCGTGCCACAAGGCTTCGTGCCTTTTCCCTCGATTCTAATCTTAGTAGTCAATGCTCGCCCCAGCATCAAAATGAGCGCGCCTTCCGGAAACCCCAATGGCCCGCCACGGACCCAAAAACCGAATCCTCTACGCCCTCTTCGGAAGAAACCTGTCAACCCACTTGTCTCGTCATCACGCAAGCCAGTTCCTAAACCCAATCGACCGCCCACAAATAACGCAGCGTCAACGTCGGCGCAGGCCACAGCAAATGGAACCAAGCCCAATATCGAAGAGCTGCGAAAACAGTACGGCGGATGGAGCGAGCCGCCCCCTCCTTACCCTTTCAATGATATACCCATCATGACAACCAAAAAAGCTTTGCTCAATGGAATCCGATATCACCTCATGAAGTTCTCTCAGACCAAATTGGGCGACAAACCTATTGATCCGACGGACCAGGACGAATTTGCTAGGCCTGTAACTCTACATCGACGTGATGCCCGCCAACCGCCCCCAGGAAGAGTTGTGAAGGAGGAGGAACCCGAACGACCACCAGTAGATGAGCAAGAGGCTGAAAGGATGGCACAGATCAAGGCTGAAAGAGAAGCCCAGAGAGCTATCGATCAAGCTAAGATCGCGCCCGTAGCCAAAGAGGTCGTTCCAAAGCGACCAAAGAAACAGAAGGAAGAGAAAACCATGTTCAACCGGGCCCCAAAAACATCGGCCGCGAAGAAAGAGTCTGATTTGAGATATGAGGAGGCTCTGCCGTGGCACTTGGAAGACGCAGATGGGAAAAACGTGTGGGTTGGTAGCTACGTGGCTGCCCTTTCTGAATCTAGCGTCGCCTTCATGATTGACAAGTCGGTCTTTCGCATGGTTCCGCTGGAAAAAAGCTACAAGTTCAATGCCAAGCCGCCCTTCCAACCTTTCACAATAGACCAAGCGGAGGCTTTCATGAACCGCAAGGTCGACGTCGGCCGTTGGGTTATGAAGGACGAGGAGAAGAAGGCGGGCTTGAACGATCTTGAAGCTACACGACGGATGCTGTACGGACGGGGGCAAATGATTAAGACGGAAAGTGATACTTTCAAGGCTGCTTCACGCGCGGAGAAGATGGAACACGACGAGCTTGACATCTCGGGTGACGAATTCCAGGATGATGATGAGGCCCCGCACTTTGAACGAAACGATGATGAAGATACGAAGGATTCTAAAGAGCGAATTCGGCGTGAGCAGCTGGGAGCGAACCTGTTTGGTGAAGGAGACGAGCAGGAAGTCGATAAAGAACTGCAAGAGCAGCTAAGAGAGGAGCTGGAGAGACAAAAGTATGGCAAGACAACGAAGAAGGCTTTAATCAAGAGAGATCGAGAAGATATATATGAGAGTGACGACTCCGGTTCCAACCCCTGGAGCAGTTCGGTAAGTTCAATCTTTCTTCAATCTTAGCACTGACGCATTGCTTATACCACGCCCATAGAGCGACGATGACAGCTCCGACGAAGAAGAGGAGGCTGGAAAAGAAGACGAGAAAAAGGAAGGAGAGAACAAAGATGGCCAAGGCGATAGCAAAGATAAGTCTAAATCGCAGAGTGCGAAAGGCTCCACCACTCCACAAGGCAAGCAGAAGCTCTCTGAGATGAGCAAGAAAGGGAAATCGTTGAAACGCGCCGGTTCGCCTGCTTTATCAGAGTCAAGCGGCAATGAGTCGACTAGAAAAAAGCTGAAGAAGGCATCGGGAGCGGCTACTGATAGCCGACCAAGCACTCCTGGATTACAGACTAACACTGTCCGCCGTCCTAAGATTACTGCAGGCTCTGGGAGTGACGGTGAATTCACAGCGGGCGAGATGTCAGATGGAGCGATGCAGAAGAAGAAAATCAAGCTCATTGGCAGCTCAAGGGGAACGCCTTCCGCATCCAGGGCGGGTAGTCCAAATCCTGCTCAAGCTGGTGAGCTCATGTTCCTCCCCTAAACACCATCCCCTATCATTGTTTATACTAATAGCTTATGAATCAGGTGCTTCTCCCTCCTCGTCTGGTGGTCTGATTGAATCGTGGGAAATTTTGGAAAAGATACCTGCAGATGGAATCACTATTGGTGATCTCATCAATCTATTCCAGGGTCGCGTTGGGGATGGTCCGGGCCGAATGCCCAGGCAAGAATGGATCGGCCTTGTTAAGCAGTTGTGCGACTATGGGCCGGATAAGCGCCTGCGCCGTAGAAAATGAGGATGCCCTCGATCCAAGATGACAAACCTGGCTGGAAACTAACTGCGTTGGAACCTTGAGGTTGTTGAGACACTGATTGCGAGTTAATCGCAAGCCTCACGGCGGGTTAAACTTTTTCAAAAAAAAATTTCTAATATTTTTTTAAGAGAACGAATTATAGCGACGACGCGTCGAAAATCACGATGAACTATGGAATCCTAGTTCTCGTAGGGTATCTCATGATATAAAGTATACTATGTATCATTATTATTATCACTATTCATCCATTTGCCAAGCGTAATCCAATCCCTTGTTCCGTTCACGGCGATTTATTGCCTTGAACCGCTCTGCTTCGAGCCCGTTGCCTCTGTCCACGCCATCCCATCGGTATCCTGGTTTGATGCCATATCGATTGGGGGCTGCAGTCCCTGAATAGACTGGCCGGCGCTTTGAATTCTTGCCTCCACGACTTGTATCTTTCTCAGCCATAAACTGTGCCATAGGATCATTCCATCTCGACTGTTCTTTGAGCTCTCTATTCATGTCTTCGTCGTCAGCCTTCCGGGCGAAGGTCATGAGCTTTGCATCTTCCAGCTCCTCCCTTCGTCGTCTCGCATTCTCTTGCTGAACATCACCCTTTAATGATTCGATGGCAAGCCTCTCCTTTTCCTCAGCCTCAGCCGCCGCGCGCCTTGCCTCCGCTCTCTTCATAGAAATATCGATTCTTCGTCCGGTGGCATCTCGATAAACTGTCTCTTCTTCTTTTGCATTTTTCCGGTGGCGCTCAAAGTCTTCTCGTTCCTCTTGCTGCCGCCGTCTCAATTGCGCTGAGACTGCGGCGGCGCTCTGTAAACCGGCATGCGTTCCATCGCTCATTTTCACCACGCTTCCATTGTCTTCGACAATCGGCATCTCATCGTCGGCGGCTCTCGCTGCATCATTCTCTGCTGCGGCTGAGGCGATGATTGCATCCGCAGCCGCGGCGCTGTCGTCCTTGTCTTGGGCATTTCCACCATTCCCTACAGTTTTCCAACTGCTTTTCTTCGCTTTTCTGAATTCAGCTGTTGTCCCAGTGACGGTCAATGGGCCATCCTCGTCTCCGTCGTCTTGTGCGGCGCCATTATTCCAGGCTGTATCGTCGTCGTCGGTGATTAGTAGGCCTGAAGTTGCATCTGCTTGCTTGCGCTTTCGCTTCTTTGACGATGGTTTTGGATCAGCAACTAGATATTTTGACGCTAAATAGCTAGAAAGATCTGATGGCATATCGATAGCAAAGTATAGCTTCAAATACTTTAAAGCTACTTTTTAATCACGAAATAGATGATGGAGAGATGGACAAGAAGTTGATATAGAGCTGCTACTATAATTGGATAGCAGGTAGTAGTACTACTATGTAGGTACCTGGCTATGCACATATCGAAGCTGATCGGAGAACGGAGAGCCGACACCCCGGTACAGTCATATGGGGCGGTGCAAGTACGTAGCAGAAGTCGGGGCTTTTGATATCATATGAGAAGCCGATCGTGGCATCAAGGCAAGTGACATCTCCCGACGCCCCAGCGCCAGCACGCTTCGCAAGCGGAATATGCAGAGCCGTATCACAACGTCAGACCTTCGCGACCCTACTCTGATCCCTCGCTCCGCATGAAGTCACCACAAGCGCCTGAATTGTCTGCGCGGAACCACCGCACCAAGTCGCCTTCATGCCACGGCCTCAAGATGAATCGTCTACGGAACCGATTCAGGCGCTGCCCGCCGCGGCCTCCGCCGCAAAATTCTCTTATATGAGGCATTCGACCTCGACGATTGAACCTTTTCCAACGTCCCCGTCGGAATCATCGCTCGTCTTTCGAAAATCGAACCCCTCTGCAGCCTCTTTATACGCCTCGACATTATCCCCTCCAGGATCAAGGTCTATGTCGCCTGCGGGGCGGGGATCCCCATCAAGAGTCCTGTCAAGCACTGTATTTGACATAGGCCAGAACCGTGTGTTGCCAGAGAATGTCGGAGATGATCCTGGCGAACCACTGAATCTGATCCTTAAATCATTTGTGCCTCATGTGTCTGTCTGTGCTTCACGCGATACAGAGGCTTTAATTCGTGAGAAGGGTTTCCAGAATGGACTATGGGAGTTATTGCGGCCTTTTGGGGAGAATATCCAGGGAAAGGTAAATATTAGGGATAGCAACGGTGTTGGACGAATATTTGAAGACTTTTCTATACGGTTCACACGGTTTGGCGAAAACATAGAGCGTCCAGATGCGCTATCGTCTGGTTCTCAGCAAGCTTCGCCGCTGCGAAATCCAAACGGAGTGCCAGAAAGAAGTGCCGATAATAGATCGGCCATAAACGATATCGAAAGCGTTGTTGAGCGACACCTTTCTTATGCAGAGGAATCGTTTCTTGGAATGCCGCACCAGAGTATCATGATGAGATATGGCTCGGATTCTGAGGCTGCTTCACCATACTATGCTTTGTATTTACGGCGACTTCTATCAGGATTGCCCATCTCGGCACACGAAACCTTTGCTCATCCCGTAGCTTGCATCATAGCTATCAGCTCCCGCAATCCCGCTCCTATTGAAGAGCTACGGAGACTGTACTCTGAAACCAGCCAGGGCGAGAAGAAATTGCCCTCGTGGGTAGATGGGGATTACCTGAGATACTATGTATTGGTTCATGATGAGGAGAATGATGACATTACGAGATCTATGGGCTTATTTGAGCAAATGAAGCGGCACCTTGGACTTCATTGCCACTTGTTGAGGCTACGATGTAGCCAGAGTGTGGAAACGGACGATGATAGCATCCCTCTCCCCCGAAGCGATTGGATGTCTGCACCTGAAGAGTTGGCAGAAATCCGGCGAAGCGAGAACGATGAGGATTTTGAAGATCCATCACGATACATTTTTGAATCTGATGCTACTGCTATCCGCACGTTTGTGCGCGAAATGCTAATGCAATCGATTATTCCTACCATGGAACGCCACGCCACGATCTGGAACGACCAAGTTGCCTCTAGACGTAGGGGAATCACCGGAAGATTTATGAGCTTATCAAAAAGATGGACAGGGTTCGGCAGCAGTTCGCGGTCCTCATCCAGCAGCAACAACGTCAATACCAGCAAAGACGGCTATGATCCCTCGGGCTTCTACCGTGCTGATACATCGGAAGCCATCATGAGGAAACTAGCTGATTTTGCCTTTATGTTGCGCGATTGGAAATTGGCTCATTCGACCTATGACCTACTGCGATCCGATTTTAGCGAGTCAAAGGCTTGGAAATACCACGCCGCAACGAACGAAATGGCTGCTCTTAGCCTGCTCCTCATGCCACAGCAATTAACATCTAAGAGCCGCGCGGAGACTGTGGATCAAATGCTAGAGTCTGCATTCTATTCGTATAATACACGGTGCAGCTCTCCATATGGGGCGACGAGGACTTTGATTTTGGCCCAGGAGCTTCTACGACTAAGAGGAGGCTCCAGTATCGATGATGCCGCACGATGGTGCACTCGTCTACTTGAATCAAAGATCCTGGGTAGGATTGGAGATGCCCTAGTCAAGGAGCGGTTGGCGATTTGCTATGCCTCCAAGCCAGGTGTCGGCAGTTGGAGCTGGGGCAGTCGACGGAGAAAGTCAGCAGCCTGGAGCGTCTTTGCTGCAAGAGCCTGGGCCCAACAATCCAAGCATATTCCGGCCCAACGATGCCTGAATGAAGCCAAGAGAATGTACGAAACGCTGCCGCACGGCCAAGGTATATCGCGCTTCGCAAGCGCTCGGGAGACGATGGACTCGCTGCAGCGTGAGCTAACAGAGAAACTGGAATTTCCGGCTGGGCATGATCGGAGCATACCAGAGGACGCGATTGACGATGGCATAGACGAAGAGAGCGAGGCGTTGACCGATATGCGCTCAAGGAGAGCAAGCAATCTAGCCCGCGGCGGAGCGTTGGAAACGGCACCCCTGCACAATGAGGAAATGAGCAAAGATACCAATGAAGATATAGATAAAGAGGGTTTTGAATAGGATAATGGAATTGGGTTAGTTACGAGGAGGATAAATGGATCAATGGTTACAAGCGCTGATGAAAGACGAGCCGTTCAAAGACATGGACTATTGGGAGGCTTTTCGTCTTTGTCTACTTTTCGTCCGAGTGTCATGTTATTAATGGGCCGTTACTAATAATTAGCCTTGTCTTGAACGACGTTGTATCTATCAGTTCTGAGCGTAGATGAATGAAAGGCAGGCCTTTTTTTACTTGTAGATAGACCATGTATCTACTAATGCGCTTGCAATGCTTTTGGACTTATAATGTACCTAGTGGGATCACCAAAGTGACACAAGTGGCTGAGAAGAGTGATATCACATGCACCAAATAATCGGGCAGTAAAGCTAAAGCGCCTTAGCGGCGGCACAGCTCCCGCAAGGAACGTTTGCCTGTCATCACACCAAACACTCCAGCAGCTTGTATTAGTCGCGAGACAGTACACGTGCAGTTCCTTCATCAATGCTTATGAGAAGCATCTAGGAAGCGACATCATAGGCGCATCTGTTTGCGGCGCGTGGAATTGAAATAGCTGTTGCGATTCTCTTGTAGAATCAAAATGGGCGAGCTAGCTGATTACTTGGTCGAGCACGATCCAAACTTCCGCAAGTAAGCGATACTCAATCCGATTGCATCATCCAATTTTCTTTGGACGATCGCGTAGTGCTCGTACTGACTGTGGCAGAACTCGACTCCCTGCGCTGTATTCCGACTTTCGCTCGCAAAAGACTCTGAATCCAGATGGCTACCACGCGAACATCTCAGCCTGGCTACTTGCTCTCGCGAGGCTAGCCTCTGAAGGGCTATTATCTCGCCAGGGCTCCAAGTCCAGCGCCCTCGTTTTCGATATCGACGAATCACTACGACGGTCGCTAAGTAGCAAACAATTCGGCCAACCATTGGCGCTCGGCACTGTCATAAACGAAGCGCTGGCACAAAAGGATCTGATTCCCCTGCAGACCTTTCTGCAGTCAACCCAGAATATATACCACCACCAGCAGGGTTGGTCGCAGGTGCCATGGAATGTAATGGGATGGGCCCTGCGGCAGATAGGAGTTATCGACCCGACTCGAGGCGAAGATAAGATACCCAAGGGCAATTACGTTGTCATGAAGAATGTAGAAGCAACCAGCCGGGAGCTGGGAGAGACCATTGCCGAAAGAACATCACGGTATGACCGAGTCTTCACGCGGGCCCAATTTCAAGCACTATTCGAATCAGTGCTGGCTAAAGATCAGCGACTGTCTGGGACAGATTTTGATGTGTTACTGAAATTCCTCTCTCGAGATAAGGATATGATCGAATACAATGGCGACATTGTCCGCATCCAGGGAGTTGGTGAAGAAAGAGGGATCACCGAGGAGGATGCGTCTATCGCATCCATAAAGGAGCTGGTGGGCAGCCTGGAACATCAAGTTAATCTGCTTAACAAGCGGATAGACGAACTAGATCAAGAGGCAAAGAATGCAGTCCTACGGAAGAATCGCGTAACAGCCTTAGCAGCGCTCAAATCGAAGAAACGAGCCGAATCTTCTTTATCAACACGTTATGCCACTCTGAACCAGCTTGAAGAGGTAGCTTCGAGGCTACAGCAGGCTTCTGACCAAGTACAGTTGGTCAAGGTTATGGAATCATCGGCCAGTGCGCTGGAGAGCCTCAACGCCCAAATTGGTGGCTCCGAAAGGGTCGAGACTACAATGGATCATCTCAGAGAGCAAATGAGCGCGACGGATGAGTTGACTGCCATTTTGTCTGAGCCCACTGGCATCGTTGTGGATGAAGGGGAGATTGATGATGAGTTGGAGGCTTTGGAAATGGAGCAGAAGAAGGAAGAGGAAGAGAAGCAACGCCGTAAGGAGGAGGCCAGGGAAGCTGCTAAAGCTAGAAAGGAGCTGGATGAGCTGCCATCTGTGCCAACAGAAGAGGCAGAGAGGATGGGGGCGCAATCACCAACAAGAGCGACTGGTATTGCGAAGCTGACGCTCGATGGGTAGAGGAGAAATAGGTTGTAAGAGGAAGGGTCATCATTCGGAATATACTCATGAGCTGGAATTACAAAGGCTTTTTTTGCAAGGCAGGGCTGTATACTGATTTCAAGGTATAGGTATGGGCGTGATGGATGGATACACACGTTCTATTCTTTGACAAATAGCATGAGCAAAGGGTCGTTATAGTTTCAATAGAAGCAATATTCAGTAGTAGGATCTTGCGAGATTTGCGCTGTAATTTCATTATATTCATTCATAATTCCCAATCAACTACGCTCAAACCAGATGGGTATCATTGCTTTTTGGTATCAGAATATGCACACGCTAATATTTATCTACTTCCAGCTATATTACGTATTTCTGACGCTTCGGCTGTTGGTATTTGGTCTATTGGCCGTTGTGATGCCTCCCAAGCCATTGGTTCAGCAACGTTAGGGGGTAGTGATTGTAGATCCGATGCGTCTCCTGACTCTTCTCTATTTCCTCGGGCTGCTGAACTGCTAGAGGCTGGCGGTTGGGATGATGAAATAACCATCAAGTCTGGAGGCTGACTTGTTGAGCTCTGCGGCTGATCGCTGGTTGATTTATTTGCCTCCTCCAATTTCTTTTTTGCCGCCTCTCCATTTCTACGAGCGCTCGCAATGAGGTCTCTAAATGAAGAGTCGTGCTTAGCTGCCCATGCAGCACCATCAAAGTCTTTGTCCTTGATCACCGCCGCAGTCTGTATTACTCGGCCAGAGGTGGGTGCTCGGCCACCCTGTGTGCGCTCCCAGATATCCAGGTCGTGGAGCAGCTCTGAGCGCTTCTTCGGCGTAGCCGCATCGCAATTCGCATTCCATAGTGTCAACCACTCTTTATGGCGCTTTTCCAAGAGAATGCGAGGTCCTTGATTGTTGAGCCCTAATTCTAGCATTTTTTTCCGCAGCGCCTGCTCTTTTAACATGGAATAGTTGAGGGGAGGGAGTCGCTCGAGTGTCTTTTGCTGTTTCCGCTGAGATTGCCCGAAGGAAAAGGTATTTTCAGAATCAGTATTGTTGCTCGGACTATTTGCCGCCGCCGAAGGACCTGGGCACGATTCCAGATGCCCAAATACCTGCCATTCCTTCATCTTTCTGTTACACATGGGACAGGGCACAAGACCATTCGCTGCGAAAGTACATTGTCAGCCGTGACGTCGGGAACCGAAGATGTGTATGTGCACTCACGAGTATCAGGCACATATTCCTCGTCATCGTCCTCGTTATTCGAATCAGGAACAGTCTGTTCTTCAGCCGTCATTGTCGGAGTCGTTGCTATTGCCTGCTCTCCTCGACTTTTGCTTAATCTAGCTGATGTGCGCAGTCTCTTCGGTTCGTGCGCATGCGGAGACGCCTCGATCGCTTTCCTTTTCGGCGATTGGCTTCTCGGCCTGTGATTGCGCGCAAGACTCAGCGCAGTCACCCGTGCTTTGGTAAATGCTTCTACTGTTTCCTCCATGGACCAGTTGCTTCGAAGTTTCAACTCTTGCTCCGTCGAGCGACACATGGGACATTTGCCATCGTTGGACAGTGCCCTCCGAATACAGATGGAGCAGAATGTATGCGAACAGGAGGTGATCATCGGTGTCTTGTAGAAGTCTTTGCATACTTGGCATCGCAAGGCGGCTTCAACAGCTGCGAAGCCAGATAGTGGCGTCGAGAGCCAGTCGGTTGAATCTGGAACATCGTCGGAGGCGGCCATAAAGGCAAGCAGGTCTGAATATCCAAAAAAGAAGAAAATGAAAGCAAATGAAAACTATTTGGATTCGCTATACTTTTACAAATCGCGGCGTCGTCAATGCTCCGGTTGTGACAGAGGAGGGGAAAACAAATTATTCTCGAATATTGGCTGGCAGCGCTGAGCAAGGCAAAGACAAAGCTTACCATTAACGACCAGGATTCTGAATGCGCCGTCGTCGCGACCGACGCGTTGGAGAGACGGAATTTCATCTACTAAATGCATATACATATTACATGCATAGCTAAATGCAGCGGCCGGAGCGGCCCTCAAGGTTGTCTGTCTGCGTTAAAGAGGTAAATATGCTACAAAGCGAGTATATCAAATGACGGCCACGTGAGTTCGTGTTAAGTGCTGAACGCGCGTGGGCCCAATTGGAGAGCTGCCAGGTCGAGACTGCAAGCTTGCGTGCCCAGCTGTACGGAATAATCTGCCATTTATCTGGATTGTAGACTAGACCAAAGAGCGCAGCCATGGACGATACCCAGAAATACCTCTCCGATCGGCTCTTGAGTGAAGAGGTGCCGGTAAGTAGAGATGCGCTTTTCTTCAATTGCTGCAATACGTGCTGGGGTTCTCTAAACTAAGAATCTGTGTTTGGCGCAGGTGACATATCGTCTGCTAAGCAGAGCGCTCAACCTTCGGGTGAATGTTGCTAAACAGTGAGTTTGGCCCTCTTTATTTTGTTATGAATTGCATATTGATTTAGGACTTAGGAAGCTATATGAATTTTATGAGAGTCAGAATGCTTCTAAAGCAAATTCGATTCATGCTACCTACCTGATCTATGGGTCCAAAACGGAAGACCGAGAGCCAGAGAATGGCGATGCTGAGATGGACAACTCAGCACCTGAACCAGAACTCCTCTCTGACTATGCACCCGCCAAAACGGTTACCATAGTAGCGGAAGACGGCCTAAAAGGTCTGATCATGTCGATAGAGTATGCTGTGACAGTTTGCTAATAGTCTACTTAGATGCATTGGCCGAATATGAAGAAGTCACGTCTCTGCATATTTATAGCCTAGCTCCATTCCCTCAAAGAGACCTGGCACTGCTCTCTGACGTCTCAAAGTCGCTGTCTGAGTATAGAAAGGTTGAGGATGCTGCGAAAATGCTGGATACCTACGGATTAATCGCGAATCCCAAAGCCCGCAAGAAGGACCGGAAGGGTCGTCCACCAGTTTCGGTCCCGGCCCCAGCCCCGAGTGCACATAAAGCTGTCAAACAGGAGACACAATCGGCTACGCCAAAACCTAGTCAAGCGGAGAAAGTCAAGCAAGAGACTAAAGAAGCCACATCTGCTGATACTACTCCAACATCGAGTGCTGGAAAGAAACCTCCCCCATCGTTAAAGAGGGGTTCTTCTGGAGGTATCATGCAGTCCTTTGCTAGGGCAGCAGCGAAACCACCCAAGCCTAAGCCGGAACCCAAGCCAAAGGAAGAAGATACCAGTATGGCCCTATCTGATGATGGTGAAGCTGACGAAGAGGATTTACCCGATTCCAAGTCAATAGACTTGGAGGCACTGAAACGAACAAGAAAGGAACGTGAAGAGCAGCTTCTGCGTATGATGGAGGATCCTGAAGATGAAGCAGACGAAAAGGAAGAGCCCAAAAACGAAGATGAGAATGAGAAATCAGATGAGGAAATGGAAGAGGCCTCTGAGCCCGAGCCCGAACCCGAACCTGAACCCGAACAGCCTAAGGAGGATAAAGAACCTGCAGAGGTGATATCAAATTCTAGCAATGGCCGCCGAAGAGGCAAGCGGCGAGTCATGAAAAAGAAGCGCATATTGGATGATCAGGGATATATGGGTAAGTTGCATGATCATGTTTGCGCCAGCACATTGCTAAATCCTGTATACAGTAACTATTCAGGAGGCTGCATGGGAGTCTTTCTCTGAAGATGAAGTTCCCCCACCAGCCACGAAGCCGACACCCACGGCAACACCCGCTTCATCAGCACAGAAATCAAAAAAGGCAGCACCCGCTACAAAGAGTGGGAGTCAAGGCAACATCATGTCATTTTTCTCAAAGAAGTGACATGCCAACCTCGTATTAGACAAAGGGACCAGGAAAGAAACAGAACCAATACCATACGTCTACTTTATATGTAATAATTCATGTGTTGTTAATAGAGGCTTAGAGGTGGTATCTTGATGCTTGGCCGTGGGTATTACTTCTTCCTCGTTTGTTTTATTTCAAAGGCCGTTTAGTTCTTTGCTAGCAGTTAACCTTAAAGCGGAACTATATTTGCTCATCTCAGGGGCAAACAACCATTCATTGGCTTGTGAAATGGCCATGCCCCTGTCCTTCCGATGTGGTGGGTTTCCACCCGGAGCCACCCGCCCACATCCCGATTGAACTGACGCGGCATTGGTGTTCTCATGTTGTAGTGTTGATGTACCCTCCAGTTCTATTCCAAGTTTCCGCGTCACCCTATAGGGGAAGATGACGACGACAGTGTTGCATACATGGCCCTGCCATATTTGATAGAATGGAGTGCCTACAAGAGAAGAAGCATATATAAATATATATATATTCCCGGTGCTAGGACTTTGTTTATGAACCTGGAGAACTAGTAGCATACTCATTCATCTTCACAACCTCGGCTTGTCTCAGAATATCAAGAAAATCACATCTCGATTGAGTATATTGTGTGCCTATATTTTTCCACGGAGACGGGACCCTCTGAATCTGTGACCATGCGTTTCTCAGCAATCTTCTCAGGCGCGATGCTCGGCGTCGTCCTAGTCTCGGCTCACCCCGGGCATGATATTGGAGCTGAAGTAGCTGAACGCTCGACCATACTCAGGAGGCTCACGCGCAAGGATCTTAGTCACTGTGCGGCTAAGTTGAATGTTCGCGGCGTTACGGCTCGGTCCACGAAGCGCAGAAGAGACTTAGCAGCCCAGCATGCGAAAGGCGGAAGTCTAATGGGTATGTGATTCAACATTCGTTCCTTGTCTCTTCAGCTTATTTCGGGACTAATCTGTGAACAGGTCGCACGCTTGATAGCCTTCTCAATGAATCACATCACTCTACGGAGCAATATGGTCTAGAGACATTGGAAAGCACTATTTTCGCTTCGAACAACTCGTGTGTGCTCAGTCCTGAGGTAACCGAGGGTCCTTACTGTCAGTTCAGAACAATACCTTACTGCAGAACACAAACTAGACTAACACAGTACTAGACGTTTCCGGCGAGTATATCAGAAAGAATGTAACAGAGGACCAACGTGGTGTTGGCCTAGTCCTAGATATCCAGGTCCTTGATACGGAAACCTGCGAGCCTGTGACCGGCGCGTTTCTTGAAATATGGCGTAAGTTTTTTCTCTCGTTCCGCGGCCTCAGAAGCCGAAAGTCACCCTAAATAACATCTCATGTGTATATTGTCAGACTGCAACTCGACAGGTGTCTATTCGGGAGTCTCTGCTTCTGGGAATGGCAATAGCGCTGTGGACACTTCGAACCTCAATGCCACCTTTCTCCGTGGCGTTCAGAAGACCGATTCCGATGGTACCGTGCAGTTTGATACGCTCTTCCCAGGCCACTATACGGGTCGAACTACGCACATTCACGTCATGGTACATCTCAACGCAACGGCCGAGACCAACGGAACACTTCTCGACACAAATGCCTCTCACGTCGGACAGATCTTCTTCGACCAAGACCTGATCAACCAGGTGGAGGCCACAGCGGTATACTCGTCCAACACGCAGACACTGACCACCAATGCAGAAGACAGTATCGCCGCTCAAGAGGCAGAAACAAGCGACCCGTTCTTGGAATATGTGCTTCTGGGAACCGACGTGCAGGATGGACTGCTGGGTTGGATCAGTTTCGGCATTAACACGACACTCAGTAAGGAGGTCAACGCTGCGGCGACGTATTATCAAACTGGTGGAGAGTCGAACCCAAATGCTGGCGGCGGTGGTGGTCCGGGCGGTGCTCCTCCAAACGGCACTTTCCCAGGCGGCACTCCTCCGAGTGGCACTCCTCCAAGTGGCACCTCTTAAAGTGTCACGTCAGCTTCATAAGCCTAATGCTAACGTTATGTTATAGGCAAGGCAGCTGTTATTTAGTAAGAAAGTCAGTTGAAAGGAGGTAACCTAGGTAGTTGTTTCTCGCATGGAGTTGAGTAAAGTACAAAGCTGAGAATCGAATCTACTCTTCAGAGTATTTTGTACGATCCATGCGGCCAAACACTAAATACAGGACAGACGATAAGACTGGAAAGGCATCTCTCCACTTAGCAGTTCAAATAGTGATGGTGGATACAGTAATAGCATTTTACATATGTGAGCGCGGAAAAGGAGGCGAAGTATCGTTATGGAAAGACGTTTCTACAACTAGCGGAGCGGGGGAGGACGATGGCGGTAACAGTTCTCATTGCGAAGCGAATAATATATGACTACTTGGAATACCGTCAAGTGATATACAGCTGACACTGGCCATGTAACTAAATATTAGTTGAAATTTTATAGCACTAGCCCATTTTTTGAGGTTTATAAACATGGCTAAGGGAGACCAACCGCAAGATATTCTCATCGAAACATTTAATGTTCCTTAGATTACCTTATTCGCTTGGGTTCAAAATTACACCCAACTACTAACGGGACGATTATTGTCTGAGACTCCGCCTACTAATTTTTCGTAATAACCAATGTTGGCCTGCATTCGTTGTATCAGGAGCCCAAGCCTCCGGATGGCATCGACGAGTGCCTCCTCCGGTTCCCAGGAGAAGCAGAGTCTGATCTGGTTGTCAAACTTGGCACCTTCTTCGTCTCCTCGAACCGCAAACATGCTCCCTCTTCCAAGAACGATATTTTCCTCTTTTAACGCAGCATCTGAGACCAGCAGTCCTGGCGGCCCCTGAGCTAGTGTAAGCCATACGAAATAGCCACCATAAACGTTCTCGCCCTGGATGCTAGATTCGCTTGATACGACACCAAGGGGAGCCAAGTACTGTTTTACAGCGTCCATCACAATCTTGTGCCGCCTTTGTAAAGCCGGCCGAGTCTTGGTCTCGATGAAGTTCGCCAGCTCGCCAGTCCGAATCAAATCGGCTAGCATCGCGGCACAGAGCTGACTTGGAGCACCGCCAGACATAGAAGATGCCGTCTTGGACAGTCCTAAAGCAAAGGCCGGAGTGCCTTCTGCCCATCCCGTCCGAACGCCTGGTCCCGCAATCTTGCTAAAGGACCCATTGCTCACTGTATGTCCAAAACCTTGGGGATCGTTCTCTGCCCGACCCATCGACATGTCGATATCGCACAGCCTGGGGAGTCTCATTTCTGGCGGCCGTTCAGCAGTAGGAGGTCCCTCGAGCGGCCACTGCAAGAAATCATAGACATCGTCGCAGATAACGAGAGCATCGTACTTCCGAGCTAGTTTAACAAGACTCTCGCGTCGGTGGACAGATAGTGTCTTCCCTGATGGGTTGGAGCATGTCGGCACAGCGTAGATAACATGCCTATAGAGCTTTCTATACGGGCCAGGATCTTTGAATGGCTGGGGCTAAAGAAGCAGGAATTGAAAAGCGACTTGTTTCAGCTCTACTGCCGCAAATGTACTCCCACAAACTGGGCCGAAAGGATATAACAAGGAGATATATTCATGGGCGGATTGACTGTTTTGCACTCACCTCTTGATTTGGCTTGCGCTTCTCTGCGCTCTCCCAAGCGACCAGCCTTCTCTCCAGCTCCTCAACATCGAGCCCCTCGTCATCCTCCGGTGCTGCTCTCAATCTTCCCGCAAAGCCCGAGTCCTCGAATATGCCAAACGACAAGTGGTAGCAAGGAGCGGCCATCCACACAACCCTGGTGTAATGCGGATCCGTGAAGCTCTGGAGAATGCACGCCAGATTCTGGCTTGCGCCGCCCGTGATACAAATGCGATTGGCATCTGGCTCAACGCCATAGTGCTGGCCGAGCCACTGGGCCAGCCTCTCCCTCAGCGGCTGGTAGCCTGGGTCGGGTGCATATTGAAGGATGGGGACGCTCTCGACGGGGTCTGCCAGGATGCGCTGGCAGGCTGCTGAGAGGAGGTCTGCGGGGAGAAGATCAGGTGAGGGCCATCCGCGCAATAAGTTGATTTGCTTTTGCTTTGCTGCTGGTGGAGCGTCTGAGCCGGGCATGTTGGCCGCAGAGGTCGTTGCAATGAGGCGCAGGGAAGTGCGTCTTTGAGTGTTGTTTGGAGCTATTAATCTCAATGACAGCCTGCGGTGGGACTTGAATTGGCAAGCTCGTGTTAGTGGAGGGCGTGAATTGCACCGCAATATGGCATGCAAAGGGCGCATGTTCTGGGGTAAGGTCAGCTAGCTCCTGGACAAGGCGATGATGAGGGTGGGACTCATAATGTCATAATGCTATCTAAACTATATAGATACTTTCTACCGAACTTCGGAGACTTGCTCATGCCAAATACAATGTTTATGGAGAAGACTAAATTGTGGAGTCCTTGGTTGAAGCTCAAATGCATGCGTTACCTGAAATGTGGGGTTTACAAATACGCAGACAACTGTATCAAGAGCCGTCGTTGGAATATGAGCTTGAACATGCGGTATTCATTATGCTAATACATAAACATATAACAATCGTATTTACTCGTTTCAATCAATTTGTTTACATCTCATACGGCTCAGCCCCCGGCCCAAAGACCAAATGCGGTTTTCGCTTTGCCAAATCCAAAATCGTCACAGCAAAGACGCCGTTCGCCCAAGCAAACCAGCTTCGCGTGTACTGGTTCACGTAATTGACATCCACGCTCTCGTGAATAAGTCCGCGAGGAGACGCTTTCATCACCAAGTCGATACATGCCTTGATCTCTTTGTCGTCGTTTGAAGTCTGGGCTTGAAGCAGCAGGCTCATGGGCCAAGCATTTTCCAAGCCAATGTGAGGTCCTAAAAAAAAAAAAAAAAAAAAAAAAAAAAGTTAAAACTTCATTGTTTGTCCTCTCAGTTACCGGATTTGGTGGGGAGTAACGTACCTCCAATTCCTTGGAAAGCCTTGCCCTTCAAGTAGTATGGGTTGCCCTTCTTTTCCAACAGCATCTTCCTTGTGTTTTGATATATAGGATCGTCAACGTCACAGAATCCCATCACCGGAAGAGCAAGAAGCGAAGGGTAGTTGGCATCATCCATCAAGATGGAAGAGCCATATCCATCAACCTCATAGGCGAACACATCACCATATTTCTTGTGCTTAACAACACCATGCTCCAAAACTCCAGCGCGAAGCTGCTCGCTCCACTTGGCCAGCTTTCCAGCCAGCGTCGTTTTACCTGCAGCCTGCAGCACCTTGGCAGCCCGACTAAGCTCCACAGACATCATGGCATTTGCTGGAATGAAGAAGCCCAGTATAGTAGCATCGTCGCTTGGTCTGAATGCCGAGCGAACCAGCCCAGTCTCGCTATTCAGCGGGTTTCCGACGCCTTGTAGGTTGAGTGTCTCAGTGCCGGTATTGGTCCACCGCTGGAAAGTGTAGGTGTTTCTTTCATACTGATTCGTTTCCGGATCAAATGTTGATTGTGACTGCTGCCTCAATACCACCAATAGAGTGTCAACGGCGAGGAGCCATCGTTTGTTCACAAAGTCAGTTGACCCGGTGTGGTCGTAAAAGTCATTTCCCAACGCCAAAAAGTGCGCCAGAGAATCAAGCTCGTATTTGCACTCAAACACAGCGCTCGGCTCGTACGCCGGGTGCACCAAGTCGTCCTGACCATTAGCAGAGACGGGTAGTTCGCTGATAGGAGGTGGTTGGAACGCATTGCAGTACGGCGACTGAATGACATACTCGGACTGCGTGTTGATCGCACCGAGTATCAAGCTGAAGATGGCGGGGTCCTTCTTGGCTAGAGCTTGGTAAGGACGAAGCTGATTTGTCGAATCACGCAGCCACTCTACAATGATATCTCCGGTAATGATAAACGACTGGGGTCCCTCCCATGCGCCGTCGTCTTGCCGCCGCCCGTCAAGGCGGACAAAGGCCGTTTCTTTGTCGCCATTCGTATGGAATTTCACAGTTGTATCCGTGGTGGAGGGGAATGTATTCTCGAAAAGGCGTGCCAGATCTGGATCCTTGATCCGAGACGTTACTTCTTTGATGACCCTCTCGATTTCGTCCGATTGAAACGTCCGGCATTGTGGACTGGGTCGCTGGAAAGGCAAGGCGAGGGGGCCAGTGCTGAAGGGACGACTGTGTTTTTGGTCAGTTCTCAATGCTCACATGATATGAGAACAGGTATTGTGTAGGCTGGAGACAAACTGCGGATATGTAGAGTAAAGGGCATAATCAGGACAGAAGTCGGCGTAGTTGGGCAGCGGAACTTGCGAGTCGTCTCGGCCAAGGGCCGGCGTCACTGCGCCGATGCCCAGCAGTGCGATCGCGAAGCGCTGGAGAGACATTCTGGCCGTTTGCTGAAGTTGAGGCGACCCGCCAATGCGATGTCTCCCTCCTCCAATTCCGACTGCTATAGATGGAGGCACAAGAAGAATGGCCGCTTCGTAGGGACTGTGTAGAAGCGCTGGCTGACAGCAGCTGCAACAAGGGCCTGCATGCACTGCAGAATCCCCCACTATCGCACTATCGCCCCCCAGAGCTAAGACAGCTTTAGCTGCATTGCCGCTCTCGGAAGCTATCAGCTTCTCAACTACGTCATTAAAGATGAGTGAGCCTCGATTATTACTTTCCAAGGCTGCCAACAATCACGGATTCCGTTGGATGTGACAAATATGTCCTATTTACGATAGAAGATACAACGAAGAGCATTGGAGCGCCCAGGCGAACGAGTGGCACAGCCCCAGTTAACACGTATCTATTCAAGTTCAATGGATGGCTTCCAATGAAAATTCAAGGGCCAAAAGCACATATGGGATAATTCGCATTTGGTAATGTATCTTGAGTTAAGGGTATCATCAATATAAGAGTAACTTATAACAGGAAAAAGAAAAGGGATGAGACATCCATTGCGCTCAGTACAGACAAAGCTATCAACATCAAACCTACTCAGCGCCTATGCCCCCAAAAACTCCTATAAACAATAAGGTATACAATCATATCTGCTGCCAAACCAACACTTACATCACCAACCCCACGTACGGCTTGATGCTGTAAACACCGGTGGCTTCCACTGGATCTTCTGGGGGTCAAGAACTCTCTTCCGTTTGAGCTTTTGCTTTTCCCGCTGCTCAATAAGTTTCTCCGGTATCACGATTTTGTGATCGCTCTTGTGATACACTTGCATTTTCATGGCTTGTAGCGTATGCTCCACATCCTGCGTCGTCATTGCGAGAGCCGTCGAGATGGCTTCAATCGTCGCCTTCTCATCTCGCTCGTTGTAGCCTAGTAGTAAATCCAGAATGTTTTCAGACCAATACTGACGGTAACTGAGGAGACCAAGATCAGATAGAGGCTTTTCTGGAGAGCCAAGTTTGCCTTCAATCTTAGACAGCTCATATGAGAACTGAATCAAGAGACGACCGTAGCCCTTTCGCTGATATTGTGGAAGTGTCAGAATACAAGCCACATTGTATGCATCAGCACTTTCCTTCTCCTTGGAAAAGTATCCTACGATATGGCATCCCTTATCCGTTCGCATTGTCATGACGTAGAACAGGAAGGGATCTACATCGTAGTAGAGTGTCTTGTGGTCGAGAAACATCTTGGATAAGAGACACAGATTGCGACACCAGGTCCGCTGCCGCCGTCCATCAATCTCGAAAAAGGATACGTAGTCGTCTCGGTAGATCTCGTTGCCCGGTGGGTGCTGCAACGTACACTTCTTTCGGTGTCGTGTGAACGCTATCTCATCCCCATAATAGCTAAGGCAAAATTCGCAGATATATATGACATCTTCTTGCGCAAAACTCTCTGGGTAAGGCGAGAAGTACCATGGGAATAAGTCGTGCTTCCCAAACTGGACTTTTGATATATTTCTGATTCGGGATATTTCGGCCGGATTTTGTGTCATCGAACCCGAAGTGCGCAGTTTTTCAATCTCTTCCTCCCGGCTAAAGCCATGCTCGTCTTTCTTGTCTTCCTCTTCTTTTTCATCGGCGAGCAGGTCATCTCCTGCGCCCGGTGTTGCGCTCGCTTCAAAACTAACATTTACTTGTGTGTCTGCCTCCGGCCCAACTGATGATGATTTTCGCTGGCTCTGCGTTTCGTTAAGATCTGTTGGTGCGATTCAAACAGTTAACGCCACTCATAATCGATTGCCCACATTGTCTATATCGCAATATGTGATCATCAGACTTACCTGTCCAAGGGTGGGGTGTTGTAGCTTCGCTAGTAACCGACTGTTCGCGCTTCCCAGGCCTCTTCTGTGCTTTCTTCGATACTTGCGACTTCTTCGGTTGAGTTGATGGAGCCTTCTTGGTTTTGGAATCCTTTGGCTTGTCTTTTTCAGGATTTGGCCATTCGACGTCCTGTGTGAAGTCGATTCTCGCAACCGGTACCCATTCGTCCAAACGTTTGTTGAAATTGTCAAAATTGCAGTAGAAATGTTTCCCAGACTTCGTTTCTTTTATGCTCAAGATTTCGGCTCGTCGCGGCTGGCCATCCTTCTCGACCCAAGCAATGCAGCCCATTTTCAGCGTCTCCGGTGTCGCCTTGCCTTTCTGGCGCGGTGTGTCGGAGCCGACAGAGGGCTCACCATGGGGTGTGCCGCCAGCCATGATGAAAAGCCGACGAATGATGGTAAATTTGATGAAAGTTGGATGGAAATCGAGAATGCGATGCGAGGGGCCTGGCAGAATATGATGGCCTATTAATCGCCACATGTTTTTAGCTTAGCTTTATCTTTTATCGCAAGGCGGTGAGAGGCTCGCATCCCGGTACAGCGATATCCCCCAAACTCTCAAGTATACGCTTATAGTACTAAAACTCATAGTTGCTTGAGATTGCTTCTTACAAACTTCGCTATCACAACCGAGCTTCATCTCAAAATCAAATTCACCGCTATGTTTTAGATAACTAGCACATGATGCGGCTTCTTGATCATTAGAAAGCTTATCCGGCCCATATTTGTGAGGATGGCCGAACTATCTTCTAATTGGAAAATACTTCAAGCCCGATTAAAGGCTGGGGCAGCTTCCCAGCCGCCTGCAAAACGAAAGGCTGAAGAGCAGCTACAATCCTCGGCGAAAAGAAAACCTCCTGGGACAAACGAGAGTAAAGGCAGTGTACCACCATTTCGCAAGAAGAAGGCAGCTGCTCATAGAATGGGCGGTGTCCAAAGTTCAACCGCGGTAGACAAGCCCAAGCAGAACCCATCTCCATCCTTGGCGATATGGGCCAAGGATCATGAGGTCTCAACCGAAGATCTGGCAGAGGCCTATGGCCTGGGAGTCAAAGGCAATACAATGATGCTCGCATCTGAGAAAGACAAAGTAAATCACGGCCTTTCTAGCGGAGTTGAGATTGGAAAGTATGTCGCCATTGACTGCGAGATGGTAGGAGTTGGGCCAGGTGGGCATGAATCAGCACTGGCGCGCATTAGTATCGTTGATTTCCACGGGCGACAGATCTACGATTCATATGTGAAGCCGGTAGAACGTGTTACCAACTGGAGAACAACCGTGAGCGGAATTTCCCAAAAGGAGATGAGATTTGCAAGAGATTTCAGCGAAGTTCAAAAAGAAGTCGACGACATCATAAAAGACAAAATTCTTATTGGTCACGATATCAAGCATGACTTGGATGCTCTCAAACTCAGCCACTCTCCAAGGAATATTCGCGACACCGCCAAGTATCCCGCCTTTAAAAAGTATGGGAATGGACGGAAGCCGGCACTAAAAGTCCTTGCTAAAGAAATCCTTGGTATCGAGATTCAGAGCGGCCCGCACTCTAGCACCGAGGATGCTAGAGCCACCATGCTCTTGTTTCGGAAGCATAAATCTGGCTTTGACATGGATAATATGAACCGATATGCTCCAAAACAGACGACCAATTCCAGCGCGTCTCGTTCGAAAAAGAAGACTAAGAAGAAGCCATGATGAACACAAATCTCTTTGGGTCCTACAACGGAATCCTATCCATCAATTCTGATGATCCCTCACGCGCGACTGTGATGATTACATCACCAAGCGTTTTTGTGAGAAAGCCGGCTTCGCAGTATGAGAAATAATACTATAGATGGTTAGATCAACAGGTATCAAGAATCCAACTGGTGTTGTTTCTTACCTCCCATTTCTTGCGGAAAACTTGGATAGCTTCCTTGGTCATATCAGGATGCTCTCTAAGCAACGCAGGCCGAATAGTTTTCTCAAATTTACCCAAGAAGCTTTCTCTCCACAGTCGGAGTGTTTTGGCATAATGGCCGCCAATATTTTCTACCTTTTCAATGATTAATGACCCCTGGGATTGACAACTGATGTGGTTCAGGATCTGGGTGATAGATGGGAGGTAACCGCCGGGGAAGATGTATTGGTTGATAAAACTAGAGCCGTTAGCAAGCTTGAATCTCCAAAATGGTTCGGTCAACACCTACTCTTTAGACTTAGAATATGCTTCATGGCGCCTTTCGGGCATTGTAATACACTGAAACATGGCGATGCCTCCGTTGGGCTTGAGAAATCGGTGCACACAGTCGAAATAAGCAGTGAGATAATCCTTCCCTACCGCCTCCAGCATCTCTATCGAGATAATCTTATCGTAAGGCATCACTGGAACTGGCAATTCTCGATAATCCTGCAGTCTCACCTCGATTCTGTTTCTTAATCCAGCTTCCTCGATTCTTTTCTCTGCCATGGCTTTCTGCTCGGTAGATAGAGTTATGGTTGTCACTTGGCAGCTAGTTCTCTTCACTGCTTCAATTGCGAATGAACCCCATCCAGTGCCAATTTCCAAAACATGGTCGCTAGGCTGTATTCTTGCGCCCTCGATGAAGTAGGTGAGCTTCCTGACCTGCGCAGACTCCAACGGCTCATCGCTATTTGGTTGATTGCAATCCCAAATTGGGCATGAATAAGTCATATCTGGGGATAGAAACGCTGCAAACATATCATTGCTGATATCGTAGTGTGCAGAAACGTTAAGGAGAGCATTGGAAAGAGTGTTTGTAGATCGAGCCAAATTAGACACAGCGGATGAGAGCTGAGAAATCCACGTGGTGCCATTATTCAGCTGTTCGCGGTTCATTATGAATAACTATAACATCTCAGAGTGTGCAAATGATAAGATATTGTTACATCATGGGCAACGTGTTACCTGAAAGAAGGAGGTCAGATCTTGACACTCAAAATCTTTGAGCATGTAAGCCTCGGCAAACCCCATGTCGGCAAATAAGAAAAGTCGCATCCAGAACTCTGCTTTCTTGATCACAAGCTTAACAAGAGGTACGTTGTCGATCCGATGTCGAGGCGGAGCTCCCATAGCTGTGTTCTCTGATGCTTCTGCATCTCTCTGTCCAAACACATAGTTCGTTTGGTCCGATTCGTCAACCAGCTGCAGTGCACCAATTTGTATTTGAGATAAGACGGATAATATGGTTGACTTGGCCACCCTGAGAGTCGGGGTCCATGTTATACTGCCAAGATTGCTGCGAAATCTATCCATGCTTTGGCTTAACAACTTTACCATTCTGTATGAGAGCGTTTCACTGCGATATCGTTCTTACAAGGTGAATTAAGTAGTGGCGAGGAGAGGTCACCCACGAGGTAATGGTTGACAGGGAACAACTATGTGGCTTTATATAGATCCAGCACTCGAATCGTGGCTTGACGCCGGTGCCGTCCTCGCATCACTGATGCTACACAAACTCGCCAACGAGGCGGAGGTATTGACTAGCAGCAATAACCAGTCAATTTCAACTAAACACTACGACTAGTCTACAACAAGTCTAAGATGCCATCTCGAATTCACTGCGGGTGAGACCTAATTTGAATATTATGTAGATGCTCTTTGCAGACATCCGCTTGTTGCTATTGGATTCTGATTATTGTCAAGCATTTTCACGTATAGCACACCAATCCAGGTGACATGAGAAGGAATGCCTTGTTCAATGTGTCGTTTTCTTGATATCTGCTATATCTAATTTCTTTAGTTTCTCTAACTTCTAATACTGTTGCTATTGTTAGAAATCTCGAACGCATCTGTCGGAATAACAGAAGGAATATCACTGCCAAAATACCTAGTAAAGAATAGCTATGACATAGACCATCCTGAGTTGATATCAGTTACATCATAAGCAATTGCCATGGCCTAAACTTTAATCAACAAACGAATTGTCCAGGTCGGATTCTAGACATTATTAGTCGACGGAGAGAATAATTCGTCTCGATATGTGCAACCGAGTGGCTGGCCGGCGATCTGAGATCCCACCAACAGCTCCCACAATCTTGGATCGAGGAGCTACCCGGTAGCGCTTCACATGGTAGCTCCGTTTTCGGATTAGCGCCCGGAATGCACCAGGATCGCGGCTCCGACAGATCTCAGATTAGATAAGGAAGTGATGGCTGTGGCGCGTCTTGCGTCCAATGCGACGCGAGCCGAGGGGCAGCATCTTCAACGTGCCAGACAAGTTCCAGTTATCACGATTCACCATGGGCCAATCTCCAATGCTCGAAATCCGCAAGGATGAAGCTACCACAAGCCAGGGTATTGTCAACGTACTGCCTTGCCGCGTCCACCATACCGGGTCGATCGAGCCGTCTTCAGCCTATTGGAATCCCACTGCAGATGAGAGTGAGCACGAAGCTCTTTGTAATATTAGTTTATAACGACAGACTCTGATATTTTCCTTCATTTTAGACGAAACCCGAACTGCCTATCTTCGAGGCAGGAAACTTCAGGGAAAAACCGCATCATTACCAGCAAACTATCGAGGAGTCGTTCTTCAACGAAAAGACGACGAACCTAACCCTGCCGAGCAGCCGGATGTCATGATAGTTGGAGAAGATGGAGAAGATGAATCTTCTCCAAGAATTGGAACAATGCACACCGTGACCGAATTCGACAAGATGGTTGTCTGGTCCCACGATGCGCTTGCTGATGCCTCGTCGGATCCCTACCTAAGAGGTGTGGAGGAATGGCTTCAAGTGGCGAACAGTGTAAGTTGATACGTGAATATATCTGAAGATCCGATGACTGATTCGTTTTTCTTTTCTACAGATTCACTCTTACTCTACTGAGGACGGCGACAAAGCGAAATGACGCGATACAATGGCCAGCCACTACGGCATGCCACGATTATTACAATGATACCCACAATCTTAAACTGCAGAAGGCAAACGACTTGGGGGCGCCCAATTTTTGAATACTATGATGAATGAATGGCGGCATATAGAGCTTTTTGATGCCTAATATAGGTGACTGAATTTTACAATTTGCATGCATGATGAGGTGGCTCGCGGCAAGAAGAGCTCTTGATTGGATTGCAGATGCATATGGAGAGAAGAAGTCAAAGAAAGATGAAAGAAAGAGAAAGATATTCTCGCCATGCGATGGCTAAGAGTCTCCAGCCTGTGGTTTATACTAGAGAAAGAACTTCGTTAGTAGCACCCAGTCAGTATGTACGAGGTGATATAATCAACAGAACACTACCATTGTATGGCCATTGTATGTGCTGTAGCCTCAAGTTCTAAGCTTCCTAGTCCTTAAATGCAATCAATTAAATTTCGCGTCGCGCTAGCCCTAAAACGGGATCCCTGAAACGCGCTCCACGCGCGTTGCTTCCTCCAACCAGATCCAGCCCACTTCAACCCCAAATTTGGCGACGATAATCTTTTGCACCAGCTTGCCCAAGGCACGGCCCAACCTGCATTGCTTCAATTGCGCGTAGCCTCACAATCCCGCTCTCGCCGACGCTGCCCCTGGCCAATTCCCATTCACTTCACAGGGCCAAAATGGCTACCCCCGGCGATTCCAACTTCATGATGTCGGACGGCTTAGCCCCGCAGAGGCGGCCTGGAGGCTTCCCCTCGTCCTCATCAACCCGTCCGCGGGGTCCTCCGTCAGAGAATATGGGAACGCCTCGCGGTGACGATTATGGCGACGCCGACGGCTTTGCGGACGACCAGCTTCCGCGCAGCTCGCGCATTCCAGATGCTGCCAGCATCCCCAAAGTCGAGGACCGGATTGGTATCCTTGTCCAGGAGCACTTTGAGGGCTTCATCGAAAAGTGAGGTTTTGCACTCGATGTGACTTTTCGGCGCCTATTGCTAACCGGCTGTCTTTTCTTGGGCATCAGCTTCATCGAAGATCCCCTTTCGTCAGGTGCACCCCCTTCGAGTGCCGCCACAACGAACAAGTACTATATTGCCCAGATCAGGGGCATGCGAACATACCAACTCTCCACCTTCTACGTCGACTATAAGCATCTAGCCTCCTGGGAGAATGGCAGTCTTGCAGACGGTATCATACGCCAATATTACCGATTTCTTCCTTTCCTCACCGCCGCATTGCATAACATGATTGCAAAATATGAGTCTCAATACTTTCGCGAGCATCGTCAGGCCACCGCATCCAGCAAGCTGAGCACTTCTGGTGCTAGCCAATATGGTTCAGCAACCCAGAGCGACCTGTCCCAGAGGAAGAACGAGCATCAGCAGACCGACAAGCTTTTCTCCATTGCGTTCTATAACCTGCCGCTTGTCTCCCGAGTTCGAGGCCTCAGAGCTGCCAACATCGGCCAGCTGCTATCTATTTCCGGTACCGTTACCAGAACATCAGAAGTGCGACCTGAATTATCGCTGGCTACGTTTGTTTGCGAGGCCTGCCGTGCTGTCGTTCCCAACGTCGAGCAAACCTTCCGATACACCGAGCCAACACAATGCCCTAACCAGACGTGTCAAAACCGTGTCTCGTGGCAGCTGGACATCCGGCATAGCACTTTCGTCGATTGGCAAAAGGTCCGCATCCAGGAAAACAGCTCTGAGATCCCCACAGGCAGCATGCCTCGTACCATGGATGTAATCATGAGAGGCGAGATTGTTGATCGAGCCAAAGCAGGTGAAAAATGCATATTTACCGGTGCTTTGATTGTAGTACCGGATGTCAGCCAGCTTGGTCTTCCTGGTTTACGGCCTACGGCGGTCCGTGACGACCGCGGTGCTCCTCGTGGAGCTGATGTTGGCGGCAACGGTATCTCCGGTCTCAAAGCCCTTGGTGTTCGAGATTTGACCTATCGCTTGGCGTTCCTTGCATGCATGGTTGCTCCTGATACCACTTCCACTGGCCAGTCTGCTGCGAGTGGCGCTATGGATGTTATCAATGCTCTTACTCAGAATGGTCGTAATATTGCTGAGGGTGCTGAGTCGGTGGACGAAGCTCAAGCTGCGGTTTTGGCGTCTATGAATCCCGCCGAGATCGAGGACCTGCGATCTATGGTCCACGGCGATCACATCTATTCTCGACTTGTCAACTCAATTGCGCCAACAGTGTATGGGCATGAAGTTGTCAAAAAGGGTATTCTCTTGCAGCTCATGTCTGGTGTCAGCAAAACTACGGCTGAGGGAATGCAATTGAGAGGTGATATCAACATTTGCATCGTTGGAGATCCTTCAACGTCCAAGTCCCAGTTTCTCAAATACGTATGCTCCTTCGCACCACGTGCAGTGTACACCAGTGGCAAAGCTTCGTCGGCTGCTGGTTTAACAGCTGCCGTTGTCAAAGATGAGGAAACGGGAGAGTTTACCATCGAGGCTGGAGCGCTTATGCTGGCGGATAATGGAATTTGTGCAATTGACGAATTTGACAAGATGGATGTTGTTGATCAGGTTGCTATCCACGAAGCCATGGAACAGCAGACGATTTCTATTGCCAAGGCTGGCATTCAAGCAACGCTCAATGCACGAACCAGTATCTTGGCTGCAGCAAACCCGGTTGGTGGTCGCTATAACCGCAAAACCACTCTTCGCGCCAACATCAACATGTCAGCGCCCATCATGTCTCGTTTTGATTTGTTCTTCGTAGTCTTGGATGAGTGCTCCGAATCATTCGATCGCCACCTTTCCGAGCACATTGTTAGAGTCCACCAGCGCCGCGACGAGGCCATCACCCCTGAGTTCAGCACCGAACAACTGCAGCGATATATTCGCTTTGCGAGGACATTCCGCCCTGAGTTTACGGATGAGGCGAGGGAATGCCTTGTCGAGAAGTATAAAGAACTCCGAGCTGATGACGCCCAGGGTGGTGCTGGCAAGAACTCTTACAGAATTACGGTTCGTCAGTTGGAAAGTATGATTCGTCTGTCCGAGGCCATCGCCAAGGTCAACTGTGTTGAAGAGATTGCACCTACAATGGTAATTGAAGCATTCAACCTCCTGCGCCAAAGTATCATCTCTGTTGAGCATGATGATGTCGAAATGGAGGAGACAGATGACACTCACGAAGACGGCGAGACACTCCGTCGCGCTGCGGATGCGGCTGCTGGAGTTACCCCTGCAGAGGATCACGAAGGCGATGCTGCCATGGCGGAGGAAGGTCAGGATAGCGCAGAGCAAGTCGCCCCTGCCAGAAGGAAGCACACCATCACCTATGACACCTATGTCTCAATGATGAATATGTTTGTCCAGAGGGTGAATGAGGATGAGGCTGGCACTGGCGATGGCGTTGAGGGCAGCGTTCTCATCAACTGGTATCTGGAGCAGAAGGAAGAGGAGATGGATGGGGAAGAAGACTACCACAGGGAGAAGACGTTGGCGAATATGGTTTTGAGAAAGATGGTCAAGGTGAGTTCTAATCCCCCAAATCAGCATTTCTCATTCATTGTGTTACATGATCTAACAATACATTTTCTCACCAGGACAACATCCTCATGGCGCTCAGGGGCGAAGGTCTCACAGATGGCGCAGGCCCATCGGCTACGCCTGCGAATGTTGTCTATGTTCTGCACCCCAACTGTGCAGTTGAAGAGATTTAGATACACGAATCATGTTTCTTTGTTTTTTTAATGTACCTGGCTGCTATCTGCGTAATGGCTCTGCAGATCTTCTTCACTTCTTGTTTGCGAAGAGAAAGAGAAAGCAAGGCTAACACGAGAACGAATGAGAGGGAGACAAGAGCAATCCAGTGATATACCAAGTATCGAGGGAGTTTGGAGTTGGAGGAATACGTATATAAAACTGACCAGAAGTCAAAAGGATGTTGGATGGATGCATGGATGCATTAACGTAATGACATGATAGAAAAAAAAAACCATATTGGATCTACGAGAAAGAACAAAATAAACATCACACCATATCACTGAAGCATCTGATAAGGCGCGGCGAGAGAAAGCAAGTTGTAATGAGCAAAAAAATCAACACATTTGGCATATTTTCTGTAGAATATTGCACTACTTCACATCAATGTGAACGAGTACCTTGTTTCCCCAATCGTTTCTTCCCTTCCAAAAAAAAAAAAGGGGGGGGGGTGGGGGGGCATTACAATCGCCAGAAGCCTACTCTGCAAGTTGTCCAGAGCCCAAATATCCGTCAATCCATTAATAGTAGCTAGAAGGGCTGGGATCAAGATATGCCCAGGACACCGTATTTCATATCTGTACTCGTACAGTTTTACCAGTGAATCCCTATTGAACTGGCAAGAGGCCAAAGATCGCGCGTGAAAAGAGTTTTTTTTGGTCGTTACGATTTTGGAAAGTTGTACCACGAGCGTAAGAGACGCGAAAGTGACTTATTTGTCTTCTCCCACTCCATGTTGCTCCTGTAGACGATGCCTCTTCCCTGAGAACTGGTAGGTAGGTAGTAGTAGCCAGTGATTGGCAAATACAAGAATGAAAAATCAGGCTCACTTAAGCAAGCCTTATTGCAGACGGAAAATCATCTCTCTCTCGTTCTCTCTGTTTGGTCCTTTTCCGTTGTCTCTGTTCCCATATCCGTTCGCAATGCATTGAAGAACACTGGTTAATGCCTTTCAGAAAACCAATGCGCAGTCAGATACGTTGAAATAATGCGTGTTGAAATTGTACATATTTGTCTCTGTGCCATCTGAGACGGTTGAGTCCAGGGTGCACAGAGACGACGAGTAGTAAAAAAATAATTAACTCTCATCCTCGTTCGTTAATAGTAAGAAAGTTCAAGCTATCGTATAGTGCCTCAACAAGTTGAGGTCAATCAAAATAATATAATGTGCCGTTATATTGTTGGGTTTGTAAACCGGGGCTTCCCAAGAAGGTGGTCAAGAGTGTTTGTGAGTGGTTCAGCTAGGCAGCTTGATCACGAGAATATCGACTCCAGGTTTCAGATCCGCGATTGCGGTACCCGCCGCGACCGCCACGACCAGAGTTATTTGAAGTCGTCGAATCTCCGTAGTTATTCGAAAATTCCCTCTTATTGTTACTGTTGCTGTTTCCGCCGTTGCCATTGCCGTTACCATTGCCGCTACCTCCGCCACTAGGGCCTCCACGAGGTACGTGGCCACCACCTCGATGTCGTGATGACGGACGATGGCTTCCTCGTCCGCCTCTGGCCGCAGAAAAGGGGATGGTGGCCACCTTAGGTTCACTCATCCCTGGGAAGTAGATTCGCACAGCGTTTCCGCCGCCAACGACCTCGGACGCAAAATAATATGGCTCCATAACAGTCGGCTGCACAAAAAACCTCTTGGGCATTGATTTTATGCCTGCTGCAGGTTGCCACGCTGCTTCTGGTGCCTTGTGTGGGAGTCTGATCTGTGGAAGAGAGCCCATTTCTTGCTCCTCAAAGCATTCTTCGGCCATTGGCTTTGAAGTTAATGACTGTGGAATTCCCGCTGAGTGCTGTATCGTTACAAAAGGTAGAGATACGGTTGTGGAAGTCTGGGTAGTGGTATGATCCAGCGCATGCCGACTGGCAGGATCAACTCCCATATGCTTTGGGGGAGATGTTTTCCCACCGTTTAGAAGATTATTGATTTTATCTTGCCAGTTTTCATGTGACGTCTCAGAAGGTCGTCGTGCAGAGTGGCCTTGATGGAGAGGAGCGCGAGGAATTTCTCTAGCAGCTGCCCGGCTGGCCCATGTATTAACTGGCTTCGATTGAGACGCCTGAGCGGCAGCCATAGCAGGAGGTAGTTTGACTACTGGTAGTGGCTTCGGTAATGAGACATGCGGGCGTGTGATGTCCCCTTCGTATGCGGGGTGGCCCTCCATTGTTGGCGGCGGAGGAGATGGCGAAGAGGGTCGCAATGGTTCAGCCATGCCAATGTCCATACGGACGTCTCTAGCAGGAAAGAATCGAGAGGGTCGTGATTGAGGGGTTGTTGTTGGGCCATTCGGAGGCAAGACAGAGCCACTGCCTCCGCCACCAATAACTGTAGGTTGGCCTCCCAAAATAGAATCATCTGCAGAAGAAGCGCCCCTGGTGAGGTCGTCTCGCGAAACTTTCCATGGGTCTGCGGTATTAGGCTTGCTTTCAGTAGAACTGATGACACGTCTGGTTCCATCGCCGGGAATATGAACAGGGCGCCAAGTATCTTTGATTGCAGGCTGAGCATCTTCCGCTGTGACTCCACGTTCGGCCAGCTGACGGTCACGCCCTACCCGTTCAGCCATCTTTGCCGCACTTATTTTTTTGTCATTTTCAGCCACGGCCGTCACCCATTTGCTCGCAATATCGTTACCCAGGTTTGAATACCGAGTAGTACGCGAGCCAATTACGGACTGGACTTGGTTTCGATTGTGAGAAGATGATTGCGCAACAGTTGGAGGGCCAATGGGAGCCGGTGCGTTAGAGTTTGAAACTGTTTGAGCAGGGGTGCGACCGATAATGGGATTGAATGTGCCGTTTCCAAGCCCGTTGTTGTTATCCGGAGAGCTCCAGACATTTCGGGGCGCACTGGAATTCCATGATGCGAGTCGATCCGGCCGAGGTGCAGCACTTCCCCAAACGTTGGTAGATTCTGCATCTTGGCTGTGAGATTGCCGCCTGGCTGTAGGGCCAGGTGCTGTAGGGCCAGGTGGGACAACGTTTGCCGATGCAACGTCTTTCTGGCTGAATGCGGGCTTTTCAATACGGGTTATGGTGACTGCGTCATCTTTATTAGAATCCGCTTGGCTTGGAGATTTTTGATCTGCTGCAGTGGGTTTTTCGGCTGGCGGCCCAGCTGCCGAGTGCTGGTTCGGCGTTGGCTTTGCCTCACGGTCCTTGGTCACATCTTTCATTTCGCTCTTCTTTTCTGGGGGAGGTCCAAGAGCTTCGAGCTTCTTTTGTATGCGCTCTCGGCGTGCAGCTTCTTCGCGAGCTTCTTCCTCTTGCCGGCGTTTTCTAGCGAGCTCGACGCCCTCGCGCATCAACTTCTTCTGATATTCAATATCGTCTTCCAGCTGGTGAGGAGCAGGCCCATTGATCATCTCAGCATGTGGGTTTCCATGGTGAGGAGCGGCATATGTTGTCCCAGGAGATGGCCGAGAAGCCATATCGTGCATGGGCTGGTGTCTTGACTGTCCTTGACTCATCACAGATGCCGCCACAGGAGAAACCGGGCTCTCTATCACAGAGCCGCTTAGAGAGCCTCTACGGACGCCGAAAAGCTCAGGAGGCGGTGGCATAGAGCCATCGCCTCCCTTACCAATGCGCTGAAGATATGAGCCACTGCCGCCGCTGACATTGGAGGAACCCCTACGTCGACCAAATGGGCCTTCCTGAACAGTGCGACTAGTCTGAAAAGCAGGCGAAGGCTCGGCTGGGTGCTCTGATGGAGGAACACGCTGTAATAGGGCAGGGTATCTAGTCTGAGAATCGGATCGCATCGAGGGGCGCCGATCAGGAACGGGTTCGTATCGACCGGACCGAGAGTTGAAAAGCTCCTTATTTCCATATGAGGACCTATCCCTCCAGGTACGTGAATAATCATCAGCCATGGGATCTCTGGAATGAAGAGGTGCCACATTGGAGGCGAAAGGGGACTCTTTCATGCCGCCGCGAGGTGGATACACAGACTCTGCAAGACCAGGCGATGCTTTCTTAATAGGTGGCAAAGTAGCCCATGGAGATTTGGCGGGCGCTGGTGGTGCAGGAGGTTTGGCAACTAGTACTGGCTTTTCCTGAGCAGCACTCTTGAGAACCAGTCCTTTCCCAGACGGAAGTCCTCCAGACTTTGGTAGTGGTGTAACACTTGCCACGCCTGGCGGTGCCGGAGAGGATGGTTTGTCCTGGGCAGAAGTTTTGATCGAATCTGATGCAGGCTCTGGTGCCTGTGTCGAGACCTCGTCAGGATGGGGAAGAGTCGTCTTGGTGCCATCTCCCCAAGTTATCGCTTCGGGCTCCCAGTCATCGTCGTCGTCATCAATGTCCGCCCACTTATTTTGGCCCTGGGTATCGTCTTCATTTAGGCGACTAGCCATGTGAATTCCATATTTTTTGAGCTCTTCATCTGTCAACTTTTTTGGTTCTGGGGCAGGTGTAGCTAGAAGGAGAAGATAAATAGTAAGCACATGTTAAAATAATAATTCAGCGCCAACAAAGCAAAACGTCCTCCCACGAAGGTTGACCTACGCCTATTCTTATTCCACACAACACTTGGGTCAGGTGCAGCCGCCGGCTTTCCGCCGTTTGACAGTGACGAGAACCTTGGAGTTGAGGTACCCGTACCACTCCCTGATTTTGCAACTAAACGTGGTCGTGATATGGACAAGGTGGCGGAGCCAGTCGGCGGGGTACTGGAACCCGCGGCTGGTTTGTCGCTGGTCTTGGATGAGACATTTGGATTCGCTTTGGAGGCGAGGAAGGTCTTGTTGACGGAAACAGCTTTGAACGTCGCAGGCTTTTTCGTCGAAGTCCCAGCGCGGACCTGGCCCTTGTCACCATCTTTTGCGCGCGATGCTTCAGTATCTGACCCCCCGCTCACACTGACATCGGCAGAATTGATCTGGTCCTCGACACTCGTAATTCGTTTGTTTGAGATGTCTTCGGGGAGGGGGGAGCCTCCGTTTACAGCTGGCGGTACCGGTTCGCCATGTTGAGAGTCGGTGGCCTGCGAATCAAGGAGCATCATGTTAGCTTATCCGAAGAGCACAGTGTCGTTACACCTAGAAGAATCCAAAGAAACAAAACCTGCGCCAACACCACCACAAAGGTGATTTGTGGCCTGCAGATGAAACAGAAAAAAAAAGGCGCCTCACAGGTTGTGGTTCAGTCGAGGCAAACACATCAGCTGAATTGTTGGTGGAGGGCTCAGCGGCCATCATCCGTCGTTGTGGCAGGTGTGCGCCAGTAGGAGCCGTAAGGATGCGAACTCTCTCTTTCTCGGCCCAGAATCAAGTCGCTCCTCCAGATATTCGACTTAATTTAAAGGGCCAGCGGGTGTGCCTGTCTGCCTTGAACAACACACACTAAAAGCAGGGCCGCAACGCGATATCGCCAAAGGGAAGTAGAGGAGAAGAAGGAGGAGGAGGAGGGGGTTGCGGAATCGCGAACGAAGTGGCAGTAGCGATGGACGGACGATGGTGGCAGTAAGAAGTACAGCGGAGGTTTCGGGGTCAAATCCTCTCTTCCTGGGCCTCGCAATGAGGATCGGTGTCGGCTGGAAGGAGTCGTCAGAGCAGTCACCGGGATCGAGAAACTCGGCTGCGATGTGTCTGAATGGCGATGGTGAGGTGGAAGGCGACCTGATTTTGAAGCTGCAGGAGCCTGTTGTGGCCTAGCGCTGAGTGGGAAAGTTTAGCCTGGTTGGGGGGCCCGTGCGTCGCTGTTCACAGCGCTCTTCCACCCAGAGAGGCTTAGCATGCCTAATTGTTTAGGTAAAGAGGCGCCTGTGGAAGATCTAACGTGCCCCGTACGGGTGCTGTTTTTGGGAGGGTTAGCAGCCGCTACACAGTGTCCTTGGACTTTTGCACGTAGATCCCAAAGAGGACCATCAGCCTATTATTATTCGTTATATGATGCTCAAATGGAAGTAGAACTCTCTTTAGGGAGCGGTGATTGACGTCTCATCAACGACCATAACTACCTCTAGTAATTTCCACTGTATGAAACGCACGAATCTTTATTTGTTAGCTGTTTCTCTGTGCAGCTGTCAGTGAGGCGGCCAGTCAGCATCAGCCGATACTCTTGCAGTGACTCATGCATACTATGTAGGTAGTTAGGTAGCCTTCCAAAGTTCTAGGTACGTTCACAGGCTGACTGTGATACTAAATTACCAGTCATATATTCTATAGCCTTGGCAGTCATTAAGGGTAAGGACTGGTGGTTTTGAACCAAAAACAAATCTCACTCTTATAAGATCGCTGTACCATCTTTATTCATTGTTGCTCATGCGCTGTTAAGATACACAAGTGGTATGGAGAAAAAAAAAGCGACATGCAAACTGTATAGAAAATAAACAAGATTCGTACATCACTTTAGTGTTATGGGACCGGAGAGAAAAAGGTATTCAATGCGTGTCTGATAGTACATGAGGAAGCCCGGGTGTGTATATGACAACACCGTTCTAAAGTCTATTTACATAACCGCTCATCATTTTTTTGAGAGAGGCCTCAACAAACCATCCGTAGTACTTTAGTGGGCATTGTTCTTGTGGTGGCCTAGATATATAGCAAGCGGCGTTAGCGATAGTCGTCACCGAAAACCAACGGCCTCATATACGTACGCAGGTGGAAGTAGTAGTTCTGGGCGTAGCCAATACCGATGAGGAAAAGCAGGGCGTGCACGATAGCTACAAGTCCGAAGCAAGTTAGCCAATGTTGTGTTTCGCATCCGGGGTGTCTGAGTATGGTTATATCGTACGCGTAGCAGATGGGTTCTTGCCAAAGTACTTGGCCTGGTAGCGGCCGAGAAGACCCTTGCCCTTGATCTCGGGGGCGGCGCCCCGGGGAAGCTTCTCGTAGAAGCTCACAACACGCTGCATGCGCAGAGCATCGGGAGCAGCACCAATTGCCTAACATCAAGCATCTTTCGTTAGCTAAATATTCGTTCATTGTCCCGCACTTCGGCCGATTCATATATTCGCATCTCTTCTTCGTCGCACAGCAACTGGCTTCTCTCCGTCATAACTCGGCTCTTTGGGAGAGTATCGATATGCGTAGTCCAATAGTCGTTTTTCTTGTCTTTTCTTTCCTTTTTTTTCTTCAATCATCGCAGGTTTTTTTTTTTTTTTTTTTTTTTCATACCTTAGGGGAGGCAATCTGATCACAGCATGTTAGCATATGGCGCAAGCAATTTCAGATGCCGCTTGGGCAGTCTCACCTTGGGAGGGATGAGCGTAGAAAGCGCTCGGCGAGTGACGTAGCTCATGATGTCGGAGTATGAGGAAAGACGCTCGGAAATATGGCGAATGGCTACGTCTGAAGGCGCTCAATGGCGAAGGTCGTCGATAAATCGCTGGATTTGAACCATGGTTCCAGCCAAGAGGTTCTTGCCGAAAAGCACTCGTCTCGGTAAAATATCGCTCCGCACCAGCCAATCAGCGCTCCTCATTTCTGTCAAGCCCACCTTGAACAATCGCCGCAAACCACCGTCATGACCATCGCGGACAATACCATTTCAATCAATTGAGAGGCACGCTTCCTTCGCCATGGCGTCTCTCAGAACACAGTCGGCTGCTCGCCTGGTGCGCAACGCCATGCGCCCACGCATCGCACTGGCGTCTATCCCCCGCCGTTTCGAAAGCTCTGCGGCCAAGCCCGCAGACGTCGTGCCTGCGATGCCAAGTGCTAACCAGCCCGATTACGACGTTCCCCTCGACAAGGCCACCTCGTACGACAGCTATTTTCGTCCCTTTGCGCGGAAATTGAGTGCTAACAATGCGTAGCACATATACTCCAGTCCCCAAGCGCGTGCAGGACGGCACTGAGGACGTTCTTCCTGCCGCTACCATCTCTGGTGCTCCTATGGAGCTCCAGGGAAGAACGGTTCGGTAAGTTTGATATTTAATTTCTATAAGCTGAAATCTATAAAGATTCTCATTTCTAATGTTCTGGATAGAATCTACCAGGAGGCCAAGCCGGCTACACAATCTGGAGATTTCAGGGGTGATCGCTGGCGAATGGATTGGGATATTCTCCCCAAGGGACACCGTTGGGAAAACCCGTTGATGGGATGGCAGTCTTCGGGAGATTTTATGCAGGGAACCAACATCAACTTCAAATCCAAGGAGGACGCTATTCATTTTGCAGAGAAGCAGGGCTACGAATACTTCGTCCAGGAGCCAAACTCTCGAAAGATCACACCCAAAGCCTACGCAAACAACTTCCTATACTCACCAAAGAAGTTGAAGCACATTCGAACAAAGTAGGGCAGCCACTAAGCTTGGCTCCATACCATACATATATACATATTAGATAAAGAAAACACGTTATCAGATTTCCATTCAGGCAGTCACGCTTTTTAAGAAAGAGAGGATTGAGAGCGAGCAAGCTGCCATTTAGATTACCGACTATGTAGAGCTTCTCTACTCTACGCAAGCCAATTATCTCATTATAAGACTCAAGGCATGAGTAGGTCAGCTAGTCTATCCATCCTTTACTATCTCTTCTACGGCATGCACACCAGACATTCAATTCATGAAGCGCACATTCTAGGACTGCTTTACCCTATCTCAAGTTATTCGAGAGAGAGAAAATCATATCATTTGTATTAATCATCATTATGGTATTATAATCCGCAGTATAAAAGGAATCGCCATATTTATGAATGTGATGGAATTGTTCAAGTCGTCATCATGGATTCATGTCCATTTTCAGAACCAGATCCTCGCCATGTTTGGCTTTGCGACTCGTCACCTCCCAATCCGAGATCAAGACGCTCTGGAAGGCCGCCCCCCTTCTCTCTCGCCGCACCCTCTGCCCAGGCTCGCATTTTTACAAGCTGGCGGATAGCAGCTTCGCGTCTAGTTGATTGCCTTTCCAAGATGGCCCTATTCACTCTATCTGCGGCATCACGACGCAGGCTAGGATCGAGAAGAGCAGCGAGTTGCGGCTCTAAGGAATCTGAATTAAACAACAGCAGCGCCATTGTTGTTTCAAGATCCTCTAAAAAGGCAGGGTTAGTGGAGGCCGGCGGGCCGAGTTGTTCTGTAGCAAACTTCAGAGCAGGGCCAATATCTCCTCCTGATGCATTGCAAACTCGGATTAACTCGACAAGCTGGAGACGCAGTAGAGAAAAGCGCAAAGCTTTGTCTTTATCCAAGATCTAGGTGGCCGGTTAGGAACCATGTACATGTAACAAAAATAAACAATTCAAAATTGAGTGTTGTATTAAGTAAAGGATCATAAAGGAAGTGGTGTTTCTCATCACAGGCCGGAAAACCAACCATATGCGTGGTGCATGTAAAAACTCGTGTTCTAATCATAAAGGGAAAAAAGAAAAAAAGATAAAAATATGAGAAAAATGCACATACCTCAGGATCAAGCTCATTTAAAGTCTCGATAGCAGTCTGAATGTTTCCACTATGAATGCAGTTCTGGATCTGCTGCCGTGCTCGGATAGCCGAGGTATCCTGCTGTGGCTGCAATTTTGCCTCTTTCGAGAATCTTGCGGCCGCATTCGGGTAGCCCTCCATGGTCAAATAGTCCAAAATCAAGGCATTAATATCGCTGCAAGCCAGTTAATAACTCGGACTTGTCGTGGCGTAAATAAGAAAATCAATAGAATGGCAGGACGTTTGAAATGTCAGGAAAAGAAGAAGATTATATCGGTTTTCCGCAGAGATGTCTCGGAGAGATTCCCATTGATAGTATGTTCATCATTTATAGTGCTGCCAAGGGGGGGTGTAACGAGGACGCAAGGACGGAGGTTATATCATACTTTTTGGGAGACTTGACCCCCTCAACACGCCTCTCAAAGGCATGCTTAGCCGGAGTAGCTGTAGAAGCCGACGACATCTGCACGGAGAGTCAGGACATGTGGTAGGGGGTGCAAGGCCCGGAGACGTCACGGCATCGTACCATGAATCTGATCAACGGTCCTCCCGCGGGAAGACGGTAGCAGGTCTAGTTACGGTACGACAGCAGCGGTTATGCGAGAATAAAGAGGCTCATGGCGTGCGCGGCAGCCAAAAAGGAAGCCGAGGATGCCAACGTTTCAGCGCATTGGCAAGCCGAGTCGTGAAACCGCTGGCTTGCGAACAGGGCGAATGTGGCGCCTAGTGCTGAGAGCGAAGGAAAAGTTTGGTTTGTGGAAGGATAACGATTTCTGTTGAGCCAGGAAGAGCAGAGAAGGCCCTTTTTGGAGGTGGCTCGGGCTCCATGCACAGTCAGCCAAGCGGGCCAATGGTTGTCGCGCACGCCTGGAGCTGGCTCCACAGTAGCTTGTTGCGGCTGCGTTTGCCCTTTCCAGCGGGGTCATTGACCACTAATCCATGGGATAGAGCCCTGGGCCAGGCTGTGTTATCGTGACCATGATAGCGAGAGTAAGATACATAGAATGGAACGAAGAAAAATTTTCTTCCTTGGGTTTAAAAAAAGAAAAAAGCATATGGGTACGGGCAACAGCTGTGCTTTGAGAGCAGCAAGTCCCTAGCAGTGCCGCCAGCCTATAGCATTCACAGCATGTATGCTCCGGGACAGACAACCCCCCCTTGCATACAAGTAAGCTTTTTCCCACTTCTTCTTTCGAAATGTCTCGGTACCTGTCGTAGTCCCCTGTCGTAAACCAGTCAGATATCAACATCAACGGGCTACAGAATGCAAACTAATGTACTCCGTATCCAAATGCCAACGTATTCTGCAGATGGGTGGCTTTTGGGTATCGACACGACACGACACGACACGTTGGCACAGGCTCATCTCTTGTTACGATTTGGCAGCCCCAAGATAGATAGAGCAGTTTAGCCAACTTAGTAGGTACTTACTATACCTACATGTAGACACAGTTGTGGGAGCACGAGACAGGGCTGCCTGATCAAAGTCAACCACCATCACCTGCACTCACCTCGACTTGAGGCTGAATTTGGACGCCAAACCGCCTCATCTCGAGGCCTCCTCCGCCTCGCGGCGCCTAGACGCGGCCAACCCATCCATGTGAACGTTTTGCTGCTAGCTGCCTGCCCAGAGCCACTGGCACATGCCTGCTTAGGTGCTCGTGCCTCTCCAAGCCCTACCAGGCCTATCAGCGCGCGGCTCAAGCTTCGCTTGGATGGGGTCTATCCGCCGCCGATTCGTTAGCGGCTGGCCAGCTGTAGAGGCGGCCATCTCCGTCGAGCGCCCTCGAAGCCTCGATTTCGGTGGGTTTGGCAGGTCGATAAGCCACAGCCGATAAGATTTTATGCTGCACCCTGACCGTCAATTTACATGCTCTACGGGATTCCACCTTCTACTCATCGATCAACACTCGTTTCGCTCCCCCTCTATTCCGCCATCTTCTCTGCTCTTGCAACTGCCTGCGTCTGTGGCAGCGTCTTCTGGTCCTGGTGCCAGCAAAAACTCGTCTTTGGCGACTACCGAGTGGGGATCACGCGAGCCGTTTCCCACTTCATCTGCTACTCTGTACCCTAAGATAAAAAGCGTAATCCTGTGCCTGTTCTTGCTCGTAACGGCGGCCTGTCGGTGAATCAACCAACCCACGGCTCGGGCCAGCACTTGTCCTGGTGGTAGAAATGTCGCAGCTCGAGAGCCATGTCACGGTTCAGAAGCGTGCTTACTACTCCCCGCCGTGGGCAGACGTGAGCATCATTGCCGTTGCTGGCAGCTCAGGCTCCGGCAAGTCGACGCTGTCTCAGACGATAGTGAAGAAGCTCAACCTGCCATGGGTCGTCATTCTTTCTATGGCATGAGCACCCCAGGAAACGCAGCCGGCCTTGAACACCATAACTAATGATAACGCCAGGACTCGTTCTATAAGACTTTGACCCCTGCCCAATCCAAGCTGGCATTTGCCAATGAGTACGATTTCGACTCCCCAGAGGTATGCGTCAGATCCCAATGTGGTTTTTTGCTGGTTTATATGGTATTGCAAGTATTACGTCTCTTACGATCAGACGCTTAAAATTTGTCTTTTGTAGGCCATTGATTTTGACGCTCTCATCGCCACTCTACGGGACTTGAAGGCTGGGTAACCATGATCTGCGAAATGGAGCCAACATTGAACATCGTTGTTAACTCAACCCTTCCAGGAAGCGAGCAGAAATTCCTGTGTACTCCTTCGCCAAGCATGCACGACTAGAAAACACCACATCTATTTACTCCCCACACGTACTCGTCTTGGAAGGCATTTTTGCCCTCTATGACCCACGAGTTCGTGAGCTATGTGATATGGCAGTATGTTTGCTTACAAATGACACTACTAAACAAGTTCTGACAGGCATTTAGATATACTGCGAAGCTGATGCAGACACCTGCTTGTCTCGGAGAAGTAAGACATTTTCTTTGCCGTAGTTTTATGAAGCGACAGCGCAAAATACTCACCACTATCCTATCAGTTGTTCGAGATGTTCGGGAACGAGGCCGAGATGTCGAAGGCTGTATTAAACAGTGGTTCGCTTTTGTGAAGCCGAACTTTGAGAAGGTAAGACTTCCCAATGGAGCGGCTTTTCAACGTGGCTCATCTCATATAAATTAGTACGTCGAGCCACAACGTAAGGTGGCCGATTTAATTGTACCACGAGGAATCGAGAACCAAGTAGCACTGGGTAAGTCAAACTTGACGTCTTTTTTTCACCTCCAAGTTTTCCTTTTTCTCTATGAAGAAGGTGCTAAGTGATATAAAGATATGATGGTTCAATTCATCGAAAAGAAGCTCTTTGTGAAGTCAACGCACCATCGAGAAGCTCTGGCTAGGCTTGAGGTCAGAGATAGAGATGAGCCCCTCTCCGACCGTGTCGTGGTCATGAGCGAAGCACCGCAAATCAAATTCATGAACACAATTCTTCAAGACATAGACACTACCGCCGAGGACTTTATCTTTTATTTCGATCGCCTTGCCGCTCTAATCATTGAACAGTAGGTCCAATATGCAGCGCACTTGATCCGAATAGAAATGTGTACTTACTCTAAAATAGGGCTCTGAACAATGTCCAGTTCGAAGAAGCGACAATAGAGACGCCACCGGGCTATAAGTACAACGGTCTGCGGCCCAAGGGAGAAGTCAGCGCTGTAATTGTGCTCCGAGGAGGATCAGCTTTTGAACCAGCGCTCAGAAAGACTATCCCAGACTGCAGAACAGGGCGACTTCTGATCCAGTCCAGCTATTCTACTGGCGAGCCGGAACTTCATTATCTGCGTCTCCCAGAGGATATCCACGAACATGAAAGCGTGTTGCTGCTCGACACCCAGATGGCCAGTGGAGGAGCAGCTCTCATGGCAGTTCAGGTTCTAGTCGACCATGGCGTCGCTTTGGAACGTATCGTCCTGGCAACTTATTCCGCTGGAAAAGTTGGCTTGCATAGGTTGATGACGGTATTCCCAGAGATTACGGCCGTGGTGTGCAATCTTCTACCCCACCAAGAGCAGCGGTGGGTTGAAAAGAGATATTTCCGTTGTTGAGCGACGTGCAAATTCCAAAAATCTACATCATGACGCTATTCTGCTTGCATAGTACACGACGAGATTGATGCTTCTTTTGAGACCCAGTGGGACAACAGGTGCTAGCTGCCGACGACGACAATGGCCCTGATGATGACATGAATGCACAAGTGCTTGGATGCGTGAATGGATGCCCTGCGACTCATACACATATGGTGATGTTAAACAAAGAAGAGAGTGACTGCGGGTGCTTCATTTTGCAAATTATCATTTTATCGGTATTTGCATAGCTAGAGTTATAAGGAGAGTTGGCTCTCCCTCGTTTTTCTTTTCAGCTACTAGTATAACTCACCTGTCGGAAGAGTTGCCGGGCTGCAGGCCCGTGTCGGCGGCCGCGATATCGCCGCGAGGCCGAACCTCAGCAACCGACGTCCGGCTTTCCGTCCTCTCGACGCACACGGCGACATCGGTGGCTGGCTGGAGACTCTTGTTTCTTTTATTTCTCTTTCCTTTTCTCTTTTCCATATCCTCTCTCTCCCCCCCCCCCCCCCCTTTTCTATATGAAGACCCTATTTTAGCTTGTCTTCTNTCCGTCCTCTCGACGCACACGGCGACATCGGTGGCCGTTTTGAGTCTCTTGTTTTTTTTTTTTTTTTTTCCCTTTTTCCCCTCTTCCATCTCTTTTTCTATATGAAGACCCTATTTTAGCTTGTCTTCTGGGTACCTCGATGCATAATCTTGGCTTTCAATATTTCTACCCTAATAATCAACAGCATACAGAGCACGCACGTAATAATAGTTGATAGCAAGTTGTCATGGTCGCAGCACAATTAGAATCTTGCCTCCACTCCATATGCCTCCCATGCGTCACAAATCTGCATTTCCACGGAAAAGGGCATCATCGGTAGGCGAGGTTGCATCAGCGGATCGCTCAAGCGATCGCATATCGGCGTTCCTAGGTCGCTAAAAAAGCGCCAAAGAGATACGCAGTTTGGATCTTTAGTGGGGGCTGTAGCCCAATGCTTGGGCCTATGACGACATGAGCTTCGCCGGCATATCCAGAGTAGCGTAGTCCAGTTAATAAAGGGCCGACCTATATCAATCGCAAAAGGCGCGCTTTGCGTTCGTGCGTAAAGGAGGATGTCCCTTGATAAATCTCGCATAATCGCATTCCATTGCTATAGACGGACGGCGTCGGCGTCGTGCACCAACGTATAGAATATCGAAGCATTGGCTATTTGCTTGAAACAAGCTACTGCTTCTTGCGTTTTCAAGCTCCCGCAAATCGATCAATTGGCACGAGGGGCTGGCCTTGGGCTCTCATGGTGAGCGACTCGTATCGGCCCAATTGACCTGCTGTCGACGATGCCGGTGACCTCAGCGAAGGCGCTGGGATCCCTCCGCCTGGCAGCGAGTGGCGTCACCAGGCAACGTCTCTGCCTCTCCACCAGCTCGCGCACAGCCGCCACTGCCGCGAGATGTACACAACTGAGAAGCTTCACTAAGCTCTACACCCGACCCAGAACAGCCGCCTTGGCCGCGAACTCGACCGAGCGACTCCAACTCCAGTCCCAGCTGCCACACCCCAGCCTCGTGCTCGCTCGTGCGCTGTCCGGAAAGCCGCTACCCCAGCGCAAGTCATGGCTGCTCAACTTCCTCTACCGAGCTGCTGCGTGGGTTGGCATCTCAATTGTTGTCCTGGGCGGCGGTGTCCTGGGCTTCTTTCTGTACGATGCTAGCACCTACAAAGAACATGTCACGCAGAGCGATATCGATGTGTCGCAGCTTGCGCTTCAGCCACGCCGCGGTGGCCCCAAGAACCTTCCAATCGCCGAGGTATTTATCGATGATGATGTGACCAAGAGCAAGCCCAGGCTGGTTATCCTGGGCGGTGGATGGGGCGGCGTGGCACTCCTCAAAGAATTGAACCCGGACGACTACAATGTCACCGTCATCTCCCCCGCAAACTATTTTCTCTTCACCCCTATGCTGCCATCCGCTACTGTGGGAACTCTGGAATTACGTTCGCTGGTGGAGCCAATTCGACGGATCATAAGTCGCGTGCATGGCCATTTTATACGAGCCAGGGCAGAAGACGTCGAGTTCTCAGAGAAGCTGGTCGAGGTCTCACAGCTTGATCACAAGGGCAAGGAGGTCCGCTTCTACGTCCCCTATGACAAACTAGTCGTTGCTGTTGGCTCTTCAACAAACCCTCACGGCGTCAAGGGACTGGAGAATGCCTTTTTCCTCAAAGATATCAACGATGCACGGATGATTCGAAACAAGGTCATTCAGAATCTTGAGCTTGCTTGTCTACCAACCACCTCAGATGACGAGCGCAAGCGGCTTCTTTCTTTCGTCGTCAGCGGTGGTGGACCGACCGGCGTCGAATTCGCTGCGGAGCTCTTTGATCTCCTGAATGAGGACTTGACCCGACACTTCCCCCGTTTGCTGCGCAACGAGATATCTGTTCACATCATTCAAAGCAGAGGCCATATTCTTAATACTTACGATGAGACGGTCTCTAAATATGCAGAGGAGCGGTTTAACCGTGACCAGATTGAGGTCCTCACCAATTCCCGAGTAAAGGAAGTTCAGCCCGACAAGATTATCTTCAGCCAGAAGCAGGAGGACGGATCTGTAATTACCAAAGAACTCCCAATCGGCTTCTGTCTGTGGTCTACTGGTGTCTCTCCAACTAGTCTTTCTCAGAAATTGGCGAAGAAGCTCGGTAGTGTCCAGACAAACCGACATGCGTTGGAGACAGATACCCACCTCCGCTTAAATGGTGCTCCTCTGGGCGATGTTTATGCCATTGGCGACTGTTCCACCGTCCAGAATAACGTGGCCGAGAGCATCGTTACCTTTCTCCGTAACCTCGCGTGGAAGCGCGGAATAGAACCGGAAAAGCTCCAGCTCCATTTCTCGGACTGGAGACAAGTTGCGCAGGACGTCAAGAAGCGATTTCCGCAGGCCATCAATCACCTTAAGCGTCTTGATAAGCTCTTCTTCGAATTCGACAAGGATCAGTCCGGAACTCTCGACTTTGGCGAGCTTCGGGAGCTACTTAATCAGATCGACAGCAAGCTGACATCGCTCCCCGCCACAGCTCAGCGTGCCCACCAGCAGGGATGCTACCTGGCCCACAAATTCAACAAGATGGCGAGGATCTCAGATGCAATGCTGGCAAACGATATCCGGGACGGCGATCTGGACGCTGCCATCTACAAGGCGTTTGAATACCGCCACCTGGGCAGCTTGGCATATATCGGAAACTCTGCCGTCTTCGACCTGGGCGAGGGCTGGAGCATGGCTGGTGGGCTCTGGGCTGTATATGCTTGGAGGTCAGTTTATTTTGCGCAGAGTGTGAGCTTCCGGACGAGAAGCTTGATGGCGATGGACTGGATGAAGCGAGGACTCTTTGGCAGAGGTATGTGCCGCTCTTTTTTACTTGACTTGCTCTCAGTTAATTGACTTGGATGCTAACGAAAACGAATTTTAGACCTTGTGGCTTTTTAAATGAATGCATTGCCTGCAATAAAGTGTGTTTCTCAAAAGCATGATGAACAAGGTTTAAGACGAAAATGTTCGCCAGGTTTAGAATCTCAAATTTGGTTTTAAATAGCGACGCGAAATTCGAGAAACTGTTTACCACGTATATAATGAATATATATCAAGTCCATCTTGTGTACGTTTCTTTCCATGCATAATCAGTGACTATGAGAACATTGCTCCATAATTTAAAAATATAACTTTTCAATTATGCAAAAAAAAAACATATATATAAACGCCATGATCTGAAGTCTTTAATTTAAAGAAAATCAAGCAAAAATTCAGAGTGCACGTACGGAAAGGAGAAGTCATTAGTTCTAATTTATATAACAAAATCTTTGTGCGTCCACTTCTCTGTAACCTTCTTCCTGGCCTGCTTCTTGAATGGAATATGTCTTCGGCTCTCCACCTTTCCTCTGAGCAGCATGCTTCTGTATCGGTCCTTGAGGAGGTTGCCCTCCGGTTTGAGCAGTCGCAGCGATTCCTGCAGCTCGTCTGGCAGAACAAGCTCCAGATCCTTCTCCGGGAGTTTGTACTTGCCCAGCTGCTTTCTTCGCAGCTTTTCCTCCCCAATCTCGCTGTCGGCGTCCGACTCCTCTGCTGCGGCTTGGGCCAGGACGAGGGCCTTCTGCTTCTCTTTATCCTCAACCTCTGCAGCAATTTCCTTGATGCGCTGCTCTTGCGCCCGGCGAGTCTTCATTTCAGCCTTGTGCTTCGCCAGTTGTTCCTCTTCCTTTCTGCGCTTGATACGATTCCGCTGAGCCTGCGTCTTGCGCTTGGGCTGCTTCGCGCTGGGCCTCTCATCCACGCCGGACTGGAAACCCTCCCACTCGGAATCTTCTTCCCACTCTGACATGTTGGCTCGCTCCTCGGCGGCATCTGCCTCGGCGGCTGACCTGGCTGCGGCTTCTAGCTTCGCGGCCTCTGCGGCCGCTGCTTCGAGGCGCTTCTGCTCGGCCTCAATGGCCTTGGTGCTCTCTTCTGCGAGACGCTTCTCGTATTCTGGGAAAGACGGGTTGTAGCTGTATCCGCCTGTAGGCTTTGGCACCGCGGGAAGCTGTTTTCCGTTGGAGAGGAGAGAAAGAGGCTGCTGCTTCATGGACTTGGGGACCTTGGCCTCAACCTTTTCGGGCAAAAAGTCGGTAGGGTCCTGGGCAACTGGCTCAGCAGGGGCATCCCACAGGTCAAAGGTAGCATCTTTGACTGCCACTGTGCTCTCGTGATGTCCGTCCGCCACTTTCCTCAGACGAGCCAACTCCTTGTGGGAAACCCAATCCGTGCGCTGGCGCTTGGCGGCGATGACTCCGTCGGTAGTTTTGTCGCCAGGGCGCTTTCGCATGGGGACCGCCGGCACGGCTGAGCGCTTGTTGATGATCTCGTCGGCCTTGAGGCCCTTCTTGACATGCTTGGGGAATTTCTGGGGGATCTTGGAGTCGCCTGCTACGTCGAGGACGAAGAGATCTTCGGATGCCTTTTCGCGAATGACACCACTGAAGACCCTGTTAGCATATTCCAGCTTCTATCAATATTGAATAGTATCGTACCCTCGGATGATTTCATCATTCAGCTCTCGAAGGCCCTCCTCGACCTCTGTAACGTCCACGTTCTTCCTCCATGCCTTCTTTCCTTTCCTGGATGGCTGGCTGAACTGTTTGGGGGCTTCGCCAGAGCCAGCCGTAGCTGAGCGAAGAACCGGCATTTTCTTTCTTTCTTTTTTTTTTTTTTTCTGGCGTTCTTCTGAAATTGGCTTATCGAAATGTGAAAAAATTGCGACAATATCCTTGGATATAATGCCCAACGGTGGCTATACCAGCTCGCAGTCGCAAATTTACAGTGTGGAGGACATTGGCTGGGCGATTCTGTCTTATCAGCAACTTTTCTCAAGATTTTTTAGCGGGTCCCCCACGAAACTCGACGGTCAAAGACAGCTAATCAATGCCGCTACGCTCCGTATCAGGCACTGAGGGCACGTTTATCGCGCAGCGGCAGGCTAGGCCCCATTTGGCCGCGTAAAGAACGGTTGGTTGGGTAGCGGGGCATGGCCTGTGGAGGGCCCGTTTTCTGAGCTGTCCACGGCCCAAAGTGGCTCGGGGTCCTAATATTGCCTGCTATTTATCCTGAAGCCTGGTGGCGGTCATTATCAACTGTCACCACCTCCTTTCGGGGCTGCCTAATATTCCACTGCTGGACAAGCTACGGCAAAGAACGGCATCAGAGACCAGACCTGTGCCCTGCGAAGATCCATCATCAAACAATTGGAAGCGTTGCCTCTGTCCATCAGAAAGCAGCCCAACCAAAGTCTCTTTGGCAACTGCGGAATATCCAAAGCTAGCATCACAAACCACCACACGAAGCAGCCATGGCGCAGGCGGGATCATACAACAACCCCTTGAAGAAATTCAAGTATGTTGTCCTCATCTGCTCGTTTCTTCATCTCTATCCAAGGTAATAATGCTAATCCGGTATTGTCCAGGCTGGTCTTCTTGGGAGAACAAAGCGGTATGTGCCTATTGCCTGGCTCCACCTATATGGCGACTTCGTGACTGACCGATTCTACGGCGCAGTGGGCAAGACGTCTCTGATCACTCGATTTATGTACGACTCGTTCGATAATATGTACCAAGCAACAATTGGCATCGACTTTCTTTCAAAGGTATGGAGGGGAAAACACCAGTTCGTTCGCGTTATCTGCCGGTACCCGAGCCTAATGCCCAGTTATAGACCATGTATCTCGAAGACCGGACGGTACGACTACAGCTGTGGGATACCGCAGGACAAGAGCGATTCCGAAGTCTGATCCCTTCATACATTCGCGACTCAAGCGTTGCTGTTGTGGTTTACGATATCTCTAGTATGGAAATTCCCTTTTTCTTTTCCTCTTTACCGCCAAAACCCCCCCTCCTCCACTCACCCCTCCAAACTCGCGGTGAAGCCCCACCATCTTCCTACGGTTGGCTAACAACGCATACCACTACTTAGACGCAAAGTCATTCCAAAACACCAAGAAATGGATCGATGATGTCCGGGCCGAGAGAGGAAACGATGTGATTATTGTGCTGGTTGGCAACAAGACAGATCTCAACGACAAGCGAGAGGTCACAACTCAACAAGGAGAGGAGGAGGCCAAGAGGCAAGGCTTAAGGTTTGTTGAAACCAGTGCAAAGCTTGGCCACAACGTACAGAACCTTTTCAAGAGGATAGCGCAAGCTCTGCCTGGTATGGAGGGCTCCGACTCAGCTACTCAGGCCACCAACCAAAGTAAGATTTCTTTCCCCTGTATCCTTTGGGAACTATATCTGACTTTCATTCTTTTCACAGTGATTGATGTGCGGACGAACACACAACAGCCTCAGCAAGAAGGCTGCTCATGCTAAACGAAGATGTCAAGAATTTATGATGGAGTTTTGAAAGCTTAATAAGATAACCAACCAGTATCCCCATTTCAGCGTCGCTTCGCAGTCACGATGCATTTATGCCGAGGATAGGATATTTCATTCGAATTTGGCGAGTGCATGGGACTTTGTATAATACCTGCAACGGGGACAACGTGCCCACGATCGTTTATACACATACTAATACTCCTTTTCTGCTAATTCAGCGCTTCAACTTTTTTTCTTAAAACCGAATCCGTATAAACTGCTTCTCGAAGAAGAGATTGTGTCATGTGATTTGTCATGTGTTTGTTTCATCCTAGCTCGTCTTGGCTCTTCTATGACTGGCTGAATGACGGCAACTGTGGGGCGTTCAGCCTTCAATGTGGCTAAGCGCGCTTTTGGGCGTCTCCTGGGCGCATCATCTCCGCCGTCGCCGAAATCTTTCGAGGTCCTGTCGCTTCTTCCGTCATTCTTTTTCCAGCGCCCAAACGTCACTTTCTGCCTGACGATAGACTTGCTTTGCTTTGTTTTTCTGGCGTAGACCTTGACGGCGGCGGAAAATCTATCCATCATGTCGAAGTTTACGAGGCTTTATTTGCGGATACCCCGTCCGAAGGTAGGCATTTCCGGGCTGTTACCTGTGACAACCTCTTCCATCTGGTCAGGAAGTTGTCAAGTTGGCGAAGCATGAAAGTCGTGGTGCTGATGGTTAGCGACAATAGACCCTCTTTGGCTTCATCAGCCTCCAGACCGGTACCGAATTGATTTCCCTGGCGCTGGTCTTCAACAAGGTCACCGGCGTTTATGGCCTTCTTGCTATTCTTACTGGATTTCAACTCTCGCTATTCCAACTTACGACTTACATTTACTGTATCGGAATCCTCGGCACCCTCGTCTACCTAATTCCACATATCCGAAAGCAGACTGCGTTCGAGTGCCTGGCCTTGGCGTGGCTGTATGTGATCGATACTGCTATCAACTGTGCCTCTACATTGGCTTTTGGAATGGACTGGTACTTTGCCAACGCTGCATCATCGACCGGGTCTGGAATCAAGCCTTCAAGCCTGCCTGATATTGTTGCCGAAGGGATGGAAGGTCTTCGACGTGAAACTGCCATGCACGGAGATGCTGTGCCCCAGGAGACGGCAGCCAGCATGATTCTCATCACCGGGTTGACCTTGATCCGAGTTTACTTCAGCCTGGTTGTCATGAATTATGCACGGCAGGTGCTGCAGAAGTATATGCAGCTGATGATCCTCGAGGGACCTGGTGTTGACGATCATGTGGGACCTTTCGCTACCGACCTGCCTGACGGTGAAGGCCGGAGGGGTCAGCTTGGCCGAACCATGGTGTCTTTTGGACGCAACTACTGGATGGATTATTCCGAGGCGGGAGAGTGGACCGTCGGAGGTACAAGCCGGAAGCCTAGCTCAGTCGGAACTCTGGCCGGCGAAGTATAAGAGATGAGGGAGGGAGCGAGAGAGACAGGATAAATCAGGTCAAGACAAGACAAGATAATCAGATAGTAGATGCTTGCGCAAAGAGACTAGAGAAAGTTGGCGATGTAGACGGAGAGAAGGACAAGGTGAAGGAGAGGCGGGGGCGTATGAAATGACGCGATTGGACCCCCGCCATTCATCATCGAAAGAAAGAGAAAGGCTCGGCATTATTTTGGGATTTTTTTTTTTCCTATTTTGGGCGGTCACGGGTGTGGCCTTAATTATTTAATACATAAAGCATATTGGTATACCCAGCAGAAACCGAAATAGTGTCCAGCTTGATTAGTTTAGAATCTCTTTACGCACGGTCCAGTATGTGGCGCAGTGTGGCTTGTACAGTGTGGTAAACGTCGAGATGCTACCTACATACATTCTTAAACTGGGCCTAATATCTTCAGACACTGAATTCTAGGTTCTTTGTTCCTTCTTTTGCTTCTCATGGAACTCTGTACATTCTCTTTGTGTGCAGGATTGGCATATCGGTCTGGCATGTTCCTAGGGTACGTATTGACTGTTGTATCATAAGAGGTCAGGCTGTAACACTTATACAGCCAGTTATAGATAAGGCATTCAATAGATTACAGTTTGGGATATTCAATACTTTCCCTACCTGTAACAAGTAGGGCCCCTAGCCCCCTTGGCCTATTCAGCAATATATTACAACGAAAAAAGTTAATCCCTTGGAGATTCTCAATATTACTCATCGTTTAAAAAAACACGAGTTGTCACTTGAACGGACTTTATCATGCAATGGAGGCCTCCATAGCAATTGACTATCAAGGTATCTAAAAAAGCGTGTAAAGAGGTAAACTTGTAGATCCAGCTGCAGAATCTGGCTTTGTGTGGCTCGTTTGCCTCATGAACAAGCTAGTGAAGCAGCTTTTGGCTGAGTGTTTGTTCCATAGTTAAAAGTAGTTTTTGGGAGATGTCTAATATATGTCTGTATACGATTATACCCAATCGGTTGGCGATAAATTGGGGATGGAACTCTAAATACAGCAAGCAAATGGCCCAATATTGTCGTTAAAACCAGGATAATGGACAAGGGGATTGTTAATACAAGGAAATGCTGCTGTAAAGCAATCGCATTCGCATTCGCAGCTCTGGTAGCTATTTCCAAATAGTAATACATTTCTTTAGTAATGAGCGAGCAGCTATTGTCATTGTTTGGGGGGGGGGGGATACTTATGATGGGCTACTTACTGATAAAAGCGGCATCCACCAGCTGCATGATTCGGCTGAATCTATAATATCCGGCTGGCAAGATCCGTAGGGATCGATTCTAAATTAAAAGGAACTAGAATCAGTCTTGTTAACCTAAGAAGGGAAGACATACGGCATCTTTCGAAATAACAGAGAGACTTGTGCAAGCGCTAAAATTGTTATTTATGCATGCAAGTACAGCAGCGCCATTAAGATCCTTAATAAGCAAGACAAGTTTTTCTCTTTCGTCTAGTATAGACTTACTATTTAAGGTCATATGAGGTGTATAAACCCTAAAGGGTAAGACATGTGCCTCTCCCTTAATACACAAGCTTGCCCTGAGTATCACAACCCAACATTGTCTCAACTATACTACTATAACAACACCAGGAGCAGAAAAAGGCAAAATCTCAGAATATATATATACATAAGTCAAAATCCTACAAAAGAGCTGGTACACTATTGATCTTCCGCTAGTATATAGTCGGTAATATTATGGACTAATTGTTCAATGAGAAATTGGAAGAAGATCTCTGAGTCAAAAACCTACAGCAAGTGCCAGAGTGATTATGAGATCACGAAATCGTCCCAAGTGATAGGAACTCCCCCAAACTTAATAAGATGCCAGGCAAGGATGTTGGATAGCTGCGTAACTTTGCCTAATTTAGAAGGTAGCACCTACCTAAGGGCGCTCCCTTCAACATGTTCTTTTGAACCTCATGCCTGAGACCTGTGATTACGACTTGGCTGTGAGATGTGTATGACCACATTCTATCTTAAGATTTACACTTGTTAAGAATTGTCCTTTAACTGTATAGGCCACGGCCTCACAGTGTGGCCCATTCCCTAAGAGGTTCAACATATATAAGGTCGGACACTTATTTCGGTTTCACGGTACCGCAGTGCTGGGATTGCAAGCAAATCTAGAGCCAGTGGTACTTGTTGCATTATTTAATTTGCACTGTACTAGCCACAAGCCCCCATATAGACTGGTCCGTGCGTAAAAAGATTCTAAACTACTAAACCACTTACAGTATTTCGGTTTATACATTCTGCAATGCTACTATTAGTATGCTTATAGGGTGCGGCAGAGACATGCTCATAGTAAGAACAGAGCCACGGAAAACAGCTCCGACGGCCGGGCCCTGCTGTTTGCTCGGCATTCGGGGGTACTAGTGACTGGCTTACCAGCCGCTACCGGGGCGTCTGCTTGGTTGGATGGCAGAGGAATGGACGAATGAGGTTGCTCGGCTCGTCGGTGCCCTCTACAAGGTGACGGAAGTCGGAGAGGAACTAATTCAAGCCAAGGGTCCCGCTCAGCCTAATAGCGATAGATCAATGGTGGATTTGCAGAATAGCTGTTGGAATAGGCGTGTCTGCGGCATGGCTGCGGCGAGAGCGGCGGTCCAGCAGATGCTGAACTGGGTTTAGTGTTGATGGCGTCAGTTGAGGGCCTGAATTCGAGCAAACGAAAAGGTTTGAATGTGGTAACAGAAGCTGGGCGAGAGAGGATTCGAAGATTTGGTTGCTTTACGAGCTGATTGATTATTCACTATAGTAGGTACTTTACTTGCCTAGGTACACTCACATGGCAGAGATGCGTCTTATCCTAGTACTATAAGATAGGTATCTATGGTTAGCCTTGATATCGAAAGGAAGGCGCCATGTGTTAGTCCCTGGAACTTCCATGATGGATCGGAACAAAGAAAAAAAAAATATCCCTCTCCCTCTACATTAACAATCCCCCATTCCTGGGCAGGCGAAATCCTCTTTAGCTAGGTACCTATCCATACTACCGCTGTCGCATCACAACGAATCTGACGACAGGGATTTGTCAGAGAGCGATTTCGCCATCGCCGCCGTCCTATGGCTGCGCTCTGGCGGGTGGCGCCCACGCAAGACTTGCGCACAACTCCAAAGCGCTAAGCGATCACGCAATCCTCGAAAACTCGGGCTTCTGCGGGGAATGGAAATTTGGCTGAGGCCAGGCAGTGGAGCCTGGAGAGGCTTTTGGGAAAATTGAAAGCAGTCAGTAGTAGCAATTTAGCATTGACTGAAGGCACGGATGGCTTTTGCGGGATCGACTGGGGGTGAATTGGCTGTTGTCGAAACGGGTCACGTCTTATAACTAAAACGATCTCACCATTCCTCTTCACGTCGTTTCTCCAGACCTCTCCCCCAAGGGATTTTTCTGTTTTTCTTTCTTTCTTCTTTCTTCTGCATCTCTTCGCTTTCCTTGCCCTTCCTTTTGACCCTGTAGAGGCTTCATCTCAGTCTCTCAAAAGCCTTGAACGATCAGTTCGAGGCACCGGATAGAAAAGGGCATGGCGACCTCGGTTCAGATCCGCACGCCTGAAGAGGCCGGTGAGTCAATGATTTACTATGGAATACACGACGACAGTTTCTTTCTTTCTATTATTTTAAATGCATCTCTGTGATTGAAGCTGGACTAACGTTGCTGTTCTTCTGTTCTTTGCAGCCGCGAGAATCGCCTACTTGTCCAGCGATGTCGTCATTTCCGTGCAGCCGTCATTGGCTGCCGATTCTGAGTTTTCCTCGCACCTGAAGCGGTTTGCCAGCCGCAAGGATCGAGGAATTGTCGCAGCTACTGAGGACACTGTGCCAGAGGTTAGTATTTGACGATTTTTTTCCAGCCCCGGAATGCTCGTTGTCGTGGTGGGTGGGCTCTTCTGCCGCGCTTGCACCTAATCATCTCACCCTGACGACGACCCGATCCTGGTCTACCGACAGTCCGAAGGCTGCCATTGAAGCGTGAAAACTCACTAACCACTAACTGAATACAGATCCAACACGTCCGCCATAACAATGACCCATTACTCTCTGTCTTTGCTCCCATCCGCTCAGGCAAGCTCGTCTCTGTCACCACCTCATCTTCCATCCTCCTCCCCTCCATCTCTCACCTCTACAAGCTCGCCAGCTACCCTGTTGTCCTGCATGTCTCCCTCCAGCCACGTGGCTTTGCCGACTACTCCGTCATCACCTCCATTCGAAACTCAGGATGGACGTTCCTCCAGTCCGAGACTCTCCAGGAGGCTCAGGATATGGCCATTACTGCCCATGCCTTGGCTCTGCGCACCGGCAAGGCCGTCATTCACTTCTTCTCTCCAGATACTTCAGCTCGTGATGAGCCCATCGGCCTAGAGGACTTTACCGTAGTCAGGGCTGTGCTCGATATCGAAGGTGTCAGGAGATTCCAGGCCAGCACCATCAAGGCCACTGGCTTATACGCCGACGACGGACATGTTGCCGTTTCCTCGGACCTCCAGGAAGTCGAGGCTGGCAGCTCAGAGAAGGCCTCAGGCCTTCAGCAATCAACCGTCTCACTCGCTTCCAAGGCCGCATCTGAGCAGTCTGCCAGGACCAGCCAGGCTAGCAGCTCCAGTACCCCTATTGGCGCTTCATCTGTTGCCACCACTGTTGAGACTACTGTTCCTAGAGTGACATCTGAGGATGTCTACACATGCGCCTCTCGCATCTGGGAGCAGTTGAACACCGCTCTTGGAAGACAATACAACGCCTTCGAGTACACTGGACCAGCCAATGCGGAGAACTGCCTCTTCATCTTCGGATCCGACACTGGCGCTTTTGCTGAAGCCATTAACAGCGCGAAGCCTGATGACGTCTACGCTAAGATTGGTATCCTCACCCCTCGCCTGTACCGACCCTGGATCGGCTCCAAGCTCGTCTCCAGCATCCCCAACACCATCAGGAGGGTCGCCGTTCTGGAACAGATTCATAGAAAGACCACCAAATGGGGTCCCTTGTTGATTGACGTCTTGTCCTCCGTTAAGAGCGGCCCCGGCGGTGTTGAGACCATCGTTGGTCACCAGCTGGGATACATTGCCCCTGAGGCCACCACCCAGGCCCTCCGTGGCATCGTGCAAAATCTCACTGCTGAAAAGCCCATCCAGAACCTTGAAGTCGGTGTCAAGGAGGGACCAAGTGAGCCCGTTTCACAAGGCATTGAGGCCCCGAAGCTCGAGGTTGCCTATGGCAAGATTCTCGACCAGCTTTTTGGCAGCAGAGCCTATATTGCCAATGCCCTGGGATCTCAGGATGCCGGCATCTCTGCTACTGTATCTGCCAGCCCCGAATTCGGTTTCGGTTCCCTGTTAGCTAGAAAGGAATTGCGAGCCAACTTTATCGCCGAAGTCAAGCAGGCAGCAAGCAGCGCTGGTTCTACCAGCGAGGCTTTGAAGAGCTGGCTGGCACGATGGGCCGTCAACTCTGATGACCAGGCCAAGTCTGATCTCATTGCGGATGAGGTCATTGCCAAGCTGGAGCAGGACAACTCTCCCGAATCTCAGAAGCTTCTCTCCAACCGTGCCCTATTCCGAAAAGAGTCTCTGTGGCTGATGGGTTCTGACGCTTGGGCTTACGATCTTGGCAACTCTGGTGTGCACCACGTCCTTGCATCTGGCGAGAACGTCAACATGCTCATTATTGACTCGACGCCTTACTCCGAGAAGGCTCTGGCCGACGCCAACCGCAGAAAGAAGGACATTGGTTTGTACGCTATGCACTTCGGCAACGCCTACGTTGCCTCCACTGCTGTCTACAGCTCATACACCCAGGTCCTCCAGGCCCTGCTAGAGGCCGATAAGTTCAACGGCCCATCAGTTGTTTTGGCCTACCTGCCCTACTTTGGCGAGACCGACTCCCCTCTCACTGTTCTTCAGGAAACCAAGAGGGCTGTAGATACTGGATACTGGCCTCTGTACAGATGGAACCCGTCTAACGAGGCCAACGGCGAGCCTACCTTCTCGCTGGACTCTGAGCTCATCAAGAAGGAACTGAAGGCTTTCCTTGAGCGAGATAACCAACTGACCCAGCTCATGCAGAAGGAGCCTAGCTTTGCTTCCAACCTTGGCCAGGACTTTGGAACCGAGGTCCGCGCAGCACAGAAGAGGAAGGCAAAGGATGCCTACAACCAGCTTCTGGAAGGCCTTTTGGGTGCTCCCCTGACCATCCTGTATGCTTCCGATAACGGCAATGCCAGCAATTTGGCGAAGCGATTGGCCAATCGGGGTAGAGCCCGAGGCTTGAAGACGGCAGCCATGTCCATGGATGATTACCCGCTCGAAGATTTGCCAGGCGAAGAAAACATCGTCTTCATCACTTCAACCGCTGGACAGGGAGAGTTCCCTCAAGATGGTCTGGCGTTCTGGGACGCTATCAAGGACAACACTGATCTCGACTTGGCTACCGTCAACTACTCTGTATTTGGTCTGGGTGACAGCCACTACTGGCCACGCAAGGAAGACAAGATTTACTACAACAAGCCGGCCAAGGACCTTGACCGGGTTTTGAGCAACCTGGGTGGCAGGCGATTTGTTGATATTGGCCTGGGAGACGACCAGGATCCCGATGGCTTCCAGACCGGCTACCAGGACTGGGAGCCCAAGCTGTGGCAGGTCCTGGGCGTGGACAAGGTCGATGGCCTTCCCGATGAGCCCCCGCCAATTACCAACGAAGACATTAAGCTTGACTCCAACTTCCTTCGTGGTACTATCGCTGAGGAACTGAGGGATACATCTACTGGAGCCATCTCCGCCGCCAACTCTCAGCTAACTAAGTTCCATGGTACCTATATGCAAGACGACCGTGACGTCCGCGACGAGCGAAAGGCCCAAGGCTTGGAGCCTGCCTACAGCTTCATGGTTCGCTGCAGATTGCCGGGTGGTGTCGCTACTGCCGCGCAGTGGATTCAAATGGACGACATCAGCAACAAGCTTGGTAACGAGACGATGAAGCTTACTACTCGTCAGACATTCCAGTTTCACGGTGTTGTCAAGGGCAAACTGCGAGAGACTATGCAGGGCATTAACCGTGCACTCATGACCACAATCGCTGCTTGTGGTGACGTGAACCGTAACGTCATGTGCAGCACTCTGCCTTCTCAATCCAAGCTTCATCAAGAAGTTCACTCGTACGCCGCAAAGATCAGCAACCACTTGCTGCCTTCTACCAGCGCGTACCATGAGATCTGGCTGGCTGATGAGGACAACAAGAAGGTTCAGGTTGCAGGTGATGCTGTTAAGGATTTCGAGCCTCTGTACGGTCCCACCTACCTTCCCCGAAAGTTCAAGATCACCATTGCTATTCCTCCTTACAACGACACTGACGTCTATGCTCACGACATTGGTCTGATCGCTATCGTCAACGAGGCTGGCACCTTTGAGGGTTTCAACGTTCTTGCCGGAGGTGGCATGGGTGCCACTCACAACAACAAGAAGACATACCCCCAGCTAGGCCGCATGTTTGGCTTTGTTCCCAAGGACCAGATCCATCTTGCCTGCGAAAAGATCATGCTTGTCCAGCGTGACTTTGGTGACCGTAAGAACCGAAAGCACGCCCGTCTCAAGTACACCATCGACGACATGGGCGTCGAGGTCTTCAAGGGCAAGGTTGAGGAGCTGTGGGGCCAGAAGTTCGACACTCCCAGAGCTTTCGAGTTCAAGAGCAACGTTGATATCTTTGGCTGGCAGCGTGACGAGCTTGGCGTAAACCACTTCACCTTCTTCATCGAGAACGGACGTATCGAGGATACCCCTGACTTCCGCATGAAGACTGGTCTGCGAGAAATTGCCAAGGTTCACAAGGGCGATTTCCGCCTGACTGGCAACCAGCACCTTGTCCTCAGCGGCGTCAGCGACGAAGACGTCCCTGCCATGAAGGAGCTGATGAAGAAGTACAAGCTCGACAACCTCCAGTTCTCCGCTCTCCGCCTCAGCTCATCCGCCTGTGTTGCTTTCCCCACTTGCGGTCTCGCCATGGCCGAGTCTGAGCGTTATCTTCCCCAGCTGATTACCAAGCTTGAGGCTTGCATTGAGGAGAACGGCCTCCGCCAAGACTCCATCGTAATGCGTATGACTGGTTGCCCCAACGGCTGTGCTCGTCCCTGGCTCGCTGAGGTTGCCTTTGTTGGTAAGGCCTATGGCGCGTACAACATGTACCTCGGTGGAGGCTACCACGGTCAACGTCTGAACAAGCTGTACCGCGCCAGCATCAAGGAAGACGAGATCCTGACCATCATGAGAGGTCTGTTGAAGCGGTATGCGGTGGAGAGACAGGAGGGCGAGAGATTCGGTGACTTCTGCATTCGGGTTGGTCTCATCAACGAGACTACCGATGGCCAGAACTTCCACGACAACGTAAGTTTCTTCCTTTAATTATTTGTATTCCCCTTCGGCTCTTTGGAGGTGCATCTAATTTGGAGTTTCATTATGCTAACTAATTGATTGGCAGGTCGCGGAAGAAGAGGAGCCTGAGGAGGAGTAAATGATTTGAGATGATATGAGGCAAATTATAAGACGAAATATATATTTTTTGGGTCAAAACACATTGGGCGTTGGATATCATCAACTGAAAGCATCTCATCATTTAGTATTAAGTTAAATCAAGTTTTTTTTCAAATATGATGTAAATCGAGTAAAAAAAAAAATAATGAAAAGCAAAACCAAACATTAGTCATGTATATGCCTATATCATGCAATCATCGACATCAGGAGCACATGAATCTGAAGCACATAAAATATATTCTCATCAATGTCTCATAATTTAATAACCATCATTATCCTTCCATCAAACCGCCTCCCCCACCATTTCTCATTAATACAATCTTTTCCTTTCCTTCTGCATTTCCCAAGAACCCAAGCCACCTTGATTCATACAGCATACCATGGATGCTCTCGCATCACCGGTATCTTTCCAACGTTAAGTAGCCATCAAACCCTCATTATAGACAGAGACATGCATCATACAGAGTATCCACATTGACAAACATTGTGCTTCTTTTTCTTTGCAACGATGAACAAAAAAAGAGGCAGGCATTCAATTCGAAAGAGCCTCCAAAAAACCCCAGTCTTTTCCAAACTTTGTATACTTGGTTCAACCATGCGTACCTCATATAGAGAGGCATGAGGAAGAGAAAAAAAAAAAAGACATGACCCACCCACCGACTCTCTATTTGCCAAAGGAGAGTAGAAGAAGAAAAAAGAAAGAAAAATCTCTCGATCATGTAGGACACAATCAAAAGAGGCCATACAAATCTAAAGAAACAGAACAATAATATCAAGATCTAAGGGTATTAGTAATGCTGCTTCCAACGCTGCTCATGGTTTCGCTAAGCTTCTCGCCTACGCCACCCGCCCAGCTGGGCAGCTTGAGGGTCATGCGAATTCTGCCTTCAACTATCAGATGAATGAGGTTGATTACAGCAAACGTGGTAGATCCAATAGCACGGAAGACAGCCAAGCCAGCCACACTCCATAGCAAGAAGCGGAGGTAGAAGTTGTTACCAATGCCCTTGTTACTATACACTTCCGAAATGGCCATGGCGAGAATGGCATTCAGCACCATCCATGACACGACCATGTAGGTTCGGACGCTCTTGTAGTAATCTTCCTGCAGCTGGGACTCGCTCGGGGGCTTCTCCGGGACTTCGACACGGTCACGCAGGTTGCGCAGAGCCTCGTCGTATCCGCTGTCGATATCAAGCTGCTCGCTGGGCATTTCAAGCTCGACAGTCTCGCCCTTACCAATAGCACCGCCCAAATCAGTCTTGATGACATTGTCACCCTTGGTGCCCCAGGTAACATCATGCGTGTTGCAGAAGGCGTAAACTTGAAGAGTGCAGATGTAGCTTGGCAGCAGAAGGAAGTATTGACCGGCAGAGGTAAACATGTGCCATGGATCGAGATAGAGGAACGACATGGCAAAGTACAGACCAATTGTCGACGCCATGGACACAATAAGATTCGTAAACACGTTGTTACCGAGTGTAAATGTAATGCCGCTTTCCTTGTGCGTGAACTGCCTGATGACAATGTAGATGATGGCGAAAGTCGTGTAAATCATGATGATGCTGTAGATAATCATACTGCTAAGATAAAGCTTTCTTGCGCCTTGTGGACGATTTCCGAGTGACAAGATGAACTGAATGGCGATGAGCAGGATGCATGTATATCTCAAAATGATGAATATGACATTTCCGATGCCGTGCCCAAACGGATCGACCGTGGGGTCTGCCAGCCCACCAGCGACGAAATAGAAAGCCAAGTAGAAGTTTGCGAGAGAGAAGTACGTGAAGAGCAGTTGAACAAATTGATAGACAAATTCAATGTAAAGAAGGACCTTGCGTGCAAGCGTATGATCAGTCTGTAGAATCTGTCGGAACTGGACAAGAGAGTAGACAGCGGCGAAGAAGGCGCCGTTCAGCCATCTTCTTCGCTGAGAGATAAATTCGGGAACAGAATCTACAGATTTAACATGTTAGTTTTCTGCTTTGTTTTAAGACAGGGCGGCAGATGTAACACTTGAAAATGAAAAAAAAAAAAAAAAAAAAACTCGAAAAGCAACATACCGGGAACGTCAGTCTCTCCGTGGCAACCCTTGACGTATTTCAAAACCCATCTCTCGCCTCGCTTGGCTACGAGCTCCCAACAAAGGATACGATCTTCGGCCAGGTACATATTGGCAGTAAACACGTCGGCATGTTGACCGTGAAGCGTCTCACCCTTGAAGTACTGGCTCAACGGCCCATGGCCAGTTTCATCGTTTTGTAGCGCATGGTAACGGTAGGCACTGAGAGCACCGGGCAACACCGTAATGTATCCAAAGACAGACTCCAGAGGCTTATCCAAGATGTTGGACATCTTGTATTCGAAGTTCTGGGACGCAACTAGAGGGTTCAAAAGGTATGATCCGTATTTGCCCTTCATAGCCTTGATTTCACCACACGCTCCAGCAACGTTGGAGTCAAAGTCAAAAGCCTTCCAAAGATGGTACAGCGAAGTGCCTCCGGGGCGAGTTCCCACATCCAGAAGAATACAGACGTTGGGATTCAGGGCCTTGCCAAATGCGTTGAAGAACCAACGATGCGAGTTCAGCTTGCGCGAGTTCTTTTCTTTGAGACAAAAGATGATTTGGCACGGCACAATGCCTTTTTCGGCGCCCTTGAATTTGAGATCGGAGTCGAGTGAGACCTGTGTCGTGTATTCATAGACGTGAGCCTGCACGGCTCTGTTGTTGACAAAATTTTTGGCGATGCCGTGCTGGTACACTCCCATGGCCGCCAAAGCGTCCAGTGTGCGTGGGTGGATTTTCTCACGGCCATCGGAGATGATGCAGACGACAACCTTTTGCCAGCCATTCTCACCCCAGGTACGGGATCGAGATCGAGAACAGAAGTGGGATATATTCTTCATGACTGCATACATAGTCCTGGTGAAGAGAATCTCATCTTCATTGTACATGGTTATACAGATGAAGAGCTCGGTCTCTCGAGTCGTGCGACCAATGGCCTGCCGGAGCTTGTATCCCCTGTCGACAAAGTCATCCGGATCACAGGTCACAGCAGTGTACCTCATATGAGTGAATTCGACCTCGTCTCGTCGCGGCAGAAAGCTGTAAAGGATAGTTGGGATTTTACACTCCAGGACAAGCTCTCCGTTGATGAGGGGAACCTCTTTTTTGGCCATTTGCGGAGCGCGGACACCACGTCGCTCTTGGGCTCCATCAGGCGCAGGCCCGTAGTGCTCATATTTGTCGAAATACTCATTCTCTTCTCCCAGAGTTTCTTGGGAGCCTGAGTGGTATGAGTCGCGGTCATCGCCGTAAGCGCGGCCATCTTCTTCATCATAGTCGTAATGATCGTAATTATGTTCATAATGGCGGTTGTCGCTAAGATCTGACTCGGGACGAAAGATGTCTTCATCATCAGGGTGGTCATAGGGAATGGAAACAGTTATATCGTCTGTAAATTGCGAGGCTCGCGACGTGTTGCCAAAGCGAGGTGCCGGCGGCAGTGGACGGCGTGGGCTGCCGCCATACCTTGATGACGGGGTTCCTGGTCTGGGGCTACCGTTGATGTCTGAAGGCTCGTAAGAATCATGAGATGGCGGGGGGCGAGAATAGTCTGTCAGTCTCGATGCTGGAGACCACGGCCTATGAGGATCTCTAGTGTCGTAGGACATGTACGACCCATCTGGCGGCGGAATGCTGGGAGCATTGTCCCGAATAGACCCCGTCCGAGTGTGAGAGGACAAAACACTGGGTTCATATTGAGGTCGAGGTGATCGCATACTAATGGGCCTATCGTGTGAGCTTTTGGTCTTCCATCTTACTGTGGGTTTTTTCCTTTTTGGCGTTGTCTCTGCAGCAGCAGCAGCCTCCACTACGACTGGTTGTGGAGTTTGCTGCTGTACATCTGGTTGAGGAGAAGCCGGTTGAGAGGCTGGCTGGTCGGACGCGGATAGACTCCCTCGTCGTCGCCGGATTCGCTCACTTGGCCCCTCCGGGATGGTTGGTAAGGCTTCCGCCAGGTTTGGACTTGTTGGGCTGCGTTGCAACTTTGCAGTGTTGATCTTGCGAATCTGTTTGATATAAAGGGGAGGGGGGACGACAACATCAGGAGAAGGAGGATTGGGGAGATGGTGGACAGAAGGAGAGCCAGCAGGATGGTCATCCGCCGTGGCTGTTGCTTGCATGTCTGCCTCTGGCTTGGTCTCCAAGCTCGAGACGGCTCTTGGACACTCGTCGAAGGCCATGGTGGATGTCCTGGAACTGGATCCGTGGAGTTTCGAGGCCGTCTTGGGTTGCAAGGACAGCGTCGACAGGGACGACGGAGATGTATTTGGGGATGCCGGTGTTGCCAATGGCGACGGCGGTGTTACGTACGGTCTCTCAGCGGGCTCTTCCACAGATGTCAACAATCTGACGGCGGCGGCTCCATGGCCGGTGGGCGAGTCCAGTTCGTCGTCGTACGGCGGCAAACTATAATCGGCAGGTATGTCGGAGCGACGATGGCGGTCCATTGTCATGCAATGCCTGTGGGCGCGTGTTTTAAACTTTGGAATGCTGTTAGACTCAGAACTAAAGCCAGAACCAGAACCGAGCCAGGCGGCCTGCACCACCGGTGATCAAACCAAGGCCGAGTCGAGGCGTTGCTGTTCGATGCGGTGAGTTGGTTGTCTGGTCGGTGAAGGCGTTTGCCGCTGGGGGACGAGACCAAAGAACGAAAAGAAGATGGCAGCCCGCCAAAACAAGAAGATTTTGAGAGGTGCAACATCCAAATCCACCGGAGACCCGGGCTGCATAAAGATAAAGGCGGGAACCAGATGCAGCAGCTCTGGGGACAGGCGTGCATGCCAGCTGGAGCGTCCGCAGTGGAGCCCAGCCGCGCAGCTTGCGAGAGCTCGCCCGCCAAACAAAGCGTCGGGGTGGCCCGTTGGCGCGGCAACGGGCGATCGTGGGCGCAGCCTGGCCCGTAGCGACACGCAGCCCGGGAGGCCGGCCGCAGGAACCGCGCAATCGCTGCTTAGCCGCGCTGTTTGAAAACAAAGCGACGTGTACCTGACCCGAACCCCGGCCATCGATCGAGGCTGGGGCTTACAAGCATGTTTTGGGTTTGGCAATATCGCCGGCGCCGCGCAGGGGCGGTGAGGCAAACACGCAGACATCCATCACTTGCATGCAGGACAGCTACCCATCAGGGCGCTATCATGGTATGCAGATAACAGCCCTACCTGATAGTAGACACAACAATGCTGGCCAGAGTCCTTCAGCCGCCATCGCCAAATTACCATCTTCAGCAGAGACGCGCTAGTCTCGCTTTTCCAAGACACGGCTCTGGCGAGCTGGAGTTTTCTGCAGCGATATGCTGCATCGTAATCCAGTAGCGGTCTGTCTTGCAGCTGGTCTCCACAGCCAAGGCCAGGGGCAAGGCATCTTGACTGGCGCAGGTGCGAGCCCAGACATGAGCTTATTGTTGCAATTGCTGTATGTGTAGCATGTAGTATGTAGTATGTATCACCAAGTGAGTAAACCTCTGTCTATAATTAGAATTAGCACACCAAACTTCGAAAAGAGCTTCAAGCTTCCTACTCGTTCTTTTCACATCTACTCCGCCGCAGATATCCGTATAGATTAGTAGATATACGTGCATACCAGAGCGCCTATGGCATGGCTCTCATTCACGTGCAGCAGCATTGGTCCTCATCTGGGCTCTGCAGTTGACCGGCCTATCCACACTCATAATGTCTCCATTGGAGAGAACGAGAGATTATTGAAAATTTACTGGTCATGCCCAGAAAAATGACAAAGTTAAAAAGCCTACCAAAGGCCCAGATGCAGATACTGATGCGGTATAAGAGACTGGCACCAAGGCAATACGAATAAGAGCAGCAGCAGCTCTCTTCACCGGATATTATCCGGCTCTTCTCACACCTGGATTCCAGGACCTCACTGTACAGTTCTTAGTACCTTAGTCAAGACGCCCATGAGTACTTGCATACAAAAGCAATTGACAAATACTAGGTACCTACTACCTAGTAGGCAGTAGCACACAATACGTGATAATCAGTGCTCTTATCTAAATGTCTTTGCCTCATCTCGTGCTGCCAATGCTCATCCTTCAGTTGTTGTACCCAGGTACCTCGGCTGCCGGTGAAATCACCTCCAAATCGCAGTAGGCGCTGCCCCTCCATGCCGGTACTCAATACTTTCCACACCTGAGCAGAGCCCGCACTGACGCAATTAGCCCAAGCAACCATGCCAATCAGGAACCGCTGTAAACAGAGCCGCCCTGAATGCGACACCACCGCCTCCTGCTATCCACGCGCGCACTCCATCGACATGTCTCTATCTATCGCTCTATCTCTACATATCTAACCGCCCATCAGCCTCAGCGCATCACCAAAATCCTCGACTCGCCGTCTGGTGCTGAAGCCGATCCGGTCGAACAAATATATTCTGTTCTCCCCCCGCGTCGCCGCCACAGCCGCTGCTTGTCCTCGTTGTCGGTCTGCGCATCAGCGTATGCCTTACACTGCTCTCTTTGTCCATTTCAAATGGCATGCCATCCATTGCCCCGCTAACCAGTTGGTATGCACGCAGAGCATCGTATTCCTTTTTGGCTTGCTCGATCTCTCGACCAAAACCCCGACCCTCGCCTCGCCATGGCTCAGTTCTTGCAGACAGTGTCAGTCCCGTCTTCGTCCGCGCGCTCTCGTCCTCCACCGGCTTCACCATGTCCCTGCTGCTTCAATATCTCAGCCCCAGGTCTCGCGCCAAGATGGAGCGCCTGGATAACCCCATTCTCCCCGTCTACGAAGATCCTCCTCTAAAGCCCGTATTAAATACTGTGATTGCTGATGGCGAAATATTTCTGAGCAGTAACCAGAAGACGAGAAATCAGTTTCGCCCGCGCGCCGGTAAAGGAGGCGTCAATAGCTACCAGCTACGACAGTATGCTGAAGTAACTCTGGGAGGAGGTAGCTTGAGGAAGGTGGTCAAGCTCCCCGAAGGCGAAGATGAGAATGAGTGGCTAGCAGTCAATAGTGAGTTTGGTCACTGCCTATTGACCAGCTGCAAATCAAACCTAACAATAACTAGTGGTGGACTTCTACAACCAGATCAATCTCCTCTATGGTGCCATCACCGAGTTCTGCTCGCCGCAGTCGTGTCCCGAGATGAAGGCTACCGATGAGTAAGAGCTCTATCCTATCCAGCTCCTGCGGCTCCTAGAAGCGAATTAACATTCGTAGGTTTGAATATCTTTGGCAAGACAGCGAAAACTACAAGCGACCCACCAAGATGGCCGCACCGGCCTATATAGAGCAACTGATGGCGTGGGTTCAAGCCAACATTGACAACGAGTCTGTCATGCCTAGCAAGATCGGTAAGAAGCGACATCTTAATCTCCTATTTAGCATGTTCGAGTTTCTGAATTTGGCTGTTAACGTTATTCATAGGCGTGCCGTTTCCCAAATCATTTGGAAGTCTAATTCGCCAAATCTTCAAGAGAATGTACCGTGTGTACGCTCACATCTACTGCCACCACTATCCCGTCGTCCGGGAGCTGGGGCTGGAGCCTCATCTAAACACCAGCTTCAAGCAGTACGTGCTCTTCATTGACGAACACGAATTGGCAAGCGGGCGTGATTACTGGGGTCCTCTTGGAGACCTCGTCGACAGCATGCTGAAGAGCGACTGATTGGGCATCATTCTCCGCTCCCGGCTTTTTTTGTGTTTCTGTTTAATTTACCACTCTGAACCGCAAGCGACATTGCAATAATGCTTAATAGGGAGCAAGGCAAGGCGTTAGGATAATGTAGAATTGAAAATTGGCACCAGGGTCTATCGGGCAGAATCGGGTAAGGATATGGATACGGGACTACTACTACTAGGTAGTACTATGAGCCTGCAAGATTGTGTGCTGGTTTGGAGGCAATGTTTTATAAATCATCCAGCAAATTCATTCATCACCAGAAGATGATAGTAAGAAGAAGTTATGCCATGACTATAGACACACCAGATCCAGATTTTTTTTTTTTTTTTTTTTTCAAGAAGTCTTAGCCAGCATTCAACACATGTACCTGCTGGGTGGGAGTGATACTCATACATTAGTAGTAGTAGTGTGTGATCACCGCTGTATGAGGCAATATTAGGTAAGCCTAAAATTTCGGTGCCTCACCCGTGCGGCAAGGCATCAACTTCCAAAATTGCCGGCCGGCGAGAACCTCAAACCAGCGAAAACCGATCTCTACGAAAGCCGGTCTCTCACCACCTTCGACGCCCATCCAATCGCCATGCTGTCGCGACAAGTCTTCCGCTCCCTCAGAGCCGCTGCTCCTCAGCGTGCCTTCGCCGCTGTCCCTGCCCGGACTTTTGCTGCCGCTGCCAGCGCCGACGTCAAGGCCCCCATTGCTGTCTTTGGTCTCGATGGCACCTACGCCACTGCTCTGGTACGCCTCCTGCGAAAATCACACAAGAGCTGCCCCGATATCTCGAACGGCAAAGTTGCCAATTGTGTGCTTCTTTTTCTTTATAAAGTGCCAATGCTGCAGACATCGAAGAATTGGCAACGCCGCAAAAAAAAACATCACGACGAAAATGCTAATCCTTGCGTCAATTTAGTACACCGCGGCCTCCAAGACTTCCACCCTCGATGCCGTCGCCAAGGAGCTCGCCAAGCTGGGCTCCATCGTCGAGAAGGACTCCAAGCTGGTTGCCATCCTCTCCGCCCCTACTCTGACCCCCGCCGACCGATCTGCCATCGTGGCCGAGCTCGTCAAGCAGGCCGGTGCCAGCGGTCCCACCCTCAAGAACTTCCTCGACACCCTCGCCGAGAACAACCGACTGGGTCTCCTGAACGGCGTTATTGAGAAGTTTGGCCAGATCGTCTCTGCTGCCCGTGGCGAGGTTGAGATGACCGTCACCAGCGCTCAGGTGCGTTCAATTATTGGAACCCTTGAATATCGACAATCACAACGATATCACACCGTTGCGAAAGTACACACGTTAAGGCGCAAATTATTCTAACGCGATTTCATTATAGGCTCTTGACCCCAAGATGCTGTCCCGTCTGGAGAACGCTGTCGCCAAGTCTTCCTACGTTGGCCAGGGCAAGAAGCTCAAGGTCACCAACGCTGTATGTTTCAAGCTTCTCTACTTTTCCTCTCTCCGTTTGCCTGTTGAGGATGTTCCATCATTCGTCTTGAACGTCAACTGACATAAATGCTCTAGGTCAACCCCGATATCATTGGTGGACTCGTCGTCGAGGTCGGCGACCGAACCATTGACCTCAGCGTCTCCGCCCGCATCAGCAAGATGAACAAGCTCCTTACTGACAACCTGTAATTTATTATGTATAAAAAAAGATATCAATCAAAACAAGGAACCTCTTTTGTTGAAACGTCCATAAAAACAAGGGGGCTCAATTCATACAAAACGAAGCTCTACCACCATGTATAGAATTTGAGCTTGGGACTTCTCCAAGGAGAGACGCGGGGTTCTTCTGTTTTTGCATGCCTCCATCTTTATATAGGAAAGGGTGGGTGCAAATAGTGTAAAGAGAGGGGAGTGCTGTTATTTGGTGGAACAGCATGTTGCAAATAGAGAGCAAATTTATCTAGAGAAAATGAGCTTTTCTATATGTTCAACACAGGATATGCGTGAAGTGGACTACTAACTGATGCTGCCATGACGAAACCTGCTAACTCCGTTACGTGGGGGAACTTCATCCACATTTAGTGAGCTGATTTTCACTCATTGACAAAAGACTTTAATCGTATTAACTAGGAAAAACTATGCTAAAACACAATCCAATTCCACCCATCAAAATGTTATACTGTAGACATCTTACCTTGTTCTGTAGTTTCCAAATGTAACATAGATAAAGTCCCGCCTTTTATTTTTGTCCCCCCCCCCCCCTCTAAATCTGTTCAAACTGCAACTCATTCACAAGACAAAGGGAAATGGCCTCCCTCCTAAGCCCTAGTTTCATATTCATCTCCTCCAGAATCCTCCTCGTTGCTAAGCCCCGTGTATCTACGAAGCTGGTCGGAGATATAACGGTGCATATGTGAGTCAGCTTCCTGCTTCTCTTTGACCCTTTCAGTATCATCATGATGAACTGAGTTGGCCACAGATCGAGCGTCGTCGTCACCATTAACAGACGAGTCAAAGTCGCTTCGGGCAGTGATGGAGCGGGCTGTTGATGATCGTCTGATATGGCGTCTGCCGCCTGGGTGAGGGATGCCGCTATCTATATGCCTCTGGAAAATATCATCAAAGTAGTGTGCCATAGTGGCTGATGGTGTCCGAGGAGTTTGAGGCAGACGGCAGTTGACGCTATTTCAGTAAAAGGAGTTCGGTTAGCGTACGCTCAAACAAATGGAATGGTCAATTAAAGGAGAAGAAAAGTTATTCGAGACTTACCCTGTGTCATGAATCAACCGAGCAATGAGACCGGTCCATCCAGTTTGGTGAGTAGCGCCGAGACCCCTTCCTGTGTCGCCGTCAAAGAACTCGTGGAACCAAAGGTAGTCTTTCCAGTGCTCGTCGTAGTCAAGGCGATCATCTCCAGCGTTGATGCTGCGCCTTCCATAATCATCTCGAGCAAAGAGATGTTGCAGTCGATGCTGTATTTCTTCCGAGACCTTACCCAGATGCATTTCGATGCCACTGCCAGTAGGGCATTCGACCTTGAATTCAGGCCCATAAAAGAGGTAGAATCGCTGGAGCGATTCAATCAACAAAAAGTTGACGCAGAGCCAGATCGGCCCTCTCCAGTTGCTGTTGCCGCCAAAGAGTCCAGTGTCAGAGTCTCCGGGAACGTAGCCAACTTTGAACTCTTGACCCTTGACTTCCATGGAGTAAGGATGCTCTTTGTGGTATTTGGATAACGAACGAATACCGTGATCACTGAAGAATTCATCCTCGTCCAGCATCCGAGCCAGAATCTTCTCTAGCCTCTCTTTACTGACGATCGACAAGAGAATACGATTGCCTTTTCCTCTTTTCCTAATACTGGCCATGTTCCTCTCTGCCAGATCGCAACGATTCTGCACAAACCAGTCAACCCTCTTCTTAAATGAGGGCAGCTTATTAATAAGCTCGGGCTCAAGAGTTGCGGTGGCATAAAGAGGAATAAGGCCGACCAGTGATCTCACGGGCAGCTGCTGAAGCCACGGGCCACCCCAGGATATGGCATCATAGTAGAATCCGTCCTCTTCATTCCAAAGCGACTGCTCATCCTTTTGTCCCGTCCGGAAGGTCATGGCATCACTGATAAAGATGAAGTGCTCAAAGAACTTGGAGGCGATGTCCTCATAAATGCGACGATGTTTGGCAAGCTCAAGGGCAATGTTCAGCATAGAAAGGCAGTAGAATGCCATCCAGCCGGTGCTGTCAGCCTGTTCAAGGACACCTCCCGTGGGCAGTGGCTCGGAGCGGTTGAAAAGACCGATATTATCGAGTCCCAGGAAGCCACCTTCAAAGATATTTTTACCGTCTGTATCTTTTCGGTTTACCCACCAGGTAAAGTTAAGCAGAAGCTTCTGAAAAACTCGCTCAAGAAAATCAATATCCTGGCGGCCATACAGCTTTCTCTCAATCTTGAATGTTCTGAATGTAGCCCAGGCGTGGACTGGAGGGTTAACATCACCAAAGTTCCATTCATATCTTTAAGTCTGGGTTAGCAATACGATCAGATACAAAAACAAGCTCAGATGGGGTTACTAACGCAGGTAATTGACCATTGGGGTGACAATACCATTCCCTGGTAAACAGATCAAGCTGCTTCTTTGCAAAGTCAGGGTCAATCATTGCCAGGGGAATGCAGTGGAAAGCACTGTCCCAAGCGGCAAAGAATGGATATTCCCAAGAGTCAGGCATTGACAAGATGTCGTCGCAATGCATGTGCTTCCACTGTGTGTTGCGTATCCCCATCCGGTCGGCTGGCGGAGGAAGGGTTCCGGGATCTCCCTTCGCCCACTGATCCCAAACGAAGTGGTAGTGCTGCTTTGTCCACATCATACCTGAAAATGCTTGCCTTTGGATGTTACGCAGATCGTCCGTCATAGGAAGGGGGCTAATTCTGAAGTAGAATTCATCTGCTTCCTCTCTACGCTTTTCAATGATGTCATCAAACTCCTCTTCGTCAAGGTACGACTCATCTCGCTTTGTGAATCGAAAACGAACGACTATCATTTTTGTTAGAATCCAATTGTACACTGCGCTCTGTTGTTTAGAGGGGAATAGTCACTCACCAGCGCATTCTCCAGGGTTAACGCCGCCATCCTCGTTGAAGTTATACCAAGCGGCGCACTTTGTACCTGTTTGGTTAGGATTGATGGCCCCCTTCTCCCCATCAACGATGTATCTGTGGAAGGCATCCTTGACATAGGGCTGGGGGTTCTCCTGTTCATAAAGACGCTCGTAATTGGTGTCATTCTCGGTAAACATGAGCTGAGGCAAGACGTCTGTTCCCGAAGAGCCAACTCCAGGAGAAGGAGAGAGAAGGAAATATCTTTCTCCTAGCTTCCAGTGCTTTGACTTGGCAGAATCTTCAGTATGGGCCGCAATATTTGGCTTCTTGTCCTCTGCCTCTCTGCCCCAACTCCAAGTGTTCCGGAACCAAACATGGGGTATGATATGGAGGGGTGCTGGATCAGGCCCTCTGTTCCAAGCAGTTACACGGAAGAGGAGTTCGTCCGGATCATCCGTCTCTTTCGCTGTTTCGATGAAGATGTCCCAGTATCTATCCTCGTCGAAAACTCCAGTGTCAAGAAGCTGGTATTCTTTATCTTGTCTTGTCCTCCGAGCATTTTCCTTGATTAGGTCGTCATAAGGGAATAGCTTTTGAGGATACTTGTAAAGGAATTTCATATAAGAGTGCTAGTTGTTATATTAGTATCGAAGGGAAACGGACGGTTGACGAGCAAATTAGGACGTACAGTCTAGCCACGCGAGAGTTAGTATAGTTTGTCAGACGAGAGGGCGGGGTTTTGGCTTACAGGAGTGTTATCAACATGGAAATGGGCTTCTTTGATGCTTTCACCGTGATTTCCCTGCGGGTTGGACAATCCAAAAAGACGCTCCTTCAAAAAGGGACTAGTATATCAATCAGGACAATGTTCTTTTTTTCGGAGGCCCAAGGAATTGGAATTGCACACTCTTCTTCGTTCCAAAAGGCAAAGCCAATGTTTTGAAATCCGTGTGTATCCGAGACACCAGCAATACCGTCTTCACCCCATCTGAAAGTTCGAGACCGGGCGTGGTCGTGCGGGAAGTCTAGTAGAAGAATTAGGACAGGTTTTCGAATACGAGAAGTAGAAAGCTGCACATACGGCTCCAGGCATCACCGTCGGCACTGTAATCCTCTCTCACTGTAATGTATATCAGCATCCCATTCGAATTGCTCCAAGTACGCCGTAGAAGCTACCTGTCGCCCACTGCCTCTCGGCAACATAAGGACCCCATTTCTTCCAGTATTTGGTCCGCTCTCTGTCCTCTTTCAACCGCTTCTCCTCCTCGGTGAGGTACTCGTGGCCGTCGTGGACCACCATTGTGCAAGTAGAGTGGATAGGCGGGCCGTGTAATGGACGTCAACTGGAAGCCGCTGTGATCCGGCCTTTGATGGGGGATAAGGGGGAAAGGAAGGGTAGAGAGAAGAAAGAGACGACTGGAAAGAATGGAGACAGAGATATGTAAAGAAGGAGAGGAGGGAAAAAAAGGGGAGCTGGATATTGGAGCGTTTGTATAAGGATTGCCCTCAATGGCAATCCGACGCAGCAGCAGCCTTGGCCTATCGGGCAATGAGCTACTTAATCCTGCTAGCAGAGCTTGGTTTGCCAACGTGGGGCAGATGGAGGGGCAGATGCAACGCAGACAGCTTATAGTGGTTGCGCCACCTCTTGGGCCTCTCGTTGGCGGTTTACTCGCTGCAGCGATTGGTGCCTAATTGGAGCCACGACGATTCAACACCGCTATAAATGGAGATAAGCCCTCTGTACAAGTGCTTTACATGCGCCGTGCATCGCGATCATGTAGTCGCGGGTACAGGGCCGGACGGGCTTTTATACTGGCCTAAAAAAGCCTCTGCCAGAAGCCATCCCCGTGTCAAATGGCTTGCTACCACGCGTTTTGACGCCCAACAGGCAGCCGAACTAAGAGACCTGCAGCGATACAAGTGTTGCTGTCACGGACCTGTAAACATGACGTACGCTGCCTGTTTCCCACCAGCAAGACGCGGGCCTATGGCGGAGCTTCTGACATGGCAAGCTTCAATTTCTCGCAGCATCTCTGCATGTGCGTTTTTGCCCAACTATCTGTTCCGCATAAGGCTCTTACTAGCTGCTGTTTGGCTGATTACGGGGAGATTGGACGCCGTGAGGAGAAGCAGGCTTTTTGCACTTTATCGAGCTTTTTTTCGAGGTAAATAGTAATACGAGTGTGACTGTGACGTCAGGACTACGGAAATATGCTAAATCGAGTCAACAAACCAGCCGGCAAGCAGGGCGATATAGCGGGTAGCGGTTGTAAGTTGGGGAGTGCATGCAGCCGTGGGCACAGGCGCTAGCGCTAGAGGATAAGCTGGCTGGCGCAAGTGAAGAACCTGAAAGCACTAGAACGCAGCCCGGCGCCAATGCTCCGTAATCACTCAAAGGTTATGTTCTCTTGAAAAGGCCAGAAAACGTGGCGGAAATACATGCAATATAATATTACCACAACCGGCAGCAAGGTCAGGCACCGCCGTCAGCCACCGCGGCTGAGCCCAGTCCAGGGGTCCTGTTGGGAAGCATTTGCATTGTAGGACCATCGCTGTCCCATCAAGGTGCTGGGCCTACCGGATCATCCATATTCACTGCCGGGACCACAAGAATACCTACCTACACACTCAACGCTGCAAGTACGGAAACTTGACAAGAAACTCAACAGGACACGAAAATCATAATCGAAAAAACCAATATGCACAATAAAGCACTAAATTAACCAATCATCAAACACGTGCTTATCATATGTTCTGCTGATTTTCATGTGCAAGGGGGTCGCTGTCTCGCCTCGGATTCCTCCTCGATTTGCCCCTGTCCCAAGATCTCCGAACCGCCAAGGGCCAGGCTGCGCTAGAGCTGCGCGCTGGACAGCAAATGTGGCCAGTTGAGCTTCCAACGCAGCTTCGCCACAGCAGTTTCGCGGCCCTTTGGCGAAATCCGCCTTAATTTTCCTTCATTCCTCTAACCTGTGCCTGTTGATATTTGCAGCCATCATGTTCCGCTGTGCTCTTCTTTAACCTCGTATCCTTTTCTCCCCCTCTGCAGCAGCGGTAGCCTTTTCCTCTTCTGTCTTCGCTCATTTTACTCGTTCTAATTAAAGAAAGAAAAAAACCACGCCTATTTCCCGGCCCCCTCTACCTCTTGTGCACCGTATAGGGCCGCCTGTCGTTCAACACGCCCTTTCCTTTTCGTCTTCTTCTTTCCATAGCTTCAACATGGCCGATACAGTTTCACTTTTGCGGAGGCTTATACTCGAGTCGCCGCCGGGAGAATGGGCCGTCAACCAGCTGCGCGAGCTGCTCATTGGCGCCCTAAAGCAGGGACCAATCCCTCAACATGTTGCGTTCGAGATGGACGGCAACAGACGTTACGCAAGAAGTCGTCGCATGGAGACTGTCGAGGGACATCACCGTGGCTTTGAGGCCCTCGCTAGAGTTTGTCGCCCTCTTGCCCAAGCTTGTGTCTCTACCTGGCTTTTTTCTAACTGGACTGCGTCTAGATCATGGAAATCTGCTACAAGTGTGGCGTAAAAGTCGTTACCGTTTACGCGTTCAGTATCGAAAACTTCAACCGGCCAAAGTATGAAGTGGAAGGGCTCATGCAGCTTGCAAAGGTCAAGCTGGAGCAGCTGACTACATATGGCGACATCCTTGACCGCTACGGGGCCTGCGTTCGAATCCTGGGCCAGCGTGAGTTGATACGTGATGACGTATTGGAGGTTATGGACAGAGCCGTAGCAAGGACCAAGCATAACAACAAGTGAGTACCATGCATTCTGAAGATGATCCGGTGAGCTGTCGGAGCCAAGGAAGGCTAATCGCTGGCTTAGGGCTGTCCTGAATATTTGCTTCCCATACACGTCGAGAGCAGAGATGACGACCGCAATCCGATCAACCGTGCAGGAATTTCTATCTCCAACGCCCCCTAAGAACACACCGTTTTCTCCATCGCGTATAAGGCAAAAGATTCTTTCTGGTCAACTCGACGGCCGCGACCTTCTGCCGACGATTCCAGACGATCCACTTGACGATGGCGAGTATGATGGCAAAGATGTAGATGATGGAGACGACAACGACTCTTCTGGATCCGCCACTCTTCCCCCAGGCTCCCCTGAGCCTCGCTTGCTTTCCAGATCAGGGTCTTACGGCTCTACGACGCTGCCCAACCCCGACAACATCACAGTCGATACCATCGAGAGACACATATATACTGCCGACGACCCTCCTTTGGACCTTTTTGTCAGGACAAGTGGCGTTGAGCGACTCAGCGACTTTATGCTCTGGCAGTGCCATCAGGACACGCACATATTCTTCCGCAAATGCCTATGGCCAGATTTTGACCTCAAGGACTTCATATGGGTCCTACTGGAGTGGCAATGGAGGCAGAAGCAATCTGACAGAGAGAAACCCTCCGGCAGGGCAGGGACGGTCAAGGCGCGAAGCATGATGGAGTAAATTACGGCGACGATACCCCCGTTTTCTTTCTATAGAGAGGCATGGCATATTACATCATATCGCATATTATTAGTAGCTGGTGCTCTTGGGTTATTCGATTCTGGCCATGCATTTGTTGTGTTACACTGTAATCCAGTTTGTACCTCTCTTTTTTCTTTCCTTCTTCTTGTCTTTATTTTTCTTTGTTATTATTATTTTGTTAGAATCCCTATAGAGCCTCTCCTATTAGCAATGCAATAGATATCAAAACGCACATGAATGTCGAGTGCAATTGCTTCCAATGAATGCGCTGGCCGCTGTCGGTCGATGCTTTGCAGCTCAGCTGACGCCATAACGAGCTTCTTGTGGGGACTTCCGGTCGCTCTCGGAGGCCCTTTTATTCCGGTTGACCCAATGACAGCGCTCTGCGTGCTGTGTCATGCGCCGCTAACTCACCAGCGCCAGCCGGGAACGGCAGCCCGGCGCCTTGTACCGCCGTACCTCGCGGCAGATCAGTGCTGTGCTCGCTCGCTCCCCAAAGTCGAGTCGAGATACTCTGCTGCTTTATCTATCAGCGTGCCTCCACCACCGCCCGCCGTCACCACGCCGCCCACGCATGCCTTGGCTCTTTGACCGCAGATTCGGAGCAGGATGGCCTAGCCTGTCCTCAATCAGAGGCGTTGTTTCATTGTTTTGTCCTGTTTAGCCAGATCCGCCCCCTCGAAAAAAAAAGTTCGCCAGCTCGTCGCCCCTCTACACAAACACCCACGTCAATCTCTCACCAGTCTTTCCTAGCCGGCCGCCCTCGCCATGTCGGCGATGAAGTCCACAAAGGCTCCCGCCGTGGAGGCCCCGTCGCACCGGAGGTCCCAGCCTGTCCGGCAGACGCGCACGAATCCTCCTCGAAGCTGGGCGACGGCCGTCCGCCCGGGAGGCAGAGATTCGTTGAGTGGCCCTGCCGGCGACCAACCCATTGACATCTTCCCTGCCATCACCCACTTTGCCGACACCATTACTGCCCTCCCCAAAGAACTCGTGCGACACTTCACTCTTCTCAAAGAGGTCGACGCCAAAATTTTCGCTCCTCAAGAACAGCTTTTCAAGCTGGTCACCTCGGCGAGGACATTCGCCGTCCCGGAAGCGCGAGCGAGCAATGACACCCTCAACACGGCGGCGCCTGGGTTCGCACCCGTGGGCGCCCAAGGAAGCTCCAACGGAATTGCATTCGGCCAACATCAGCAGCCCGTGCCTTCGACCGAAGATGTCAACAGTGGCGTGTTCGACCCGTCCAACCTGCAACGCCGGCAGCTGTTCCGCCAAACCGCGTTCAAAATACAAGAACTACTGGTGTCTCTGGAAGAGAAGAACCATGTCATTTCCACGGCGAACGAGGCTCTCCAGCGACAGCTAGCTCGAGTGGAAGACGTATGGCCATATTTGGAAAACGAATTCAGCGACGAGGCGAAATGGGGAAGCACCACACACTGGGCCTACCCTGAAAATCGCAACGGCAAGCCTTCGCAAGCTGAAAGATCTAGACGCGATGGTGCGGCCGCGATTTCAGCAGCTGCACAAGCCATAGCGGAACAGGCCGCCGCCCGCAGCGACGCCAGAAAGCAAGCTGTCCAAGCCAAGAAGAGCCAGAAGACTCATAACCTCGATTCCGAAGCCGACGACCATGATAGCCAAACAAAAACCAGTAGCGCCAAGAAGACAAGCTCGAGCAAAGTTCGGAAAACTGCCGAGAGCAACAATGTTGGCTTGGGCATCTCTACTGGAGTCTCTTCCAACAGCAATCCTCCGCAAAAGAGGCGCAAAGTAGACAAGGATAAGGACAAGGAAAAGGAGAAGGAGAAAGAAAGAGAAAAAGACAAGGAGAAAGACAAGGAGAAGGAGAAGGAAAGGGAAAAAGAAAAGGCTGCTGCTAGCGGGGCAGAAGCACCTCAGATGGAGCGTGCCATGAGCCTCGTCTTTGGAAATAACACATCCAAGACGAGGGCTACCACTAGCCCTCGAGAGACTCCAGCTCCGGAGGTACCCAAGAAGCGAAAAGCTTTGCCCACTAGCAGTGGTCAATCCAAGAAGAAGTATGGCAATACCTACCCTCATCCCTCGTATCCGTTCAATCGCTCTAGTGTAGACTATGGCACTGACTACCCTTTGCGTCTTTACTTATAGGAATGCTCTATCCGCTACCATGTCACCCTCAGCTGCGTCGTCTCCTGTTATGGGAACTTTGCCAGAGACAAAGACGCCGGCTAGCCGCCCATCCCCAGTACCGACACCTGCGCCTGCACCCGTCCCACGACCAACGACATCTCGTGCACGACAAAATTCGATTGCGTCAAATTCAGAAGCCAGCAAAGCCAGACCCCCTTCTTCGGCTGCCAAAAAGACGAATGGCAACATTCCCAGCACGCCAGAGATTGTTCAAACTGCAAGTTGGGTTCGCCCCAACCATGACTCCGAAGGCAATAAGGAGCCTATCGTGACGGTCAAAATTGAGCCGTCACCGAAGGAGCCAGAACAAATGGAGGATAAACCTGCGGCAACTCCTACTATAGCAATTGCTACTACATCTTCTTCCAGTCGAAGGAATAGCAAGGTGGAAGAGGCAGATCGCAAGAGCGAGCCTACCCAATCTACTCCACAGAGCACCGGTATGGTTACAACCAAGAGCGGAAGAGCAAGCAAGCCTTCAACACCAGCTCTGCCAAGTTTCTCAGACGCCGCTGCTGCCAGACCGCGAACCACTCGAAACGTAGAGCCAGCAGGCAATGGCAAAAAGTCTCAGAAGAAGGGCACTACTCAAGCTCTGGCTCAGCTTGTGGACGAGGACGGAAATAGCAGTATGCAGGGCGATGACGGCGATGATGATGCGGATATCGACCCGGATGAAGCTACATACTGCTATTGCAATAGTATCAGTTATGGTGCAATGGTGGCGTGTGATTCCGATGATTGTGCCCGCGAGTGGTTCCATCTAGCTTGCGTAGGCCTCAAGGTCGCGCCAAGTTCAAAAAGTAAGTCTACAAAACTCTCCATCCTTGGAAGGGAGAGACGAGAAGAGAAGAAGATAGTCGTCTCGTTGTATCTAAAGGCAATGCTAACGCGCGCGCTCGGTAGCCAAATGGTATTGCCCAGACTGCAAGGAGCGCCTCAAAGTGGGCAGCAAAAAGAATGGCAGCCGATGAATGAAAAGAAAACATATTGTCGATGCCTTCGCGGTTGGCTAGCTGTGTTTGAAAAAAAGCACCATTATCTTTTGAGTGCTTCATATTGTTTGAGCCTCATTCTCGACTTGTTGCTCGGCGTCTGTTTTATTTTACTCCTTCTCTTTGTATCGCTTTTTTTTTTGTTGTTGTTGTTTTCGTCTCTGTTCTTTCTGAACGGGCATGTGCAATCATGCGCAACTCAGCTACCTATTACACGGCGTTTTGTTCACAAAGGATTCGGCCACATTACCACCACAGCACAGGGCTTGTTACGGATAATATTCGCACTCGGATTTTCAGCTTTGGGTCTACGCAGTCTTTTTTTTTTTCCTTTTTTTTTTTTTTCTTTATACATTTGCGTATAATATGCACGCTACTTTGCGCAGGGCACCTGAAAAGGGAAAATACATATTTGGGCAGAGGGGCCTGCTAGAAGTATGGATAAATATGTCGTTATTGGCGTCGCATTACAAAAGTGGGAGGCAGGCTCATGTAGAATTTGGAAAAGGATATGTGACACCGCCGTCGACGCGGGTCAAGAAGGCAGCGGCGAAGGCAACGAATGTGTGAAACTGGCCGACAAGAGTCGAGAAAGCACGCGATGCGAGTTCGACGCCGGTGCTGACCGCTGCTGGTCTTTGCTTCGCCTGTATGATGAAACTTGAGAGCGGATGGTGATATTCTCATTAGGTAACACAGATGCATTTAAGTAGCGCTTCGGCAGGATAGCTCAAAGGAAGCTTTGCATACCTACATATTTCTACCACTGTATGCCTAGTTAGGTGGCCAGGTGGGAAGAGAGCCCGCCAATAGACGTATTTATTGATGAAGCAGCGTGGAGAAAAGCATGCGTGCGAATGGATGCGTGTGTTGTATGTGGCTCCCGGGTATGCTAGATGCTTGGTGACGCAAGAAACGGAGCAGATTATCAAAGACGACCCATTGAAGCACAGCGCATGAAGAGCTTGGTTTAGGATAGTGGCAGGGTTACTTTTGCGTTTCATTGCAGTTCGCATCATGAGCGAGGCAACAGCGTGTGATTCGGTGGAAACAGAGGCAGATATTGGATACCAATACTCTGTATAGGGAAATAGATTGCTTCGCATCCGGCATGGTAGCACAACGCCAAAGCACAGCGCATTCGCGGCTATTACGGCACGGATGCCATTTTAGGGGGAATATCTCGGTTGCCTTGTTTCCTCCTTGTTGTCCCCTTCTTGTGCCACCTCCTCTGAGATGGCGAATGGGTCGCTTTGCGCGGTATGCCTGTCTTCATTTTACAAAACCAGCACGACATAAACCAGACTAGCGACTCAGCTTCTGGCCAAGTAGGTGTAAGTAAATTAGCATCTATTTGTTAGCAAGTACGTAGTAGTATCTATTTGATACTAAATCAGGGGGTTTGTGGCTGCAACCCCGTCCCAAAAGAAAAGCGTCGTTTCGCTCTTCAAGTCCAATCTCCACCATTGGGGTCGTCTTCAATCGGGCTGATGGTCTGCCTTTCTCACACACGCCCCCCCTCCCCCAGCTTCTGTATTGGTACATGTTACTGTTTTCTAGACCATCCCCGTATTTTGAGGGGGATGATTCGGGGGAGGGGGAGCTTTAATTACGTTAAGGTAATTGAATATTCTGGGGTCGAGCCGGTTGGGGGGTTGAGTGAAGCCAGACTGCGTACATTGGTTCTTCATACTTGATGCTTCATACATACTGTAATTCACAGGGGAGCCAGAATGTCCACACCGTTGCAGCATGGACTGCTTTCGTATACTAACTTGTACGTGCATACATGGCAAAAAGTGTCGCGTGAGTGCTACCGAAGCAGCAAGTAAGCTGACTGCTTCTACAGCAGTAACAATATGAGCATCCCAAAGGCAAAAAAGAAAGTGTCCTCTCCTTATTGCAGAAGCATCCAGACATACAGTAAACCACCACCAGCCATGTCTAGTGCTCCGCGTGATGCTTCGCAGCTCCGCTCATTTACATAACAAAATCTGGGGAAGAACTTTCTAGTCCTAATTCTAGCTTAGCCATTATAAAAAAAAAAAAAATAAAAAAAAAATCCCCCCCCCAAAAATCCGGCCGGCCCCTGCTGGCACGCACACTCCCTTTTTCCAGGGGATGGATCCAAAATCCAGGAGCCGCCCTGACGGATCAGAGCTAGTGGCATTAAATAGCCGGTCGGTTCAGCAGCCAGGCAGCAAAAGGGAAAAAAAAGGGCTAGAGAAAATACGATGTGAATGGAAAGAATGGTATTGGGGATTCGTAGTGGGGTGGGGGAAGACACTGTGGCTGTGCGATTTGCGGTCGTGGCTAGTAAAATGTTATCGATAAGTGACTAAGCGCCAAAAAAAAAATATTGTGGCAGAGTTTGCTGCATGAGGCGAGATAGTTTTGTTTGATCTGATATTGATACCCATTTAGCATCATCACAATCCACATCAGGCAGTCACGATGCGGTACGTAATGCTGAGAATATATGATGCCACATTTTCCTTTGAGCGTTGCTGACATGGTTACAGGATTGAGGACTGCAGCTTTTGTGGCCGTCCGGCCTATCCCTCCAAGGGTATTACCTTTGTCAGAAACGATGGTGAGTTCTCCTACGATGGAATTTTCTCTTTACCCTCTCTCCTGGTACTGCTGGGAAGAAGAGCATAATATGAAATTGGGGGAAATGATCAAGTGCTAATCATCACCATCTCGCATAGGCAAATCGTTCAGGTTCTGCAGATCAAAATGCAACCGCAACTACAAGATGAAGCGTAACCCCCGCAAGCTCAAGTGGACAAAGGCCTACCGCCGAAACGCCGGCAAGGAGATGACGGTCGACAGCACGCTGCAGTTCGCCATGCGCCGCAACGAGCCCGTCCGCTACGACCGCGACCTGGTGAACAAGACCATGGCGGCCATGAAGCGCATCAGCGAGATCCGCGCCCGCCGCGAGCGCGTCTTCTACAAGAAGCGCATGGCCGGCAAGCGGGAGAAGGAGCTGGCTGTCGCGCGCAAGCTGGTCGCCGAGAACGAGCACCTGCTGCCCCGCCTGCGCGGAAGCGAGAAGAAGAGGCTGGCGGAGCTGGCCGCTCAGGGCGAGGACGTGGCCCTCGAGGAGGAGCTGCTGGCGACGCGGAAGAACAAGATCAAGGCCTTTGGAGGCGAGACGAGAAGGCTCAAGGTCCGGGTGGATGGCGGCGTGGACGAGATTGTGGAATCTTTCCAGGGAGAGGGTGGCGAGGACGAGGAGGACGAGGAGGACGACGACGAGGATGTCGACATGGAGGACTAAGCGGGAACTCGGTTCCCCTGCTCATCACTTTTGTTACGACGAGATTGGCCGCCGCCATCGGAGTGGCCTTGAGATACAGAGTTGGTGTCTGGTGATTGGTTACGACTCATGGGTTCCATTATCGGGCTCGTCAGCGTTGCGTTGCGTTAATCGTTACGGCGTTTTTAAAGGATACACAGATGCAAAGTATTAGGTAGTAATGGAAAACACAAAAAGTCCTTGGGTTAAAAACACTGTGTCTGCCTTTCTTTCTGTCTTCTTGTCCCTTTCTCACTCGCTCGCTCACTCACTCACACCCTCCCTCGTGTAACCAAAGTTCGTTTTCTTTTTCTTTTTTTTTTTTCAGATGCGTCTTTTCGGATATGTCTTGCCGGCCGGTGCCAAGAAGATGCAATGTAAGGTGGTACTTGCGTATGTGTAGCCCTCTTACACGAGCTCTCGAGGCGATGCTCCGATCTCTGGTAACATCGCGCGATGCCAAGTGATAGTCTGCAGATGCCTGAACGAACGGCATGCCAGTGATGCCGTACAGCAGGGAGAGAGCGCTTGGGTGCGAGAGACGGGATGTTACTGGATGAAAGGCTGCATTAGACATGTTCATGCGTTGGGCAAACCCTAGGCTGCAATGTCGCCCGAAGCATGCTGTTGGGATGGATGCCCTTGCATTGTACATTGTGGTTCGGTCTATGAATCGGGAAGTACCTATGAGTCGAATAAATTTACGTCGAATATGTATAAATTCAAGCAGCCGCAGTAATAGCAGTATGCATTCGCAGGGCGGTGAGATTGAATGGAATGCAGCAGTTGGTCGTCAAAATAAGAAGCAAGGCGATCACCAGCCCCTGCACACCAAACCGTCTCAAAGTGCCCTCGCGTTTTCTCATTATGTACCGGTTTCGTAAATGCGCAGCCAAGAGAATGGGCAGAGACAAAATTCAAGGTTAAATGGATTAGCCCGTTTTGGAGGCTTCTGAGTGGCCATGTTTTACTGATAGATAAGAAGATGGAGGCTGCAGCAGATATCCTAATCAGATAAGTGCCTTACCGCAGTACATGGCAGTACCTTGTCCTGCAGATAGTATCGATTTATGACGTATAGAACGCCATGTCTTTTTTGTTGGCCTTTTCTCCCTTCTTTCGCATTCCGCCCTTGGCGGGCGTATTTGTGTAATCGAGCCGGCAATGGCTTCTGCCACCGCGTATGCATGAAGATCATGTCGATGTTTCTTACACTCACTTTGTCATGGTTTATGCTGGGCGCGAAGCCAAAGTCCGACGTCGCAGAGCAATGACGAGCAGAGGGGGGTGTGAATAGTAACCCCAAAATAGGCCAGCCTCTGGATCTGGGTCCATCGGCACCGGCTGGCTTCGGTTCACAACAACGGCGGCTGCTACTGCTGCAGGTAGCAGGTCATCCTTGGACTACTGCATACGAGCAGATGTTGGATTAGTTCGTACAGCGCTAGGCCAAGTAGGCATCACAACTGGTATAATAACCGTCTCGCTGGATTGCCTTAATTTCGCTCGTTTGTCGGCATCGCGGCTTCTGTGTGTACCGGATCACTGAGAGCCGCATTGGACGTGGGTAACATACATACATGACACACAATTGAAGCACCGTCCCAGCGGATGAGGAGGCTGCATCCGATGTCCCAGAGATGCCACTGCTGTTGCTGCCAATATCAACCACCCTGATGCGTAATGAAACTAACCTGCCACAGTATTCATTGTCTCTTGGCAAAGGGAGCGAGTCTAAGACATGAATTCCGGATTGAATCCGCCAGGAGACTGCGCTCGTGACCTTTCGCAGTAGGAAAGGCTGTTTTGCATCATGACGGCAGAAGCAATAGAGAGAAGCTCAGATGCATTGCATGTAACCACTTTTTTTCTTCTCTTCTTTTTTGCCCCAGCCCCGTCGTCTCTTTTTGGATGCGGCGTTCCCGATCCGATGCCATTGACCAATCTTATACAAGAGCATATTTGAGCATCTGGACCCCAAATACATACAGGGAAGCTGTCGCGCGGCTGGCTTGTCGCATGGACGGGTCATCAGATGAACACACCAGGACACTCCACTGGCATCTGTTCGAGGTACCAGTACCTGATGGTAGCGCAGCTTTTGCGTGGTAGTGCAGGTAGGCAGAGAATCGTCCATCAATGGACTCAATTTAAGGGGTGGCCTGTCAATCAGGAGCTTCGTTTCCCGGCAGCGTGGACAAGCGAGATGGCCGGCTGGGCCAGCACCAACACTTGGCCAGCAATGGCAGCACGATACAGATCACGAGGACACGCTGGGTGAGTAACGTTGAATTTTGCTCGATCGACCCCGGAGAAGACGCCAGGGCCTAGAAGGCGAAAGAAAGGCCGGCGTCGCGGCTGATTATGTAAAAGATATTGCTAGAGAGCAGGCGTTGGAGAAGCAGATGCGGAGCCTTGCCAAACCCGGAATTTCTATTACGGCACTCCAACTAACTTTTCACATCCAACGCCTCCCGAGCCGGAGCGTAGGGGCATCCATGGATGGCTGCCTTTCCTAAGGCCACGGGCCTGTGAGACTGGCTTTGGCTTATACTGTACGTACCAAGCGAGTGTCTTGCCAATGACGTTGGATGGGCGTGATTTTGCGAGCGGAAGGCGGAGGAATAGAGTGCTGATGAAGCTAATTGTTCAGGGCACCAGCACCTAGCGCTGCTGTCGTTCGGAGTGCCCTCTGGCGGATTGCTCGGTGCCCTGCGGCGACGGGCGACTTATTGCTGCAATTGGGATAGATATCGAAGCCTGGGGAACATGCACCGGCGCACCAAGGACGCGCATGAATAATGGGCAATTGGACTGCTGCCCTACCTAGTAGTTGTCCTTATTAACCTTTGTGCTAAATTGGACCCCCTTCTCCAAGTGGCTCTTGCGCTTCGCAGCAGCGCTGCTCACCTGACGGGCACAAGCACCCAGTCACCGGTTTTCATTACACAATCCAGGTGTGCAGTGAGCTAATGGGGGGCGCCGCGTGCCAACACGTTCCCGCCATGGAGAGCCCTAAGAGGGCCCTATTGGAGAGCAGAGCCCTAGAAGCCGGCGGCAGACGCTCTCCGTGCGGCCCTGTGCGATGCCCTGTGCGATGCCCTGGCAGTGGCGCAAGCAGCCTGGAACTGCGCATCTCCGGATGCCGCAAATCCTGGGGGGAAACACTTGTACAGCAACGATGTGCAGCTGCTGGCCGGCACACGCAGGCTGCGCTCAGGCCCAGGCTTGCCAGGCACCGCAGGTACCGGTACGGGCATCAGCTGCGTCCCTCCGCACACGCCCCCTCCCCTGCCCAACCGAGACCTTCTGTGCCTGCCAGCGCACGACCCAGCAGCTTGCGCATACCCCTTTCGAGGTAGCGGTACACGCTTGCACCCAAAAAGGCTCCGAACGTGCTGGGCGGTCGCGTTGCTGGCACCTGCCGCTGCGAAAGTTCGCCTTAGATCCACACCCCCCCTGCCCGACTCGGACGACATTCGACGAAGACATAAAAATCCCCAGAACCACCACGAAAGCCGCCACTGGAGAGGCTCTTTTGCTCTCTTGCTCTCGTAAAAGACTCTTTTGTCAAACTTTCCCGCCCTGCGTTTCTGATATTCTGCATTGTCGTGAACCGAGAAATTTCAAGTCATCCACATCACCTGTTGTGCTCGATTGCAATCATTGCTTCGCTGTGCTCCACCACACTCTCAGTCCTTCCGTCTCTCGCTACGGTTTCAACCCCCCCGTTGGTCATCGTTGGCATTCTGTGATCGACGAGAAGCAAAAGACAGCCCAACAAGAAGAAAGAGGACCATTTCTCATTTCTCCAAGGACAAAAAGACGCACGAACCCCCCAATAATACCCATCATTTTACGTCTTCCCATCGAACGGCCCCTCCAAAGCCCTTGCTTGCCTCTCCACCCACTTACTCTACGATCAGAGTCATTACATACAGAATCCCACTAGTCTCGGCGCCACACCCAGACTAAATTTTCGTTCGAATCTTTCTTGACTAGGCGCGGGAGTATATATACATGGCCACCCTCCCCGGCTTTGAGCGCCGACGACCTTCGGTGCTCGAACTTGCTGCTTCCAACCCCTTCAAGGGCTCGAGTATGGCTCGCGCAATCTCTCCGCCTTCCGAGACAGCTTCGCGATCCTCCTTCTCGTCGGTGCGAGAGAACGACGATGGCTTTGCCCAGACATTCACCAGATCCAAGATCTCGTCGTACACCGAGGCGCCAGAGGAGGTGATTGTCGACGAATCACCAGTGGTCGAGCTCCCTCAGCCGACCTTCCAGCCACCTTTGACACAGCCAAACAGCAGACTGCATGGGTTCTGGTATCCTGCCGACGGGTTCAGAGGATGGCGGGAGATTCCTCTCAAGGGAAAGCTCGCCAGCCGAAGCTGCGAGGATCTGCACAGGCTGCACATGACATGGGAGACTCCGGCCCCAGCTGTTGTCGAGAAGCCTCATGAAACCTATCCGACTACTGCGTCGCCTCTGGAGAGACTACCGAGCGAAGTGTTGAGTAAGTACTATATTGGGAAAACTTTCTGGGTTTAATTTCTTTTCTTTTTTCTTTCTGACTTTTTTTTTTTTAAAAAAAAAAAAAAAAAAAAAAAAAANAAGAAGGGGAAAAGAAAAAATACTACCGTTTTGTTGGGCTTTGATGCTGACCAATGTCTACAGGTGCAATCGTCGATCTTCTATTTATTGAGCTCCCTCCCAATGGATTGACAACTCGAAATGCCGACCTCATGTCGCTTTTGCTCACCTCTCGATCTCTTCATGCTGCTACTCTCACCACTCTCTACAGACACATCACCATTCCCCACTCACGAATCTTCCGCAAGTTTCTCGCCACTATTACCACGTATCCATCCCTGGCTACAATCGTCCGCCGCTTGGATTTTAGTCACTTCAACCCCTCCATGTTCTTCAGCACTGCCAGCGAGAGAGCACAGGCTCGCAATCTGACATCAGAGACCCTCGCCCAGTGTCTCAAGCTGACTCCTTACCTCCGAGAATTCTTGGCTCAAGAGTACATCGACGACGATCTTAGCGGCGATGTTCTGCGCCAGTTGCTCTTCCACTCTCCTCAGCTTCAAGGGCTAGACTTCTGCGGCTGCTCTTCCGTCTCTTTCAAGAACTCCTTCTCCAGCATCTTGGAAGAGGAGTGGCCCGAGACGCTTACCGTCACCAAGCTGTCTTTCCACAAGTGTCTCAGCCTGCCGTCTGCCGTCTTTGAGAAGGTCCTGCCTCGCTTGCCTGGACTCACTCATTTGGACGTTGCCGGCACACGCATAACCGACCAAGCCCTTCTCTCCATCCCTACATCTGCAAGGCTAACTCACCTGAATCTTGCTAAATGCAAAGAACTGTCTGCGGAGGCTGTTCTTCAATTTATCTCATTCCACCCCGCCGCCCAGTCATTGGTATTCCTCAGCCTCGCCACTGACCCAAGCAACCACCTCTTGCTAGGCAAGTCTGACGTGGATCAACTTCTACCGAAGCTGCCAGCCACCCTGCGCTCGCTGAGCCTACGGGGTAGCCGAATGGACTCGTCAAACCTTCCTGAGCTTATTAGGCTCTCACAGTCTCTGGAGGAGCTCGCTCTCGGCCGAGGGCTCAGCATGACTGACGTTCATGGGCTGTTTTTCCAGGACAGGACATCCCTGCCTCACAATTTGAAGTACATCGATATTTCGGATATTGAAACAATTATCGGAAGTGCCAGCGATCTGCTGGCCCCGGCTTCTGCTCCACTCCATGTGATTGAAATTGGCGAGCGGTCCTATGAACGGGCCGCCAAGGCCAATAAGAGTCTTGAGCGAGTAGGCTGGACAGCCAAAGAGTTCGGCGCTCGCTATTGGCTTGTGCGGAGAAATCCTGACGGCACGACTCAAGATAATGGCGGTCGCCTGTGGAAGATGGGCGCCGAGAGCTGGGGAATGAGAAAGGTCCCCGTTGCCGTTGCCGAAGTCGGAGGCATGTACGGCTCTTATATGTTTGGACGACGTCTCTAATGACGCATTTACTCTCTCATCTATTTTCACGATTTTATTTCCGCTGGTTTTCTATTTTCATCTGTTTACGCTTCTGGATCTTTTTTCTTCGTTCTTGTTGACATTCGCGAAGAGCGTGGTTCATATCATCTTTCGGACGGTGTTTGGGACTGGAAGGATATCCAAAAGCATTTTTTGCTCAGCGTTCAGTTTAGCGAGGGAAAAGACAAAAAAAAAGTTAAGGCGTATCATCGGATAGCAAAGGGCCTAGGTTGGCCAAGGGGGAATAAGGAACCAAAGCATTATGCCAGGCGATATCCATTTTTTAGACCGCGTATTATGCACCATGTATTATTATCATCTCTCGCTGCTTTTAAGACCCTTTTGGTCTAATTGGTAATTGAATGAATAAATGAATGAAAAATGCCAGTCTCTTCTCCTGTCTTTTGAGAGTTTGTCGGTGAATGGCCCTGGCTGATGACGGAGTCTGATGCAGTCATATTGACCAAATTAGGAAATTGAATGCTGCAAGGTGCCTAGTACGATCAATCACCTACTACCTAAGGTGCGTATATAAGGTAGGTATTTATCTAGGTAGTAGTACTTTGTACAGTAAAGCAGCTCTAAATGAGATGGGACCTTTAACTTTCCCTCAAACTCGCGATTCATTTGAAATACCAAGCTCAACGGTTAATGCAAGGAGCAAGGTTGGAATTCTATGCATTACGAAAGCAAAAGGAAGCCATGCCACGCAATACTGTCTCTCTTGAAACCTTGACACGGCCCTAGTTTTGGCTCCGACGGGGCCTCCGTATTTGGTACATGCAGCTGAAGCCTCCTAAAGAACGCCTTTGAGGCTGTGCACGTGACGGACGCAGGCAGGTACCTTGCGCACGGAACAATTCGCGGCGCCGCCCTAGACTATGGCTGGCTCCAACCGCTAAGCGCCTGCCGTGGTCTACTTGCCATCTCCAAAAGAAGCTCTGTCTTCGCCCGTCTCTCTTTATTCTCGTTCGACATCAACGCCAATCCCTCGAGCCGAGTGAGTCTTTGGGCGTCTTTGAAGTCGCCAGCGTCGCCATGGCTCCGCGAAAGGACACGCCGTTCCGCTCGGCGGACATGAGCATGGTGCAGCTCTACGTCTCCAACGAAATCGGTCGGGAGGTTGTTACTGCGCTCGGAGAGCTTGGACTCTGCCAGTTCCGCGATGTAGGTCTCTTGCCCCCTTCTGTCGCCTCAGCCGCGATGCTGCTGGCATATGATGAAGATTCTAACTGATCCTTTTTCTTCGGAATCAGCTCAATGAGGATGTCAGCGCTTTCCAGCGAACCTTTACTCAGGAGATTCGGCGTCTCGATAATGTGGAGCGACAACTGCGTACGTCACCGACGACATAATTCCCACCACCTACTCGACCGCGTTTTCGACTAACGGATTCGTCCTTAGGCTACTTTTATGCTCAGATGGAGAAGGCTGGAATTACTCTGCGAAAGCTGGATCTTGATGCCGAGAAGCTTGCGTCCCCATCGACGTCGGAAATCGACGAGCTTGCTGAGCGATCTCAGAAGCTCGAGCAGCGCATCTCTGCCCTCAACGACAGTTATGAGACACTTAAAAAGCGCGAGGGTGACCTCACTGAGTGGCGCTGGGTTCTGCGAGAGGCCGGAAGCTTTTTCGACCGCGCTCACGGCAACGTCGATGAGATCCGCGCCTCGACTGATAACGACGATGCGCCTCTTCTGTCCGACGTGGAGCAGCACAACACCGCATCCGATGTTGAGCGCTCATTCTCCGGCATGAACATCGGATTCGTCGCCGGTGTCATCAATAGGGACCGTGTCGCCGCTTTTGAGCGTATCCTCTGGAGAACCCTTCGAGGAAACTTGTACATGAACCAGTCGGAGATCCCGGAGCCGCTCATCGACCCGACCAACAACGAAGCCATCCAGAAGAACGTGTTCGTCATCTTCGCCCACGGCAAGGAAATCCTCAACAAGATCCGCAAGATCTCCGAGTCCATGGGCGCCGATGTTTATAACGTCGACGAGAATAGCGAACTCCGCCGCGACCAGATTCACGAGGTGAACAACCGCCTGGAGGACGTGCAGAATGTCCTCCGAAACACCCAAGCCACGCTGGAGGCGGAGCTCAACCAAATCTCCCAGTCGCTGGCTCCATGGACCGTGCTCATCGCCAAGGAAAAGGCTGTATACAGCACGCTCAACCTATTCTCCTACGACTCGGCTCGCCGAACCCTCATCGCCGAGGCATGGTGCCCCACCAACGATATGCCTCTCATCCGATCTACGCTTCAAGATGTAACCAACCGAGCTGGCCTATCTGTTCCCTCCATTGTTAACGAGATTCGAACGAACAAGAAGCCTCCAACCTACCTCAAAACCAACAAGTTTACAGAAGGTTTCCAAACCATTGTCAACGCGTACGGCACGGCCACCTACCAGGAAGTTAACCCTGCTCTGCCGGTCATCGTCACCTTCCCATTCTTGTTTGCTGTCATGTTTGGTGACCTTGGACACGCCGTCATTATGCTTGCTGCCGCTTTGGCCATGATTTACTGGGAGAAGTCGCTCAAGAAAGTCTCTTTTGAACTGTTTGCCATGATCTTTTACGGCCGATATATCGCTCTGGTCATGGCTGTCTTCTCTGTTTTCACTGGTCTCATGTACAACGATATCTTCTCCAAGTCCATGACTCTCTGGGATAGCGCATGGGAGTTTGAACGTCCCGACAACTGGAAGCAGGGCGATACAGTCACTGCTGTCTTGAACGATAACGGCCATCGCTATCCTTTTGGTCTCGATTCGGCTTGGCACGGTACTGAAAACAACCTCCTCTTCACCAACAGTTACAAGATGAAGATGAGTATTATCCTTGGTTGGGCACACATGACCTATTCGCTGTGCTTCTCCTACATCAACGCCCGACACTTCAAGAAACCCATTGATATCTGGGGCAACTTCATCCCCGGCATGATATTTTTCCAGTCCATCTTTGGCTATCTCGTTGTGTGTATCATCTACAAGTGGTCTGTTGACTGGCCAGCCGTTGGAAGAAACCCCCCTGGTCTTCTGAACATGTTAATCTACATGTTCTTGCAGCCAGGAAAGCTGGACGAGCGTTTGTACGCTGGGCAGGAGTATGTTCAGACTATCCTTCTGCTTCTTGCTTTTGCCCAAGTGCCCATCCTGCTCTTCCTCAAGCCTTTCTACCTCCGCTGGGAGAATAGCCAGACCCGTGCTCGAGGCTATCGGGGCATCGGCGAGACTTCCCGGGTTAGCGCCCTGGACGGCGATGATGAGAGTGAGGCCCTGGTCAGTGGACACGGCAATAGCTTTGACGAGGACGAAGGCGTTGCTATGATTTCTCAGAACATTGACGAGGAGCACGAGGAATTCGAGTTTAGCGAAGTCATGATTCACCAAATCATCCACACCATTGGTAAGTAACAGACCTGCCGTTCGACCTGAAAGAACCTGCTCTGGCCGTTATCTATCCTACATAATGCTAACGTATCACTTTTATCTAGAGTTCTGTTTGAACTGCGTTTCTCACACTGCGTCTTACTTGCGTCTTTGGGCCTTGTCACTTGCGCACCAGCAGCTCAGTGTTGTGCTTTGGGATATGACTATCGGTCCCTGCTTGACACGACCAGGTTTGCTCGGCGTCATCATGATTGTCATTGGCTTTTACCTGTGGTTCTTCCTTAGTAAGTGATATATATACACACGCGCGCGCACCATTTTCTTTAATTCGAATACAACGCTAACAGCTCTACCAGCAATCGCCATTTTGGTTTGTATGGAGGGTACAAGCGCCATGTTGCACTCTCTCCGACTGGCGTGGGTTGAGTCCTTCTCCAAGTTTGCAGAGTTTGCGGGTTGGCCGTTCGCGCCTTTCTCTTTCAACACGCTGATAGAAGAGTCGGAGGAGTTGAAGAATTACCTGGAATAAGCGGGTGCATATGCGTGACAAGGGAAGCGGTGTCTTATCTGTGGTATTAATGTTATTTTTCCTTTTTATTCTCCTTGTTTTGTTTCCTTTTCCAACTATGTAGTAGACTTGGTGAGCTAGTAATAGCCCACTGCTCTTTGTATGATTATATCTTGCATCTCTTTCTTTATACGTCAACTCACACATGCACTCTATGTAAAAGTAGAAGGTAGAATGTAAAAAGGAAACTTAATGGCATACTTTGCTGATCTGCTATCACCACTATAAACGTAAAACAATCTAGTTCATCAATGAAGGGTTTCTTGTATTTTGTGAATTACATGTTTGAATTTTCTTCTTCTTCAACGCTGGTGTATGTATGTATCCATCCAAGTATTGTGTTCATTCCCCCTTTGACTACTCCGCCGCCACGTCAATAATAAACTTTCAAAAGCTCCATATCCGATGAATCCCTTTCCCTCCCGTTAGTTATTATATCATCCTAGGATTTTCGCTCCTTTTTCCCCTTTGCCCTTTTTTCGCCATCTTCATCATCCCCACAGCGGAGCGGTAACTTCAACTGCTCGCTCCACCACGGCGCGGACTCTGTCTGCAAACACCTTGTTGTTGCATTCCACTTCCAGATCCTCTAGCCATATCGTCGCGGTCATCTTGTCTACCTTGATGGATATTCCGGGGACAGGGATGCCGAGTTTGTGTAGACGGGCGATTTCCTTGAACTGCCGCTCCTGAAGCTGCTGTTTGGCTTCATCTTCATCCTCGGCCACTTTCTTGTCGTCAAGGTCCATGTCTTCTTCTGCCTTTGTATCAGTGCCGTTGGCATGCTTCTGTTCTTCCTCCTCTGCTTTTTCTGCTTTCATGGCGTCGTCTTCGTCGCCTTCTTTCTTCTGTTCTTCTTCTTTCGGAGATGCTGCGGGTAGTGGCAGGAGCTTAGGTTCCTCCACGGGGCCGACGTTGTCTGCACCGAACTGAGCTTCTAGGAACCACATGAGCCGTTCGAGACGGTCAGCAGGGGAGACATGGGCGTGGGGGTTTTTGCTGTCGGGCTGGGCAGCATAGATACGGTCATCAGGCTCGCCATGGGAGTGAGAATGTTTGCTGTTGGCGGAGGAGCGCTTGACGGCGGCGGGCGAGCTCTCCACGGAGAATAAGACGGCCATGACGGAGTCAGCGATGCCGTCGTTGAGCATGTTGCCTTCCCACTCCAACTCCACCTCGCCGTTGGTGCGATAACGTACGGAGACGCAGCCCATCACAAGGTAAGCTGCCACCAGATTGGCAACCTCCTCGTCTGCATCTTCGGCCATCGTCTCATCTTCGCCATCCATGTCTCCATCCTGCTTGGAGTTCTTGATGCGACGCATTTCAGGGAGCTCCTCAACGGCTCCAAAAGTCCCCTCCAGTGCCCAACGGACTAGGTCCACGCCCGCAGCACTTAATGTGAGACGCTGCTTGCATGTGATGGTCGTAGTGTTGAGGCCGGCGTACTCACGCAAGTCCTCGGGGGCCATGAGTGAGAGCTTGAAGTCATTTTGGACAAGCACGCCGGTTACAAGAGGTGCGGAGGCGTCAATGTCCTGTGGAGGCGAGATGGAAGCCAGCTTACCAACGACTTTGGCAGTCTTGTCGGCTTTGAACGGGATGCGGAGCTCTTCACAATTACGGGGAGAGTAGACCTTGACCTTTGTGGTTTTGCTGGCGTTGAGGGAAAGGAGCTTAGACTTTAGGCGCATCATGTTGTGCTGCTCGCCGTGAACAAGAATCTATACAGCGTTGTTAGTACTAATCAGTCAAAAGTCACTCACTCCTGAAGCAAGTCGCTTTGATAGAAAACGGAATAACATACGACAACAGGTGCGGCGACCTCCTCGATGAACTCTCTGTTCTCTACACCATCAACATGAGCGGCGAAAGAGTACTCCTGGACACTGCAGCGCCGAGGAATAAGCACCTTCTCCGAATCTGCTCCTGGCCCCCGTCGAGCGCCCGCTATGCTTCGAGACATGACGGCTTGGATCTGATCCGGCTCTTGCATAATCTGCCGGGCCATGGTACCTTCAACACTGTAACCAGTAATGATGACGCCGTTCTTCTCGCTAGGAGCCCAGCGTTCAAAGAGCTCTCTGCTCACTCCGTTTTGGAGCATACCCGGGCTGGCGAGCATAACGCAGCCGCCGACATCGTCAAAGCGATCCAGGTTTTTGAGAGAGCGAATATACTTGAAATCCCAAGGTCCGTTCTTGCCTGCTCCGTCACCGTTGGCCTCGGCCTCGGCCATGCGTTCTCGGAATAATCGTTTAATGTTGTCGTTCATGGCACCAACATATGTCTGGTAGATTACCATACACTTTCTGGCAAGGTTACTGGCATAGTAGATGGGGAACTTTTGGAACTCGGGATGCTTGCCCCAATACTCGTCCAGGATCAGGAGGAGTTCCTGGGCTCGCCCCAGGGCAAATACCGGAAGCAGCGCTCGGCCGCCTCTGTTGAGGATTCCTGTGATGGACTTCATGAGAGCTTGCTCTCGTTCAACACGCGGCACATGAGACGCTATGCCATATGTTGACTCGGTGATGAGAACGTCGATCTTGAGTCCTTTGGGCACCTCTGCTGAGACAAGATGTCGATCCTGCTCACGCGAATAGTCGCCAGTGAAGAAGATGTTGAGGCCGGCAATCTCGATCAGGAACATGGCTGCTCCTAGCACGTGGCCTGCCGGATAAGGAGTGATTCGGATGGAAGAAATAGTGTGAGTGGTGTGATAGTCAATCGCTTCGATTTGTGGAAAGGTGTTGAGGTGGTCTTGTTCGGTGTAGAGCTGGGTCGCCGAGTTTGATGCCGTGTTTCCTACACGGACGCTGTCTTGGATGAGCCATTTGTAGATGGCCTTGGTTGGGTGTGTCATGAAGACACGGCCGCGAAAATTGGTCTTGGCCAGGACGTATGGCAACGATGCTGCATGATCAATGTGGAAACTATCGCCACGGGTTAGCGAAAGATTCGAGGTAATCGTGGAGGCTCCCCGTCGTGAAGCAGTAGAAGGTCGTATTGGATTCGGTATATCACAAAGGCAGCAATGATGGATCTCGGGCAAGAGTGTGAACGGGCGAAGAACATATTGTATTCATAACTGGCATACAAGTGGATAGAGAGACAGAGACATATAGACAATTGAAGAGAGACACTGCATCAGAGCACACACCGCGGCATTACTGTGCAGATGAACAATGCCCTTTTCCTTCGCAAGAGTACCAACTCGTCCTTCGCCTATAGCCTGGTATTTGGTTTTGTTTCGATTGATGAGGGCAGAAAGGGGAGGGGGGTTTGGCTGTGCATGGGATATATCGCTTACTGGCTGATGAGGAGCACATCTACGGTGCTGAGATCGAAGTCATCATAGAATGGAAGGGCTGCGAGGCCATCGTATGCAGGATGCTGGCCGGCATCGAGCTACACGGGGCAGATAACAATTAGCCGGAGCACATGGCAGCTTGCGGGCGTCGTAGAGGTTCCTCACCATCACTGTTTTGCCCTTGTATTGGATAATATGGCACGACCGTCCAACTTCATTGCCGCCTCCAAGACAGAGGAACATGAGCTCGTCGGATGGATCTACGGGCTCATCCTGGGCAGCTGCATTCATCGCAGACGCTTTGCGCTTGGATGCCATGGTCGCGTTTTGGTCAAATATATCTGCCTAGAAGGGGGAAGAGACAGCAATTCACATCAGCACGGAGAGAGCAAGCTTCTTTGGTTATCCTAATAATAGAGAGTGAGCTTCAGTTCAGCACCGGTGCCTCGACCCGCTGCGCAAAGGACGCAACAATAGCCGGATGGTATCCTCAAGGATAGTCACGGCGAGGTAGCGTGAAGTTTGAAGCTATTCATGGCGGCATCAATTGGCCGGCAGCGAATCGAGACAATAGCAGCGGCTAAAGCTCGGGTAGCGACGCGTGGTTGGCTGCGAAGCTCCGGTGCACGTGACTTTAAATTTACGCGACCCCCAACCTCTGCTTGCGAAGCTTCAACTTCATACAGATCGCCTCCAGATCACCGGCTTTTCAACGACGACCGCACGAAGCGCATTTCCATCCCCGAAACCCCCGACATCGTATCCCCAGGAGCCGTACTTTTCCCAGCGAAGCAAATAGTCATTCCGCTCGGGAAGCTCGTGCTGATTTTGCGCGTCGGATGGGACGAGGTACGGTGACCGTGACAGGCTTCGCTGCCTGTTGAGCGCCTCGATTGCCGCAGCCGCCATCACCCACCCCGGCTTTCGTTTGCCTCGCGGGACAGATTCGCCGCATTCGCTGTTACTGGGACATTCGCTTGATTCCATTGTCAGAGAACCAGACACCATGGCGCAACCACAGCCGCAGCAACAGGCTCCGCCGTCGCAGGTTCCACAGCGGGCATTTTCGCCTCCTCAGCCAAGCCCATCGCCCGCGACCTCATCACAGTCAGGCTTTGCGCTGCCTCCCAACAAACGAATTCGAACAGATGGCCCCATGTCACAACCCGGATCGCCGTATGCTGCTTCGCCATACACCATGAGCCCTGTGCCTACGGCTACTCCCCCACCTCCAGCTGGATCTCCGACCTATCCCCAAGCTCATGCGCAAACACCGCCTACAACAGCTGGATATCCTATGCCGTACACTAATGGCCATCCTCCACAAGGCTTGAGTCTTCCAGCTGCATCGCCGACGGTGTCAACGCCCACCATGCATACGCCTCAGCCAGCTCAGATACAAACGCCAGTGCAGATGCAGACGCCAATGCAAGCCCCGATGCAAACACAATCGCCAATGCAAGTGCCAATGCCAGGACCAGTGCAAACTCCAGTGCCACTACCAACTCCGATCTCAATGCCCCAATATACAAACGCAACAATGCAGCCCATGCCGCAAGTAGCACCTCAACAAATGCAGGCTCCTGGTGTCATGGGCCCTCCTCAGAAGCCAGCGGAAAGGCCAACGAAAGACTACGAGTATGACGTGACCGATTCATTGGCCGGTACGGGCATCGATCTCCGTGCAGAGGAACAGTATATGGCAGAGCTTTACTCGAATGCCCTCGAGACAATATCAGAGGCCAGGACGGGATTTGCCCATTACCCACCGGGTTCTAAGTCAACATTTTACGGCGCTGGCCCTGCTAACCAACCTGCTCAGCCTACGGAATTGTCACAACAGCAGTACAGTGCTCAGGCCGCTGAACAGGCATGGCAGGATTCCTCAATGCGGCTTGCTGTACAGAGGACTCAGGAAATTAACGATCCTTTCCTTCTCGTGGCACTGCTGCATCGTCGAGCGGAAAAGGTTGCCCGCGAACATCATCTCGGTCTTAACCTTGAGCTCAAGAACAACACTCATTCTATGGGGAAGATGAAGCTGCCGGAGAACTTTGCGGCACCCAAAGTTACTGTCAAGACACAGCCGGGGCCGGATGGCACCGTAGTGGAAACCAGCGGTTCTTTCATTCCGCAAGACGCTTATCTAGTAGACCAACTTGCTCTGATGTCGATAGCAACGAAACAGAGACTGCGTGAGTTGATTGAAGACGCAAATATCATCTCGAGAACACGGCAAAAGACGTCGCATGGAGAAATACCTCCAGAGTGGGCAGCAGCAGCAGCTCCAATGAACGCGGAGCCATTAGAACCCATGGAAACGGCTACCGATGCGAATGGGACTGGAAAAGACACCGAGACTGGCAGCGGTACTAGTCCTTTAAAACGTAAGCTCACTGACGCTTCCGATGCCTTTTTTTTTTTTTTTTTTTCCTTTCGTGAACATGATCTACTCACACACTTCAACAGGTCCTGCCGACACAGGCGATACGGTTGTCAAACCGCCGCCCGCAAAGTTGCCCAAGATTGCCTCTTACGCAACGTTAACAATGCGAGATTTGGCCAGGCAAGAGCGTGAATGGGAAGAGGCTCGACTGCGTAGACGGCAGATGCGCAAAGATGGCATAACTGATGCAGGCACTTCAGGCTCACGATCGGGAAGCGTAGCACCTGGCACGCCCGGATCAGTAGCTCCAGAAACGGAAAAGGCGATGACGAAGAAGGAGTTGAAGAAGACGCAGCAAATGAAAGCGCAAGAGGCTAGTAGCCATGCCAACCAGAACATAACCAGCAGCATGTTTGCAGGTTTGGGAGGCAAGGGAGGCCTCTTTGGCAAGAAGAAGGCCAAGTCCTACGACTGGATGAATGTCGGCCGAGGAGGAAGCGGAGCTAGTACCCCGACAAGAGCCACTCCAGGACCAGGCAAAGGTCCAAACGGCGTGCCCAGCGTATCGTCTCCCGGCAACATGGCGCTGACTACGGAAGGTCGAAACAGACTGGGCACGTGGCGAGAAGACAAAGAAAAGGGGAAAAATATACAGCTTCGTGACTGGATCGCTGTGCTAGAAAGAGATGGCCGAGAAGCCAAGGCGTTGCAACACGCTTATATACATTTGGACAATTCGAATCCTAAATAATTACTTAATGACCACGGCGGGGACCAGGGGGAAACCTGAGGGGGTGGGAATCCAGAAACAATGGGCGGGCTCAGTGATAGTTGAAATACCCAGTTAGCTAACAGCGATGATCGATGAGAAAAAATAGACGGTGGGCTTTTGAAAGAAGAAGTCTGGTTTGTTTCTTGGGAGAAATGCGTCTGCCTATTTTTTTTTTTTTTTTTTTTTTCCATTTTTTACCCCCCTTCCTTTCTAACGTGCATATTATTTGAATGAATGGATGGGCTAGGATGGGATGAAATGTGCCCCTTATTTGCAGGCATGTGATTTATGGTTTCAGGACGCGGTATTTGAAAGCTAGCAAGTTATTTTAGGCTGAGGGGGAAGCAGAGTCAATGAGATATACAGCGAAGTATGATACGACTGCTTCCAAATAGACGGCGTTTGGCTTTGAAATTGCTATTCCGTGAATTTCATGTGCCCAACTTGAGCAAGGCAGCTAGCTGCGTCTTATGATTTGAATCTTTTGGTCTTAAAAATCATAAGCTGGGGTCCTCACCAGCTGCTTCTGTACATGAATGACTGCTTCGGTGCCCGTATTATCACGAAAGTTCTTTAGTCGCATTATACGAAGTTATCTGATAATAACAACATCTTATCTTACCATCCAGCTTCTTCATTCAGTACCAAGGGAGGCAAATACAGAGACTTATGCGAATACCCGATCTATTATCCAAAAAAAAAAAAAAAAAAAAAAAAAAAAAAAAAAAAAAAAAAAAAGAGAGAGAGAGAAAAGTAAAGGAAAGGAAACTCCAAAAAACAGCCGACTGTGGCCAATTCATTAATTTCGTTCATCACCCTTCTGCATAAGCCCTCTGTCTTCCGGTACATCATCCTCTTCATCACTCTCCGGGATATCATCCAGAGCAAAATACGCCGCTGATGACTCCGGTGTCTCTTTATAGCCCGAATCCTTAGCCTGAGAGCGGCGTCTCGCCAGGAAGGACCATGCGCCCACGCCCAACAGCTCAAGCAGGATGAAGAGGCCCATCATGATGGTACCGAATTTGCTGAAGCCGTACAGCACAAGACCGCTTATTACGTTGGCCCAGCCAGCCAGGAGTATCACAGCGCCGAGATAGACGTGCGTGTAGGAGATCCACGTGCGGCGGAAGATGCGTATGAAGTCCATGTGATGCCGCCAGCCGAGCAGGGCTTGGACTATCAGCAGCGAGAAGATGACCAGGCCGGCAATCTGGTGAGGCGACGCAAAGATGCTGTCGCTCATGATGATGGCGAGGACTGCGCCGCTGAAAGCTGAAACGAGGCCTGCGATTTGAATGAGCCAGTGGAACCGGAACGACTTGTCTGATCCTGAGCGGATGGCCACAGCTCCAGCGGGGAACAGAACCAAGAAGGCAGCCATCATGAAGAAGCCGTGAAGATGGGCCAGAGGCCGCGACATGAGCTTCTGCCACAGCCCCGTCTTTGTCTCTTCCATGGGGCGATCAGACGTGCCAATGTTGGAATCCTCGCCAGCGTCGACAATGGCCGGAGGTCCACTGACCTTGTGCGAAGTGGCCTCCTTCATGTCGACGTAGAAATGGCCGTATCCGTCAAGGAGCGTGTGCATCTCCAGCTGCTGGTCCGGCGGGAAGCCCCTCATGCGCTGCTGCTTGTTCCACGCCCAGATCCACGGCTGCGAGACCGCCTCAGGCGAGATTTCCGTGCCCTGCCACTTGGAGCAGGCGTAGCAGACGATGGACGCCGAAGCCACGTACAGCTCGCCGTCGGCAGCCTTGGTCCATTTTGTCTCTGAGACGCGCACATCCAGGTCCTTGGCAGCTTCATTCTGGGCGATGAGCTGAGGCAGTGCATGGCCCTTTGAGACGGTCCGCACGCTGAGCGTCGGGTCGGCGCCGTCGGACGATTCGGGATCGCCATAGAGGACAAACATGAGGGATCCGGCCATCTGGGGGCCAGCGCCGATGGCGGTCCATCCCAGTGCGTGAGAGCCACTGGAATTGGCCGATCGCCTCATGGCAAATGAGAGGTAGACATCGTGGGCTTCCGTCGAGTGGTTGTGATAGAGCGACACAGCCATGCAGAAGTCGACTTCATCGCGGGGAAGACCAGAGAGGCAGTATTGCGACGGCGTGGCTGAGACGACGGCCAAGAGGAGGAAGAGCAAGTGAAGCAGTAGCGACAGCATGATTGGCAAGCAACGACCGAGGTTATCCTGCAAAAAAAAAAAAAAAAAAAAAAAAAAAGATGTGCAGTAATATGTCGCTTGAAGAACTGAGCTGGGCTGAGCCGAGCCGAGCGCAATATCGCCTATAAACAACAGACGATGAATAATGAAATGAAATTGCCCTCACAGCTCCATCATGACGGAAGAATCACTGGCCGATGATGTCCGCAACTGGGTCATACGAGAAGAGAGGCTGATGAATGCGGAGAGATAATGAAGAGGAGGCTTGGACTAAGCTTTGTGCCAATCTGCCTATCTCACGCTCAGGTATCAACTGTGGCGTGTGTTTTTATAGGTCGCCGCAGTGAGGGTGAGGGGCTCTGGATTGGGGCATCGTGTCGAATCGTCGCTAAAAGTGCTGCGCCATTACAGTATGCGGGATGACACTGCGGCAATAGCAATAGAGCGATGCAACATGGTAGGTATTTTATATGCACTGGCTGTCGTGCCGGTTGGTTCAAGTGCAGCTGGCAAAATTAAATTGATCAAGACTTAGTACGGGTGTTGTCATGTACTTTATAGTGCCCAGATAGCACATACTAGAGGCATTGCCCAAGCACATAGTATACGATACTTGCACAAAACACATGTGCCTCGATTATGCAATGACACGGCGCGATTGCGCCAATTAAGAATATCAACTTACAGCTCCAGTCGCAGCCGCTGCATGCAACAACTGCTGCATTTTCAGTCACTCACTCGGCAAAGGACATCCATCACTCGCCCCTTACTTCTCATCACAAGTAGCTCATACATCAAACAAAGCTACCAGCAGTGGAGGTTGGGAGCCCATCGTCCATCAATCTGATAGACAAGCAATGGCCATCGCAGTACGTCTCAAACATCCCGCATCCATCTTTCTCTACCAACACCGATAATGAAGAGAAGAAAGACCAAGAGCTACTTCTAATAGGTATGGCATACGGTATACTGATGATTTCACTCGAGCTCGGCTAGGCTGTCGGTCAGATCTGCTCCACCGGGTCAATCACTGCGAATCTAAACCAGTGTGTGAGATTGGTTGCCAAGGCGGCCCTTGGCGGAGCTCAAGTATGGCCTCTCCAGAAACTCTCTCATATACCCCGTGTTTACAGTGCTGCTACACGCATCCCTTTGTTTTACAACAATTTCGCCTCAGATGCTGAGACTCTAGTGAGACTCTGTCTCCGATCGCGAGATACTATGCAAGGGGAGTTTGCTCGGGTACTCTTACTCTGTCCGCAGTATGCTGTACCAGGCATATCTCCGGGGACTGAGGAATGTGGCCTCATGCCCAGGGCAAGCGAGCTCTCTCTGATGCTGCTCTGCGTCATCTCCATTCCCTCCAACTACTGCTGGCTCATCATCTTCAGATAATCACGCCCATGTCTACGCTTCGCTCTACCTCGGCCGAACCAAGCTGACGATCAAATGCCACTCAGGTTCTCTTCCTCCCAGAAGCATCAGATTACATCGCTGTCAATGCTCAGGCTTCCTTAGATCTGGCCGTCCCACAAGCGTCTTCTCCGTTTGTCCAAGGTCTCCGGGCCGCTGCCAAGGCCCACTCCATCGCCGTCCATGTCGGCATTCACGATACCGTGTTGGGCCAGGAGGCCGACCAGCCAACCCGCAAGATCCTGAACCGGGCGTTGTACATCAACTCGGACGGCGTTGTCCAAGATTCGGCTACATACGACAAGCTGCACGTCTTTGACTACGGGGCCCTTCGGGAGAGCGCCACCGTCCAGCCAGGCACAAAGTTTACTGCTCCGGTTGACTCGCCCGTCGGCAGAATAGGCAGCCTAATCTGCTTTGACTTGCGGTTCCCCGAAACAGCGCTCGCGCTCGCCCAGCCCGGTCGCAACAGTCCCTGGGCCACCCGTCCGGCACAAATCATCACGTATCCCAGTGCCTTCACGCTGCGTACGGGTGAGGCTCACTGGGAGACGCTGCTCCGGGCTCGCGCCATCGAGACGCAAAGCTACGTAGTGGCAGCGGCCCAGGTTGGCCGCCACAACGAGAAGCGAGCCAGCTACGGCCGCAGCATGGTTGTTGACCCATGGGGCAAGGTGCTGCTCTGCCTAAAGGGCGTGGCGGACGCACAAGGCAACGCGGAAGACGGAGCCGTCGAGGAGGTTGGCTTCGTGGACATTGACCTTGACGAACTAGAGAGAGTGCGCAGGGAGATGCCGCTCCAGCGACGAACGTGAGTCGGCTCTGCTTGCCGCAGTGCATGCTTGCAGTATGTATAGTCTAGTTGGGCTGACAACCAGTATCTGCTAGCGATGTTTACCCCGAGCTTACCGTCGCATAGTAAGCTGTGGGATGAGAGGCATCAGCGAATCCGGCAGGCCAAGCAGCTATTCCAGGAGGAGGTTGTAGTTGGCCTTGGCAACGTTGTAAATGCGCAAGCAGCAAGTGAGATGATGATCCTCGTCTGTGCGACACGGCACGCGTCGGGATCCTGAGTCACAGCATCTCGGCCTGATGTACGGAGTAATACCGATGAGATGTTGCTTGTACGCGATCCCAGCCAGAACCAGAGAGGCTCAGCCGGGGGCGTGTGAGTAGCCAAGCCAGCACAACACGAGATGCTGTTTGACGCCGATGCTGGTGCTGATGCAGCCACTGGTGCCGCTGCGCCTAACATGAACACTAGCAGTAGCAGTAACACTAATGGTAGTGGCTCGTTAAGCGGAAGGGGGATTAGAAGCCGCCCGTGAACTTTGCAGCCGTTGGCGCATACATAAGCGAGGGCATCTGATACGTCCGATCTGGAGTCTTGTCTCGCCTTTGCTTTTTTTTTTTTTTTTTTTTATGTTTCTTTGCACCNAGACGATTCATGGGCTTTCACACCATGCCAAAGACGCGATGATGAATTCACGACTAGCCATCGATTCTATGTTATCTACGATGCCCCTGTCACGGTCGTATATTTATTCATTCATTCCATGGTTCCCAGTATCCCATATCGTTTCCTTCGCATGAAAAAAAAATAATGGTCATTGCCCTTTTTTTTTTTTTTTTTTTTTTTTTTTTTTTAATGCCCCATGCTCTCTCTTCAATTGTGCGACAAGGATTGCCGGGGCCAAGTGGCAGGGGGGGGGAAAAAAGCAGCAAGTTGAATCCGAGTCCCGTCTAAACAAATGTGAAACTGAAACCTGTTGGGGGGGAGGAAAAAGGATGGAGACGAAAGAAAAATGGGTAAAAGGAACATGAAGAGAGAGGCGTTTTGGCCAAAATCTGAGCTGTCATGTCTCTCGTACCTTGTCTTTTGCGCCCCCTTGCCTGCCTCGGTGAATGGAGTCAAACTCAAACTGGCTTTGGAAAGCACTAAATTATTGACTTTCTTGTCTCCTCTCTTTTCTCTCTGCACACTTGATTTACATTATAAATCGATACCATATTAACAGCAGTTGTGGCAGATTCACGGCCTGAGTTCTGCGCTCATGGCCCAAAGCACCGGTAAATTAATGCAGCATAACGTTGATGTTATACGAAGGACTCCATCTAAGTGAAGGTTAAATGCGCTGGTACTCGGTACGTGTCGGTAAAATTCAAAACCTTCTCAAAACAACTACAGCGACAACTACATAGTACCTTGATTCCATTATTAACAAATACGCAATGCGGGCAGCATGTACTTGTAATAGACAATCGAATGATGCAGGCCTCTTTTTAGTACATTCGTATTATAATATGCACAAAAGAGCACAGCTATCCGCTGTGTATGATTCATCCATCCATTCACGCGCATGGTCGTTACAATCTCGCACCTACATGGTCCAATGGTTCAACACCACCACATCAAGAGATCACCGAGACACACACCCAAAAAAAAAAAAAAAAAAAAAAAAAAAAAAAGGGCAACAACTTGCGTCATGACAACTCTGCATGGCGTTGCATTGCATCTCGTTTCTCTTCCCTTTTTTTTTTTTTTATTTTTTCCCACCACCTCAAACCTATGCGCCCCACACAATCACACCCCAATCTATCTTNTTCCCTTTTTTTTTTTTTTATTTTTTCCCACCACTCAAACCTATGCGCCCCACACAATCACACCCCAATCTATCTTGCATCAAAATCGCCCATCGTGCAGTTTGCATCCTGGAACTAGAGCCCTTTTCGACCAGTAGCTCCCCTTCTGCTGCTGCTGGTGCCGAAGTGGTCCCAGGTCCAGGTCCTGCAGCCGTGCTTCCCCGGATCCCGGGATAAAAGCTCCCTCTTTTTTTTAACATATATATTAATCCGAGGCCAACAAATCTTGAGAAGAAAGAACGAATGAAAAAAATACCAGGCATCAATTCGGGGGAAGCGCCCAACAAACATCAGCTGAGCTGCCCAGGTTTCAAAAAAAAAAAAAAAAAAAAAAAAAAAAAAAGGGAGAGCGGGAAGCATCAATCACCAACCAAACAGTAGTAGTAGCTCCAATAGATCCAACGTAACTACCGCCCTTGTCCTGTTCCGATTCATGCCCGTCATCCATCTGGTGATATCTCCTCCCCTGATCATCTTCCATCAAAAAGTAAAGAAACGAGCAACACAGCCGCGCGGTCTCACTCGTGTATCACATATTGCAGGTAGCAGTTAGCCGCCCAATCTCTGAGGTGGGCTGCCTCTCACTTCTAGTCTCTCTCTCTCTCTCCTAGCCTCTAGCCTTTTCCCTTGCCGCAGTGAATCTCGCGTCATTTAGTCATCCCGTCTATATGATTCAGTCTAATTGAAAGGCAGGGAGGCCAATGGAAATGATATATGACAAGCAAAAATAAAATAAAATAAGATAAAAAGTAGAAGAAATAAAATTAAATAAAGTCAAAGTCAATCGAAAAGAGGCACTGCAAACTTACAAGACAAGTCAAAAACATACGTAAACGAAATAGAGCAATAAAGTAAAACAGTAAATCTTGCTGTGTAGCAAAGTCTATTCTATAATATATCTATCTAGAGTTGTCAAATAAGGGGGTATCCTCCGTAAAGCCATCTTCAGCTCAGACCATGTAAAATTTGCCAACATGGCCCAGGCCCCTCAAAGATTGTTTTCTTTTCTTTTGCCCCCCGAGGTTTCATTGTACAATGAATAAAATAAAAAGGAAAAAGGAAAAAAAAAAAAGCAGAGCAGTAGCGTTGAGCAACCAACAAGTAGCCCGTTGGTCATGACGCCCAACCTCCCGCTCGTGCTTTTCGATGGTAAACAATTCCCCCGCGAAGGGTTCGTAAACCGAAAAATGAAAAAGAAAATCTTTCCAAAAAGTGTGGACGGTAGGTCCTAAAAGTCTATATGCAAAAAATCAAAACCCAAATTTCCCATTTTGAAGCCAAAATATTTCCATCCTTTTGTTTTCCCCCTTTCGGATGCCAGCATGGTGTGTATATCCCTTGGCGTGGATTATGTAAAATCGACGTTTAGGCATATTTCGATCTTAAGCAAGGGATTCCCGGAATGAATGGAGATGCGAGATGCGAGATGCGAGATCCAAGACATCAGAAATTATCGCGAGTTCATTCCAGTGGATGTTGTTGCCCTTGCCAAGGGTGCGCCGAAAAAAAAGGAGAGAGAATGGGGAAGCGAATCCCCGCAAACAAAGGTCCGTCTATGTAGAACGCCATTTTTTTTGGTGAAAATCCCATGGAAGAAAAAGCAAGTCCCAGATCACACCAATGATCCAAGAGTCAAATCGTGCGAAGCGTTCTTTCGTTGTCGACGGCGAATGTTCTGAAAAAAAAATTCCCGTATTGCAAGTCCACAGTGTGCGAATTAAGAGTAGTACGAAAAGATTATGTGAGGCCCTAATCGCTTGCGACAGAGCCTCGTGGTCGAAGATGAAAAAGAGTGTGGTGGAGGCGTAAACAGCGTGTTATCCGAAAACCATTTTGTGGAGGATCCGATCAGGTCGCACTCGGTGCTGACAGCCATTTACTGAGGCTGGGGAGGAGGAGGCTTGGGGAGGCCAGTGGTATCATAGGCACCACGGCCGAAGTTGGAAGGCTTGGAGCAGGACTCAACCATTTTGGATGTTGTTGGTGTGATGTTGGAGGTCTGAGAAGCAGTGTGTTAGTATTGGTGGTGGAGGATAAAAGAGTGAAGACAGAGGTCACAGCAGCAAAAGCCATGAGTGAGGAAAAAGACTTACATTAAAGAGATAGGTGAAAGTGGTGTAAATGGGCGTGAAGAGAGAGAGTGTGTGTGTGAGAAAGAGAGAGCGTCAAGATTGCCAAACGGCTATTAGATTAAGGCAGGTAGTAGGTAGTTCGTTATAAGAGCCAAAGGAGTGGACTGGTTGTTTTGTTTTTTTCGAACGCCGGCGCAGTAATGAGAGGAACAAAGGCAAAAGGATGGATGATGGTTCTGATCGAAAAAGAAAACCGAATCGAAGCGGGAAACGAGAGGAATTAAAAGCTTCTTGCCCAAAGGCGTGGGAATAGGGGCCCTTGACGACGGGTAGCTCGTAATTAAACGGGAACCGCCCAAAAGTATGTGTAAGAGTCGTGTCCTAGCAGGAAATCGGATACGCCGCTAAACCACGGGTACCTGACACTGGTGTGGATATATTTGGGGTGTGTGCCGTATTCGGTCGATGCAAAAGTGAGCCGCGCAGCAGGGCTCCTCTTTTTTTTGATGCGGCGAGTGGGCCTGGTAATGAGCGAGAGAGACGGATGGATGGAGAGGCAGGGCAGTTTGTTGGTAACGAGATGACGGGCTGTTGTTGTTGTTGTAAGTGTGTGCAAAAGATGTCTGGTGTCGAGACAGAGAGAGATTGTGTTGAAGCCTGCTTGTTACTGCAGAGGGCGAGGAATGGTCAAGCTGGCTGGATTGGAAGAGGAGTGAGTGAAGAGCATGGCAAGAATCCAGTCAAGCGAGGGAGACAGCAGCGCCTTTTTGTACCGAGTTTGAGCCATCGGACAGACACTCTTCTTTACCTTTTTTTTATGAATGCAAACAAAAAAAAATTCTACCAAGGTCTTGCTGGAAAACAACACGCAGCAAGGGAACCTGCGGCAGCGAGGACGGTACCTTGACTCGCAGCAGCAGAGACGTTGTCTTCAGTCCGGGGAACCAAAACAGAAGGGAAAAGGAGCGAAGGGGCCCGTCCACGGTGGGTGGCACCGGCGGTACGTACCTATCCGCGGCAGCAGCTGTCAGAAGGGGGGAGTGCAGTCTCGTTTTTTCGTCCTACCCAGAGAAGAAGCCCATCCATGGCTGTCTCGTTCCTGGAACAAGTGGAGCCCGCCTGATCCTGGCAAATCCATGTCGGCGGTGCGGCGGTGGAGCCCTTGGGCGAGCAAGGGAACAAGCTCTGGGAGCGAGCCGGGGGTGTCCTGGACGGGCCATGTTTTAGGGCACCTCACTGCGAGGTACGTACAAGTACAGCAGCGCATACAGGGCCGACTGTGCTGTAGCGAGCGCTGTACTTGCTGCAGCAGCCGCTCATCATACTGCACTGCTGCAGCTTAAACGGCGCTGGAACCAGCCCAGGCCTAGGCGCGGCGACGACCCAAAACGCTGGGCTGGTGGCGCATCACCTTGCCGGGCAGCAAAAGAGCTGTCGCAGGTTCCTGAGGGAGACGTCGCCGGGCTTGAACCTTAATGCCGATGGGCATGAGCCTGGAACCAGCCATTCGTCAATACTGGAACTCTGCTAGCAGCAGTAGCTTTGTGCCCGTCAAGACATGTGCTCTTTGGTGTGGTGTGTGTATCACTGTGCATATGCGTGCGTGCAGCATGAACGCATGTGTTGACGCACCTTTCTTTTTTCAACGTGAGATGGATGGGTGGATGGATGGATGGAGACGGCATGTATTACCACACATACTGCACTGTCCTACTGCCTGCTACTGCCTGCTAGTAGTATAATACATACAATAGGACCTAGGCTAGTAGATCCCGAGTCCAGTCCAGCTCCGTCCTTCGTCCTTCGTCCCATCGCCACCCGCAGATATTGCCAGGTCGGTCGGGCCAAGAACTGACGGCGTGCCTTCTGGCACCGCGTACCTGGTTGCGTGCCCGGCCTGGGCTGCGTTTTTCGCCGTCCGCCCTGGGAGCCTCATTAGTGGAGCCAAAGCCGCGCTGCAGCCAGCACAAAGGCCTCTCCCCCTGTCTGTACATCGCCAGAGGACCGTATGGAACAAACATATGCAGGGTCCTGCAAGGTTGCTTTGTTCCAGAGCCCTTCCGTCGCGCCGGCATCAGCTCCCCGTAGCTCTTCTGCTGCTGCTAGCCCGGGCAGCGGTGCTGGTAGGCTGGTCAGCCAGCCCGGGGAGCCAAGGGGGATGGGTCCTGCTCTTGACTCTCTCTCTCTCTCTTCTTTCGCCTCCGGTGGAGAGGTGGGCGACGAGGGTTGGGCGTCAAGCAGACTTTTTGGTCCCGGGGAGACGGCACGACGATATACAGCACAGTAGAGCGTCGATTAGCCCGTACGGCTTAGCAGCAGAGAGATTGGATGAGCGGGTGTGTGCGAGTACGAGCTTGTATCGTGCCCAGTTAAAAAGGCCCAGGCGCTACTTTAAATTCCCTTCTTTTCCCGTCATTGCATGCTGCCATCTTGCTAGTCCTGTTGCGGAACTGGATTGGGATTGCTGCCCACTGAAATATGCCTGGGCGGCTCCGTATCGTATATTAGGCAGTCGCAGTACCAGCTTGCACCAGCATCTACCCGAAACGGTAGCTTCTTTTCTAGGTTCTTTTTTTTTTCTGCCCGGAAATCTTCTAGAAGAGCCGGGTACTAGGTATGTATGTACCTAGCCACTCATGAAGCTTGCCTGACATCTGAGGTCGCACAAGGCAGCGTCCTGGGCCTGTATGGACCGGGAGCCGAGCATCATCTCCCCATCTTTTGCTGCCTTGTCAATGCAATGCAATGCAATGCAAACAGGCGAGGCCGTGAACGGGGATCAAAGCCATCGGTCGGTCAGTCGGTCGGTCAACGTGCCACGGCGTGTTTTCTCCGTCTGCTCCTATTCTTGGAAGGCCAATTACTCCGTCACGAAACAGCGCTCCCCTTGCATTGAGAGTCGCGCGTAGTCGGCTTCGGCATAGCATCCGGAGTTACTTTTTCTCTCCTTGTATTTTCTTTTTCTGCAGTAAGCCGGTAGTGGTAGTAGCAGCAGCAGCAAGATTTGATCGCCCAAAGCAACTCGCGTAATCGGACACACATACGCCACACTCTTAAGGCAATCCATCATCATCAAACATCTTAGAATAGATGCAGTAGACGGGAGTGGCAAGTTGCAATGCAAGGGACCGCCGTCATCATCCGCTTATACAGTTGACCACTGCTGCTATCATTGCTGTTATTAGCAGTATCACCGGCTTGTTGTACTACCGTCTCTCCCGCCGATCCCGAGTCATTGAAATCAAGTTTTTTACTTGGTCTTTGCTTTTCTTCTTCTTCTTTTTGCCGCCATGACTCCATCTGTGTCTCGCGGGAGCGGTTCCGGGCCAGCCTCCCAACATGCATGTTTTTCGCCTGCATGCACACAACGGGAGGCGAAAAGGGAGAAGCAAGTTGTAGCGGCCAGCTGAAGCGCTCTAAACAGCTCTGATCCATGTTAGTGCTAGTACTACGACGGCAAAGTAATAAAAGGAAAAAGAAAATAAAAGTAATAAAAAAAAACAATCAAGTGCTAAAACACACGAGTAAAAAGAAAAGCCAATGGGTGCTAGTTTCATATAGCTCGGGCTGGCGGCGCCGTCTTACACGCCTCCTCCTCGCTGTGCCCCTGGTCTGGCTCCCCGTGTGTGGCAGCACGTCTATGCCATGAAAACTTCAGCGCCACGTTCAAGCCGCAACTGAGCAGAGCACAACCCAAAGCACGAAGCTGTTTGTTCCCAGCTGCTGCGCCGGCTGAGTGTTCCTGAATTAGCTGAATTCAATTCGACTGAAGTGACGTAGACTGTGCTCTCGTCTAGATGCACTCCCTCCCCAATTCCCAGAGCATGCCGTCAATGGTACTCTGCTACTGCTGCTGCTAGTACTGCTACCCACAGCTTATATGGGGCCAGGGCTCACACTGACGTACATGTCCAGCACGCTCTCCATATTGCCCTGCACGCAGCCCGGTGTGCGCAGGTGACATTTTGCCAATGCACGTCTCCCAACAAACAAAACGCAGCGTCTAAAGGCTGTTTGATCCTTACCATATGAGCTGATAAAGTATCTCATCCACCAGTAGAAACATCAATTAGCGATTGTTGTGTAACTGGCGGCTGCTGAAATCCATCTGTTCTTTGTCCATCCTGCTATTTCTGTGCATGTGGCTGATCTAGATCTCGTGGCATGGTCGTGGGTGGCGGTTACCTCGAGCCACGTTCTTTCCTTCCAATTGTGCACGGCACACCAACTTCCGTATTGACTGGTACCTCATTCGCTGTTAATCTTCAATAAAGCCTCAGGCACAAAGTCAGGCATTAACGCTGCATTAATACGGTGTGCTGTCCTTGATCCTGGCACCTTGTACTTCACCGCCAACAGCCTGAAAGAGTGACGAATAATCCACAACCTCGTGACATACGGAGTTGCCCGCGAGTCGTCTTCAGGGTAGCTGACTCTTTGCTACAGGAGTCACTGATGCAAGCCAAGATCCTCCCGAAAACCCCTTTTGCAGCAATAAAGGGATATAGGTACTACAGTACTGCTACCACGACCGCTTCCCAACTCCATATCCGGTCGGCTTTCTCCGAATATTCTGTGTCTAAATATGGAGACAAAAAGAATGCCACGTCAAAGGAGTACCATTTCAGGGGATTTTTATCAAGCATTTGCCTGTCGGGTAGCACGATGCCTCTCCTAGAGATGCAAACCACGATTTGACGTGGTGCCATCATGTTCAATACCAGGCAATCCAAGCCTCAAGGTGCAAGGGGTATGTGTTGCCCCTAGCCACAACATATTGTCAATCAGCGTGGCAGACAGCCTAAAGGAGGAACACAATACAGCGCTTTGACGGCATGGCAATATGCATATGTGAGTTGCACATACCGCAGCATTATGTTTGCCCTCTAATCTAGACCTGCTTTTTACGACTCCATACTGTGCTACATTGGGACGGATATGACCGTCCATCGCCTATCTAGGTACTAGGCAGTGGTAGCCTCGGAGATTCTACTCGGCCCGCTCCCATAATCAACCGTCCCAAAGATCTGGATGTTACTAGCTGATGTAACGAAATCGAAAATTGGCCGTCATTCTGCTCAGCAGCAATTGATACTACAGCAACACGAAGGGAGGAATGAGGTAGAGTGGCAGCATCAAGAGTAAGATTCAATATTAATATCATAAGCCACTCATGATGCTGCCATGTGAAAGGATGGCGATGGACCAATCTAGACTATCCGTGCAGACAACCCAGTTTACCATGCTCCCAAACGAGGCGAGATGCTTTGCGAACTGGCAAATACAGGAAGGTTTCCCCTTCTCAGGTATCCGCGTTTGCTAGACGAGCGGTACGGGAATCTCGACCTATGCGACGGCTTGCGGATACATGCACCTTGCAGCTGCAGCTCCGTTGTGACACAGAGCCCAGCATGCCAAAAAGTACCGATGTCTACGGAGCGAAGCGAGCAATGCTTCTACTACCTACTTGTCAGAAATCCATATCAGATGCAACGTGTCTGGAGCATCAAGGGCTGGGCTGGCCAGATTGTTTCTGTCGAGGCTATCCTGCTCTACAACCAAGTGTATAGTGTGAACCGGATTCCAAGTACTGTGCAAAGACCAAACAGCCAAGATTGAGCTCGGCAAAACTTCTACAGCGAAACGCTTGGGCCTCTCCCCCTGATGTTTATGCGTACACTATGGTCGCATTCCGTCGAAGCTTTCTAGAATGCGCTTGTCTGAAATTGGCATTTCCCCACAGTCTCCATTCATTCTCGAAACAAATGAGATGGGACCTTTTGACAGTGCGAATTTCACTTGTCCCGTGTTTTCCGTGAGGCTCTCGGTGAAGCACAAGGGTGCCTGACTAGCAGTCTTCTTCAGCAGACCAGGGAGGCATGTTATGAAGAGTACATCGTCGATCGGTCCGTTCCACTCAAACTTCGGCCAACTGTCGCCTCTATGCCCGTCCGCAGGAGCACAGAAGGGGCCCCGGCACGGCTCTACTCTTGACACGTAGCGGAGCACACTTCACAGGCCGGAAACGCATCCGTTATTGCCAACGGCGTTAGTCTCGCGGCGGAGGGGCAATCTAAGAATCAAAAGCATCAATAGCAAGCCAGCAGTATGAGTTTGAAGGAGGCAAAGCATTTCATCCCCTTGGCTGGCCGGAACAGTGGCGCACCGGTACGGTCGCCCGAGCAATACCGATCATATGCCATTATCTCGGCGCCATGCCGGACCGCAACCGCGGCATTCGCATGTGCTGGTAGTAGGTATGTACTACCATAGCCCAAAGCACAGGCAGATTCGCGTATACGGAGGCACTACCCCGTACCGCCGTTTGAAATCGAGTTCACAGGCACAGAGTATAGAATACAAAATGTTATTCTAGTATAGGAGACCCTGACAAGCAATATAGCATTGGTTCTGCATCGACAAGTCTTCGTACGTTGACCGAGCCTCTATCACAAAGAAATCTCAATTAGCAATCATAATTTCGCCTATTAACTGATATGTAGGTAGATTACCAGCCGACGAAACACACTCAACGCACTGATTCTTCAAGCTTCCAGCAAGCTTCCACAGCTCAGACGCACGTTTGCTCACGTACCATGTTCATGCCAACGCACAGGTACATGGAAGTAGGTATTCATGCTGAGTACCCTTGCACGCCCCCGCCGCTTGTGATCGGTCATGTGGATTTGGAAATAGCTACGCCTGGCAGAATCTTGAGTGGAAGGCTGTTGCACCCTGTCAGCGACCCTTTGGCGAAACCCTTGTTCACGGTAATACTTGTAAGGCGATAATGGCAGCTGTAAGTACTATTGTCAGCTTGCGATCAGCATCCGCCCAATACATAACTGCCACGACCTAGTCAAGTACCTATGAATTACGGGTAGGATTACCTAGTACTGCTAATATCCTACAGTAGTAGCGTTGTTGCTAGTGCTGGAATAGCTTAGGAGTAGATCCCTGTCCCGGATGCCTTTCCGCTGGCTGATGAGATGAGGAAAAAACAAAGCCAGGCCCTGTGGTTGGTTACCAACTTTTGGGAATAGCGGGAATGGACCAGCTGTCATCAAATGAAACAAGTCACCAGTAGCATTTACGGCTTGCTAGCGGGTTAGAGCAAATTTGCAGGCAATTTCACTGAGTCGTACTCGTACAGCACAAAACACGCACTTGCGTTAAACGAGCAAAGTCACGGCCTCATGATGGCGTTTTTTTAGCCCAGTTTATGTTCATTGCTGCACGACGACGAGTCAGGGCCATGAGAGCCAGCATCGGCCTGTTCGCGGTAGAGCACGGAGCGGTATTGCGGAGCACGGCAATGCGCCTGGTGCATGCCGAGCGGTATCGCCGCGTTCGCCTTGCCGCATCTTGAGCTGATAGATGGAGCCGGAGAAAATGCCAGGCGTATACCTTGGATTGAGCCTTGTTTTCTCCTCCCATCAGCATCGTTTTGGGCTGTAATTCAAGCGTGTCTTGGCAATGTTGCCTCTGCTTGCTAGGCAGTGTTCGTCAAGGTATCCATCGATGTGGTTCTGTGAGAGAGTGTGTATATGAGTATGGTTGTTTCGGAGTATGGCCGTTGCAGGGCAGCTACAGCGGTACATTTCAAACGGCGCCGAGTAAGCCACACCACGTTTCTGTCAAGACCCCTGCTACGAGTGTTTCTTCAAAGAATGGGGTGATTAATACGCCACCGTTGTTGCTCAATAGGCGTAGAGGGCACCACTGGCCAGGGACACGGGGCTCATTAACGCTCATGTGCAGTTTGCACGGCAACCCCCAAAGCTCCAAGAGGCCATGCGGAAATCATTATGGCAGACGAGCAATCTCTCCTATTGAATCCACAACACATGGCAGGTCAGGCAAGTCCCATGAGCACGTTTGCCCTGGAGAATGGGCCCACCCGCCCATCATGGTGGATTTCCTTGATGGTTATGGCGCCGGGGAGCACTTCCGCTGGAAATTCGTCCCGAGCAACGATTATTTAGCGCTGGCTCAATCAGCTACAAGGGAAAAGAGAAACGAGAGAAGATAGCCCTTTACAAGCCAACGGATCTAGGTTTCGGTTGGAGGCCACCCAGCGCGCGGCTGAGTTCGCTGGCAGCCGTCGGCCATAACAGCCCCATGCAGACAGGGGGGGCTGAATGAAGGCCGACTCGCTTAGAGGGGCTAGCCATGATTAATGTGGAATGTTACAGAATGGAACGAATCAATCGTTACCTTCTAGAAGCCCCTTTGGTCACCTGTCACGATCTATATCGGCGGCATATTGCTGCTAGTAGTATTACTCCGTAGATACTATTTCTCTCCATGGTTAGGTGTTGAGAAGTGTATCCCGAGTGTCCGGATTCAATCTCGGTACCTGATGATGTTTCCCGGGAAGACCTGGGCGAAGCAAATTTAATTTGATGGAACGCCAAAGGGACGGGATGGGTATGACTGATTCTAATTTACAGCAGACAAAAGTGCTTTGGACCTAGGCATACCGCACCGCATTCGGCACCCTCCAACTACTTTGGGCTTTGTATGGTGAGCAGACAGCTCGACAAAGCTTACGAAGCTCATTCACGCATGCAGGGCCGGACGTGTGAGAAGAGAAAAGCCACAGATTTTTCAACACGCCACCTCACATGGAATCTCATACCATCTGTCGTGTGACTTCGGGACAAACGCCGAGGTTGAGCAGAGAGATGCGGCCAACGGTGAGGCACGCACTATTCATCCCCAGGAGGCTCTGTGCGGCCATCGGGAATTATCGATGTGATTCGATATTTCTCTTAAGCGATAGACCTTGGGCGAGACTTTACGTTGAGGGAAAAGGGTCGCCTCCTGATGTTGGAGGGCCTCGGCGACTCTCTCGTTTGTTTGGCGTTGATGCGAGTCCATTGTACGCCATGTGCGTGAAAGGGAATAGTAATTGAGCTACTATTAATATCAACGGTGGTGGTATTACGAAGTAGGTCAGCAGTGATTGCTATGTATATTCTGGATTTCGTAAGCGACGAAACGGCTGTTTGAGGATGCGGATACGGATACGCCCTTATACGAAAAGTTGTTGGAGTTGAGGGAGCTACAGGGTAGCCTCGAGCTGATGCCAAAATGGAAGAATTCAGAGACGCCAATTGATACGCGTAGTGCTGTAAATGATTATATGTTTATCAAATTTGGCATGAAGACTTTGGAATTGAATAGGGGAATGATGTTTTGAGGAGGTTTCATTACCAGACCCGTACTCGTGGTTAAGCAAACTTAGTATCATGCTCGATAAACCAAGTCAATAAGGAGAGCTTAAGAGAGGTGGTTGCGAAATAGTCAAGGTGCTAGATGAAAGATAGAGGTGTGGATGGAGACGCTTGTGCTCTCGAGCAGAGTGCAGAACAGAGGCTGTGTTTTAGAGATGGACATTGATATGGGAAATGAACCAAAATCGCTAGTGTTGAGGAATCCTACACACTGCCATTAATGGACAGTTTCTATATCATGGTGAAGCTCCAATTCAACGCCATTGTCAAATATCAGCTAGTCAGGTACATACAATACGACCGCCCCCTATTGAGAACTGCCAGTACCCCGCTAACACGCATCTCCCCCACAGCCCCTCCACCCGTGACGCAGCATCATCACCAACCAGCGCCCGAGCTTCCACATCAGCCTCCCAGAGCTCCAGCCTCCAACCCGTCTCTCCGCGAAACCGCCCCCAGACCAAACGCCTCCCCTTCCACCACCTCTATTCCGAAGAAGCTGCCCGACCTCGAATTCTTCTCCCCCATACGCACGCACACACACACACAAAGAACCCGCCCGCAGCCATGTCAATCATCCAGCAACACACCGCCGCGACGCTCGGCGACGCCTGGCGCACCGTCAACATCGACATCCTGAACGAGGACTCGAGCGTCAACTTTGACACGTCGACGCTGCACCCGCCGCAGCCGGAGATCAGCGAGGCCGACGTGCGGAACCTGTCGACGCAGGTGCGGCAGCTGCTGCGGGGAGGGGATGCGGAGGGTGCGCTGAGGGGATGCCTGGAGACGCCGGTTTACAACGGGGTGGATGCTGCAAAGGTACGGCTTTTTTTTTTTCTTCTTCTCCTTTGTTGATCGATGATTTATATATATATCTGGGTGTGTGTATGCTGATGGAACGGATGTGCGTGTTGCAGGAGGCGCATTTGCAGACCATCATCGAGGTGCTGCAGTCCATCAAGGCGAGTGACATGACGCCGCTGCTCAAGGGCATCTATGCGTCCCCTGGCGGAAGCGAGCTGTTGGACGTGCTCATGAAGTACATGTAAGCCTTTATCCAAATCATCTTACACTGATATATATATATATAAAGAAGGTTTCAAAAAACTGACAGCAATTCTTCAGCTACAAGGGCATGGCCGTCGGCGCTCCCGCAACTACCGGCCTCAAGTCCCCTGTCAAGATGACCCCTCAGTCCACCGGCTTCAGCCAGATCGGCTCGCGTCCCGGCGCTTCCAACGAGCCCGCGTCGGCGGCCATGAGCGTCCTGCTGAGCTGGCATGAGAAGTTGGTTGAGGTTGCTGGGCTGGGATGCATTGGCAGGACGATGACCGACTGGCGAAGAGTATAAATAGAGAAAAGAAAGGGGTTGGATTGCGACTGGCTGGAGAGAAAGTGTGTGTTTAACGAGGGAGATTTTTTATTGCAAAATGATGTATAGAAGTGGTATGAAAGGAGCCCAAGGTGTTTGGCTTTTTTTTTTTTTTTTTTTTTTTTTTTAAACTCTACAAATGGGAACAAATGGCTATGGAGATTTCATGGTCCAATGGTCATCCAATAGCTGGTTGATATATTGGTATAGGTATATAAATCCATTGTTCATACATGCGGCGTATATATGTACCCCATCTTACTACTCCTTCTTTTCTAAAATATCCTTTAGATTCGTCTGGCCACTTCCCCTAGCTAGGGGTTGCGGCTGGTTCTCTCCTTCGCGCCAACCAATCATGTATATAATTCTAAAAGTCGCAGGAATAGATCCGTCCGGATTGCCATGCAGTTCCTTGTAGATGGCCTCGTTGGCAAGCAGAACGTCTCTCCGGATGGGGCCCATCTCGCGGTTCAGGATGGCATTGCTCTCTCCCATTGCCTGGAGGTCCTGCATCAGGGCAAACGTGTCCGGGTAGTCGACAATGATGTCGTCAACGTCCACCGTCAACATCTTGAAGCCTGCTTTCTGGAGCAGGCCACCCACGTCTCGCACGTCAGCCAGCGGCGAGACGTGAGGGGACATGCCGCCTCTTCGCTCCTGTTCTGCCAGCTGGAGGGATGTTCGTAGTTCGTACAGCGTATCGCCCCCAAGCATTGCGCCGATGAAGGGGCAGTCTGGCTTGAGGACGTTGTTGATCTGGGACAGCACTCCAGGGAGGTCGTTGATCCAGTGTAAGCTTAGAGAGCTCAGCACGAGGTCGAAACTTTCGGGCTCAAACGGGATGGTTTCCTCGTCATCGACGACTTGACGGGTGATGGAGATTTTGTTGTTGAACTCATGGTCGGCATCTCTGTAGAGTCTGGTCTCGGAAGAATCAGTGGCAATGAGCTCGCCGATACGGGTCGAGAGAGGTGGTGACTCGGTGACGTCGGGGTCAGGATCAGGGTTCTCGCGCACGAGGGCTTTTGCAACGTTGCATGAATTGGCGCCGAGATCGAGAGCTCGGGGGAAGTGCCGCCTTATATCCTAGACAAGCTGTATCGGCATAAAGAAGCTTTTTGAGGGAAGAAATAACAGCCATATCAACTTACAAGGAGTCTCTCTGTCAGCCGTATGGCCACCTCGTCCTTCAGATAGTCCGCCACCCGGCTTTCCTCGGTATTGAAAGCTGCACGCTCCTTCTGAAGCCATTTTGCCCGTCGGTTGAAGACTTGGAATCGCGTTGCTCCGGAAGCAACAGCATAAAAGCGACGAGGGGCAGCTCCAGCAACGAATTGTTTGCTGCTGAGGGGGGCCAGCCTGGTCAGGCTGCTTCTCCCCCAGCTCATGAATGAGGACGGACGCACACACGTGGACATGACATGCTCATTCGCCGCTTATGCCTAGAGCAGGAAGAATGAATTGCGTGCATGCAACTCTCACGAAGATTGAGAGGAGCTTTTGGCGGAAAAGAAGCTAGCAGTGACGTACTAACGTGTGTGCATGCACTTAATTCGGTAGTGCTCTAATAATACACTAATACTGCAGTGCACCACCCAACTGTGATTTCTCTCTTCTTTGGACGAGTTGCAGGCGCACGGGCCAAGCGACCACACCACAGGGCCCCGCGACAGTGCAAACCGCTGCGAGCTACCGGCGTTTATAGTGGTCGTCGTCCGCTACAGGAGCTCATGGGGCCCTCTCCTAATTAGGCGCTGCTCCACGCGAGGAACCAAATGGCTCTCTCTATCAAGGCCATCGACCCTCTCCCGAGCCGCCCGTGAGACGCGACACCCAGTGCCTTCCATCTCACAAATCGTGACCAACTGCTGGTCTGGACAATCCCGTCGTTCCTTTGGCACCGTCGCTCGTGGATAATCTGCTGCGCCATCATCAATCTCGCTGCTGGCTCCTTTTTTCACTGGTCCTTTAAGCTGTGCCGCAGTAGCCGCCAGCATTTCTTGTCAGCCAGCGAGCCAGTCGCAGTGGTGGATTACATATCCCACCGAAGCCTCGCGACGCCGTCGATGCTCGCCGCATAAAGCCAACCCGACGAAGTGAATCCGCCTGACTATGCGATCCCCCCGATAGGCGATTGGTGTCCGGCATCACCTGCTGCAAATATTTCATCTCCCGCGACAACTGCTTCGCGATTTTATCCCCTCTATCGACTGAGGAGTTGTAATAAAAAGAGCAAAATCCGAAAATTAAAAAAAAAGGGGGGGCGCGCCAGCTTAGAGACTCGACGAATCGAACCGCCAACATGTCGTCGTCTGCATCCGGCTGGATTGGCCGCTCCAGCAGCGGCAATGCTAATATGCGAGGCCTGGTGCAATTCATCGCCGATTTGCGAAACGCGCGTGCCCGCGAACTGGAGGAGAAGCGAATCAACAAGGAGCTGGCCAACATCCGACAAAAGTTCAAGGATGGCAACCTCAGCGGCTACCACAAGAAGAAATATGTCTGCAAGCTCCTTTACATCTACATTCTGGGGTGGAATGTCGACTTTGGGCACCTCGAGGCTGTGAATCTGATCTCTGCGAATAAATACTCCGAGAAGCAGATTGGTTATCTGGCCATGACGCTGTTCCTCCATGAGAAGCACGAGCTGCTCCATCTTGTGGTCAACAGCATTCGCAAGGATCTGCTTGACCACAACGAGCTCTTCAACTGTCTCGCTCTGCATGCCATCGCCAATGTTGGAGGCCGCGAAATGGGAGAAGCTCTCAGCGGAGAGGTGCATCGATTGCTTATTTCTCCGTAAGTCCCGATGCATACTGTACTGATAGCGGGACAAGGTTAGGCATGTGCGAACTGGGAGCTGACCGATACATTTTAGGACCTCCAAATCATTTGTCAAGAAAAAAGCCGCCCTGACTTTACTACGACTGTATCGAAAGCACCCGGGCATTGTGCAGCCTCAGTGGGCCGAACGACTAATCCACCTGATGGACGACGATGATTTGGGCGTTGCGCTGTCTATTACCTCTCTCGTCATGACCCTGGCTCAAGACGACTTGGAGCAATACAAGGGCGCCTATTCCAAAGCTGCTGCTAGGCTTAAGCGTATCCTAATTGACGGAGAGTACACCACCGACTATCTGTATTACAAGGTCCCTTGCCCCTGGCTTCAGGTCAAGCTCCTGCGCCTGCTGCAATACTTCCCCCCTTCAGGTATGTTGGATCTGTCTCCGATCTGATGATGCGGATGTGCCTAGTGAACTAACTCATGACTTATGTATAGAGGACACCCATGTGCGCGAGCTTATCCGGGAGTCTCTGCAAAAGATTCTCAACCTTGCCATCGAGTCGAGCAAGAACGTGCAGCAGAACAATGCCCAAAATGCTGTGCTCTTCGAGGCTATCAACCTTATTATCCACTTGGACACTGAGCAGGACCTGATGAAGCAGATTTCTTCTCGCCTTGGGCGCTTCATCCAAAGCCGAGAGACGAATGTTCGATACCTGGGGCTCGAAGCCATGACTCACCTTGCCGCGAGATCTGAGAATCTCATACCCATCAAGCAGCATCAGGACATTATCCTTAGCTCGCTCAAGGACCGTGATATCAGCGTCCGCAGAAAGGGTCTTGACCTCCTTTATAGCATGTGCGACTCCACAAATGCCCAGGTCGTAGTTGGCGAGCTTTTGCAGTTCCTTCAGAACGCAGACTTTGCCATCCGTGAGGAGATGGTACTTAAGATTGCCATTCTTACGGAAAAGTACGCCACTGACGTCCAGTGGTATGTCGATATATCCTTGCGACTGATCGCCATGGCTGGTGACCATGTCAGCGATGAAGTGTGGCAGCGGGTTATCCAGATTGTGACCAACAACGAGGAGCTCCAGGTTTATGCTGCCCAGACTGCGCTTCAGCATGTTAGGTCTGACCATTGCCACGAGACATTGGTCAAGATTGGCGCATATATTCTCGGAGAGTTTGGCCATCTCGTTGCGGATCAGCAGCGTTGCAGCCCCATTGAGCAATTTCTGGCTTTGCAGAGGAAGCTATCAGCATGTTCGTCAAGCACACGCGCCATGATTCTTTCCTGCTTCATCAAGTTTGTCAACTTGTTCCCCGAAATTAAGCCTCAGCTCGTTCACGTTTTCGAAATTTACAGCCATACGCTGGATTCCGAATTGCAGCAGAGAGCCTGTGAGTACCTGAAATTGGCCACGCTGCCAACAGATGACCTTCTTCGGACAATGTGCGACGAGATGCCTCCGTTCCCCGAGCGAGAGTCAGCATTGCTGTCTCGTCTGCATCAAAAGCACGCCAACACGAGCGACCGGAGGACATGGGTCGTTGGCGGCAAGTCTGCCAATACCGAGGCAGAGCTCAACATGGCTAAGCCTGGTGGTCTTAAGAGGACGTTTAGTTCTGCTGTCCCGCCCAACGGGAACAAGGCCAATGGTGTCAATGGAAGCCATGCCAATGGCGTCTCTGATTTGGCCGGGCTGGACATGAGCTCGCCAACAGGCGAACAAAAGCCTTTCAAGGCACCAAACCTAGCTAGCGCCGCACATCTTTCTCCCGGATGGGAGAAGGGCTTCAACAGGCTCTTGCTAAAGGCTGAGGGTGTCCTCTACGAGGATGGCCAGATTCAAATCGGTGTCCGGTCAGAGTATCGCGGACAGATGGCTTGCCTCATTGCGTATTTCAGAAACAAGAACCCGGGAACTATCACGTCCTTCACCACGACATTGGATTTGGACGAGAGTGAAAAGGGCAATCTCTCTTGGGACGTGAAGGGCCTCCCCGAGAGCATGCTTGCCCAAGGGTCCCAAAGTCAGCAGGTCATCATGTTTGAAGCAAAGAAGATCTTTGAAAAGAGCCCGACCATTCGTGTCAGTTACCTGGCCGGTGCGCTGCAAGCACTTACGCTGAAGCTCCCGGTAACCATTCACAAGTTTATGGACCCTGCAGAACTCTCTGCCGAAGACTTTTTCAAGCGCTGGAAGCAAATTGGCGGCGGTGCTCGAGAAGCGCAAGAAATCTTTGGTCTTTCTGGTAGTAGGAACGGCGCCAGGGAAATCACGGAGAGATTCGTGTCGGCAACGGTTGAGGGCTTCAGATGGCGCGTCCTTGATTTGGTTGACCCCAACCCCAAGAACGTTGTCGGTGCTAGCGTGCTTCATACTTCAGAGGGTGGCAAGTTTGGCTGTCTTATGCGGCTGGAGCCCAATTATTCCACGCAAGTAAGTTATTTTAACATTGTTTCCACTTTTTCTCATTGTGTTAAATCTCTTCGATATGATGTTTTGCAAAAATTAGTATTTGCTACTTCAGAACCTTCGGGTCATGAGACAAACTTTATTCACCTTTGCCCTGATCATCGTTTATTCTACCTTCTTGTTTATACACTTTGAATGGTCAGCGAAGTTTATGCGTTACTAACATGGTGATACTAAAGATGATTCGATTGACGGTCCGTGCCACCGATGAATCAGTTCCTCGGATCCTCGTCAAGCTCATGCAAGAAAGGCTCTCCGTCGGAGTGTCAACGCTGCCCGACAGACACGAACCTCCGACACGACAAGACATTTCTGATGCCTTTGGAAGTGTAATGGTCAACTAATTGTCATTACTACTTCTGCTACTATCCTCCCTTTTTTTATTTTTTATTTTTGAACCAACCGTATTTTCTTTTTTGAAATATGATTGGCAAATAACTACAACCACATGACTGACTAGGAAATGTCTTGACACGCATGGAAGCATATTGGGCGTTTTTGGGAGAGAAAGCATGATGGATGAGAAAAAAAATATCAAGTGCGTGGACGAGATATTTTCTTTTTTTAAGCCGGCGATAGGCGAGATTGAAGGCATACTCTTTCTTGGTTTTCTCTGTATGTAATTTAGTATTTTCTTGCTTTTCCTCCCCTATGAAAGCGGCTGTCCTTTTTTCTCTTCTTCTCTTTTATCAAACGAAAGTTGTAACATATGATGATGGCCATGAGAGGGGGGCGAGTAGGAGGATCCTGTTGTTGATACCACCTTTTATTACCATTATTTATTTTAGTTGTTGTTTGATTCGTTCAATTAACTGTTTGATCGTGACTAGTTGTCTAAATATGGCCATGAATCTACTTTCCAACATTGCCCGTTATGATCAGAATATACTGTGTGTATTCAAATTATATGTTTTTTTTTTTTTTTCCTTTTTTTTCTTCTGTTTTCTATGCCTACTCCTTTATCTTGGCATCCGACTTGGCTGGCCTCTGTCCAAAGATGGTGCTGCCAACCCTCACTTCACTGCTCCCCTGTGCAATAGCTCCTTCATAATCTTCGCTCATTCCCATGCTCAGCTCCAGGCTCTCGGGGCTCAGTCCAAGCTCCTTGGCCACCAAATCCCTCTGCTCTCTCAGAGCCTCAAAATCCTCATTCTCATTCTCTACAGTGGTGGCCTGGCTACGGGCGATGGCGCCAATGGTCATGAGGCCGAGGAGGTTGAGGCCCGGCAAGTTCTGAGCAATTTCACGACAGAGAGAGACGGTATCGGCACCGGGAGCGCAGCCGGACTTGGCCTCCTCGCCAGAGGTGTTGACCTGGACGTGGATGTTGAGCTTCGGAAGATCCGGATTGGCGGTGCGAGACGAGTTGAGGAGCTGGGCCTTCTTGAGGGAGTCGACGCTGGAGACGCAGAAGAGGTTCGGGATCTTGGCGAGGTTCTTGCAGTGGCCGGACTGGAGGCCGCCGATGAAGTGCCAGTCGATGGTCCGGGGCAGCAGCTCTGCTTTTTGGGATAATTCTTGGGCGTAGTTTTCGCCAAAGTGGGTGTGAGAAGCCGGTGATTTGTGGAGGGCGAGGATGTCGTTTGCTGGCTTTAGCTTCGAGACGGCGACGAGGCGGACCTTGAAGAGGGTGAGTTAGTTGAACGGGCTGGTTGCTGATCTCTCTCCATCTTTGGTTTTTCTCTCTATTATACCATGTACGGCTGAGCGTGTATGTATAAAAGATTTTATGTGAATGAATATATAGTGTAGAAGATATTGTATGGCGGTGACGAGCAATCAAAATCATCACATTCTAGTGCTTACGTTTCGGCCCTGAGCGGCTGTTGCGATGCGGTCCTTGACAGCGCTGAGTTGGGAGATGAGAGCCTGAGCTCTGGCGGGGTCGATGCGCATTTCTTCAGTGGCGTTTTCACTCATTTCTTAGTACTATAAGATTTCAAGAAATTTGACTTTTATTTTTTGGGTATGAGGTTTGCTTTTTTTGCGGTGACAAGTTGAAATGAATAAGTAGGCGAATGAGAGGGAGGGAGAGAGTGTGTGTGAGAGCTGAGAAGTGTGACTGAGATCGGCTTATCATCGGCTACACAGGGAGGTAGACTCTTGCTGTAGCGACTTGCCACTTGGACATTACAACGATACAAGGCCTCTGAAATATTGACGGAAGCGGGCTTCTCAATTCAATTGCATTTCGTAATCCAATAGAATTATCACAAGAGCCCGTATATTATAGACAAACATTGTGATTTTCTTTCCCGTCGCCTTTCCCTCTTATCTTGCGGTTACGCGAAGCCAGGGTGGATAAATTGGAGATGGCAACCGACGTCAAGCAGAGCGATAGCTCAAAGCCATCTAAAAAGCCGGCCGTCCAGCCCAAATCACAGCACACATCGGATGGATTTCTGCAAGACTTCCTAAACCCTTCTTTCGATCCAATCTCATACATCAACGCCAACCTGCCGCCTCTGGCGCAAAAATCACCCGTGCCCACCTCGAATCCCAATGCCGTGCCCCTTGCGGAGCTCGCCACGCAGTCCCAGGCGCTGCTAACACAGCTGGACGCCCACACAACCAGGCTTTCGGACACTTTGACGCAGATTACGGATGATATCCTCCGGAGCGGGAGCAGGATGTCGTACGAGGTGGAGATGATGCGAGGAGAGGCGCTGAGCTTGGAGGAGCTGCTGTTTGAGAAGCTGGCCGAGGAGATCAAGCTGTTCGTGCCGGGGGGGCTGAAGAAGGAGGGCGAAGCCAAGGAGGAGAGTGACAAGAAGCAAATTGAAGAAGAGAAGAAGAAAGAAAGAAAAGATTCGGTGGCAGAAAACGGGAGAGAATCGGAAGCCAAGGCAGCCTCAAAAGCCGAGGCCGAAGCGCATGGTGAGGCTGGAGTTGGAGGACAAGAGCCAGATTCTATCAAGCAACTACGCACACTCACGCTTGTACGCGAACGCCTGGATTCCGTCATCAAGACATTCGGCGATGCCATGGAATTCACCTTTCCGCCTTCAGAAGTGTCCGTCAGTTCTGGATTCTTATCTGTATCCGCACCAGAGCCTGGGTCGGAGCTGCAGAGCTCGGAGGAGAAGGGCCAACAAGTCCTGAAGAAGCTGCGAGAGGAGATTTCAACTCTACTAAACAACAGAGACGATCCCGTTTCAGGCATTGAGAAGGCTGCTGAGAGGATCGAGCGGCTCAAGGAGCTTACTACCGTGTGGACGGGCACTGCCGAGGAGAAGGGCAGAACGAAGTTCATCGAGAGTCTGGCCAAGATGGTGGAGGACAGACACCGTGAGCTGCTAAAGGAGATTGACGTGAAGAAGAACGAGGCTATCCTAACGAGGGGTGAGACTAGTGGTGGCATGGCAGCAAGAGATGCCGTTGCGACAGAAGAGGCAAAGGCATTGCCTGCTGGATTTGGGCTGATGAGCCAGCTGCAGAAGCTTCGCGGCGGATTGTGAGGAAATAAACCTTTTTATTTCTCTCTTGTTATGGATACACTGGGGATATTATCTGATCATGCTGCAAAAAACAATACCGCTTTACAGAGCTTATGTTACAACGGGCCGAACGAGATGAGAGATGAGATGAGACAAGATGAATAATGAATAACAAATTGGCCACTCACACGCCGTCAGTCAACCTAACACGGTATTACAGTCTGCCACCCACCCACATCTTCTTCATGTCTTGCTGCTATATTATTTTGTATTTATGTATATACTTCGTTTCTCGCAGCTCAAAAGGCAGCCTTGTGGTTTGAGAGGCTGTATTAGAAGGCTGTACTAGCAGCTCAACGCCGTTTCGGCTATGACGCACGCCGGGAATGGCAATGAGAAAGCCAAAGTACTTCCATATGAGGCATAGCGCCCATTAGACGTGCAGTCGCGAGTACACGTACTGCTAGCCGGCGGGTACTCAAGCTGTACAGAGTACCTCATTCTGTAGTATAACATAGTGAGTTTTTAAGGTACAAGCAACTGCAGGCATACGGTATACTCCTCAAACGCCTCTTTCTGTCGGCTCAAACGGGCCAATCACAGATCGTTTGTAACTGAGAACAGCCGCTAGATCGGCGGGCGGTGAAGCTGCCCGAAATGGCATGCAAGTGTGCTGGAAAGAGAAACCGAGCTGAGCAGGTCACGCAGCAGAATGACAGAGGCTTGGAAGGCGACAAATCACGCAGGATGCGGTGGCAGAGGCGGCTCGTGTAGAGGCGAAAGAAATAATAAATGATTTTTATGAAGCAAGTAAATTAAATTCCATGCTTATTTGGCTATTATTAGCAGTTTCCACCAGCCAGGGCTTTATTTTACTTTTCCTCGCCTTGTGTTAAGCTCAGTTGCCGCTGAACTTGGCTGTGACTTTGAGCTAACAAAAAAAATAAAGCGGCAGAAAAGTGACCTGAGTCGCCCACACCACTCACTAATACCCGTAATACACCACCCCCAGACTTAGACGCAAGTCCCTGCTAGCCAGGCTTTTGCTCCGAAACCTCCAAACAGCCAGCATCCAACGTCGACTTGCAGACGCACCGCTGACCATTCCGCTCTCCGCTGCTCGCTGCCGAGCTGTCCTTGCTTTGTCTTCTCCGTGCTGCGTCTTGGAAAAACAGTCTTGCAGCAGAAAACGCCAAAAAATTCATCTTCATCGTCCTTACACCACCAGTCTCTCTCGCTCCCTGATCCCGCAATGGAGGCGAGCGAAGGAGTCGCCTCCGCCGTGGGCGTCAAGCTGGACCGCCGCTCACCGGCCGCAGCCTCCCAATCCAAGCGTGACCGCAAGCGACAGGCCCTCATTGAGCGCCTGTCGGTCATGAACGACAAGCTGCAGCGCGACCGAGACCTCACCTACCGCGACCAGCTGCAGAAAATCCAGTACGAGGTCGGCCTTGTGCAGCGCTTCGACCCGTACGCCCCCAACGCCCTCGAGAAGGCGGCCGAGCTGCTCCAGGAACACAGACAGGCCCAGGGGCCGCCGGTACATGCCGATGGCGCCCGGAGCCTCATGGACATGGCGGGAATCCGCTTCCCGGACTTCATTGACGAGGTGGAGGATCTGATTGAGATCCGCGACTTCCAGCTTGTACAGTCCAAGGTAAGAAAAGAATAAGGAAGAGCCCATAGAGAGAGAGAGGGGAGAGAGAGGTAGAAGACGAAAGGAGATACAACACACTTTCACTTACTTCCTCTTTTTTTTTTTTCGTCATTTTGTCAAGGTCTGCATGGTGGCGTCACTTATAAGCTGGCTAACACATGCCGTGTTTTAAACAGAACGAATATGAACGAAAGGTACAAGAATACAAGAACACGCACGCGTACAAGGTCGAGACGGCCAAACGAGAGCATCGAGCTCTGACTGAGACGCTCCGCGACCGGCTGATCAACAGCCTCACACAAAAGAAGAACCGTCTGAACAGAGAAAAAGAAGTGCTGGAGATCAACGACTCCAATGCCCTGCTGCTCAATCCAAATCAATTCAGCCTGACCAACCCCGCTAGCCCCGGTGGTGCCCATGGCAAGCGTGCGACTCGGCTGCGCAAAGATGCCGAAGATCTCCAGGTCTTCCCCGACGGCAAGAAGCGCAAGCGCAACCAGGGCGAAGATGATGGATCACCGGTGCCCTCGCGCCGGGCCCTGGATCCCAACAGCACGACTCCCCTATGGCAATCGGAAAAGGCCCGCGCCGCCGCCAAGCAGAACGGCCCCGTTTACAGCATCGACAAGCTCTTTACAGACAAGGAGCTGTCTCTACATTACAACACGGCTGCCCTCGCTGCTCACCAGTACGTGCTGCGCAACCGTGGCAACGGCAACGCCTCGTCTCCGGATGACAGCGAATTCGGCAATGGCGACAGCAACGACAATGACAAGGATGACGCCGACTCTCAGCCGTCTGCTGCCCCCATGATGGAGCGACAGGTCTCGCATGCAACTCGCAGCACTAGGGGTGGAGCGAACCAGAACTTCCTGGATGACAAGATTCTGGGCATCGAGGGTATCGCCAACTTTGAGATCCCAGCCAACCTGGACTTGATGCATGCCCAAGAGCCGCCCAAGATGCCGCCGCCGGTTCCCCAGCAGTACCTCAAGCCATATCCCAGATCTGCTGATCAGAACTTCCCCGTTCCCCTGTCACAAGATGACATTGCCTCGGATCTTTCTGTCATGGGCCTATTCAAGCAGTATGACCAAACACATAAGCCTGGAGCTCACCTTGATGCGTCCAGTGGCTTGCGCAAGATTCTTGAGGCCGTAGCCGTGCCCTATCACCAGGGCCGATATGTCGCTTTTACGAGCGCTGCTCGTGATGATCCAGAGAATCTCCGTGACGCTCTTGGCATCCCCTCCAGCAACATTCGCGATCAGCCAAGCCCGATCCACCAAAGCCTCTCCTTGGCAGCCCTATCGGCGGCCGCAGCAGCCCCGATGAGCCGACAGAGCAGCCAGACCGGTGGTGTGGCTATGAGCCGCCAAGGAACCAGCGGTAGCGGCCGTGGAAAGGGTCGTCGAGGTTGAAATCAATCAACCCAAAGTGTTTAACTGGTTATGAGTTTGGCTACGCAATGCACACGCTGTCTTTGAGCAAGAGACAAACAGAAGTCTCATCATTATAAAAAGCGACGACAAAAAAAGGAAAAGGTCGAGTACAGGAATATATGCATTTCACGGCATGGCGAAGCGACGGCTGGCGTCCCGGTTTTCTCTCTTATAAGCTCATTCTCTCCTCTATATCTACCTATCCACCGGAAGGGGGGGAGGGAAGAATGGCTTTTCATTTATTATTTTTCTTTCTTACATTCCTTCGACTCCAACCTATTTTCATGTCAGAGTTAACACTCTAAATTTTTTTTCTTCTTCTTCTTCTCCTTTTCTCCATTTTATTTCTCTTTTCTTTTCTTTTGTTAGTTACCGCGCTATGTTGTTTGTTCTACTTGGATTTTGTGGCTTGGTATTCCCCTAGCTGCTTTCGATATCAGCCATGAGGTGGTATCTGGATTTCTTTGTTTCTTCCTTCCTTCTATGGTTTCTAGTTATATACGCAAATGGTTCTGTTTTCCAGGTCTTCCTTTTCTTTTTTCTTTTTTTCTCCCGTCTCTCCTTATGGCGATAGTAGGGAGATAGCCCAGATATTGGATTGACTGTTGCTATCATGGTGATGACTAGACCGGGCTTGGGTGGGCCTGGGCCAGACAAAAAAGGGGGGGGCAAGACTTTGAGTTGATGCTTTGATTTCCTTTTTTTTTTTTGGCAAGCTATGTTTGGGTTTGGACAGCTTTGGCGGAATGCTGCTGCTGCTGCTGCTGCTGCTGCTGCTTTATTGCCGGCAAGCATGTTGTTCTTACATAGCACTAATGCAGGAGACACACAGATAGATGTGTTTTGAAAATTGAAATGATTGTTCTTGTTCATTATACAAATCGTATCTCACCCTATTTCAACGCTAGCTAAAAAGAAGACTATCCCACAAAGCAAGTAAACATGCCAACATCCTCTACCATGCAGTTTGTTACATTATTTGCACACCCCTATAAAATCAGGCATAGGCGCCGGTTTATGCATCCCAAAGCTAAATTTCCCCAACAAGGCCGGGCAGTTTTTTTTTTTTCTTTTTCTTTTTCTTGTAATTGTCTTTCCTTAGTTACCAAAGACCAAGGCTCGGACTTCAATGCTCTCTCGTCCCTCGGCATCAGGCCTCGTCCTGGGATCAACAAAAGCAGTGTGAGGCGTCCGCCCACCAATCTTGGAGCCAGGCTTCAGAGAATCGCTGTCGAAGCACTCAATCAGGAGACGCTCATCGGGAGTCATGCCGCTGAAGTAGTAGAACTTCTGGTTGGGGTTGTAGTTGACGGCGGCCGTCTCGCCATTGTAGCCATCGGCGTAGCGGTGCGAGATGGGAGTGACGTCCTTCTCGTCGAGCGTGGCCGAAGCCGCCAGGGCGAGGGGCGTGGCCTCGATAGGACCCTTGTTCAGGCTTCGCCACACATTGACGATGCGGTAGCGGCGCTTGAGCAGCTCGTCGGCCTCGTCGGGGAAGTAGCGGCGCACGCGCTTCTCCGTCGACGCGGCGGTCTGGTCAATGTGGACGCGCAGGACGGGCGAGCGGTGGGCGTCTGGGTCGGAGCGGCGGATGGTGTGGTCAAAGATGTAGACCTTGTCGGCGCCGGGGATCTTGTCCAGCAGCAGGCGCTCGACCTCTGGGTAGTAGTTCTTCTTGATGGAGTCCTCGTCGACGAAGTCCGGCTCTGCGGAGGGCGGCACGCCCTGGACGAGCTCAAAGGCGTCGCGGTCGACGTTGAAGTCGGACTCGCGGCCGCGGACGTCGTGGATGACGACGTCGTGGAAGTCGTCGCCGTAGTTGCGGCGGGCGAGTTCCGGGGCGTGGCCGTCGCCGACGAGGTTGAAGGGGACCTCGCCGTCGGAGGGGGCCGTGAAGAAGTTGAGGTTTGCGGTGACGTCGCCGCGGGGGACTGTGGAGATGACGGCCATTGTTTGGTTGTGAGTTGTGTGTAGTGTGTTTATGTTTTTGTTCTTAAGATTGATTAACGTTATTCTTTTGCTGTCTTGTTGAAGCTCTTATTTGATCTTCTTCTTGTTCGAATGGCGGTGTATAGAGCAGTGTTATTATATAGGTGGTATATTGCTTTCTTCAAAAAGCTGCGCTGAGATGAGATGAGATAGATTGACATGGACAAAAACGAACTCCAGCTTCCCCTCCCCGCGATATATATATACTACTGGCTACATCGCCATATCGATCCAAACGGCCGCAGCTCTTTTTCGATTTCAAATCCACCCGCATCACGCCCGGCGCTGCGACGCCGAAGTGGCTCGACTCTGGACGTCGTAGCTGTGAGCACGTCACAGCGCCGCGCAGCTATTCGCCCAAAGTCATTTGTAAGGCGTGGCTGCTTACCCAAGCAGTGCTGCCGCAATAGGGACGGTTTTCCTGATGGGGCAGCGCTTCAAAGAGGTTTGCGGGTTGCGTAAACTAGGCGCTCTAGCGTGAGGTCGAGATGGTGCAATGTATGCGAGATCCATTTTTTCCCTTCTTTTCTCTGCAGTTGCCGGATTTAGCCGCGCTTTTCCTCTGCTGCTGCATGGGAGACGGGAAAGCCTAATGTTACGTTTAGTAATGATAGGTCCTTTTGATGGGGTTTAACCTCGGGAAGATTGGTGGTTGAAGGGGAAATGCGTTCCTGCTTGTAGGGGATAATTCCAAAGAGGGATCGGCTGCCCATGTGCTACTTTGTAATGGGCATGAGTCTTGGTTGTACACATTCACGAAACATCTACTCTTCGACCTTGCTTCCATTGTTCAAACTCTTATTCTCTCATTCATGCCGGCCGGGTCCGAGAAGAGAGATTTTGTGAATTTGCGTTATTCTTCTTTCCAGGCCCAAGAGCGTTGTTGTGAACATAAGCACTGGTTCATCAGAATCCTTCGGCACTTGGCATCAAGATACAGGGTAGCAGCCGGCCATTCCTTGATGTAGGTACTCGAGATATTATTCACACTGACGGAATCTCCCACATTACTGGATGTAGGTATAAGCTGTTGCATCTACCCGCAGCTACGTACTACTGCTATCTGCGTAATTGACGTCATCGCCGATAGCCGACTAAGCACCTTAGTAGATACTAAGGCAGAGCTTCTTTTTCTAATTTCCGTGATTTGTCCCAAGGCATGCACACAGACACACACCTACATCTATGCATGGCTCACTGTATCTAATCTCCAAGCTGGTTCTCTCGTTTCCACCTTGCTATCTGGCGGGGACAGAAGCGAAGCTAAGCGATAAGAAAAAAAAAAAAGAACAGAACATGGGGACCCCTAAAGGGGAATAGGAGATGCTCCTCGAAATCCTCGGCACTTCTTCTCATTGCTGCATGGGCTGCTTTGATTTCGGCGATTTTTCCTCGCCCATTACTAAGGGGCTGTCTTCTGGTGGCCGAGGAAATAATATTAAAAAATTGCGACCCACCCTTTTCTCTCGCCCTTGTGCCGCCAGGCCATACATTCGCCAAGCCACGAAACAAAGATCGCTTGTGGACAGATTAGCAGCAATTTTGGCCCCGCCGGCCCAAGGCTCTAGTTGGTGGGTGCAACGTGCGGAAAGGCCGCGGCTCGCACATACTGCGGCAGCAGAGCAGTTCTGACGACGAGTGTTACTTTATGTTACTACTAGTATGTACAGTAGAGCAGAGCCTGTCCCGCCCCCAGGGGCCGCAGATAGTGCCAAAGGTAAGCACGCACAGAAGCGGCGCGCACCGCGGACATCAGCCCGCCGTCGACCAGATCCTGCCGCAGTCCCTTGCCTGGAAACATGCTCCAATGCCATCGCTAATGCGCCCACCCCGTCAAGCCCTACCGCGCCTCCAGCCTGGTCGTCGCAGCACCAAACGTGGCTATATTTAGCCCGTGCACTGTTGGCGGCGGCTCGCTGCTCCGCCAATGATCTTGGGCCACGGCCGCAAGGCGACTAGCGAGCGACGCAGTTCCAGCTCCAGTTCCAGTTGCAGCTCCAGCTCCATTAGCGGGCCGCGCTGCTCCTCGTCTCGGGACGTCATGTTTGCCCTCTGGCTCATGCTCTTTGACCCTTGGAACTGATCCAATGCTCGTCTCGAGAACCGCCCGGTAGAGACTCCCTCCTCTCTCTCTGGCTCGACTGCCACTTCAGCCGCCGCGTGTCTTTCTCCTTGTGCGAGCGAACCCCTGTTCTGTTGCGTCACTGATCCTTTGCGGCTGGCGAGTTGTGCATATTCAACTCTCCCTATGTTCTAGCGCCTGGCTCTCACCAAGCAGCGAACCGGCGGCGCGTCTCCGAAACGCGGACAGGGAGAGACAGAAGAAAGGAAGAGCAGCAGGCGAGGGAGGGAATGACCGACCTACCGACCGATTGATTGATTGATTGATTCGGTTGATTGACCGTGTGAGCGATACGCATACAGACCTAGAACCGGCAAGACGGCGCAACAAAGACATGAAAGCCCATCACGGCGATTTGCAAACATGTCCTCACCGCAAGCCATGGCGACGACGCTGCAGACGGGTGGCGGCAGCTTCACCGTCGCAAACCCGCGCCAAACCACCCTGCCGCCCGCATTGCCCGATCGCAACGTGACGGCCGACACCATCGAGGACGCCTACGTGCGCTTCATCTTCTACTGCAATCCTGCGCTGCCGCCAGACGCAGACACCAACAGCCTGCGAGAGGCCTTTGCGAACCCGCCCAAGAGCGGCGGCAAGAGCTTCAGCCCCTTTGTCATCTTCGAGCTGGTGCGGCGCTTCTACCGCAGGGAGATTAAGACATGGACCGAATTGACCATTACGCTGGGCGTTGAGCCGCCGGATTTGTCCAAGGACGAGAGCGTACAAAAGATTGCCCAGTACGGCGTCCGTTTGAAGGCATGTGCTTACACTTGCTTGCTATTTTCATAGACTATATGGATGGTCTTCGCTAATTCAATCTAATTAGAAATGGATGAACTCGATGCATGTCAAGGCCTTTTTCGAGTATCTAATGGATATCCAGAATGACTATTGGACCAGCATCCCAGATGATCCAGACCCTACCAGCCGGCCTGTTCGTGACGGCGTGGCCATCGAAGACGACATGGCCCTGAGGGCTCTTTTGCCTCACATTCGCCCCAAACGAGGTCGCCGAAGGCCAGACGCCGATGATGTCGCCGGCTCTCCGGCGGCCCAGCGGCCGCGCTTATCCCCCCCGTCGGCAATTGATGGCCATCGGGGATCGTGGTCCGCCCATCCAGATGCCCGAGGCCATGGCCTGCCGATGGATCCTTCCAGGCCGGGCGCTATGGCTGCTTGGAGCTCCAACGACACCGTGCAGACTCCGCTGTCCCGATATCCCAACTCTGCCATAACGCCTTCGACCAGGAGCTCGTTCTGGGACGATGCGCTGGAACCTCGTTCTGCCATCACTCCGTCTAAGCCCAAGCTTTCTGCCCAACGGCGAGGCCCCAAGAATGTATCTTCGGCATGGAAACCACAAGGAGCTGACAGCAGTGTAAAGTTACGAGGAAGGCCCCCGATTCATCGCGCGCCCGTCGAGCCCCCTGCCAACCCTCTCAACCCTCCCCACCCTTCGAACCCTTCCCCTATGACATCGTGGGCTCCGACTCCCGATAGCAACCTGTCCGATCCTCCTCCTGTTCCCATGGCTCCTAAAGACCCCATACCGATGGTGCCTGATCCAGCTCAGATGCATCCGCAGATTCGTAATCAAGTCTCACCATATGCGCCAGCAGATACGGCTGCACCGGTGCTGTCGGCGCATGCACAAGCGCAGGCACAGGCGCAAGTACGTATTATCACTCCCTCTGCGCCTCCTGGCCTCCTAACCTCCGGTATGGGTGTCAATCCTCTCGACGCTGGCGCTAGACCTGCTCGGCCCAGCATATCTTTGCAAGTCCCTGAACGACAAGGAGGCACAGTTCGACTCGCGACGCCCCCGCTGCCGCCACCGCTACCGCCACCAATTCCAATGGTACCGATGAATGGACAGCCAGCAAACGATATTCCAACACTGCTAGGTGCTGGTCAAGGACCACCACCACCACCACCACCTCCACCTCCTCCCCCACCTCCACCATTGTCACAGAGGCCGCAGGCTAATGGCTGGGATCCGTTCTCACAGCCGTCTGCGGCGAGAGTAAATGACACAAATACCGCTCCGGCCTCTGCCGAGCCTACAAGCCAGGCTGGCCCAACCAAGGATGTGCCACAATATTTCTTTGAAAATTTGGACGACCGGACCAACCTCGACGGGCTAATATCCTATTTCACCCATGTCCTGCACAATTCTGACTGGGTAGACCCTCAGGGGAACCAACAAGAGATAGCAGGGCTAGACGAGTGTACCGCCATGGTCAATGCCACGATCGAGCACATGTACAGAAATGCCGAATCCTCCCAAGCCTTTCTGATCAACTTGGCAGCATTGTGCGGCGCCAAGATGCTCATGTCGAATCGCCCGAGATGCTACCGAGTCGAGACCTCGGAGGGCGTTTACAGCTACTACTTTGATTGGCAATATCGTTTTGGCCCCCTCAAGGGACAATTCACCATGACTCATAGCGTGCCAGTCACGATGTGGAAAAAGCCTGGGCCGGGAGAGCGGAGTGAGGCGTCGCAGCAAGAAGAGGGCCTGACAGCGCAGCAGTGGCAGGCCAAGTACGGCGCTCTCATGGACGAGATTGAGAAGCGTGACCAGGAACTGTATGATATGCAGAACAAGGTGATTTCAGCGATGAAAGGAGATCCCATTTGAGAACGAGTACAAAAAGATACCTATTTGCTTTCTGCTTTCTTGCTTTTTGTCTTTCTTTTATATAATTTTGAATATCTCCATATCCTCTTTGAATGCGCCGGGAGGGAAGGGAAACAACGCTTTGGGTATTAAGAGTTTTTGGGGATTAGCCACTAAGGTATACACTTGGAGTACATACTCGGACACTATGACTGGCCACGACACTGCATATATCGGAAGGATGGAGTTTGATCACTGCATATGAGCGTGGGAAAATATATATGGGACGCATTGAGCATGCCGAGAGACTTGCAGGCTCTCGTTATGCGGAAGCATCGTGCCGGGGACTACCTATAGGTATTTTGGTCGTGTCTGATACTTACCTACATGTATTAGGTAACTCTTTATAATAATATGCTCCGCCTGCTCAGGCGTCTACAGTAGGTAGTTATAAGTATGTTGAATGCTGTGTCACCCCAGCGTTCTACTATAATTGGAGCAGAGAGGGGAAAATCATTAGTAATATAATTCTTTTGCTGCCAACTTATGCCAAGAAGTGGATGATAACACTGAGTACAGTAATGGATTATCTGATCTGATGCATGTACTTTAGATAATCTTCCCGTCACTACTCCTCTGCGCGGAGTGGACGAAGAATTCAAGAAACGCGACTTACAAAGTTCAAGGTCCATTTTACTTGCGCAAATTAGTAGTACCAACCGACTATCTATATTTAATAGTGGTTTGGAAAACTAACAAAGCATCTTCGTTGGTTGGTATGTAGATCATCTCTGTAATCAAAGAGTTGCGTCTCGGGATATAGTTTTAAAAATAGAGCAGGCACTCTTCACAGGCTCACTCTCATACCTCTTCCTTTTTTCTCTTTCTCATTCAACTCGTTTATTCTCTTATTGGTAGATGTCTGTACAAGCACCACAGTACTATGTATTGAGAGCCAAGAGCACCAAATACAGGATACAACGGGTTAATACGAGATATGTGTACAACCACCATGTAGATGCCACTATCCGTGACGGAGGGGCGGCAACACCTGGTCCTTGGAGATCGGGGCCCCGGCTTTTGTCTGCTGGGTCTGGGCCTTGATCCCCCGGGCCTGAGAAGACGGGAGCCGGGTCTGAACGGCGCCTGTATGTCGCCGCGGCCGCCGTCATATTAAGGGCGCCTTCAACATCTGGCAGAGTTGTGCTATTAACTAGTACTAGGTACATATTAACCTTGTTCTCTTAGCGGTCTGGCCATGGCAGTTGCGGCTTACTGTGTATACCTGGTAGTTGCTTTCAATGCCGGCGTCTCGTCTACTTGATGCCTTTTCAGTGCCCAAGGCAAGTAAGCAGCAGATCCTACGGGCAGCCAGCCAGCACTAATACCCGTTTATAGCGAGTGCCGTACAGTGCGCAGCGCGAAAGCTGGGGGCGCAACGCCAACCAGACGCTGTGAGTGGCTGCCACAGGGCCATTCTGCGGGTTGCTAGCGTCTCCTTCGCAGCGAGGCCAGCTTCTGTCTGTGGAGAAGTGCGACTCAAACGCAGCCCCCGCAAAAAAAGCTCAATGTTACGCACTGGGGAATTCTTCTGACTTCCGTCTAGGTAGGTATGTTCTTTGAGTGGCATTTCCGCCCACTGTGTGTGTTTCTTCTGAGACTTGTTGCCACCGCCTTGCCATGGTCGGGCTGTCAGGTACCTGGTTCGTTCGATGGACGGCTGTCGCGTGCTGGGCGTCGCTCTCCCACGTGCATTGGCGGAGTCTATTGTTCTCTCTTTTCTTCTTTTTTTCGGGAACGCCGAGAAATAAAGACGCCTCTATTCCCATTTGAACCAACTTTGTTCAGGCATGACGGACGCATTCTCTTACCTTTGCTGCAAGCGACTTTTGCTAGCGAAACATGGGGGAAGAGCGAAAAAGGGATAGAAAATGTCTCTCTCCAGGATCTCGCATGGCATGGCATGGAGCAGAGGAGCGACAGAGTGAGATTTGAGGCGTGTTTGTGTGTGCGTGCCATTGTTTGCGCATTGATTCGCCCAATCCTTCGACTTTCTGCTCGCTCAGGGCCGACAGGACAGTGCTGAAAAGGCCTCGCCCACCCCTGCTAGCGAACCCCATGGAGCCATCCCCCCAGGGCATCCCAGCTTTTCCCCCAGTTCTGGTGGCTAGCACGGAGCCGGCAGTGTTACTATTACGATACTATCAACTCGCTTCCGCCTTTTGCTCGAAGCCTCACCGTGTGTGCAACGCAACGCTAGCACGTCTGAAGAGCTGCCGGGGGCCTTCCTTACTCGTTTCTGGATTACCACTGACTGGGTGCTTTGGTGGTTTATTTTCGCCTCCCGGGCCGCGCTCTCTCTCTTTTCGCCCTGCCGGCTCACATGCTTCCTTTTGCTCTGTTCGCCCTGGCGCCATTGCTCAAACCACCGGATCATCGTTGCGTGCCGGTGGCCCTGCACGACGGAGTTCCTCTTCTTGCCTCTTCTTCGAGTGCGCAGATTGCCTTCATCATCACCATCCTCTTCTCCTCTGTTTCTGGTTCCTGCTTACTCTGCCCAGAACAGGGCGCTCCACTGGATTGCTGGGCCCTTTTCTCTATTTTTTCTGCTCCTCTTCTCCACGGCCAAGCAGCGAAGCGGCCCGGTGGACCAAACCGGCTTCTCGACTCCCGCGCAAAGAGCGAGGCGTGGCCATCAGAACTTGGATCCGAACTAGCTCGCGGTGCCTTTTTCTTCCCTTTTCCTCTGGTCTCTCGCATCTCGCGTTGTTTCCTCCCTCTGCGCCTGGATTTGCCCGCCTCTCTCGTCCCCTTCTTTGCTTAGACACCACCCCGGACCGGCCTGCCATCTGCGCTGCACGCACTATTGCGACGTATCCGCTCTCGTCTCCGCCCAGCCGTGCAATCGCAGAAGCACGAAGGCGAGATTGCCAGAGGGGGATCGGGACGGATCCCCACATCTGTTGTGCGTGGTTGACGCTTCCCCGGATTTGCTCGTCGTCGGCGTCGGTGCCGCTCAACCACCGCCATGTCATCGTCGTCGTCGTCGCAGAGTCGGGTCGACGAGATCACCATGTATGTCCCCTTCTTATGTACATCATTCTCCTTTCGTTGCATTTGCCACTGCATCTGCGGCTGTCTTTTCCCTTGGCTTGAAACACACGTGCGGTGTCAGACATGTCTCGTGCCTCGTCGCCATCATCGCTACCTGCCGCTGATACTGGAGCCAGAGCCAACGCCGCTGCTGAAGCTGACCGTATCCGCCATAGAGCCTCCAACGAGTACCATGTCTCGTCGTCCTTCTCAGCCGAGTCTGCGGACCGCTCGAAAGCGCGGAGCAGCATAAACTTCAATGCCAACACGGAAGCAAAGTGAGTTCACCCGCCCATTGTTCTGCTCCACCACGTGGTGAGCCCCTCCATTCTTCATCCCGGAGCCCGTCTAATTTGTCCCTCTCCCGTCTCCCCGTGTCTTAGAATCAAAAACCCACTCATCGGCATCCCGCGACGAACTCTACTCAACGATGTCGACGACTTCTGCCGCACAAAGTCCCTGGAGGACTATCGCTCCATCATCCGCAAGGGCGCGCTTGTTGCCCAGGACCCTACTGGCTACGAAGACATCACCGGCTCCGAGGCCCTGAGCCCGCAAGAGGTTGAAGCTCTCCGCAACGAGGTGCTGCACAAGTGGCGCATCCCCTGGACGTTGTTCCTGACCGTCGTTACGTGCTCCATCGGCGCCGCCGTGCAGGGCTGGGACCAGACCGGGTCAAACGGTGCAAACCTTGCCTTTCCTCGTGCGTATGGCATAGACTCCGACAGCATCCATGACAAGCTCATCGTCGGCCTCGTCAATGCGGCGCCCTACATCGGGACATCGCTTGTCGGCTGCTGGCTGTCGGATCCCTTGAACTATCACTTTGGGCGCCGCGGGGCTATTTTCGCGTCTGCCAACTTTTGTCTTTGGCCCGTCCTGGGGAGTGCCTTTTGCAATACGTGGCCTAGGCTCTTGATATGCCGTCTGCTTATGGGCGTTGGGATGGGCGCAAAGGCATCTACCGGTAAGTTTGACTTATGATTCCTCTTTTTACATGTACCGGGCAGCTTTTGAGATGCTAACTTGGTTTCGATAAATAGTGCCCATCTTTGCTGCAGAAAACTCACCAGCCCCCATTCGAGGCGCGCTCGTCATGAGCTGGCAGCTGTGGAATGCATTTGGAATCTTTCTCGGGACATGCGCTAACCTCGCAGTCATGGGAATTGGTGCAGAGGCATGGAGATACCAATTGGGCTCAGCTTTCATCCCGGCTGTGCCACTCGTATGCCTCATCTACTTTTGCCCCGAGTCGCCGCGATGGTACATCAAGAAGAACCGGTACAGGGATGCCATGCGATCTTTGCTCCGCCTTCGAAACAATCCTATCCAGGCCGGCCGCGATATCTACTACATACACGTTCAGCTCGAAGTGGAGGCTGAGTTTATGGGCTCTGGCAACTATGTCAAGCGATTCATAGAACTCTTTACCCTGCCCCGAGTTCGCCGCGCGACTCTGGCGGCTTTTACAGTCATGATTGCGCAGCAGATGTGCGGTATTAACATTATTGCTTTTTACTCATCTACTGTCTTTCTAGATGCTGGAGCGAGCCAAACCGGATCCCTTTGGGCATCCTGGGGTTTTGGCCTAGTTAACTTCTTGTTCGCCTTTCCTGCCGTGTGGACGATTGACACCTTTGGCCGGCGATCTCTACTCCTTTTCACCTTTCCGCAGATGGCATGGACGCTGCTGGCTGCAGGTCTCTGCAATCTGATACCCGGGAAAGATGGACCTCACCTGGGTTTTGTTGCCATGTTTATTTATTTGTTCGCAGCCTTTTACTCGCCAGGCGAAGGCCCCGTCCCGTTTACGTACTCAGCCGAAGTGTTTCCTCTGTCGCACCGTGAGGTGGGCATGGCGTTTGCGGTAGCGACCTGTCTGTTCTGGGCGGCCGTGCTGTCCATCACGTTTCCCTTGATGCTTGCTAGGCTGGGTGTCACAGGCTCATTCGGGTTATATGCGCTCTTCAACGTCATGGCCTTGGTTATGATTTTTCTCTGGCTTCCGGAGACGAAGCAGCGGACGTTGGAGGAGCTGGACTACATTTTTGCCGTGCCCTCGCGAGTCTTCATGAAGTATCAGGTGACCAAGACATTACCGTGGTGGATTAAGCGATGGATCTTGCTTCGGAAGGACGCGACACTTGAGCCTTTGTACACGCTGGATGTGGCTGAGCATCACGACTCGGAGGACGGCGAGGATCAGTTTGAGAACGACAAGGCCAAGGTCGAGTTGAAAGACATTGTTGGCTTTACGCCGGTGACTGTAAACCCCAGGCCGCCTTCATCGGAAGCAGTTTGATTTTGGATATATTTTCTGTCTTCTTTTTTTTTTGCTTCTTTTTGCTTCTTTTCTCTCTCTTTTGGATTTCCCCCTTGATTTTTTTTCTTCTTCATTTTGGATGGCGTTTTTCGCTGGGAATTATTTTGGGCGTTGATTTGCTGGAATCATTGATTAGCGGGCGTGTGTTTCATTTCTAAACCTCATGATACCACGGAAGAAAGACGGGATGGGAACGAATTTATGGCGCATGCTGGAAGCGATACCCCAAGTTCTCTGCTTTGATTTTCCTTTTTTCTTTTTTCTTTATTTCTTTTTTTTTTTTTTTTTTTTTTTTTTTTTTTTTTTTTTTTTTTTTTTTTTTTTTTTTTTTTTTTTCCCGTTCTACCTTATTTAACTGATGCTGAGCCAATTTTTTTTATTGAGCTGGGCGTTGTTGCTACTGGACCGCATTTTCTCTCTTGGTTTTTCATACTATCAGCGTTATGAACTGGGAGACAGAGAGAGAGAGAGAGACAGATGGGAGGGTGGCTTTTGTGGATAAAGATGTTGACGATCTGCAATACACATGATTGTGCAGAGAGGATATTAAATAAGCTTAGTATATAATATAATATATGTATACATGTGTACATGAAGCATGACAAGCTCTTATCACTACTATACAGTTCTATGTGAATTTTCTTTTCTTTCTTAATCGTATCAGAATTCCCAGCAAATGGGCCTCCATGCGTTCCCAAGAAAGGAAAGCTATGCGAAGCCCACTCAATCTACTGCATCTGAGCTTCTCCGCAAGAGGCCCCACGATGATTCGACGATAACGACGGCACAATCGATCAATGACGGGAGACGATCTGTAGCTTTTAGCCTTATCTAGCTGCGAAGAATAGATAGAATGGTTGCAATCCGTGCATTGCTGCATAGATAGATCGCGGGTGGAGCTGAGATGAGTTTGGAGACGTCGACGTCACTGGCCCCACTGCAGCAGCTCTCGATGATATCTTGAAGATGGCTTGAAGATGCGTGAATTCCATGGAGTTGAAGAATGTCTGGAGATCTTTCAGGCATTATTGCTTGGTCGAGGGTAAATGCATGGCCTGGTCTACAATGAGTTGGCAGCGGGATGATATCATGGCGGACTTGCAGATGTAAATGGCACGGGGAACAGCCTCGGTAAGCTCCTCATTTTGGGGGGAGGGGAATCCCCGGAACTGAGTCCATATGAGTTTGGTGTCTATTTTTGTTTACATTACGCTGATATGCAGTGTGTATGACCTGTATGCGAATACCAAGCTTCTGATCGGCAGTCAAGGGTTCAAGAAGGGAGGGGTATTTGCTTTTAGTATTTTCTGACGGGCGGGCGACGATCTTTTTCCTTGTGCGAGCGGCGATCGGGAGATGGAGCCCGTACAGGTTGAGATCGCGGGATGCTGATTGGATGATGAGGCAAAGGTTGATGATGGAATTGCTGGAGCTGTTGATGTAGACGAGGGATTGCTCGGAAGCGAAGCAAGTCGATGGCATCACTGGAGTATACTGCTAGTTGCAAGTAGCTACAGTAGCTGCATTACTGCATTGCTTCATCTGTCAAGGTCGTTGGAAAATTATCCATCGCTTCGCGGCCCGCTTTTGGAGGAGCTGGGAAAGAGGGAGGGAAATATGCGCGATAATGGAGCTCGCGGTTTTTTAATATGCTGTATGTGTGTGAGAATCCATCCTACCAGATTGTGGAGGGAGGGGAGATCTTGAGACGGGAGTGTGAGATGTGATAGCTTCGCGAGATGTGTGGTTCGTGGGGTGAGTCATGCACGTAGACGTTCTGGGATTGTACTTTTTTTTTCCTGCTTTTTTCTTTCCCCTTTTAATTAGATCTCGCGACTGGTTTTTATGCGTTTCGTTTTAGCAGGGCCAATAAACGGGACGGGCGTTATGGTTATAATCTGTCGCGTTCATGCAGCCGTTAGCTGTCGTTGAATGCATTTCAATGTGTTTGATTTGGGTGTGTGTGGCTCCTGGGCGGGCAAGGCGGGATGGCTGTTCCGACTAGGCCGTCTTGCGAATGCTCGCTGGGCCATCTATACCGTCGTTTGGGCGGCTCCATTGCAGCTGATGGCGATCAGGTTTGTTTCTGGTAAGAATCGCAGAGGCTAGGGCATGCAGCTTGAAGAGCGGTGGCGGAAGAGCGGGTGGATAGCGATAACAACGCACTCGTTTATTTTGATTTTCACGGCCGTGTCTTCCTGTCTCGGCGATCGATAGTTTGACGGCAAAAAGAAACAAACGAAAAGTAAAGCAAACCTGTCATCACAATGGCTGACACAAGGCACATGCCGGCTAAGGCTGAACAAGGTTTGGCCGCCGTTTGACTTGCGCGCCGTAGCGTCAGGGGAGGACTAAGGGGACGCGGAATGTTTCAGCGCCTGTTTTTTTCTTCTTCTCTTTCTCCTTCTAGCTCGCCTTCTGGACAATGCCGTTATAGGCTACTAGAGGACGGTAGCTTTGGCGATGGATACCGCTGTGGAGAGGCGTGAATGCTGTATGCCGTGATTTAGCAGTACGAGTTACTGTACTGCTCGCACGACTTGGGATTCAACTCAGAATCTCACCACCGAACGGCGCCGTGGCGTCGGGAGAGGCAACGCGGCCGATTGGGCGCTGAGGAAAAGGAGAGCTAAAAGGGGAAATTGGAGAGCAAGGCGTTTTTTGAAAAATAGAACCGCAAGCAGTCGCAGAGTTCGTATCGGTCGCCGGCCGTCATTACAAGCTTAATCTCGCCGTTGGATGGCCAGTTTTGACGTGTTACGGAAATGCTGGCAAGACCCTGCCTGTGCCTGTGCGTGCGCCCAGGCAAACAGCAAAGCGCTCCACTTGGATTCGCTATTGACCCCATCCGTGGCCCATTCGCTGCGGGAACCTGAGCGTCGCCATCCACGAGTCAATGGGCTCTGCTGTGCAAAACTTGGAAGACAGAAGGCGTCGCGTGGCCTGGTGGTCCGTTTCCACTGTACTGCCTCGCTGGGAGACGGGGATTCGCTGCAAGGGCTCTGCATAGGCATGAACAGGAACATGAACCGTGGCCCCCTGCATGGTGGCTTGCGGCCGGCTTACACATTGTGTGCTCCGTAGAAGGAGAGACAGACAAATTGCAAGTGCCACTCTCGTTGATAACTCAATCAATTGATTGCCTGGTGAAGAACTAGTGAGGTTGAGATTATGGACGATGAAAAGAATCATTCCTCGAGATGGTGCAGCATTGGGTGGAAAGTCCCCGAGACCAAGCAAGCGTACTCAGAACCCTGGTGGATGGTACAGTCGCACAAGTGCGGGCAGGTGCCGGTCGTACCAGGTACGTGTATTACGTGCACCACACCATTGCGTGCCACAGCACACGCAGCGCAGCACTGGCCAGGCCCCGGCTCTTTTTCAGCTGTGCTCGCCCTTCCCTTCTAGCGGCTGCTCCACCGTGGCCGCCGGCGCACCTCGTATGCGGTACCTGGCACCCCGAGTGGCTAGCCTAGCAGCCGCCACCAGCCGCTACTGCACGCTCTTGTACCCACGACTTGCGCGCCGATCGCCCCTTTCAACCAGGGCCTGTCGGCGGCCAGTGAGATCGAGAAGAACCTCCAGCCGTCGCTGGCTCTTGTTTCACCAGTCACGAGTTTTTTTTTTTCTTCTCGTCTCTTTCTTGCTCCCTTTCTTCGTCCCAGAGATCGTCTGTTTTGCAGCTTGAACCCGCTCATCCCTCTCCACAATTCCGACTCCTCTCGTTTCCCACTCGTTTAGATTGAATTTTTCTTGGCTACCTAAAGCGATCTAATAGCTGTCCGCTGCCTCTTTTGCCCTGGTTCACTCATTTTTTTCTTTATATATCCTGAAACGCCCCTAGTGCCCTCTTGGTATTTACTTGTCAACCATCCTCGCCCTCGTCTCTTCTTTCACACCTCTCTGTCTTTCCTGTCACCTCTTTTCTAGAGTTTGTTCAGAGATTCCTTTTGCCTTTTTTTTTTTTTTTTCATTCATTCTTTGCTCGTGTTCTTCTGCGCATTGCTCCCTCCTCGCCTTTCTCGCTTCCAGCCAATCCCTGGTGTTGGCACGGGCCTCCCTTTGGCATTCGTATCGGACATCTTTATCCTATCCTGGACCAAGACTCTGGGGTTCTCAGCATCATCAGCGAATTATTCGTGCATCGTTGACCTGCCATTCTTCTGTCTGTTCGGGCTCTTTCCTGCAAACATCGTTCGCCTGGAGCGGGTCTTCAGCAGCGGCTTTCCCTCGTCCGCGATATCTGAAACATCGCTCTCGCCGGCTTTTTTTATGCCCCCTGCCTGGCACAACGTTGGCTCATCGTGGGGTGCATTGTGACGCTGTTTATTAGACCACGCCTACCTCCCTCATGCTGTGTGGATATTGTGAGCTTTAAACAAAGCAATCAGGCTATCCTTGTAATCTTCTTGTCTAGAAAAAGAAAGCCGAACAGGAACAACACGCCTTAGTTTTCTGTTAGCTTCATTAAGTCGCAACACCACCCACACCACAGCCGCGTGTATACCCAGCGCCTATTTATAGCTCTCCTGGTATATAAACAGCGCGGGCTCCCCATTCATCCTCTGCTCGGCACCTGTCGCAGCCCAGGGGAAATTTTCACATGGCGAATAGACAAGCCTCTCGCGCCTCTCGGAGCTCAACTGGATTCATCCCCCTCGAAGGAGGCGATTCCCGCGACATGGACAACGACAATCCCGGCGGCATCCCTCTGGCCCCTCTGACAACCGTCAAGAGCAGCGCTTCCACCACTGGAGCCAGAAGGCCGATGCTCAATGCCCACAGCAACGACGAGCACAACGAGAAGCATGGCGTGCACCATCGCCATGCCGGCCGTCGACGGAGGATGGACGACGAAAGCCTCAAGCGCAGACAGACTGGCGAGGATGTCAGCATGAATGCCATGGGCCGGCTCTATGCCAAGATCGTCGGCTTCTCAGTCATCACGCGATACATGGTTTACGTCGTCCCCGTCGGCATCTTGCTGGCAGTCCCTCTGATTGTGCTTCGCCTTACTGGCCACAAGAATGACAACCGTCTCGGCACCAATGACGGCGCTCACGGTCCCCCTTTGTTCTATCTCTTTCTCTGGATTCAAATCTCCTGGCTGTCTCTCTGGGGCGTCAAGGTAGCTGTCTGGTTTCTCCCGCACGTCTTCATGTTCTTCAGCGGCATCGTCAGCGCCGGCACTCGCAAGTACGCCACCGTCCTGAGCAACCTGACCATTGTCATCTCCATCTTCTTCTGGGGTCTGGCGTCGTGGCTTACTTTCAAGAGCATCTTCGCCCAAGCCTACTCTGATGGAATTGCCTGGGTCGTTAACCTGGAGCGTGTCCTTGGTGCCTGCTTCGTGTCTTCTGCCATCCTTCTTGGCGAGAAGGCCATTGTTCAGCTCATTGGTGTGTCGTATCATCAGCGATCCTTTGACAACCGCATCAAAGACTCCAAGCGGGAAATCCACCTCTTGGGTCTTTTGTATGACGCCTCTCGAACGCTCTTCCCCATGTACTGCCCTGAATTTGCCGAAGAAGATTATATCATCGAAGATAGTATCGAGATGATGCTTCGACGCAAAGCTGGCAAGTCTAGCGTCGGCGGTGTTGCTCCTGTGAGGATCATTGGTGACGTCAGCCGATTTGGTGACAAGGTGACCTCCGTCTTTGGCAACCTTGCTAGCGAAATCACGGGCAAGCACGTCTTCAACCCCAATTCCGCCCACTCCATTGTCATTGAAGCTTTGGAGAAGAAGCGATCTTCCGAGGCCCTGGCTAGGCGTCTCTGGATGTCCTTTGTCATTGAGGGACGGGACGCGCTCTACCTCGATGACGTGGAAGAGGTTCTTGGACCGGCTTACAAGGCGGAGGCTGAAGAGGCCTTTGAGGCTATCGACACTGACGCCAACGGGGATATCAGCCTCGAGGAAATGCTACGTAAAGTTGTGGAGATGGGCAAAGAGCGAAAGGCTATTGCCGAAGGCATGAAGGACATTGGTCAGGCCCTAACAGCATTTGATAAGGTCTTGCTGTTCGTAGTGTTACTGATTACTGTTTTTATCTTTTGTGAGTTCTTTTCTCTTTTCCCTCTTCCTCTTCCTTCTTTTTCTGTTTCCTCGCCGAGTAGAATGACTCGTTATTCTTCATTTCAATGTGCTAACGAGAAACAATCTAGTGTCCTTCTTCAACAGCAGTCTGCTCACAACCATCGCCACCGCCGGAACCGCTCTTTTATCTCTTTCCTTTGTCTTTGCCGTTACTACTCAAGAGTTCCTTGGTTCTTGCATCTTTCTTTTCGTCAAACACCCCTACGATGTCGGTGATCGCATCGAGATTTCCGGCACGCAAATGCTGGTCGACCGTATTTCCCTCCTGTACACTGTTTTCACGCGCACCGATAAGATGCAGGTCTCGCAGGTTCCCAACATTGTACTAAACAATCTCTGGATCGAAAACATTACTCGAAGCAAGGCCATGTCAGAGACCTTCACTGTCGACGTCTCTTTTGACACCTCATTTGAAGATATCGAGCTGCTTCGTGTGGAGATGGAGAACTTTGTCCGCGCGCCTGAGAACTCCCGAGACTTCCAACCCGACTTCAGCATTGGTGTTGGCGGTGTCAATAACCTTGACAAGTTGACACTCAAAATCGGCATCAAGCACAAGTCCAACTGGCACAACGACCGTGTCCGAGCCACTCGTCGCTCCAAGTTTATGTGTGCTCTGGCCATTGCTATGAAGAAAGTTCCCATCCTTGGTCCTGGCGGCGGTGGTGAGCCTCTTGGTGGACCCACCAATCCTTCTTACTCTGTGGCCGTGACCGACTCATGGGCTGCTGAGAGTCGAGAAAAGGCAGCCAAGGCAACTGATGCCGGGCGCATGGTGCCGACCATGAACCAGACCCCGGAAGAGCAGTTTCAGACAGAGAAGAATGCAGCCTCGGCGCTTAACGCAACCCGAAACCTCGCTGTCGAAACCACGGGTATGTGGGATTCTGACACCCGCTCAATCGCATCCAGAGACCCAGGCGACGAACCGGACCTTCTGAAGAAGGAAAACAGCCAGCGTGGCGGTCGCCGACGAGCGGGCGAGGGCTTGACTGGACTTACACCTTCGGATAGCAACAATGGAACCTTTCCCACAAGCCCTAGAATCCAGACCTATGATGAAGAGGCCCAAACTGGAATCCCAGGATCTCAGTTTGGCGCTCATCAGGAAGACGGAGCGTCTGTCGGTCGCCAATCTAGCTACCGGGGCGCCAGCTTCGACGTGAGCCGCACTGAGGACACCCTGCACCTGCACCCCTCGGTGCATGTCCCCGGCCGAGGCCTCAGCGTTGGTCGACGCCAACGAGGATCGACAACTAGCAATCCTCACCACGAGGTGTAACCCTCTCTCAAACAGGAAGGCAGCTGAGAAGCCCCCCAAAAAATACTCAGTTTCGAGGCAAGCCACGATGACTGAGCAGTTTGTTTAGATTGAAAGACCACCGCTGTGATGTAAAAAATGACATTCACTGTGAGTGAGGCTTGCACAATTTCTTATTTCAGTACCAGGATTTTGATTTGTTTAAATACAAAACAAAAAAAAACATTGGGACAAGTGGTTCATGATTTTTTTTTTCTCTATTGCGTTCAAAAGGCGCCCTGCTGTACGCTTATGAGTACAACGAAGGGCGGCACTGGTTTATTCTTGATTTATTTCATCACGGAGGGAGTGGAGGAAAAGCATCATCAAAATTCGGGTTTCTTTGGATTGAATTAGAATTTTCGGGAATCAGGGCGCTGTGGCTGGCGTGCCAGCCCTGCAGCATCGTTTGCATGAACTCTTTTACACTACATACTAGCTTTTTTTAGTACTCTCTCACCACACACACACATTCACTTCTTCTCCTTTTGTCACTTTACACTCCTCCTCAGATATGGCTTTACATAGCAATAGACTTGCCGATTATGCCTGGCCAGCTCTACTCTGTTATTATTCTACCTTTGGGTATGCGATATCTCGATGTGTGTTTTGTTGATTAGCTTGAATCTCTTTTAAACGGGTGTTTTTGGTGCTCTGCATATGTAGTAAGTATACCTTGATGTGTATTACAACTTGTATGAATCATCTCTCCTATCTTTCGAATACTTTTCCAAACAGGTAGTACTATTCTATACAGCAGCGTCAGCCACGAGATTTAAGGGATAGGAGCACGGCACCTAAGTAGGTAGGTAAGCACCTTGTATTGCTTGGCAGCGGAGATCAGCTGCAGCAGATGACTAAGCTCTAGAATAGTTGTACTGCATGCAGTGTTCACATCAGTATTCCTCCTTATACAAGTACAAGCTCTCGACGGATCATCCATCCCGCAAGCCAAAGCTGCAAGGCGGATGACGGCTATCGAGCTCATAGACATCTGCTCTCCTTGATCGGATGAATTCTTTACAGCTGGATGCTTTTCCGATTCTCGGGCTTTAGCTGTGCTCCCCTCTGCCATCTGACTCTTCCTAGTTTACTAGCTGCAACGCCGCAATGGGGGATGACATGCCCTTGCACGCTCACACCATCAAACGGCACTGGATCGTCGCTCCGGCTCGACGTACCCCTGGCCACGATCCGGAAGCCCATGTGTCCAGTCTGCAAGCACGGCTGGCCGCCTGACAGCAGACACCAATTGGACAGAGCCATCCCCGCAAGCGGTTCTCCGCACTGCAAGTTGGGCTTGCCATCTAACCTTATAGTACGACTGGGAAACCCGAGTATTTCCCCAATGAGCTAGCCGTGGCCCTATTTTCCTCGAAGTCTGCTCCCCACCATCAGCACTTGCTTGAAGCGTCGGAAAAGGTTGTCTTCAATTCCGCCGAAACGGTGAACAAGTTGATGCGTAAACAAAGGTGACAATCACCTGAGCTAGGGAAAAAAAAATCCCGTGGTGGGTTGCAATCGAAGGCATTATAGCAGAAAGGGGAAGAAGGAAAGAAAGCAATAGTTTGCGTTTCGGTAACGCTGCGGGGGTGGCGTGTGAGATGCGTTGCAATGCTGGCCTGACCCTGTGAAAGTGAGCCGTCGGGAATAGGAAACTCTTCTTTTTCTTCTTTGCCTTGTCAGGAAAAAATGATTTTTGATTTAGGAGGAGATTCCATTTTTCTTTCGACAACAACCCTTTCTTCGCCAAGTTGTATTTGTTTCTGTGGATATCTTTCCTCGGCTTCATCTATTGCTCCTCGCAAAAGGATCACTGACTGCCAATTGCGAGTCTGAGGATCGAGCTGACTGCATCTTGCTTGGAAATTCGAATAATCAAGCAATTGTCCGATTTAGGGGAGAGCTGACGTATCGTTTTCCACAACTGTCTTCATAGCTGTCGTTGCGTTTTTCATCTCTCTCTCACTCCAACATTCATCGCTTCTGGAAGGCCATAATCACGATGTCGAGCACGCCGGCCCCCACGCAGAAGCCGCCGCAGCAGGTATGCGACAACTGTCGCTTCCGGAAAATGAAGTGCGATCGTGGGCTGCCGTGTAGCAATTGCGTCGTATCTTCAATTCCCTGCCGATACTTACATACGCTTCGACGCAAAGGACCAAGAGGAGGCAAAGGCCGTCGGCTGTCCCAGATCAGACAGGGCCTCACGGAGCCTGATAAAAACCACTTTGACGTTAGCACGCCGGCCACGCAGATTCAGTTCAACGCTTTGGAGGAATCGAATAGGAATCGGACTGTAGGATCTGGCGGCCAGCATAATCCTCTTTTGGCCCTGGCGTCTACGACTGGGATAGCTACGGAACATGACAAGCAGAGGCTATCAGTAGCCTTGGCGGCTCATGTGCAGGTGTTTATGAAGCATCTGTTTCCCATCATGCCCGTCATCAACGATAGGGAGCTTCTTGCAGACTCATTACACTTGGATGAGCTCTCTCCTTCGCGATATGCCTTTCTCCTATCTCTCTGTGCTGCAACGCGGATCCAGCTGAAGTTGGATAATGCAGAAGAATACGACGAAACATCAGTCGGCATCAACACCTCATTAGACTCGCCTCTCACGGGCGAGGCGCTGCTAACCGCCGCTGAGCAGGCCCGGCTCCAGTTCAACGTGGTTGATGACTTGAGCCTGGACACCCTACTGACGTCCTTCTTCCTCTTTGCGGGTTATGGCAACTTGGAAAAGCATACACATGCTTGGTTCTACCTGAACCAAGCTATATCCCTGGCTCTGTCGATAGGCCTGCACAGCGAGTCAGCCTACAGTAACCTCCCAGAAAACGATCGGGAAATCAGACGGCGGATATTTTGGCTTTTATTCGTGACGGAGAGGTAAGCTGCTTGAAATTTTAATCTTTTATTTACTTAAAATGAAGCCTCGAGACTAATGATGAATCATTATAGAACGTACGCTCTTCAGCACCGGCGGCCAGTGATGCTGCGAAACACCATCTCAAAGCCACAAATTGTCGATTCAGACTGTCCCATCGTCATGCACGACTTTGTAAATCACGTCCGTCTATTTGAGCTGCTGCCGTGCTCCCTTTACGAGTGGCAACCTCACACCGATGGATGTCAGCCACAGGGAGTCGCTCTCAGCCATTCTATAAGCAACAAGCTCTCTGCTGTGCAGCCAGCAGAGTCAGTCATGGAAAGCCAGAGATTTGACACTCTTGTTACGCAGCAGTGGCTGCGCGTATCAATGTGGCGTCTTGCGTTCGGTTCTAAGCCGAATCTCGTGTACGGTCAGGGCCTTGTGCCTGCTCTTGGCCTGCCATTCGATGCTGGGAAGGCTATCATGAAGGCTCTGGGGTCTGTGAGCCAGAGCTCAAAGGACTGCCATGGAATTGCTATTGTAAGTTCTCTGAGAAACACGCTGGTCTAAAATAGTTGTTATCGAAAACTGACTGTGATTTATAGGAGCAAAAACTCTTCGATATCGGGATAAGTCTGGCAGATGCGTCCATGTCTGCTTCTCCCATGCCCTCTTTCGAATTTGGGCCACAGGATCTTCTAGTCTCTGTAGTCAAATTTCTAGGTCGCATTCGCGGATGCCAGTCTCACTTATTGCCGAAGCTCTTGAAGCACTCCGAGATGATCCTCGGCTTCTCAAATCCCATTGCCAGCATCGACGTCCATTGGCCAGCACTTCTAGAGGAACACGCGGGAGGCGTGCCGGAGAACGTGGGCGACTTGACAACACAGGGAGACGAGTCATCAAGCAGTACGGGCAGCTGGCAAGACACTTGCGATTTGGCGATGCTGGAGCCTGGCGCAGCGTCATTTTTGACGTTGGCGTGTGATGATACCCCGTTTGATGCTGAGCAGGTGCATATAGCAGGGCAAGTGGAAATTGCATGATCAATCTTGGTCCGAGTCTAAAGCGTGTCTTTTCTTTCTTCATTCTGGAGAAATTGTTTCTTTCTTTCCATCTTTCTCTCTCTATTTCCTTTTTCTTGGGAAAAAATAATTTTCTTTCTTTCTTGGTTATGGAATTGGATTTATTGGGTGGCTATAAATGTTCTATGAGATATGTCTATGTATATGCTTTATGATGCTGCGCGGTTTCTGCCAAACCATGCAAATCAAACAGAAGAATCCCTCTAATTTTTGGAATACTCGTCTCTCTCTCTCGCTCTTACTCTCTCTTCAATATGTGAAGCTCCAATTGGCTATTGAGCTTCTATTTCAAAGCTCATCTCTCAAAAGACTCTTCCTCACGGAATCCTGTCCGCTAATGCTCTGCAGTCTAAACACCTTTGCAGAATGTCTCTGCACGCGCACCTTGATCTCGCCGCCTGCCTCAACAGTACCAATACGCTCGCCAAACAATCTCGGATCCCGACGGTTCAGGCCCTCGGCGTAGGGCACCTCCGTGGCATTGTACCAGTCGACCTTTGTCTGCAGGAAAGTCCGACGAGCGTCCGCGCCTTTGGCGTCCAGCAGGGCCTGGGCGTCAGCGGTGCTCATGCGGGAGCCGGTGCTGCCCCACAGGTCGTGGATGGCCCAGTCCTGCTGGATCTGCGGGGCGGTGCCCACGCCGTCCATGATGAAGACGTCCTCGAGCGAGGCGGCCATGTCGAGGTCCGCGTCGGCGGCGTTGAAGAAGATGACGACCTGGTCGCCGTTGGCCAAGGGGCCGCTCCAGACCTGCGCCTCGCCGACGCCGTAGCGGTCGACGGGCACGTCCAGGTCGCGCAGGATGCGCTGGACGGCGCGGCCGCGGGGGTCCTGGTTGAGCGCGATGATGGCGGGGTTGTTAATTATGGCGAGGGAAGAGGCCGTCATGGAGCGCAGGTCGTTGCCGAGGAGCAGGGGGGATTTGAGGGCTGCCCACATGGAGAAGTGGGCTTTGTACTGCGAAATATTAGTTTCCCATGTAAGTGGAAAGACAAGGGGGAGTGTGTGTTTCCCCCCTCTTCTTTTCTCGCATGCAATAAATGGACAGTAGAGATGGATAGCAGCTCTACATCTGGGGTATTATTGCTTACCTCCTCTTCAGTCATGCCTCCATGGCCAACCTCGAGCATGTCCAGGTCGTTCCACCCGCCGGGGAGGCCTCGATCGATGTAGGGCGCAACCTTGTTGATGATGGCCAGCACGGAGCAGTGCGTGCCGGGCGCAATGCAGGCCGGGTCTGCGGCATTGGTGCATGAGCACAGGTCGTCGGGACGAGCGAAAGAGTCGTAGATGTCACCCGAGATGCGCCATGAATTGGCAATGGATCCTCCCCACTACCCGTTGCGCGACGGGAAAAAGCGCATAATTAGCTCTTTTGCTCTTCTTCGCTGGCCTCCCCTTTCTCGCATTGGTGCGCGTATAAGTGAGAGAGGAATTTGTCTTGATTGGCTTACAGTGTGGACATAGTCCTCGCCCCAGCTGCACAGGCTGTAGAGGATGGACCGACCCGTCTTCTTAATGGCCTCTGCCATGGCGTTGAAGCGATTGAAGGATATAAGGGGCGTGCCGAAGCGGCCCATGTGATAGCAGTTGTCGTACTTGAGGTAGTCGACGCCCCAGTCGGCGAAACTCTGAGCGTCGGCATCTTCGTAGTCGAGGGATCCGGCTATATTTCCACCGTTACTCATTAGCAACCTCTTCTCACCTTGTGTTTCCACCCCGCTAACTAAACGGAAGCATGCAAACAACGGGAAATGAGCTCTGAATCTCACCATATCTTGCGCACGTCATCTCGCCCGCGCTCGAGTACATGCCGAACAGAAACCCCTGCTCGTGCAGTGCATCCGCTACAGCGCCCATCCCGTCGGGAAACTTGGTCGTGTCGGCCACGAGCTTGCCATTATCGTCGCGGCCGGAGGACCAGCAGTCATCCAACACGACGTACTTGTAGCCTAGATCCTGCAGGCCGTATTCCGTGAGCAGCTTGGAGGTGTCGAGGAGGAGGGTGGAAGAGACGGAGCAGGCGAAGGTGTTCCAGTTGTTCTGTTCATGAAATATTACATGTGAGTTTATTTGATTTCATTTTAATTATGAGCACAACGGAGAAATAGAAGAGGAAGCCAAATACCCATCCCATTTGAGGAGTTCTCGCCAGTCCATTCCTGGCGGCTCGGACGCCACTCGCGGAGAGGGCAACGAGGAGCCCTTGCTTTGGAAATCTCATCTTTGTATTGATATTGGGACCACGGAGAAGAATGAATAAAGAAGCTCTCAATCAAATCCAATGTCAAATAAAGAGAGGAATTCCAATGGTTAAAGGTGAGAAGAGCCGACGGAGAAAGGAATTGGAAAAAAAAGGAGGAGGAGGAGGAGGAGGAGGAGGAGGAGGGGAAACGGAATCTCCGTTTATGTATGAGTCGCGAATATAATATAATGCCCACCTCCACTCATCGTTTAAATAAGGGAAGCTATCCATCCACCGGAAAGGCAACAAATGCCGTATTGCTTTCACTGACAAAGGGAGAAGAATGACAAGAAAAAAAAAGATAAGCATACATCAAGCAAAAAAAAGCCGTTATCAGGCAGCAGCCAAACTTGCCATGCTGTTCTTCATATCGCCCTCCCACCCAGAAACCCCCTCTCAATCCCACGGAGAATTATAAAATAATTGGATCGCGGGCTAGAATCAGCTGCCGTTCATTACGGTCAATTAATCGGAGGCGCCTATGATTCGTAGATAAAAAGCCGTGTTTTTTTTTTTATTGTCGATCTAATCGAAATATAGAGATTGGGTGGGATGCCGTGGGAGTTTATTCGGAACAAAAGCTGGTGGACTCCACATGGCCTGGTGATTGGCCGTTTTTAGCACGAGATCTGGGGAGACATGGCTTGTTAGTTAGATCCTAGTGGACTACTACGGTGCTGAAAAAGGCAAATCTGGGGTAGAGTTGGCCGAGGTTTCATTGAATTAGCTGGTGTGAGGCTGTCTCCAAACATAACACCCGAAGGCTTTTTCCAGTCATACGGAGGGCTAGTCGAGATTCTGGTGGTGTTGGAAACTATAGCCGTATACTGGTAATTATTTGCGCATGGTTCACTCGTTCTCGTAAAAGTAAGATTGAATAATTCATTACTCTTCACTAGCATAGCTCTACTACACAACCATCTTTCATAATGGTAGCATAAACATGATACCTTCCACCATGAATCACTGCCGTTTTCCTATTCTTTCCTCATGGTAGAGCATCGCTGTGGAATGCGTCAATCTCGTAGCTAGCAAACTTCCGTGCCGGCACTCTTCTGGCAAACAAAATGTCCAACTCTTCATAAGTTCGGTCCTTGGATTCCGGGAGCCGGAAGTACGCCCAAACAAAGGTGAGGAAAGCAGTGCCTCCCCAAACAAAGCCCGTGTAGCCCTTGAGATTCCACTCAGTTGGGTTCATAAAGTATGGCTGCAGGACGCCGGCGACGATACTAGTAATAGCGTACGCATTGCGAGCCAGGCAGACCGTCTTCTGACGGAGGCGCGTGGATCCAAGCTCTGCTGGCAATGCCCAGCCGAGCTGTCCAGCGGAAAGCTGGAAAACAAAAGTCCAGATGAGGGTTAGCACAGCCTGGGCCATACCAATGCTGTGGTCATTTGTCTTGGCATTGAGGCCACCGATGATGATCAGAATAATTGACATGACAAACATGCCAGTGACATATGCGGTGCGGCGTCCGACATACGGCATGACCAACACCCAAGAAACGATGGTGCCAAACAGGGCCATGCCGTTTCCACCAACGTTGAGGTGGTAGGTCTGAGTTGTGGTGAGACCAACCTGTTGGAAGAAGTAGGTCGAGTTGTAGGCAAAATTGAGGCCAGAGAGGACTTGACCGGCAAACACAACGCAAGCAATCTCTGTTCGGCGAAGTTCAAAGCCTTTGAAGCAGTCCCAGTAGGATGTGCCCACCTCAAGTTGCTCCTCCAGATTGTTGGTGTAGATGATCAGATTGAGGCTCTCCTGCAGCTCTTCCTCGGAGGGGTTTGAACGAAGCTTTCTCAAAGACTCCTTGGCCTCCGAGTGCCGTCCCTGTCGGACGAGGTGCCAAGGCGAATCTGGGGCAAACCAGATGATGGGGAATAAAACGACTGGCCAAAACCATTGAATGGCAAAAGGCACTCTGTATGACCACTCAGTTGTGTTGTTGACGAGGCCAGCCATGATGCCAGCTGAGATGAGCTGTCCAATGATGAAGCACATGTTCGTCCAGCTGGTGAGGTACACTCGCAGAGTCATTGGTAGAACCTCCGAGGCATAGGCCGGGGCAGTCGTGGCAAAGATACCCCATGGAAGACCACACAGTAGCTCGCCGACAAGGAGAACTTTGGTGTTTGGCGCAAAGAAGACGATGAAAATAAAGGCGCTCAATGCCACAAGAGAGGCCAGAATAACTCGGACGTGGCCAAACTTCATCACGAGATAGCCATTAAGAAGCGTGCCAAAGAAGGAGCCAACGCCGGAAGCATTGCCGAGACCAGCCTGCCAAGGAGCCGAAAGCTGGTAGTTGCCAGAACCTTCGTTGAATTTGCCGTACTTTTTGGCAAATTCGGGATATGCATAAAAGTTGCCCAGGAGATTGGTGTCGTAGCCCTCCATGATGACACAGGCGGATACAATCAAACACCAGAAGATGGCTTTGGGATAGAGGCGGAGGGCCTGGAGGGGAGTCAGATTATGCTCGGCCTCAGCGCCCTGTTTCGCCTTGTCTGTGATTTCATTGATATTGTATTTCTCATCGGCTTCGATGGGAGGATCTTCTGTGTGTGTCACACCCAGATTTGACTTCTCCATGATGGCGTTTGGTGGCCACGTTTTTATGGTGGAGAATAATGACGATCAAAAGTAGAGCCGTCTTTATATGTATAGGAGTAAAAAGAGAAATGAAAAAAGGAGGAAAAAGAGGGCTTATGAATGTTGGTAAGCAAGACGCAAGAAAAGACTATGCGTGTCTTACAATACCTTGGTCGTAGTGATACCTTGTCTCGCCCTTTTCCTGGTGAAACTGACCAGCACAAACATCCTGACGGGGCCCGACTTTATAGACTCGCCAGCTTGCCACCCCTCATGGGAATACAACCCCAATAACGACTAGCTCTCTTTCTTGCCATCTGGAGTGATGTCCAACAGACACCTCGTTTCTCTCGACAAAAAAAATAAAAATAATAATCTCTTGGTTTTCATTGAATTAGCTTACATGGGTGTTCAACTTGGCTCGTCTTCCCACCCCGCAATTGGCCATTCCCGACCAGGATTAAGCCAGCCTTGCAGAGCATAGACCATTACCCCGGACCGACCTATTTTCTTTGGCGGCACAGCCTGTTCTGCCTGTATGGAGGTGCTGGCGTTTTGGTACGGCCAACATAGTTCGAGTGCCGATAATTTCCCCTTTTGGATTCTCTCGAGAGCGACATAGCGCGGGGTTGAGACGAGGAAGAGGCAAAAAGCTTTGGCAACTTTGCAGGGGCCAGGGCTGAGAATTATTGAGAAAACCTTTTTATGTAATTCTGTGTGGTTCTGTATTGCGGTCGTCTGATAACCCAGCTAGCTGGGCCTGAGTATGGCACGTTTGCCCCTCAAGGCGATCATGCAACGTATGTTTGCTGCGAGCGTTATAAGGGTCGGCCTCGGAAGTGTCGCCGAACTCGAGCTGTATGCATCATGGCGGCAGCGAATGCATGATACGCGTGATGCTCTGCTAGCAGCTGGATGTAGTATTGCGACATGGCTAATAGCTCCGGGAGCAGCCATAGTATCTCGGGGTATCTCACGGAGAATAAAGGCACTGGGAAAAGGACTGGGCGAAAACCTTCGTTCTCCGGGAATGGCCCCTTTGGGAACCGTACATAATTAACAACCTAACCGTAGTAAAGCCTTTGTTAGACTGGTTGATGATTTGTTTCTTTCGAATAGCGCAGCTGGAAAAAAGAAGATTCAAACTATCGATGCAATGGATTCCAAGGTTACCACCGCAACTGTTCAGGCAACTGTGCTAAACGCATTGTCCGGGGTGTTTGCCCAAGGCATTTTGGCATATCGCAAGGGGGTTAGCGGAAGCTCCATGACGTTAGCTGTTGGTTGACATTGCTAATTGTCCGGTCTTCGTCTAATAGGCTGTCGATGAGATTGATTTCTCTTCCATCTTGCGCTTCATTGTGTATACGGTGCTCACAACGCCTCCCAACTATAGGTGGCAGGAGTTTCTAGAGCAGACGTTTCCAACCACGACGGAGCCAAAAGGAGACAAGACTTTGAAAGACAAATCATCTCCATCTCCATCTCAAGATGCGGTGACGGCTGGTAAGCTCAATATTGCCAACACAGCAGCCAAGTTCTTCCTGGATCAAGGTCTTGGAGCACCGGTCAACACGCTCCTGTTCATCTGCCTGATGGGCCAAATGAATCTTCAGGGTTATGATGGCATCTTGAGCAATGTCGTAAGCGTAAGTATTTCAGGGGTTCTTTCGAAGGGTGATGGGATCTATGAGAAGCTGATCAAGTGCTCCCAGGACTTCTGGCCCATGTTGTTTGCGGGATATCGAGTATGGCCACTTGTTTGTCTGCTGAACTTGGTTGTTGTGCCATTTGATTATCGACAGCTTGTTGGTAGTATTGCTGGGCTTGGCTGGGGGGTGTTTCTCAGTCTCAGCCAGATGAAATAGACATCGGGCTGAGAGAGAAGACATTTGGATGACGAGTTGAAAAGCATCATGATTGTTTAAGAGGATACAGAGTCCAGGAATCAACTTGAGATGAATTCCAATCACAACAACGGTCAAAGATGATCTCTGGGTGTCATGTTGGTCCGGCGATGGAGTTGGTTTTCCACGGCGGCGGATGAGATAAAGAAAGGACACCTTTTCGTCTCATCGCTGCCTGGAACAGTGCAACGGAATTGACGTCTGTACTTCGTAAAGCAATGCCTTGAGCGGAACGGTAGCCATGATTGGGCGGTCAAGCATTTTACCCGGCAAATGGTCTCGTTGGACCTTTTCCGCTCCATTTGTTTTTCCGTCCAACATCTCTCCGTCCTTTTCCGTCGCTTTGCTTTTCATCACAAAAACATACGACTTAGTTGCTGGCATAGCTTCCGTCGGCTAGAAATCGCATTATTGCTAAGTACAAAGCGCAACTAAGCTCGTCTGGATGCCTTCTGCTACCCCGGATGGCAAGAAATGGCTAAATCTCCGGTGATGACAGTGCCAGGGGTAGCATTCTCTCCGCATCGAACCCCAGGATTTCCCCATTCTCTCCGCATTAGATCGGTGCAACCCCATAGTTCGTAATCGTCATAGCTTATTTCTCTATTATCGTGGCCGAGAACAAATATGCGTTGCCAGTATACGGAGCTTTATTCTCTCATTTTTGGGTAAGCCTTGGCGGAGGGTGCAGAAGCCGAGCAATCCTCCGCTGCGAGTTGCCGAGAACATACCGCCGGATAGCTGAATTCCGCCCAAAAGCAGTCGTGAACATTCGTTTCTGCTTACAGAGTGGTGTTATGATACGTAAATAGAAATAGTATAAAAAAGCCACGACGGAGTTTGACAGCGTCTTATAAGCCCTGCTCGGATCTTCGAGACCAAGGGCTCAGGTGTGTCGGTCTAACATCTCTAATACTTTCTCAGGGTGACTTTAACTCGCAAGGATCCTCTACACTTTTCTTGCCATCAACTTTGTTGCGGATATCAAAAATGGCAAGCAGCCTACTTTCAGCGCTGCTGCTCGGATTGAGCGCAACTGGCGCTGTGGCAGCTCCCAATGCCAAACGGACGTCAAGCCAAGGCGGAACTCCGCTCAAGATCATCTCCTACAAGGAAACACCTAATGGCTTCCGCAGTTCTGCGCGTGGATGGAATTCATTCGGCATCCAGGCGAATCCGCTGACTCTGCCGAGCTTCAAATTTGATCAAGAGCATGTCATTAAACAGTGCGATCACCTCGTCGATCTTCCCGGATATGACACCTGCAGCTTGGACTCGGGTTGGTCTGTTGGAGGAAACGGCGATGAGTATGGCCGCATCATTTACGATGATACTGTCTTCGACATTCCCAAATTGGCAGACCATCTTCACAGCAAGGGTTTGAAGATGGGCGTCTACATTGTGCCAGGTGCTTTCCTGGCAGATGTTAACAAGACTATTATTCACACGGATGTCAAGATTGGCGATGTTTGCCATGGCAACGAGGGTCTCGTAAGATGTATCTTCGACTTCACCCAGCCTGCTGCGCAACTGTGGCACAACTCTTGCGCCGATCTGTTTGCTTCGTGGTAAGTGCCAAACACCTGCTCTTATTTCTCATCTGTCCTGTTACTCTCTACTTAGAGATAGCCTGTGCTAATAATGGTGTATTTAGGGGAGTTGATTTTGTGAAGCTCGACTTCGTCACTCCTGGCTCGCCTGATAATGGCCAAATGCTCCCTCCTGATGGAAGCGGCTCCGTCATCGCATGGCACAAGGCCATTAAGCAAACTGGCCGTAAGATGCGACTTGACATTTCCTGGAAGCTTGACCGGACTCAAAAGTATTTCAACATCTGGAACTCAAATGCCGATTCCATGAGAACCGACCAGGACCTCAACAACAGCGGCCAGTCGTCTTTTGTATCATGGGCTACTGTCCAGCGAGCATTTGACAACTACCGCCAATTCATCGTTGCCGGTCTGCAGTTTTTTGACCACTTAAACATCTACCCCGACATGGATAACCTTCTTGTCGGCAACAATGCCACAACTTCTGGTATCACAGATGCACAGCGACAGACGGTCATGACGCACTACATCGGAGCTGGCGCCAACCTGATTCTTGGCTCTGATCTCACCAATCTCGACAAGTTTGGCGTGAACCTGATAACCAACAAAGCAGCACAGGCTGTAGCCACCTTTACTGCACAGTATCCCATGCAGCCGCGTAATCCTGGAACTGGTGGACAGGATTCCCAACAGCTCCAGGCCTGGATCGCAGGGCCAGCTCCCAACGGCCAAGCTGTTGTCGTGCTCGCCAACTACGGCCCCGACCTCGGCCAGGGAGGATTTAACGGCACCAGCACTGACGTTGAGTTGGTTTCAGCTTCATGGAAGGACCTGGGAATCAAGGGAACTTATCGTGTCCATGATGTTTGGAACAACAAGGACCTGGGCAGCCAGAAGAGTGGCGTCAAGGCAAACTTGGGACCTGGCGAAAGCGTGCTCTTGACGCTGACTCGGGTATAAGAGGCCATAGGTGGAGAAAAGAGCCCGCTTCCGTAGCTCTTTTGCAAGCTAGATAGACGGACATAGAGAATAAAACAAAACAAATGCATCACTTGGGCGTCATCTTGTGCCAGTAGGCTGTGCTGTCAATATGTGTCAATATGCACGTAGGGTGCATCTCAGAGACCAACCATGGGGTCCTGCAAAGCGGCCCAGCATGCGTGGCATTGCAGAATATTTATTTAGCAATACGATACGCAGCACGTTGCATGTTGCATATCTGTGCGGGAAAACAAAGGCCATGAATATCCAGTGTCCATCCAGTGACAGCAACAGGCATCCTCTTTCGGGCCTCAACACTTTGCCCTAGCATAATCTCGTCAGCCCAGAGGAGCCACTTGGGCCATTCCACGGGGCCATCGTATGCATTGCACATAACCACAGCACTGCTGGGAGCTCACCACATGGCTTTGACATGGCATGATGAGCGAGCGCCGGACATTCATGCATATCTTGGGCATTAGCAGAACGACTGACAGCTTGACGAATCACGTTGCACAGGGCGTTGTGTTACGGAGGACGGAGAAAGTGATGTTACGTCTGAATCTGCATTGTGTTGGCCCAGGTGGTGGTCACCAGCCACATGGCTTGCAATCAAAAGGGGGTCCGGCTTTGGTGTTTCACGCAGTCTCTTAACTGTGCGCCACACTGACCGACGCACGTGTGGCTTGTCACGGTACCCCCCCTCAGTGCCACTTTCGGTTCGATCAGAAGAGCGTAGGTGGTCATAACTCAAGCCATAGCTCGATACTATGGTCATTTAGCTTTCATCGTCCATCCCACGCTCCTATTTAGTCTCTTGACGCTCCCTCCTATCCGATTCCCTGTCCAATTGCTATATTTTGAGACAGCGATTGTCTTTCGCAGATATTCAACCAAAGCCCATGCCGTCTTTGTATTGCTAAGCTCCCAAGAGTGTAGCAGCAACGATGAATGGACACTTTTCCGCCGTCGGCGACCAGCCGGCGAACGGCAGCTATGAACATGGTTGTCAGGTCATAGACGAAGAAAAGGAGTTCAAGTATGTTCTACAGGACCGCCTTTCTCTGGTAATTGGACTTTGGAAACAGATCAGAAGCTGATACGAAATCCCTCGCTGCTACAGCCCCAACTTGAACGACTATCTCCAGACCACGCGAGTTGCTGAAGCGGGCTTCAACTACCACCTCATCTCCGTCTTTGGATCTCAGTCTACGGGAAAGTCGACCCTTCTTAACCACCTTTTTGGCACCACCTTCTCTGTCATGTCCGAGACGGAACGCCGTCAGACGACTAAGGGAATATGGCTCTCTAAGAACAAGCGGGAGACGAGCTCAGGAACCAAGATGGCAGATAACATCCTCGTTATGGATGTTGAAGGAACCGACGGCCGAGAGCGCGGAGAAGACCAAGATTTTGAGAGAAAGAGCGCCCTGTTTGCACTGGCCACCAGTGAAGTCCTGTTGATCAACATCTGGGAGCACCAGGTTGGCTTGTACCAGGGAGCCAACATGGGCCTGCTCAAAACGGTGTTTGAAGTCAACATGCAGCTGTTCTTGAAAGATAAGAAGTAAAGGCTTCCCCTCATTAGCTTGACAAGCTGCGAGAAATCTATGGCTTGCATTGCATACCAATTTAGTATCACGTGCTAACAGTCTATCGCAGCTCAACCCCCCGATCTCTTCTATTCTTCGTCATTCGAGACCATCTTGGAGTGACTCCCTTGTCTGCTCTCCAAAACACATTGATCCAAGATCTGACCAAGATCTGGTCCTCAATCTCCAAGCCACAGGGCCTTGAGCAATCCCGCATTGAGGACTACTTTGACTTTGGCTTTGCTGCCTTACCGCACAAGATTCTACAGGGCGAGAAGTTTGAAAGCGAAGTCGCGAATCTAGGAGCGAGATTTAGCACAGGACACCGAAATGGTGCAGAGCTCGAAGGTGGCATCCTCCTGCCCGAATACCACAGACGAATCCCTGCGGACGGATTGTCTGTGTATGCCGAGGGTATTTGGGACCAAATCGTGAACAACAAGGATCTGGATCTTCCGACGCAACAAGAGCTCCTTGCCCAGTTCCGATGCGACGAGATATCTCGAGAAGTCCTTCTAGCCTTTGACACGGTTTTGATTCCACTAGAGGAGAAGCAGGCCGAAGCTTCTAAACTTGGCAAGCCCATTGTGCTTCCTGATCTAGGTGCTGCCGCTAGCGAAGCTCGCGAGAAATGCTTCAAGGCATTTGAGGTGCAGGCCAGCCGATACCACAAGGGCGTCTATTCACGAAAGAAGCAGGAGCTGGAGAGCAAAATCGACGGGCGACTAAAGACCTTGTACCTGGGCCAAATCGCGGCAGCTCACAAAGCAGGAGTCGCCGCCTTCAGCGAGGCCGTTTCGAACAAGGTGAAGGCAGGCCAAAAGGCGGGTGGAGGCTACGAATTTGCTGAGATTGTTTCCAACGAAAAGAAGAAGACCACGGAAATTTTCAAGACGGAAGTAGACAGCTTGACGATTGAGGGCGTTGAGTGGACCAACTTTGTGTCTCAATCTCAACTATTTGAGGCTGAGCTCGATGAAGTTAGCGGCAAGCTGCGCAAGGACGAGATTCGACGACTGGCCACACGGGTGGAGCGCTGGGTCAAGTCAAGGCTGGGCGATGCTGTTGGCTTAGAATTCAACAAGCTGGGATCCGGCAGGGGAGGCTCAGGAGCTCCTGAAGAGGGCCAAAAGCCGGCGACAGAAAAGGACCTTTGGGACAGAATCTGGAATGTCTTTACCGAGGTAGTCCGTGAGGCTGAGGGACGGTTTGCCGATCGAGCCAAGAGCTTCGATGCCAGCGATGCTGAGGTCGAAGTGGGCCTATGGCGCCTTCGACGAAAGAGCTGGACGGCACTTCGAGAGAAGATTGAAGAGGAGGTCATGGAGGGCAACATCCTTTTGAAGCTTAGGGAAAACTTTGAGGACAAGTTCCGATATGACGAGGCTGGTGTGCCTCGAATCTGGAGGCCAACGGATGACATCGAGGGCATTTACACAAAGGCACGGGAGTCGACACTGACGCTCATACCTCTTCTTTCAAAATTCAAGCTCCTATCTTCTCAGAAGGCGCCCGAATTGGTCGAGTTCATTGGCGCACAGCCCAGCGGCGTCGAAGCTGGCGATGAAGAAGATCTTACCCCGATTGGCGGTGTTGACGAAGAGGAGGGCAAGAGCCTTGAAGAGGAGATGACGATGCTGAGCGAGAATAAGCGACAAGATTTGGTCGTGCGTTTCAAGAAGACGGCTGATGGCGTGTACGTCGAAGCCAAGCGAAGCGCCATTGGCGGTATGACCCAGGTGCCGTGGTACTTTTACGTGCTTCTTCTCGTTCTCGGCTGGAACGAAATCTGGATGGGTAAGAAATTCAATTCCATTCACGACTATTTATGCGTTGACATTTGCTAACTCGTGATGTAGTCCTGCGCAACCCGATCATGTTCATTCTTCTCATTCTGATTGGTGGAGGAACATACACCGCATGGTATCTCAACCTCTTGGGCCCCATGATGCAGATGGGCAACGCTGCTGTCAACCAGGGCGTGGATATTGCCAAGCAGCAGCTGCGGGATTTCGTTTCCAACTCAGACACCGCGCGACAGGCACTGGCCATGCCAGCGAGGCAAGACAGCGACGTCAGCATGGACACATTGGACAGCCGAGGAAGAAAGAAGAATGAGTCTGACAGCCCGGATGACATTTAGATGTGTAAAAAGGAAAAATTAAAATGGTAAATTGATAGACGGCATATGACGAGAATAAAAACGCCCCATGTACAAACCCTCAAGACATTGTCGGATTTTGATAGCACAATAGCGCAGAGCATTGATGAGCGAAGTAGGATACCACTAATGTCTACAAAAATAAAAACAAGATGAACTTATTTATTCCAAGTTTGATATATACCAAACGCCGATTCCATTCCATACCGTAGGCTCGATTTGATCCAAGTAACCAGCCGTCATTCCGTTTCATTACGCCAATATTCTTTATCCAAGATGATGACTTTAGGATCGATATAATTTACCCAGGTCCTTTTCTTTTTCTCTCACTCTCACACACTCTCAATATTTCCACTCAAAATGCTTCTTGGCTAGCTGGCGTACCAAACCACGACGCCAACTCGTTCCCTTGCTTCTCCTCGCCCCCTGATACGAAAAAGTCTGTCAACCTGCTCGTTTCGCCATCTTCGTCAGCTGGCCACTCGACCTTGACACCGTTGCCTTTGCCCTCAAGCATATCCTTTGCAGTGCTCCAGCTAAAACGGCACTCAGGCCCCCAGCCAAAGAGAGGATGCATGTTGTTCCTGAGCCACGTTGACGTCTTGGAGTCGGATGGGTATCCTGAACCCCATTCCATAGTACCCTCCTCCGCGGGAGCTTCCTCGCCATTGGTAGCAGCAGTGGCGACTTGGCGGGCATGGAAGAGCTTTTCGAGAGCAGCGTCACGGGTGACTTTTGCGCAGACTGAAGCAGCACTGACGCAGGCGTATAAGCTGTCGGCCTTTTTGGCGACGGTGACTTTGGCGGTTGGGAAGACGCGCTGGAGCTTGGCCTGGTAAGTGGCGGGAGGACCGATGGTGTCGACGTATATCTCCTTGATGTTGACGCCCTTCGCGTATACGGCTCTGATGAGGTCCATGGTAGCATCCATGGCCTGGGCATTGAGGTTATACTGAACCGGCCTCATCATGTTTGCGCCGATATCCCTCGCCGAAAGCGCCGTCGTGGCCCATCCGCACGACTCATGCAGATCGGATCCAGCAGTACACAGCGTCTCCATGAGCTGCGATCGCACCGCCGCAGACAGCACCTTGGAGTCGTCGAAGTGGTGCGTATCCCGGAGGAGAGGATCCGAGATGTCGGCCGGGAGGAAGAAGATGCCGTAGACCATGGGGCCGAGCACGGGGCCGCGACCGGCTTCGTCAACGCCGAGGACGCAGGGCGGGGCGGAGGACGGGTCGGACGGGTCGGTTGGGAGGAGAGACGGTGGGATGGGCGAGAAGTGGGAGAAGGTGGCGCCGGAGAGGAGGGCATCGCGGTGGTCTGAGACGGAAGGGGGAGTGAAGGTGCCGGAGGGGGAAGAAGAAGCGGCGGGTGCTGTTGAATCGGGGACGGCAGTGTCTTCATCCATGGTTGCGGGCTGGCGAGGTCGAGGCCGAGGCAGCGAGAAGTGAAGATGGACTTTTAGATGGCGATGCCGGTATGTGGTGTTGAAGCAGGATCTGATCAGCAGCAGCCTTTGTAGATGCAATTGGTATGTATGTGTGATTGACTCTCCACTGCATGAGCAATCAATCAGCGGTGCACTTCCAAATCGTGCAGTCCAAGCCGTCAATGCTCTCTGTGTAGGAGTTGAAGAGATGCCACCGGCGAATTGGCAGATGCTTGTCAGTGTCAGTTACCTCTACCGCAGTATCTAGCCCCTCGACGCGTCTGTCACTGCTCCAGACGCGTTGCGCTTAAGCTGCCAATGCCGGGGCCTGTAGTCCCCGTCTTACAGCGCCCCGTCCAGTAAAGTTCGCCCCTGGAGCCCAGCAACACGTGCTAAAGCCGTCCCAGAAATGGGCCAGCATACCTCTCTCTCCAGCAGCTTTCTGCCAGCGCATAGCAGTCACAGTGATCCATCCTCCAGCTATGCTTCTCCCCAGCCTCCCAAACCCCCGCCGTGAAAAATTTACTTGATTCGCCCATGCATGTGGCGGTAATAGCGTTGGAGAGCTGTCATTGCTGCTGGACATCTTAGCTATTCCTTAGCCGCTTCGATTCAACACGTCAACACCCGCTAGAAAAGCGCGTCGCCGAAGCCTTGAGCCGAAACTCAGCGCAAACACGAAGCTTGTTAGCGTCGCTTTTGTGGTCGAGACAGCGAAAAGCTCCCAGTTTCTTGGAAGAGGCGGAACTTATTAGAGGGAATTCATCATCAATTATCTCTCTCCCTCCCCTCTCTCTTGTTGCGAAACCGAACAATTCCGACATTGTTTCTTAAACCATGCCTAGAGGCGGCGGCGGGCGAAGAGGCGGCGACTCCTCAGTTGAGCCCGAAGCTATCCATGAGCTTGGAGTTCGAGGCCGGTACGTTGGGAAGCTCCAGAGAGGATGAAATCGAAAGTGAAAACCGCACACCAAGATTCCAGCGGCATTTTCGGGGGAGAATCTGCAAAGCGTGGGCTATGCGGGCAGCGCTGATATGTTGGTGCGAATAGGAAAACAGGCGCCTTCTTGAAAGACACTGGCGAGCGCGATGAGCATGGCATGCAGCCTCTGGACGCCATTTTCTCATCGCCAGGCGACGCAGAAGCCAATCGAGACGAATCCGGGAGCGAAGATATGGAGATATCATCAAGTGAGCTGACCCTCTTTGCTATGCGGATTCGCTGGGCGCGATCATAGTCAGCGGCGCAAGGCATGGCTGACTGACTCTATCTGTTTACAAAATCTAGGTGCTGGGCCAGGGCCGCGAACAGTCCTCAAGAACCGACACAGCTTCCAGTACTTCTCTCCCCCGATCTATTCGTCTCTCAGAACGAACCCTAGCTTACCAGTTACAGAAATGCGACATCATCTTCCCCTACGCGCAACCCCAGCGCCGAAAAAGCAGCCCGAAGACTCGACTTTTCAGGGAAAGCAGGAAACAAAGCGGCGGCTAAGACGAATGGGAAACCTAAGGCGGCTGCAGTCAATGGCGCTTCACAGCGACTAGACGATTCAGAATCAGAAGAGCTGGACGACGTCATGAGCGCAGGTGAAAACGGGGTGGCGGTTGAGGATATAGCTGAGGAATCCATGATGATGGTTGATTCAGCACAAATATCATCACAGAAAAGACGTGGTAGGCAAGCCAAGGAAGCTCCCCCGGCAAAGCCCAAAGCGCCCAAAGTTGCCACGCGAGCTCCGGTGAGGCTGCCTTCAGAGGAATCAGAACCTGAACAACAAGAAGAGGGGCCCGAAGAAGAGGAATCAGAACAGGAGGAGCCGGAAGAGGTGCTGGCCAGCACCAAGCAAAAGGGCCGGCGATCAAAGCAAGATCAGAAATCATCATCTCAGCCATCGAAGAAGCGAGGACCCGCGCGAAGATCCCCGCGCGAAGACACCCCCGAAGAAACACGAGAGCCATCTGAAGAGGAGGAAGAAGAGGATGTGGCACCACGAAAGAAGCAGCGCACAACTGGATCAACAGCCGCTAAAGCCGGGTCTTCCAAGTCAAAACCTTCAAGTAAAGGCAAAGCCCCTGCTCCTGCTCGGGGCAATATCGTCGTGCCAGTATCAGCAGGGGGCAAGAGCAAACCCAAAGCTGACGCCAAGGCCAAAGGCCGACCTGGACGAAAGCCCAAGAATGGCAGCGCGGGCGGAGATGAAGATGGAGAGGTTGGGGAGACATCCTTTGCGGCGCTGCAGCGCGGGCCGCCTATGCCCAAGTCTCGCGGCCTGGTGTCTTTGCGCAAGGATTTGGACAACACGATGACGCAGACAAGATCCGGACGACACTCTTACCGGCCAGTTCAGTATTGGAGGGGCGAGCAGGTGGTCCGAGAAGATGAGGAGCAGGCAGATATGTTTGCCAAGGATCGGTTCGTTTTGCCGAGCATCAAAGAGATCGTTCGTGTGCCCGAAGAGGAGGCCCGCAGCAGGAGCACTACGTCAAAGGGCAAAGCACGTCCCAAGGCGAAGAAGCCCGTGGTGGAAGAAGATTATGAAGAATGGGAGGTCAGCCCCGGCACCGTGGAGGGCGAGGTTGTAATATGGGAGAAGGAGCACGAGGAGCACCCCCCAGCGGATGACGAGCCTGTTCAAGTCACAGACGAGCGCATCGCCATCTCAGCCAAAGCGGTGCAGACGTCAGAGATTCGTGATGCGACATTCCGGTTCGCGAAGACATTGACGATGCCGTTCATGGGAGCTGGCGTGGTTGATCTGCCGCCTGGAGGCGAGAAGCGGCCCAAGAACTCGAGGAAAATGCACATGGTGTTTTTCGTTCATACAGGGAAAGTCATGGTGACGATCAACGAGGCGCAGTTTCGCATATCGGCAGGCGGTATGTGGTTTGTGCCAAGAGGTGAGTTTGCTTCCCCTTCATTAGCTCCTATTCCACCCCTTCAAACTACTGTGAGATAATTGCAAGGGGTCTAACTCTGGATTTTCAACAGGCAACTATTACAGCATTACGAATGACTACGACAACCCCAGCCGAGTATTCTTCTGCCAAGCTTGTGAAATATCACCATCGCAGTTTGAAGCTTCACAGATGAGCATAGGAGCATGATGAAAAGCACTCCCTTTTTTTTCCAACTATATATATTGTATACCATCCCATTCATGACCATCACGACCAACCGATCACTGTCATACTCTTCTCACTGCGGCATGCCAAACACACGCAGGATGTAACATTTCTTCTTCTTCTTCTTTCTCTCAACGCTCACACGGCATGCGAACTTGACTGAATTCCCGATTCTTCTCTAATCCTCGCACCAACCTGTTTTCTTTCTTGTGCTACTTTCTTCCTTTTTGTTCTTGTCATTGGTTTGATGAAAAACGCAAAAGAGGGGGCTGGGGGGGGCAAGAAAGTGTCATTATTCATTTCTTTTGATCTTTCAAAACGGCGCAAGGTGGGATTTGTTGTACAGAACAAGCGAAGGAGGGCCTGGGAGAAGGGAGTAACTGGCGGATTTTTCATAATCTATAGCAAGCTTTTTTTTTTTTTTTTTTTTTTCTTGGAGGCGTTGAAAACAAAGTGCATTTTTGCTTTTCTTCTCTTCATGGCAGGTTCCTTTTTTTGACTGTTCGTGTCTTGTTTAACTGTTTACTTAAAGGACATTTGAGTAGCAATTCATCTACATGCATGCGATTTTAATATTCTTAATGTCAGGATAAGTACAACTATAGGGCAAGCAAGAGAGGAAATGCAGAATTGAAGTAATTCTTATATGGTAAGCGACCATTATTCGAAGAGAAAACATGCAATATGTGGAGAAGTAGTGACGATGCAGAATGGTGGCTTATTTACTATATAATAATACAATACATACCGCTAGAGTATCGCCACAACATCTCTCATGTAAACAGATCAAAACTCCTCATTCAAAATCTTCTTCAGCCCAGCCATTTCATACTCCATCTTCGCAATCTTCCTCTGTCCAACGTCCAACTTGCTCAACAAGTACATGACTCTACCTGCCGACTCTCCAGTATGTCGTGGCAGCCCGCCCAACAGCTGCAGTTCCTTTTCCACCGCATCAATGTTCTTGGCTTCCACTTTGGACATTTCAGTCAGCACCGCTAAGTCCATCTTTGCGCGAAGCACGCGGTCCTTGACAAGCACGCCGAACGCCGCCTGGTGGAGTGGCTTGCCAGCCGTGATGGTCTGAGGCCGGCCACGGTGGGTATTGACCGTGATGAGCTCGGCACCAGCAAGACTCTCGATAGCGGCCTCTCCATCGTTCGCAAAGGAAGTAAGAGAAGAAGCAAATGTAGGTGTGAGAAGAACTTGGTGGTATCGCAACGTCGGATTTTCTGCAAGTGCCTTGATCAAGTGCCATGCTTGCTCAGTAGACCATCTTCTATCCGCGTCGGCGGTCCTTCCAAGAAGATACATCTTGACAATGTCGGTTGCATCTTCAGTAACAATTTCTTCAACTGCCTCGTGAGGAGTCTGTCCCGCCCTGAGTCGTCGAGCGAGGAACTCAAGATCAGTCAAACGGCCTCCCAGCACCTTGATGCCCTCGTCCAATCCAGCCATGTTGGGCCGTTTGGGCTGTTTCTTCTCATCCAAACCTTCTTCTGCTTCCTCTTGAGCTTCACGTTTCAAATCTTCTTCCACGCGAGTAACGACAAAGTTCTTTGCGATATCGGCATCCAAGTCACCTAGTGAGAGAGTGCGGAAAACTCTGTCTGGCATAGCTTTGGTGAGCGACTTTGAGTAAGCGGAGTCGCTGGTAAGGAATACAACATGGGCAACGTTGTTCTGCACCACGGTTGCCGCCCACTCTGCAATCATGTCATAGACAATGCTAGACTCTTCGTTCTTATGAAGGAAATTGTCAACAACAATGATTGGTCGCTGTTCCGGGTGTGCTTCCAAATATGCGTCTTCGGACAGATTGGAATCCTTGTCAGATTTATGTCGACCCGAGAGTGCGACGCTCTTGAGAGCTGAAGCAGTAGTGTGCAAGATCTTGTTCAACTGCGATTCTAGGGTTTCAGAAAACCCAGACTTGACACCAGTTGTGCCCTGAACCGCGAGATCAATCATGCTACTAATGCTGTTTGCCCATGAGAATACCGGACGATATCCGACAGCAGCCGCGAGTCTCTTAATTGTACCGGCTTCACCATTAGCTTCTATAATCGGCTTGCAGTCGATGAGGACTACATTCTTGCGGTCGCTCAAAGTCTGGCTCATAACCATCTCTGCCTTTCCTGAGCCTCTGGGACCAGTGACAACAATAAAGGTATCAGAGCTGCCGTCCAGCCAACTTTGAAGCTGTTCAATGAGATCTTTGCGGTGTTTCCAGATTGTGCCAAGGCCTTCGATATGCTCTTCCTTCCTGTAGAAAGAAAAGGTGCCTGTCTGTGACTTGAACCATTTGTAAATTCTCCAGTCAGTGTAGCGAAGAGAGTGCTGTACATGTACTTTGATGAAGAACTCTCGAATAGGATCAAAGATGACGACCGAGACACCCGCAATGAGAGCCGCCACGATTGGGATAACGATTCGGGGATGAGTTGTAAGCCAGTTCCAGATGCTGTGAGCTTTTTCCTTCTGTACATAAGATAGCCGTAGTTTGGTTCCATTCTTGCCACCTCCTTGGGCTCCGCTAACGACAAACCCGTGCAAACAGTTTCGAGCCATGATAGTATCGCGTAGTCCGGGAAAGCCAATCTGAGCATACCTTGGCGTGATCTTTGAATCAGCTGGCTGAGGAATAATGTCCGCAATTTTACCATATCGACGGAACAGGCTGTAAAGGACCTCTTCAGGAAGCTCTTCGGCAGCGGCACCTGGTTCAGGAGGGACAAACTCGACCATGAGCATCTGAGAGGGGTATCGATGAAGGTCTTCTAGCCAGGGGACACCACGGACAGTACGAGCCCTGATTCCACGGAAGGGATTGAACCATGGCTTGATGGGCTCTTCTTTAAGCTTGTTCAGCAGCTTGGCTATCCCATAGTCAGTCATCAACAGTAAATGACAAATTTATTCGATCCAATTGACTTGCCTTCAATCTCAGATACGCTCAGGCTAGGATCATATTCAAACTTGACAAAGGCTCCGCCATCTTTTAGCCGTGGCAAGATCTCTGTCACTTTAATAGGCAAGTTCTTTGGTATCGCCCTCTTCACCAATTGGATGGGATCCATGATCCCCAAAGAGGAGCTATTGAAACGCTTCAAGAGGTCTGACACGTGCCGATCCGTCTCTACTCGGCGACTCAGCAGTGAACTGAGCCTAATAGGAAATAAATCTGGAAACAACCTCGAGTCAGCGGAAAGATTCACCCATGAAATGATGAGCTCCATCACAATGCCTCACTATCGAAAAAGAGAATCGACTCATTAGGCTTGACGTCGAATCGCCCGCTCTCCTGCTCTTCCGAGGGAGATAAATCCTGCTTCTTCGCCTCATCATTCAAAGGCGCCGACATTGTCGCCTCCCAGGCCCTCTGCCCGGCTCGATATCTCATCAGCCCATAATCGGCCTGTCTCCTGGCCACATGGAGTCTGGTAGGCCACGATCGCAGCGCCCGCGTGCCGCTGGATCGCGCCGCCAGCGACGCAAGCCTCTGCGTAGGAATCATGACAGCTCGTCGCTACAAAAGTTGCACATTTCGCCAATTCATGAGATATTAAGGGGAAAGAGAAAGTGTGTCATGTCAAGCATGTTATTAGTACCTATGCAGCTCTCATATAGTATGATGAGCTAGCTTGGTTAGCACAGGGCCAATGAGGTCATAGGAAATCACTCCTAGCTATCTCCTGGATTAGGAAAAGCCATCCCGCCGGGAAAGCTATTTTCCCGGATGAAATGCGATGCACCGATTATCACCATCACCTTGATGGCTTGAGAAAAAAAGATCTACTCAGTCAATATCAAGGATCAAATCGGAGAAAGAAGAGAACCACTTGCTCTATCAGCACTATCTACGTCCAATCGATAAATCAGCGACTTTCAATCTTCTTCTACATCAGAGAGCAATTAGAAACGCCAACCAAAGTGCAGCTTCAACCCGCTAGCTTCAATCGCTTCATATACATATCAGACATCGCCATCTGCGAATAGCTTCAATCAAAATGGGCTGGCTCTGGACATCATCGCCCCCCAAACCACCAACCGATCAGCCCTCATCCTCTGATTCTTCCACCTCTCCTCTACCTCCAACATCCTCACCAACACCCAGCTCATCTCAAGCTCCCAACGAGCCCGTTGATCCCGAAATCCAAAAACTCCTCGACCTCTTCAACAAATCCGACGACACCCCCAAATCCTCCTCCTCCTCCTCCTCCTCTTCTTCTTCTTCTTCTACAAATCAACCCCCCTCAGCCCTCTCCTCATGGCTCTCCTCCAAATTCTCCTCCGCCCCCGAAGCCCTCCCCGTGCCCCCCCTCGACCCCGTCAGCGAATCCCTCCTCCCAACCGACATGTCCTGCCGCCAGGCCTTTGACCTCGCCTGGTCCTGCAACTCCCTCGGCGGCCAGTGGAACGCCGTCTACCGCCACGGCGAGATGCGCTCCTGCAGCCATCTGTGGGACGACTTCTGGTTCTGCATGCGCACAAAATCCTTCTCCGGCCCCATCAAGGAGAACGCCGTCCGGGAGCACTACCGCCGCAAGGAGTACGAAAAGTACTATGCGCCCGGCAGGCATAGCAGCGAGGAGATTTGGGAGGCCAGGAAGCAAAAGATGGCTCCGGGAACTGCCTTTTCTGAGGCTATTGAGATTGCGCGGGTTGATGACGATGAGTGGAGGAGGTTGGAGGACGAGAGGAGAAAGAAGATACGACAGGATCTGGGATTTGAAAAGAAATCATGAGCGTAAAAGACGTTTGGAAATTTATGTAAAAAGGAGAAACACACATACATGTATTATAATTTCTATCTTGATACTCTATCATATCAAGTGTTTCTACTCATTGTACACCTATACAATCCAATATATTGAGGGCATGAGCTTCAAAAGTTTCCATATATCATTTACCGTCACACAATGCCGCTCAAGAAGTGCAATGGCCATTCTTCAGATTCCAATCGCCAGCCGTATACATCTTCGATAATTATTAGGGAGAGTGCATGCTTCTACTCCCCAAATGTTATTCTTCACGCGACGTTAGTACTTAGTACCATTATGTGCTGTGCCACACATGATATAGAAATTACACTAAAATTAAAGGCCGCACACGATACAGTCAATCATATTTGATTAGCTACATGTTATTTTCTTTTATCACATTCACAAAGCGATTAGGACGAGCATCATTATATTCCATATTTTTTTTATTCCCTTAACTAATTAAAATACAACCAGGGCAAGCATCCCGCCCAGCTTTTTACCCTTCATGTCCGTGATATGCTAGTTTGAAAAAAATGAAAAAGCAAAAAGTGCAAAGAAAAAATCTAATCATAGCATCATCCCTTGATCCCCTAGAGTAGGCCTCCACATCGTAGACGCATTACCAATCTGGAAGTTCAAGTCTGATGTTGGGGTATCAAAATTTTCGGTGTTGGTCAATTTAGTCGACCTCCTCGACGGTAGGGCCGTCATCGTGGCCAGCGGGAGGAGGACCACCGGCGCCGGGGAAGCCGCCAGGACCGCCGGGCATGCCACCGGGGGCGCCACCCTCACCACCAGCTCCGTAGAACTTCATCATGATGGGGTTGGCAACACCCTCGAGCTCCTTCTGGTGCTCCTCGTACTCCTCCTGGGTGGCCTGCTGGTTCTCGTCGAGCCAAGAGACAATGGAGTCAATCTTGGTCTTGAGGGTCTCCTTGTCGGCGGCCTCGATCTTCTCATCGACCTTGGGGTCGTTGAGAGTGTTGCGGAGAGAGTAGGCGTAAGACTCAAGGCCGTTCTTGGCAGAGACACGCTTGCCCTCAGCCTCATCCTCCTCCTTGTACTTCTCAGCATCGGAAAGCATGCGCTCAATCTCCTCCTTGGACAGGCGGCCCTTGTCGTTGGTGATGACAATCTTGTTGGACTTGCCAGTGCCCTTCTCAACAGCGGAGACGTTCATGATACCGTTGGCATCAACGTCGAAGGTGACCTCAATCTGGGGAACACCACGAGGGGCGGGGGGGATGCCAGTGAGCTCGAACTTGCCGAGCAGGTTGTTGTCCTTGGTGCGCTGACGCTCACCCTCGTAGACCTGAATGAGGACACCGGGCTGGTTGTCAGAGAAGGTGGAGAAGACCTCGGACTTCTTGGTGGGGATGGTGGTGTTGCGGGGGATGAGCTTGGTCATCATGCCACCAGCAGTCTCGATACCCAGAGACAGGGGAGCGACGTCGAGAAGCAGGATCTCGTTGGTGGACTTGGAAGAAGTGTCACCAGACAGGATAGCAGCCTGGACGGCAGCACCGTAGGCAACAGCCTCATCGGGGTTGATGGACTTGTTGGGCTCCTTGCCGTTGAAGTAGTCGGTGATGAGCTTCTGGATACGGGGGATACGGGTAGATCCACCGACGAGGACGATCTCATGGACCTGGGACTTGTCGATCTTGGCATCGGCAAGGACGCGGTCGACGGGCTGGATGGTGGATCGGAAGAGATCCTGGCAAAGCTCCTCGAAACGGGCACGGGTGATGGAGGTGTAGAAGTCAACACCCTCGAAGAGAGAGTCGATCTCAATGGAGGTCTGGGCAGAAGAAGAAAGGGTTCGCTTGGCACGCTCGCAAGCAGTTCGGAGACGACGCAGAGCACGAGCGTTAGTGGACAGATCCTGAGAGGAAGTTAGCGAATTGTTCTGATGGTCATCACAAGCTAGGGGATTTGATTTGTTACTAACCTTCTTGTTCTTGCGCTTGAACTCGTTGACGAAGTGGTTGACCAGACGGTTGTCGAAATCCTCACCACCCAAGTGAGTGTCACCGGCAGTGGACTTGACCTCGAAGATACCCTCCTCAATGGTCAGGAGAGAAACATCGAAAGTACCACCACCAAGATCGAAGATGAGGACGTTGCGCTCGCCCTCGACCTTCTTGTCAAGACCGTAGGCAATGGCAGCAGCGGTGGGCTCGTTGATGATACGCAGGACGTTGAGACCGGCAATGAGACCGGCGTCCTTGGTAGCCTGACGCTGGCTGTCGTTGAAGTAGGCGGGGACAGTGATGACGGCGTTGTTGACGGTGCCGCCCAGGTAGGCCTCGGCGGTCTCACGCATCTTGGTCAGGATCATGGAGGAGATCTCCTCGGGGGTGAAGGTCTTGGTCTCGCCCTTGAACTCGACCTCGACGACGGGCTTGGAGGCCTTGTCGACGATCTTGAAGGGGAAGTGCTTCATATCAGCCTGAACCTCGGCGTCGGCGAACTTGCGACCAATCAATCGCTTGGCGTCGAAGACGGTGTTCTGGGGGTTCATGGCGACCTGGTTCTTGGCGGCATCACCAATCAGACGCTCGGTGTCGGTGAAGGCAACAAACGAAGGGGTCGTTCGGTTACCCTGGTCGTTGGCAATGATATCACACCGGTCCTCACGGAAGATACCGACGCAAGAGTACGTAGTACCCAGGTCGATACCGACGGCTGGTCCCATAGACATGGTGTGTGATTTGTGTGGGAAGAAACTCTCGAAATTAGAAAAAAAGGGAAAATAGCGTTAGTTGAAGAGGAGGAAAGAAGAGAAAAAGATTGTAGACGTGGTGGGATTTAGAGAGGATGTTCTGGGAAGGAAAAAAGAAGCGGCGTTTGGCTGCAGAGAGCATCTAAATAAAGGTTGGTGGAAGGGCTTCGATGCGGTTCTACACTATTCCAAAGGTGCCCACACCGGAATCTTGCAGGGGCTCTGAGAAGGCTCTGGCAGGCACTGCACACGCCTAGACCATGCGGCGAAGCTGCTGGAAAGCTCTCGCGCCTCTGATTGGCGCCTGCGATCAGTGCCCGACAAGGTTTTTGAAGCTGTCCCTTGCATTGTTTATTTTTATTCTATTGATTTGATCTCTTTGTCTCGAGAGCTCAATTGCTCGCTCGTGCTCGTCTTCCTTTTCCCCCTCCTTCACAGCCCCTCCTTTCCCTTGATGTCATCTCCCCCTCCAGCTCCATGAAAGAAAAAAAAACTTCCATCGCGGGGCAGTGGCTAGGTTCCTGGGACTTGGAGGCCCCATACAGTAAGGCTGCCGTGCGCTGGTAGCGGGTACATTGCTGCCCCACCATAAGGCGCTAGAAGGTGCTGGACAGCTCCCTGCGGCGTATCGCTGCCTTACAGGCTGCGTTGCTGGCGAAAGGTGCCCATAATTGTTGCCCTCCGTGGCGTGGCCCAGCTGGCAGCGCCCTGGACAGACGAATTGTGAGAATTCCTAGCTGTAGGTACCCTTTTCGCTGCTGATGCTGGGCCAAAATCCGATCGGTGGACTGCTCAGCAGAAGAACAGGCGGCAGAACTATCTCGTCATCTTGACGCATCCATGGCCTTATCGAAGCAGCTCGCCGCAATAAGCAGCTTTGGTTTATGCAGCAGCAAACTTCTCGCTTAGCACTACCCTAAACTACGCACATCCATTGCCTACCGCCTACTAAGGTACCTCTGTTGCTGCTCGTCCTACAGTCTCAGACGCTCTGAAACAAGAGAAAAAGCGCCCCCTGTATCCATCCCCAATCAAAGGGGGACAAGGCAAGGCAGCAGAGAAGCAAAAAGAATCCAAAGAAGGGGTGGCAAGGCACTGCTTGGGCGGCGAGGCAATCAGCGGATCCCGCCCACCATCATCCAGCCGCTGGATCCCAGCAACGCCTAATCCCAATCCTGTGTACAGCGCACATACAAGTAGAATGCAGTAACACGCACATCACATACACAGAGATACCGCTGTAGAAGGAAAATTTTTGGTCTCCACCCTCTCTCTCTTCAACCCCTGTGGGTTCATGAAATCATGGAATTCTCCTTCTCGTTCGCCTCCATAAGCTGCTACTAGTACCCAGTAGTAGATAGCATTAGTCGTAAAAGAGTAGCAGATTGATACTACTTGGGGTAGTGCAGCCATCAAAGACCCATTCATCTGGCCAACCACATGTTCGCTTCTCATCGTCGCCCAACAACAAACCCAAGTACTAGATCCAGAACAGAGGAATCTCAATGCCGTAGCCCTGGGAGACACAATGTACGGTACAAAGGGTCTATCACATGCATCCAGCATCACTCGATATTTCTGTAAGAATGAAATAATCTATCATGAAGCAGCACTGCACAGCTCGCAAAAAAAAAAAAAAAAAAAAAAATCTCTTACCTCACAATCAGGCAATTCCCCAGCTCTTAGCCAAGGACCTAAAAAACTGGGGCGTCCGCCAGAAGAGAAACAGCTCATTCTCTTTCGGATATCCTGGAAACTCTCAAAGAAGCCTTTGGAGAACAGGCCATTTCCTAAATCATCTAACCAACGGTTGCGTGCATCTTCATCCTGCTGTCCGCTAATTGTTGACTTCCTTTCTTTGTGACCCAGCTAATCTGTGAGACCCACTGGCTTGTGCAGAGTAAAAGCTCCTTTTAGCTTTGCCAATCACGCTTACTTCAGCTACGACAACAACTAGTAGTTCAGACTTGTCTGAACTAGTTTGTGGGCAAACAGATAGTTGTAGATATCGTCGAAACTCTGATTGAGCTACGCATCCAAACTCACAGCGCTTTCCAATATCTCAGCTATCGTACACATGAAACACACAAGACGGAGACTCCAAACATTGTGCTACATAACACCACGCAAATAAACGCCCGTCATACCCGACTTTAGAATTCCATGAACCATGACTTCATACGGCAAACAGCATGATATATGAAAACCAACACAAGATACTTACCAATTCATAATTAGCTAAAATCATCCCATCCCATCCCATCCTCTCTCTTTCTCCTCTCTCTTTCTCTTACTCCGTAACTAGACGCAACTTTTTGCCTACGTCTCGCCTTCTTGCGTTCACAGCCGCTCGTTCTGATGCTTTGGTCTCCTCCTCTGTCGTATTGCCGCGAGCCTTGAGTGCTTGGAAGAGCATTCCCGCGTCAAAGAAGCCGTCTATGAAGCATATGATTAGCAAATTTTCAGTTATAATAGTAATGACATGTGACTTACATCCACCAAGCTCGTCATCGTCGCTGGTGAAGCTGGTTTCTGTCGGTGAACCAGGGCCCTGGCTGAAGCGTCTACCTCCCGGTCTAATCATTTCCGAGCCAGTGATCAGTCTGCCTCGAGACTTAAGTCGGTTCGATGGCTTTGGTCTAGCCAATTCGGCTTCACGTGCCCGGCTCCCCTTTGCGCTGACCACCTTGCCATTTGTAATGCGCAAGATGCGTCGGATTTCCAAGAGATAGCTCTCTAACGTATCCACAAAACGCTTCGTTTGTCGGTGCTTGCTGGACACGCAGATTGAGATGGCATCATCCTTGATAATGTAGCCGATACCAAATCCGTCTCCGGATGTTGGCCCAAATCCAAAGTGGCGAAGAGAAGGGTTGCCACAGTTAGAAGTTGAAAGAATCGTCGTGTTCAGCCTGTCCCATCCAGAGTCTGCAAAGATGAGTGGGAGTGGATGATGATCTCGCGACCTGGAGTTCGTGCTATCGCCACGTTCCCTTGACGGCCGGACTTCGACGCCGTCAATCGACAGAGAAGAGCTCCTTGGGCTTGTGGTCGGTGAAGATGTTGCAGGGCTTGACGCTCCAGGGCTGCTCATTCCGCTATCAATCAAATCATCCACATACTTTTGCCACACGCTGAATAGCGCATAGAGATGTCGATCACATCCCTGTGCCTTTGCGCATTCTCTGGTGTTGCTGACATGCTTGACACAAGCGCGCTTGAGAGCCTCAATCTTTTGCTCTGCCGGATTGTCGCCCCAGAAAGTCTGAACAAAGTCCACAGATTCCTTTGTCACAGGTCGAATGGCCTCTGTGCGACCGTGCAAGAAAGTCTTAGTCATGGCAGGCTCGTACGTACATTCGACTCTGCCATACAGGCCATAATAAGCTGCCTGGAACGCCATCTGGACAAAGGCATCGGGCGAGAATCCCATCGAAGTGATAAAGTGCTTGCCATACGTTGAAAAGTCGAGGCACTGGAATTCATTCTGTTCGATCAAGTCTGCCAGTCTGGTCTCTGCAAATCGTACCGCGATGCTCAGCTCCGGAATCATGTCCCATCCTAGTTTTCGGGGCGTAGTGTTGACGTCTCCGAAACTATCAATCTCCCGCTTGGATGGGTCAGGGCTGGTAGATGTCCACAGCGTCGGCGCCTGTCCATTGATGGTTCGCGCAAAGCGAAGGATCGTGTCTGTATACACATCACTAGCGAATCGCAATACTGTGTGACCATCCACACCAGTGTGCTCGAAGTTGATACCGGCGCTTCCATTCTTGCAGACAATAATCTGAAGCTTGTCGTACCACCGGTTTGTGCATGTACCGATCTGAACTCCATTTTTCACTTCACTGGTTCCACATAGCATATTCTGGCAGAGATCTGCAACGTTATTTGGCTCGGAATAGTCAAGGCACAAGACGAAGAGGGCCGAGTCGACAATGTTCAGTGAGTCGGCATTGTTCGATCCCGGTTCGCGAGTCAGAATATCTCGAAGGCCGGACCAAACCTTGCGGTTTTCCGTGCTAAGCACGCCAAGAGCACCCTTTGCCGCATCCTGGATGGGGGTCTGGCTGGCATCGTCGACAATAGTTTGGAGGTTGAGCTCAATGTCTTTTTCGGTCATGATGACATCCGAGTTGTCGTCGAGAACATCAAACCAGTAGACCTGGCCGTGGCACATCACGACAATATGCTTCGATTCCGGGTCCTGCTCAATCTGGCATCCGGCTTCGGTGGGAACTCTAGCCGTACCAAAGAGTCGCGAGAACTGGTACATGCACAACGGGGTTCCTTTCATCTTGTCCGGCGGCAGCTCTTCCTTTCGAACCGCTCTGATGAACTCCAGGGACGACACGACAAGGGAGGCTGCACGAGTCACCTGATTGTTTCTTGCTGGGGTCGGGTCATCTTCCAGAAGGAAGAAAGGATTAAGGTTGAGAACTACGGGATTATCAAAGTTGAGATACGAATCATACCCTTTTCATCAATGTCAGCGTCAGCTATTATCGTACAGTCAAGATGGCGTAGGCTTACAAAATTGTTCGATATAACTGGTCTTGCCCTGGGCATATCTCTTCAACTTCTCCTGCAAGTCGGGCCCTTCCTCTCTCAGGAATTCGTTGACTGCATGTTTTGTTTCAGCATGCTCCCTAGGAGACTGCAGTGGCTTTAGAGCTTCCAGATACTTGTTGGCCGTGCTCTCGAGTTCGGGGATGGGTAGCTTCGGTAGCTTGTCCTGGGCCGCAAAAGTAATGCCGCCTTCCATCTTTTTATCGTTGTATGTCGCCTTAGGTACTCTGGTATACGCACCAGATAGCTGCGGAGGCTGTCGTGGAGTGGGAGTGGCAGTCTCAGACCGGACTGGCTCGGACGCTTTTGGTGGCTCTGGCAAGTCTGGGAGGCTGCGAGGAATGTTGTAGTAGGATTTGGGTTCCGCAAGCCGTTCGGCTATGGACTGAGGGGGGTTGAAGACACGAACTGAGGCCGTCATAGCGTCAGTAAGTTAGAGTCGATTTAACAATATAGAGGTGAGATGCTGGTGCTGATGGAGAGTCCGCGAAGGGCAGTGCGGTAGAAATAGTGACAGTCGTCGTGGCAATAAGCGGGCATTACACTTGAGGTGCCACGCAGGTGAAGTCGAGGCTCATGAAGGCGAATGACAGAGTAACAAACGGCAGTGCCGACGGAAGAACCGGGGGACGGGAATTAGTAGCAAAGAAGAAAGGTGCGTGAGAGTCAAACGCGACTAAGGGATATATATATATACCTATATACTATATGCAGTATATAAATATGCGTCTATGCTCGTGTAGACGTCGGCTATGGATCAGAATCCGGGGGACGGGGACAGGGTGGAGTCTCCGCAGTCAGCCGGAGCCTTTATGAGGGTATATGCAAGTAGTAATGAGACGAGAAACCCAGTAAGAAACCGAACGTCTCTGATGACAGTGGGTCATCTGCGTAATTCACCATCAAGAGGATGTGACTGGGTTGAGTGAATAACAGCTAGGCTTTACCGGGGCTAGAGATGGAGAAGGGGGAAGCGTGGGAGAGGCCCTCCGCATGCCCGGCCGCGATAAGAAGGCCTTGCCTCTTACACGGGGAGAAGCACCCACGTACTGTACCTACAGCTTTGCAGGCAGCTCCAGCGCCCGGTCAAGTACACTTGTACACTGATTCGGGGCTTAGTGTGAGGTGAGATCTAACACGGGAGAATAAAACAAAACAATAACCGACGATCGGCTGGGTATGAAAGGCATCATAGCGAAGGCTCTGACTTACAGGCCGGTGGTTACCTTGCGATGGTTAGACGGGCGGTTGGTTGGTTGGTTGGTTGGTTGAGTTGATTGATTGGAACGCGCGCAACGGATTTGACGAGTTGCAACGGCTGATTCGGGAGCATGTGCCTGTCTGCTACATGTACTTTGCGCATGAGCCCGCAAAGAACAGTCTGGCGGCGACTTGAGACTGGCTGGAAAGGATACCCGGGGGGTGAGAGGCGAGAGAAGCTGCTGGCGATGCGTCCGAAGTGGGGAGTGTAAGAGAGCGCAGAAGCAACCACGGCGGACTGGAAGAAAAGGACTGGGCCGATTTCAAGGTGAGGAAGCGCAATGGCAACGTGTGCTCGGCTGCGGGCTGCGACGAAGCCAAGAGCAAAGAACGTGCCTCGATCTGGCGTCACGTCAAGTGGACCAGAAGCGGCTTGGAGTGGTGGCTTCGGACGAGGGGATGTTCGGATCGGAGGGTTGCGAGGGTTTCAAAGAGGCATTTGATTTGCAGAATGTCGTCTGCAAAGGGGAGTTTGGGGCGAGCGGGCGACGCTAGACGTTGATTTCCAATCTGGAGAGACAAAGGCTGTTTTTGCTCGTTTTTTCTGCTTCTCCTAGGCTGCTGTGAACGCCCAGGCAAGGGTCCTCGTGATGGCCCCGAGATTGTCACGATGATGTTGTGCGTGGCAAAGATCAAAAGCACTGATGGATGCTGAGTCAGTTGGTGGTCGCCTGGAGAATACTCGGTATCTAGGGCAGGATGGCTTTTACTGGTCACAAGGCCATTTCTCAGGGCTGGAGCCTTCTGGATGCATTCATGCTGCCCTGAAGGATAAAAGCAATATTCGATGCAGCGCCTGTAAATTTGACAGCACGCCTACCAAACAGCGGTTTTGCACAAGGCCTAGAAGCGAGAGGCTGTAGGCCGTTCCACTGTAACGACGTCACGAGCTAGTGACCCCATGGCGGCCCCAAATCGCTCCGCATGGGGGAGGCGTTCTGGCGTCTGGTGGTATTGATGCGTTGATGTAACATGTGGGAGGGAGTTCCTTGTACCTCTGGGCGCCAGGTTTTTACGCGGGATGTAACCCGAAGGTGAGACGCAACTAGCAGTAGCTGGTACATTCAGCCATAGCTACTGAATGCCTATGCCGTGCATGCTGCACCTTAGTCCTTCTAGGTGCGCATCACTCCTCAGTGCTAGGTATTAAGTCATAAGCAATTGGATACTGTAGCAACATACCAGCAGAACTGCGGCTTGCAGAATCGCTCATCGTCCCAAGCTCCTCTTCCAAGACACTCACTCCTTGGCCAACGCTGCCCTTCATCTGTCCCGGAGAAGCCGAGTTTCGCCTGTCTATTTTGCTTTGCGGCTGCTCCGAATCGGCTAGGAAAGGCTCCCGGGCAAGAGGATGAAAAAGATAGAGACAAAAAAAAACTAAAATCACATGTTCTGTATCTTAGTATCTGTTTCTTTCTCTTTCAAGCATCAAAATCTACATTAGGTACATACTTTAACAGCCCCCCGTGTTGCTTGACTCGTCAAATAAGCCGATAAGGAACCCCGGCTGCAGCAATCTCCTCATTACGCTCTGGTCTACTCCATACCCCATGCTCCATAAATACATGCCTCGTGTGCGGCCCGAGATTTGTTATTGCCGCTGAGATCTCAGGAGATATTGCCACCGAGTTCTTCGCTCAAGGAACTCGGGCCTCAATGGCCCGCACACCTCGGACCAACGGACCACACACCAAATATTGGCAGCACCATGCCATTGCAACTTTGATTTGCTAACGAGACTCCTCTATTCTCAGAGGCCCGTTAGGGGAGTAAATTCCGTCATTCTCATATCGTTCAGCAAATCCTTCACCCATGCTAGTCCGATATTAAGGCACCTTCACATGTCAACACTTCACTCTCTCAATTAGTCCGTGTAGCTGGCCACAGCTGTCCAGGATATCGCGCATGCATTACAACTGCTACTAACTGCAACCTTGCTCAAGTAAATTGGATCTCAAAGCTTTGACTCGGAAGATCAGGTCCGACACCTAATACGGAATGGCAAGGTTTACATTCCAACACGTGCAAAGTATATTTCCAATTATCTATATCTCAGCACCCACGATCCTTCAGGCAAAGGGCTTGCCTTGATCCATGAGCAGCGAGCTGCAGTATTTTAATAATTAAAGTACATGTTTGGGGCCGAGCTGCATACATCTATATACGCGACGTTAGGGGAAAAAATGCCTTTTATGTCTATGAGTACCACATAGGTTTTGTATATCAATCTCTCATATATTCGTGCAGCCACTGCATCATACCGCTGGCAATTTCGAGCCTGCTTTACATACATCCAACCGTCCTTAGTATTACTATAGATCGCCCTCGGACAAAGTTACAATACACTGTAGAACTACATTTCTACCTACCTATGCCCCTCACCTTTCGGGAACAAGCACATGCTTGTGTACCGGCCATACAAGGATTTTCATATGGAGATTACATTCTTTAATTTGGCCAAACCAGAAAGCAAGCAGCACTGGTTCTATTTTGTGCTTATTCTGAAGAGTTTAATTTAGATTGGCACCGCACCCTTTTAATATCTTGTCTCTAAACGTGCCCATCATCCCCTCTCTATAGGCTTAATACCTGACGCCCAGTCACTTATTTGTCACAAATTATCCGTACGATTATATTATAATTGAATCATGAACATAATATGCAATCTTCAAGCTCTTCATTCCAAGAATTTGTCAAAATATCAACGTGTATCATACGACTATTATCCTCTTGCCGCTACTGACTCTTTCTCATAAGAGACTGATCACTACTTTATGACCTAAATAAGTCTCAATTGGTCCCAGCATACCAAACCAGCCAATTAAACAGTCCGTCTCAAGTGGCGAAGATTTACTTGAAAATAAGTCCAAGGTATTATCCTCATCCTGTTCTCCATTGCCATCTCAGATTCATCAAACCGAGCTCACTGCCAATAATCTCTCGATAGGCTACATCATCCCCTACAGACACCTCCACCCCCCCATCCATAAATATTGTGAACTACTCCCCAAATCCACACGCAGCACAATAAATATGTAAAACGGATCCGTTTATCGTACATGGGGATCTTGATCCCATGAGGTAAACTCGAGCTTGGATACTCCGTAGGCCCCGCCCAACGTCAAGCTTATAAAGTGGGCTGACGTGCTGCCGAATCAACATAACTTACATGTTCACAAAATTAACGACTCAAGTACTTATGCTAGTTTTCAACAGTATGTATTAAATTAACAATATCCACAAGCTTGAAGCTATTTTCAGGCGAACCTTTGAGAGATGTGTACAAGAGCCATTGCTGCCATACCACAAAAATGCTCAGACAGAAAATTCGAGATCGGGAATGACAGCAAGGCAAACAAAAATCCTTCAATGTCCATAAAATATATATAAACAGCCCAGCACACAGCATTAATTCCATCAAATGCCTTCCTGCAATCAAAGTGAATATATCTAAAAGGTGAAGAAAAAAAGAAGTAAAAGAGTCCCGAAAATTGCTTCTAAGTCAACTCCGGCACTGATGCAAAAATCAAATATCCAATCCCATAACGCCAGCTCGCTCATATTTTTTTTGCTTGCCGATGTTCATATCAGTTTTTTTTTTTCCGTATCATATGCTATTTTCATCAACCATGCTGCCTAATGATAGCTGCTATCTAAGCAAGCTCGTGCATTTCGCCGCGATGGTTGTCTGAACCAGCTGCCGGGGCCTCGTGAATCACGTTTTCTTGGGGCTGGAAGCCTCCGGCCACGGGAGCTACATAGCCACCAGACGGGGCCGGGCTGGTGCTTGACGGAGCAAGGCTGTATCGAGGGTCAATGTGCGATCCATTGGGTGACGTAGCCTGGTCAGGTGAAACCGAAGGCTGTGGAGGGTAAAATCCTTGCTGGCCGTACTGCTGGTTGGGGGGGTATGGCTGTTGTCCCGTGGCCGCAGCAAACTTGGGGTCATAGTAGCCCTGGGGGGGCTGTTGCATCCCGGGAGCTGGATAAACAACAGGAGGAGGGGCGTTTTGGCTCACTGGCTCGTGTCCAGTAGCTGGGTTCCTACGGCGGAGGAAGAAGAAGACGGCAAGGCCAATCAAGGCAAGTCCACCCACACCACCAACAACTCCTCCAACGATAGCACCAGTGTTACTCTTGGAGCCACCACTGTTTTTGCTACCATTGTTGTTGTCGCCGCTGCTTCCGTTATCGCCGCTGCTATCGTTGCCACCTGTGCTAGAGGCTGAAGAGCTAGAAGAAGAAGAAGAGGTGGGACTAGCTGAAGTAGAATCATCGGAGGTAGTAGTAGCAGGAGTGTTGCCGGTCAACGTAAGAGGGAAGAACGTCCTGGAAGATTCGCCACGGTATGTTGTCAATGCAGCCTGGATGCCGGTGATGTTCACATTATTACAGAAGACGTCCATGATGTTTCCTGGGAAGGAAATCGTGTTGCAGTAGGGTGCTTCTGTGCTTGTGCTGTTGATGTTGTTGTTAGTCAAACCAACTAAAGTACGATTCGGTTTGGGTTGGTGAGCAATGAGATAAGTGAACCGTACCATTTGAGAGTAAAAGTGTCAACAGCACAACCATTATCGCACTTGCTCTGGCTAAAATACTGATTATAATCGATACAGACGTTTCTGGCATTGCATTCGTTTGAGTTGCAGCAGGCGACATGTCCCGGAGCTTGGGACGCGGTGAAGAAGACACAAGTTGCGCCAACACCGCAAGTGTATCCCGCACCAGCAAGACCGGAGATATAACCACAGGTGGCATCAGGGGCAACATAGACAACTTGGGGACTAGACGATGAAGCTGCTCGGCGCTGGAGAGCCTGGTGGAAGGGGAAATCGGGAGGACTTGTTGGCTTTGGGCTGAATCCACCAAAGTCGAAACCAGAGGCCGCAGTTGCTCTAGGCTGGTGCAAGTTGCGAGCATCAGCAGCAGCCAGCAGAGCTGCAAAGGCAGCGTAAATGTTCGTTGCCTTGTTCATCATGGCCAGGCTGAACAATGGAATTGTTATGAGAGAAAGATTGACAACACCACGTCCAAAGGGCTGAAGCTGGCTCAACTGTGTGCTGGAAGAACAAGAAGGAGCAGGAGAAAGGGGAAAATGTCTAGCGTTTGGGGGCACTCGCTCCCAAATGACTTTATTGCATTAGCCATGGCACAAAATGTGCCTGGGCTACTGAGCAATAGCCCAGTCACGGTGATAAACCATACTCGGTAGCTTCTCAGCAACACTGCTCGCACTCGGCACCACGCCATACTCCGCGCTCCATTCAGCCTCAACTTAGCCCATCTGCTAGCTTAACAAGACATGGATGTTGCGTGAAAAGCTGCCGCCGGTTGCAGGCCAGACCCTCTCATTGCAGGTAGGACCCTCTCGTCGGATTGGTGGCTTATACACGAGCTGAGTGGCAGCAGGACGCTAACAGCAAATAGACCCAGGATCCACGAGAACACTGACCACTGCGCATCAGATAAAGCGACAGGGGGTGCGGAAGGTTGTCAGCTCGATGCAAGAGAGCACAGAAACATGATTGTTACGACCAAAGTCTGCTGATTGTGATGGAGCAGGCTGACTGTGAGCATCCCGCTTGTGCTGCCCATCACTGCGAGTCGTTGCAGTCGGTAGTTGGAGCAATCTTCACGTCTTCACATCTCATAGTTCAAGCCACAAGATCTAATCTCTTGCTTTATCTTGCCACAGCCGCAGGGGTAGCGGTAAATAGCGGGCAATGAGATACACATGGTACCAGCTGCTAGTACATGCTAGCAGTTGTTATGGTAGGATTTTGGGGTGGTACAGGGACACACACAGTAAATACTGCCAGATGATGCAGGATCATCTTCTTGTGCGGAATGCCTCGTTCACAGGCCCTTGGCTCGGCATTTCTCGCCGTTGCGTCCAGACATTCGCTCAACAATCGAAATGAGCTGCGGACTTTGCTGCCCGACCGCGTCCTTCGCGCATTTGGACATTCGTATGCCCCCAAACGAAGTCGCACCAGAAAGCGCGGAATCCGCAGCGTTTATCGACGCCAAGTCTAAATCGGGAACAAGCTTTTAGGTTGTCGAATAAGACGGAGGAATAATTGTGGAAATGAGAGGGGGGCCCGATGCAGCTGTTTCTGCGCACGATCAGCAGCAAAGCCTGTCTAGCACGGAATCTGCCCAACCACTAGGCGGCACTAGGTGAGTGGCCCTGGTCAAGATGTGTGCCGCACTCAGCAGTGAGGAGAAATGGATGGACCCTGAGCAAGCTTTGTCGCGACTATCGTCTTGAGTTGAGCATTGAGACAGTTGATGTCTTTCGCAGCGTTTTGAACGTGGGGAAAAGACACTCGCAAAGTCAAAGCCAGGTAGTTTTCGCGTTTTCTCCTCTTCTCCTGTTGTCCAAAGTTCTCGTCTGCCGAGTGTTTAATTAGAAATGGGCAGTCCAGCCGACCGAGCTATCTGAAGGGCGCAGTTGTCGATTTGTGCCTTTTCTCTTTCTGGCTTCTTTTACCGCCATCTGCAGCTCACAAACCAGTCGCGAGCTAAACAACCCCTGGCCAACTCATTGAGCCGTCCCGCTATGGTTGGCCAGATTAAACCAGCGCGCCCACTGGGACACTCGATAGGTTGCGCCGGCAGCTTGAGGCTGAATCGACGGTGGGCAGAATTGTCATGGCGCGAAACTAATAGGCAGGGATGGGCATCCCGCTAAGTATGAAAAGAGGTTGGGCAGAATGGGAAGAGATTTGCACAGGCAAGATTTGGGTCAGCACTTTGTGCACGCGGTTATACATGCGATGTACGATGCGCATGACTAAGCAGGCGCCAGCTCGGTGTAGGGTAGGCTAGAGCAACAGTCGCGATTTGCTGGTGCACGCAGATATCACGGGAGACGTATGAAGTAAAACTACATCTCCAACACAAGCGGCAATTCTCTATCCACCCCAGATTCGTGGGTCTTGGCGATTCAGATTTGTAGAGCCAAAGAGGGACCTTTCATACTTGCATATATTTGCCCCGCCCAGCCTTACGCGCAGGCACGGGCATAGAACAAAAATCACAGGAGCTATAGCATCTCGTTAATCGAATCGTCCAAGCAGCCGCATCAGGGTCTTCGCATTAGCGCATCAAAACCAGAGACAAATTGTGACTAACAGCCTGTCTCGGAACGCCACATGCATGGCATGGCATGGCATGGCATAGCATAGCAGAGCTTAAGCCTGAACAGTGCAGCGTTGGGTCGAGAATCCTCCACAGGCGCTGAGCTACTCGAGCTTCTCTGGCCCTATCATCTTACACCCTCTAACCTCCACCCTGCGTCTGTCGCTAAAAGGCGTGGTTCAGCTGGCACTGCAAGTTTCCATGCGTTTTTATACGTCCTTGCAGACCCAGCTGTTCAAATGACGGACCTTCTCCATATTCTCCCTTCTTTTCCCCTTTCTGCCTTTGCTGCGCTCATTCCTACCATCGAACGACACGCTCTCACAACTACCGACCTTCTCACCACACACCCCACTGATCTCGCCAAGCGAACACAACTACCTATCATTGACCTTCGCCGGTTTCTTGCTGCTATCCAAGCCTCGTTATCGGACGATCTCACTTCCAGTAGGCCACTCGCACCACCGCCACCGCCACTATCGGCTCCCTCATCGTCCCCAACCTTGGAAAACCAAGAGGATCATGAGAAGCAAGAGAAGCAGGAGAAGCAGGAGAAGCAGCCACGCCCACCCACATCTAACACTTCAGATGAATTCATTAGTACCCTGGACGATGGATTAGACGCAGCTCTTGGAGGCGGTGTGCCTGTTGGCCACATCACCGAGTTTACTGGAGAGAGCGGCGTAGGCAAGACGCAATTCCTCCTCTCACTATGCCTAGCCGTGCAGCTCCCCCCTCCTCGCGGACTCGGCAAACAAGCCCTCTATATTTCGACTGAATCTGGACTTACAACTAGGCGTCTTGCCCAGATGCTTCAAGGAAATACAATCCTACGAGAGGCTGCCGAAGCAGGAACCCCAGCATCGTTGGATGGCATCCACAGTGCTGTCACCCCTGACCTAGAAACCCAGGACCACATCTTGGAGTATCAAGTGCCAGTCTTGCTATCAAGACATAAAATCGGCATCATGATCATCGATTCTGTGGCTGCCAATTACCGTGCCGAGTTTGAGCGCCAGGGCTCCCACGGCTCTAACATGGCCACCCGGAGTGCTGAACTCACCCGACTCGGCGCCCTGCTCCGCGACCTTGCTCGAAGACACAACATCGCCGTCGTTGTAGCAAACCAAGTTGCCGACCGGTTTCCCTCATCCGCCACACCATCTATCTCACGCAGCCTTGCCATGAGAGGCACCATGTCGCCGTCACATCAAGAGAGCCCCCTAGCCTCGCGGAGCATGCCCCCCCCATCAACCATACCGAACCTCTCCAGCACCCCTTCGTCTTCGATGCCGTTTTCCTTCTCCTTTCCAGACGAAGAACCGCCTGCCTCTCCTGCCCTTGCGCTAGATCACCAGCAGCGCTGGTTCACCGGCTGGGGCGACGACCCGCGCAGCTCCAGCTCCCTCAAGACGCCGAGCCTGGGGCTTGTCTGGTCCACTCAGATATCCTGCCGCATAGCTCTCTACAAGCGACCTGTTTACGGCCGCCCTACGAGGGTCGCGGCTCCCATCACCGCAGACGATGATTTTGATGCGACATCGCCGACACTCAAGACGTGGAGAAGATGGATGAAAGTGGTGTTTGCGCCGCACGTGGCTGCTTCGGGACAGGGTATTGAGAATGCGACAGAGTATGAAGTTGTAATGGAAGGGCTAAAATCGGTGAAGAAGGATAAAGCGAAGTAAACTGCAGCAATTAGCATATTAACGGTCAAATGAAACTACTGATTATGAATTATCCCAGAAAATAGACAATGAATATCAAATCCAAAATATGCTTCCATTTATCCTATTTTATTTTAATATTTACAGTCTGGTCATATGTTGTAGTAACACGCATATGCATATACATATATTCCTCCCAAACATGCGTAGTGAGTATACTTCAATCATCTACATTAGCTAGGGTGAGGGAACTCATCCTCCAGCTGCAGTCGCACTCCAACATTCATACTGATCAATTCTTGTACCAGCAGCTTGGCCGCATACGGCATCTGCATCTTCGTCACATCCCTGGTGCTCTTGCAAGTGCTGCAGTAGCCCTTGTATCCGAAAAGACCGCACTGCTGGCAGATGTCAATCATGGTTCCATCAGAACTCAACATGAGTCGCTCCAAGAGAAGCTGGGAAGCGCCATAGGCAATCAGACAATCACGTTCCATTTCTCCCAGACGGAGACCACCTTCTCGCGATCGACCTTCGGTGGGTTGTCGAGTTAAAATGGCTCTGGGACCGCGAGCACGAGAGTGCATCTTGTCCTGCACCATGTGCTTCAGACGCTGGTAATAAATTGGGCCGTTGAAGATGTATGCCTCCAGTGGCTCTCCGGTGATGCCAGACGTAAAGTAATCTTTGCCCTCCCACGAAAAGCCGTTGTCAACCAATACCTCGCTTACTTGCTGCACGGGGTGAGACCTGAAGGCATCGCCGAAGCCGTAGTCTTTGCGGCCGTGAACAATACTTGCTTTACCGGTAAGACATTCAAGCAGTTTACCGACTGTCATTCGAGAGGGGAAACCGTGAGGGTTCATGATGATATCGGGACACAGACCGCTATCAGCAAATGGCATGTCTTCTTGATCGACAATGATACCCACGACACCCTTCTGTCCGTGACGAGAAGAGAACTTGTCACCAAGCTCGGGCCGGCGCGTCTGTCTTGTCTGCACTTTGATTACTGTTGTATCCTTTTCCGTCTGCGAAATCATAACCTTGTCAATGTAAGCAGGGTCCGCGATACGATACGAGACCGCGGTATCGCGGTATTCGCTAGGGCCACGATCAAGACCGATACCCGTCGTTGTCATATCAAGAGGGGTCTCCTTCTTAACCATTGCCTCTCCTGAGTGAATTCTTTGGCCAACGATGGCTAGACCGTCGGCGTCCAATGCTTCGTGCTTCTTGATTCGTCGCATAACGCCATTTTCTATCTCATTGACTGGGTCGCCTATACGCTCTCTTCGGCCATTGGGATATTTCTGAAGTTCGGTCGTATATTTACGGAAAACTTGGCACCGCCCAAAGCCCCTGTCAATGGATGCCTTGTTTAAAACGAGAGCGTCTTCGATATCATATCCAGAGTATGACATGACAACGACTGTGGCATTTTGACCAGCAGGAAGCTTATCGTAATGGATAAGCTGAATTGTTTTTGTTATTACCATGGGCCGTTGAGGGTAAACTAGGGTGTAGAGGAGAGTATCGATTCGGTTGAATTGGTTGTGTGCAATAGCACCAATGGCTTGTTTACCCATAGCGCACTGGTAAGTGTTTCGAGGAGATTGGTTGTGGTGTGGGAATGGAATTAGTCCTGCAACGGCACCAAGGAGTGTGAATGGTTCGATCTCCAAGTGGGTTGTGCTCATTGTCACTTGATCTTCATATATAGTGATGAGGGCGTCGTTTTCCTCGTTGACGTCCAAGTACTCAACAATACCCTTTGTCAGGAAATCGTCGAATGTAACTTTGCCCATTTGAAGCAGACGGAGGTGTTCAGGCTTCAGTTTCTGTTTGCCGTTCTTCACAATGATGTACGGACGACAGATGCGGCCTTCGTCTGTGGCTATGTGGATCGCATTGAAATGCGAATTGGTATGAATACCGACAAAGGGCGAGATCCAGCCTCGGCGACGCATTGTGCGAAACCTATGTGTAAATCTCTTTGGGTATCTGGTGAGTGCGAATGGTGTACCGTTGACATGAATGATGTATGAGCCTTCGCGGTGCATTTCAGCACCCGAAAAGTTCCGGATCGGCTCAACGCCAACATCAAGGGTGAAAATCCATCTCTTCACAGGATCCTCGTCCACATTGGTTGTGATGTGTGTCATTAAAGCAAGGTTCTTCACCAGACCACATGCTTCACCTTCAGGTGTATCAGACGGACATAACATGCCCCACTGGGAAGGCTGAAGAGCTCGAGGTCCACTCACTTTACGCGTCTTCTCAAACTGACTGCTGATTCTTGTCATCATACCGAGAGCACTGATATAACTGAGTCGACTGAGAACGTGTGTAACACCCGCCCTGTTCATGTTAAATCGCTTGACACTCCAGTTTCCTGATTGAATAGCTCTGTTGATTCCCAGCCCAATGCTATTGGCATGATTGCTAATCATATGAACGGCATCCAAGGGTACGGCCCGGTTGTTCTTTTTCAAAAACTTGTCAATTGACATTTTCACCTCTCCCATAAATCTCTTGAAAAGATCTTCGAAGAGAAGAGATAGCAGCTGACCAGCCAACTCAAGACGCTTGTTACCAACGAAATCTCGGTCGTCTACCAATTTATTATCCTGGGAGGCCATAAGCACTCGGCGTGTCATCATAGCCACGTAAATAGCCTTGGGATAAAAATCGAGACCTTCGATAGGGACATGTGCGATGATGAGGTTGGCTAGGGCATCTAGTCCTTCTTCAACGTTATTCCGGCGGGCCTGGGCGCCAAACTGGCCCTTACGAGAGCCCATTTTGACGCGGGATCCAATGTACTCCAGAGCTTGGTGCTGTGTGAAAATACCAGCTTTGGCAGCTTCGTCAAAGTTGACGAGGAATTCGTCCTGGTATCGGCCATCCGAGCCCGCCACAAGCTGCATAATCTCGTAGTCTGACAGGCCGCCCAAAGCTTTGAGAATAATGACAATAGGGATGCCTTCGACCAGAATATTATGAGTGAGGACAATCTTGTCCTTTTTTAGCGTGACGTATGTTTTCGATTTTCGTTCGTGGGTAGAGCTGGTTACTGATGCGGAAATGACATTGTTCTTCTCGTCGGCTTCGACAATGACTCGATTCTTGCTGAGCTGCTCTTGAATGAGAATGACCTTTTCCGTGCCGTTGACAATGAAGTAGCCACCCGGGTCCAAAGGACATTCGTTCATCTTCTCCATCTCAGAGTTGTTCGCTCCACTAAGTCGGCACTTGCAGCTCTTCAACATGACTGGCATTCGTCCAAGTGGCACATTTTTGCGAACAATTTTCTGCTTGTCACGGATATACGCAATGTCGACAAATATGGGTGCGGCATACGTCATATCTCGGAGACGGCATTCCATCGGCGTGACTTCATTTCGAGATTTGGAGTCATTGTAATCCAATCGACGGGGGCGATCCACGCGGATATCAGTGAACCTAGAGTATGGGATTAGCCAAAAGGACGATGTTGTTTAGAAACCTAGTTAAACGTACTCAAGCCAAAAATTGCTGTCGACATCGCTTCGGATAGTGCGGTTGGCACGAACAATCTCTTTGATCTCGTGCTCGACAAAGAAGTTGTATGAGTCAATGTGCCTGGGGAAGAGTTAGCAGGGTTAAGCAAAATGTCGTCAAACGAAGAGTGGAAAGGGTAGAAGGGTATGCATACTGTTTCACAAGACCTTGGACATGTTAGCTTTAGATGCAAAACACGAATTGACGAGAGCCAGAGCCTCACCTTTGACTTTGAGAAATGCCGGCAGCAGCTGGAACTTGTCTTCCTTGGTCGAGATTGGGTCGGTCAGCTTCTTGCCGTTGTAGAAAGGCTCCAGCAGGGCCTCGAAGCCATCGTCTATCAACGGCATCTTGAGCGTCACCTCAAGGAATTCATGGACTAGAGAATGAGGATAGAGATGCGGCGAGTTTGTAAGCGGCTGGAGTCGCAAAATTAATCGTTTGGCGCTGCTCGATAAAGCGATATGGATAAGCAGCTTGCGCCAGGCGAGAAAAAAAGTGCTGCCCCGCGATGAGCAAAAATTTAGTGGAGCACCGGCTTCTTGAAGCTTGCCCAAGATAAGATAAGGCATGGAAGTGTCAAAAACAGTGAGCGTTGGTACGGAGTATTCATGTACCCTACTAATGTACATAGGTAATTAAGGTACATGTAGATTAATGCTCTTACGCCCACCGAAGTGTGTGTTTTCGTCTTGCAGCCCCCCCCTTGTTTTTAATCCCCCGTTACTAGCTATTAATGTATTACAGATGTTATCATTATTTCATAGTTGTAGTGTAATGGCTCTTATAATATACAGAGGTATGCTACGATTCCGGCCCCGATTCGGAGAACTGCAGTACCAGGACACGTCCCGATCTGCAACCAACAATGACAGTCGATCCCTTGATAACGCAGTCATAAACCCGGTGCTCCTGAGGTAACCAAAGTATTGGTTTACCATCCCATACAATACACTCTCCCTTTTGATCTGTGCCATAACCGTAGAAGCAAACTTGCGGCGAGGCTTTAGCTAATGGTATATTAGAAACTTGTTGCGCTACATTAGAATCCGGAGCTACATCAAGATCCAGGTCGAAAGCACCGAGATCACAGTGGAGGCGGGAGTTTATTCTCGTATCGAACAACAGGCGGCTTCTAGGGGTTGTCCCAATAGTGAGCATCTGGGTACAAGTCCCAGTAGATAGATCCCAGATTTTGGCGGTACCACCCCCCGTCATTGAGGCAATGTACCTGGTATCCGATGATATAGCCAATGATTCGATAGAACGCCCAATGAACCTGATTGTTTCAACACAAACGCCTGTTGTTGTATCCCAGAGCATAATTGTTTTGTCGGCTGATCCTGGCATAATTGATTTGTCGGCTGATGCAGAAGCAACATACTGGCCACTTGAAGAAACGGCCGTTGCTGTAATAGGTTCGCTGCATTCTAGCGTGTGGACGCATGTCCATGTCGCCATATCCCAAATCTTAACCTCTGTATTAATCGACGCCGCAACATGTCGCCCATCTGGCAAGAACATCCCCGAAGTGCGACCATATGCAGAACGAGTCCCGAGTGTCTTGACACACACACCTGTAGCTGCATCCCAAATTTTGACTGTACCATTGTCCGAGCTAGAGATAATCAGTTGGTTATCTTCTGAGAAGGCGACTGATCTAACGTGGTTGGTATGGCCCTCGAGCACCTGGACACATCTGCTCGTAGCCATATCCCATATGCAAATTGTGCCATTTCCCGCTCCTGAGACAACATGGCCGTCGCTTGACATGGCCATTGAAGCCACTTGTTTGCTATGACTCCCAGGTATCCCGGCATCCACGTTTATAGGTACACGTGTATCCCATATTTTAATCGTGTAGTCCTCAGACCCTGAAGCGAGCTGGCCATTGCCCAAAAATATTACTGACCTAGCCACAAGGGCATGCCCTTTAAGCGTCTGAGTACAAATTCCCGTAGTTGCATCCCAGATTTTTATCGTGTTATCATCTGATGCCGAGGCGATCTGGCCATCTGTTGAGTAGGCTACCGAAGACACTGCGCCGTTGTGACCGCTGAGCGTCTGAACGCATTCGCCCGTAGCTACGTTCCAGATTTTGATTGTGCGATCCCTTGATGCGGAAGCAATCTGACCATCTGTCGAACAGGTTACAGAAAGCACTGCGTCGACGTGGCCATTGAGTGTTTGAATGCATTCGCCTGTATTTATATCCCAGATTTTAACTGTTGTGTCATTTGATCCCGAGATAATTCGATTATCTGTCAAGGAAGCTAATGCGGCTATAGGCTCATTATGCGCTTTAATTGTCTGGACACATATACTTTGATTTAGATCCCATATCTTGATTATTCCGCTCTTTGATCCCGTGGCCACTCGCTCGCCAGTTAAGGAGGTCATTGAAAGTAAAGTAGTGCCCTGATCTGCAACTGTCAAGGCACATTCACCTGTAGTTAGATCCCATATTTTGATGACGCCGTCTTCTGATCCTGAGACAATTCGGCCATTTGTTAGGGAGGTTAATGCACAAAGTCTCGGAATACTCTCAGTCGTCCTTATGCACGTGCCTGTGTCCGTGTCCCATATCTTAATTTTTCTTTCCCTCGATGCTGAGGCAATCTGATTATTATTAAGGTGAATCAAGGAATCAACTGGGCCCCTATGGCCTTCAAGCGTCTGCAAACATGGGCTCCACTGGTCCTCATTAATAGGCCTACTATGTATCCAGGACGGAATATCATGAAGAAAGGCTTTGCGTATCAAGCTTTTCATAGGACTGAATAATAGCGCTGATGAATATATTTGGAGTGGAGCAATTTCGATGGCCGGTTTATTGTACAGAATAAATCTGCGTGCGTCTTGGAGAAATTCAAATAGTTTTCCCTGAGGTGATTGTGCCTAGATCGGTCAGCCTCGTCTACCACGAAACTTGAAAGCGTAAACTGACTGCAAGTAAGTCCACGAGCTTTGTTATCGAGATGATACCGTCCGATAGATGTCGTAACAAGCTTAACGATTCTAGCCAATGGAGAAGATGTTTCCGAATAAATAAATCGACAACTCCATCGTCGCTGAGGATATTGCGGCATCCAGAACTAATTCTGCTGACATTTCCATCGCAAAGATGGTCTACCCAGTACACACAAGCATATCGAATGGTATTTAAAGGATCTGGGTCCAGTATACTAGTACCGTCGCTGATGTAATTGTCAAAGTGCGATAAACCATGGACGTTATTTTTCAAAATTACCTTCATCGCCTGTATTGAATGAGAGAATATGGCAAGATGTGTCTCCTCGCTGCCTGAGGGAAAGATAGCAGAGATGGCTTCTTCGTTGCTGGTGAGATGGTCTTTGGCCGACTGATGGACAAAATAGATGGTATCATCCCGGATAGTCAAAAAAGAGCCACAAAGAGCCACAATCTCCTCCAAAAACTTGATGTCATCTGAAAGCTTTTCTGTGATGTCATCTGGAAGCTCCCCTGGGATATCAATGAGACAGCCAAGCTCGGAAAGAGTAATTGGTCGATACACGCTCGTCATAATGGCGAGAATTTGCTTGCAGAGGCTGACGTCGCTAGCATCGTCCATGGAGAGCACTTGATTCATCATTCGTTTGAATAGAGAATCAAGACCTGGCGGGAATTCTCTCAGCATTCTAAGGACTTTCCATCGCTGACGCTTTTCTAGATTTTGGCAGACCAAGGCCACCCATAGGAACGTATCGTCTGCATTATCAGACAGATAGGTCCGGATCGTACCGCACGTTTCTTCGTCATAGCCTTTCAGGCTTGCTAGCTGATGTACCTTTTCTCGGATATAAATATCCACGGCATTGGAGATAGACTCTGCGTTGAGCTCCAAACTCAGTTTTGCTTTCTGCTCGGCGCGTCGCAGACGCTCTTCTATCTGGGACCAGTTTCGACTAGAGACAATCCACTTGGCACGACCCTCAATGGAAGATGTATCTACAATAAAGTCCAAAAGAATTTGTAAGTCAGATACACACTCATCAAGAGCATCGACAACTATGCATGTACTTTCCAGCGCTGGATCTAGGAGGATAGCAGCAAAAATATCTGATAAAGTAATCCAAGTGTTTGATCCTTCAAAGAGCTTTGCACCGGCTTGATCGTATTTTTTTCGTAGGTGAGAAATGAGCGATGGTTGCTTATTGATAAGCATGAACATTAAACCACGTAGAACAGCAGCAGCGTTGTTAAGGTGGTGATCAGTCGCTTGACAAAAGAAGTAGATGGTATGGACAATGCCAGAGCGAATTGACTGCTGGTCCAGCTCATCGATGATGCCACAGAGTAACATAGTCTTGCCTTTGCCGGGATCCCCTGTTATCCAGAGAAGATGGCTCTCCTCGCTGTACCGCCAACGTTGATAGTCGGGATTATTAAGGATCCACCTATATGACTCTTGTAATAGACCACCTTTCGTCTGTTCAATACGCTTCTTATCAGCGCTAGGATCTGTGAGACGCAGGTCTTTCATGCATTGCTGATCTTCCTTTGTCATCTGAGATGTCGACTGCGTTTCGGCATAAGCGACAAGCTTCTCGAGGTTGGAGACCATCTTTAGATCCGCAAAGGTGTTGGAGCCATCATTAAAAATGCGTTCAGCGCTCTGAATAGTCTGTATATCACCCTTCCAGTCATCGAGCTTGGCTATATCACGTAATAGCACAAGGCCACGGCTGCGATAGTACGAACAAACACTCTTTATCTCGTACAAGAGGAGGGTTTTGTAGAGATCAATGACCTGAATCTCAAGTTCGCGTCGGATGCCAGCGAGGTTACTATCATTACCATCGAGGCTTTCTTTCAAGACAGCACTGGATAGATTCCAGTACCAGTCCATCCTCTTTATCACATATTCGATGCCATTACGATTGGCCTCTGTGGCAGCTATTGGGTTTTGAATCATCTAGAAGCAAGTTAGTAGAGGTAATAGGGGCAGTAGAGGAAGATTGAAATGTCTCTAAAATGGCGGTAGTAGCCACGATTGGGGTGCTGAATAATAAAGGTGGTGTGTAATGGATAATAACATCTGGCATGAAACAGTAATTACCTCTAGTGCTACGCATACGCCGGTCCAAGCAAGCGCCGCCTGTGGTGCAGTCTGAATGGCAGAGCTGATTATGTCCTTTGCAGAGAGTATAAACTGAGTGGCTGTGCCGATGGTCTCTTTTATTTTGGCCTCACGGGCGGTTTTGTTCAGGCCCTCGTCAATAAGCTGCCGCATCTGTGATCTCCGTGTGCCTGCGTCTTGCGCAATCATGTTCTTCTCAGATTCCGTTATTGGAGAGTTAAATCCTTGACCGCAAAGATTACGAGACAGGATCTTCTCGTACGCCTGGACTAGTGCAGCATCATGTATCTTCAAGTCGTCGTACGCTTGATCCCAGAGTCGCTCTGGCAAGCTTGCATTAGGAACGTGTATGTGAGATGCCGGTACATTAGCTGGGGTTACAGATGTTAATTGCTCGTCTTGCCTTGATAGCGCATCTGGTGTTGGCGGATCCTTGTTTCGAGAGAAAATCTTCTGGAACCGCTGTCTGATAGGCATGGCAATGTCCTGAGATAGGCAGAAATCAATGCTTGAACTATTGATATAAAGCCAGTAGAGGCAGCAGAGACGATAAAAACTTGGGAAAATGTAACAGTTTTTAGTGCATCAACAATATACGTAACGGTAGAGTTAGACGATGGTTATAAATTCTCTCAGCCTTCTTTTGCACCCCGCTTGCTTTGCGTTTCTCTGCATCTGGTCGATGCCCAAAATTGTCGATCCTGCATGCACCTACATGTACCGTTGGGCGCTTGTGTGTGACGATGATTGGCCGCGCTCTGGCTTCTGCATACATGCATGTAGGTATATGTGTACCTGCATGTATTTAATAGGTACTAGGTAGATATAAAGCATCCCATATTGCCAACAAGCCCAGCTGCTTCAATTGCTTCAATTGCTCCCGAAAGATGGCTCCTTTATGATACCAATATTCCATCCTCGTATAGTTGTATGTGCATTTCTGTCTTGCGGTCATTATTTTCCAACTCTCCCCTTGGCCAGCTACATGTATCGTTGATTCGCCGCCCTCTAGTATCCTCCTGCGACCTGAATATAATGTATTTTCTATAAATCCATGTCTCGAGTTATGACCCAGAAGTTGGTCAATTATTGCTAATTTTACTCTATAAGAAATCTTCTCCTCGGTGCGTAGAAATTAGCGTGCTGGTCTGATTGACAATGGCTCTCGCGGTTGATCGATATGGAGAGAGAAGAAGAAGAAGAAGAAGAAGAAGCCACTCTTGCATGAAGAATGCATTGCAATAACTTGATTTATATCCAAATTGTTGATAAAAATACCAATACGTTGACATTGAAATAATGCGTGTATGGGGCTTTACATGACTGGAATTACTTCAACCTTCTTCATTGCTGTAGCCACAAATAAAGTACGGACATGAACGCCATGTAAGAGCACCAAGCAAAGAATCAATACACTGCCGCATCCCCAAATATCGAACTTGACCATTTGGCAGAGCGTTTGGTTATTAGCGACCTATATGTCTAAGCCTCATCAGTGAAGACGACGATATATCGCCACTCTCGGTCTAATGGTTTTCCAACCACGGCATAAGCGACGGATGGAGAGACTATAAACCGCTGCCCATGAAAGCAATATTAATCCGATTGTTTGCCCACAAACGCGTGGCAGCTTGTCAAAATTTCATCACAAATGACCGCGGTGGGTCATAAGCTGTCAACCGCATCTGCTGCCACTGCCGACGTCAGCCACACTGCCACGCCAACCACCACATGAAGCTTAGCATTCTGCAGCAACAAAGTGTCACCACCATGGCTGTGCCTCCCACCGATTACATATGCCATGACGGCACCGCAGAATCTCGCTCATGCTGCCTCACCATGTGCCGATATACGCGGATAGAGACAGCAGATCGCGCCCGCGGGTTCATCGTCCGCCGCAGCCATGGAATTATTAACTTTCCACCTCCGCCACATCCACGCAAATCATTGGCATGCTGCATATCTCGGAACTTTATGACGGCGGCATTACCGCATGGCGAACAATGGCGTCGTCACCCCATCTTGTGCCATCGGCAATCTGGCATAGAATACGTCACATCTTGAGCGGCTTGTGGCCGTGACAGCTTGTCAACCTGTCAAAATCTGAGGCACGGCCGTGGTGACCGAGTGACAGGCGCCGGGAGTATCGGCACGCTCAGGATGTCGAGGAATTGGAGGGACAAGGTGAGCTGAGAGCAGCAAGAATATAAGAGAGTCGTCTTTCTTGGGGGTGGTGAGCAGCGAGCTGCCTGGGCTGCTGTTACGGCCTACTACGTCTTACTCCTGGTCAGAACGAAGCAATAATGATCGGGAATGCGCTCCTCCAATATGCAGGGCTTCTAGCCCTCTCGAACCTGCCGCCGATTCAGGCTATTCCGTTCCTATATACCCCAACAACCACCTTCTCTGCTGCTGAAACCGTCACGCCAGCTGTGGTGTCTCAGATGAATGTGACCTCTCATGGCCCCTTTACAGGACCACCGGCAATGACCACCGGGGCGCTAACGGCTTCCACAATCCTGGCCTCGGAGATTCCATCGGCGCCTCCTGCTCCGGGATCCTTCAATTACACAGCCGACGGCAAGCTCCACGGCCCCGAGCCTGCGCCGTTTACTCCAAATGGCGGCCTGGGGACCAATGGATCAGCTCCTGTCTACCGGCCTCAGAGTGACTATGACTACCAGTCGCTGGCGCTAGCTCTCTACCAGGAATGGATTGAGCTGGATCTCTTCCACTTTGGCCTGAAGAACTTCTCTACTGGACAGTTTCAATCAAACGGAGTCAACGCCGATGATAGATTTCTCATTGAGTACATGGCCGACCAGGAGGTCGGACATGCTACCCTCCTTACCAATATGCTCGGCCCACAGGCACCTCGACAATGTACTTACAACTATCCCGTATCCAATGTGCGAGAGTTTCTTGACTTCAACCAAAAGCTTACGCGCTGGGGAGAGTCGGGCGTCTATGGATTTCTGCCGCATCTGACCTCTAGACCTGCGGCCCAGCTGCTGCTCCAGAGTATTGCAGTAGAGGCTCGCCAGCAGCTCATCTTCCGCCAGCTTGGAGGACAGTTTCCGATGCCGGTATGGCACGTTCCCTCAATTCCCCAGAGCTGGCAATGGTCTCTGCTGGCGCCGTATATCTCCAGCTGCCCTGCCAACCAGACACGACTTATATGGCAAAACTTCCCTTCGCTCAATATCCTTAATCAGCCTAATCCTGCTCGCATCAATGCCTCTAATGCATTTAATGAGACCACTGGTGGCTTTGCCAACAGTCTTTCAACTGCAAACATCTCAAGCTCGCAGCTTTGCTTCAACGCCACCAATCAGACGCTCAACTGCTCGCCAGCCATCAGCCGGAACCGCACCATCCCGCTTTCTTATCCAGGCCGCCAGGTTTTCTTGCACTGGGACACTCCCGGAAAGCTAATCGGGCCAAACAACAGCTACGTAACTACAACCAGAGCACGAGTGCCCCGGTGGGCGGCTTGGGTATCGCAGCTAAACGTCACGTACTCTCCACTGCTCAACATAAACCTGCGAAACCAGACGGCGTTTACTTTCCAGCCCAATGTGTCGACGTGGGATCATGATCCAGCAATCAATGGAACCATGTTTTTGGCGCTGACGGATGCAAGGATCAACGTTACACCGTTCAACTTGAGCCAAATCAATCCTCATGTTGCAGCTCTTGGAGTTTATCAGGCTGGTTAAGCTGATTTCAACTACATAAACGAGGCAAGAAAAGTAGTTCCAGTAAAAAGGTTCCAGTCATGTGAATTTCGGTATATTCGGTATGGGGCTGAGTTCATGCTGTATACATAATGGCTTCTGGAGTGGCATCTAACTCTGCCAGACAATACTAAGCCTTGATCGTTAATAGTAAAGAAGTAAACAATCAATTAAACGAACTTTTAAGGTTCCATTAATATGTGCTAGCGCCAAAAGCAAAGCTCACCGAACGTGATTTGTTTGATTACGACAGATGCAGGTCTGCGTGTCTCTGTTATAAGACGTATAGGTACAGACTAATGCTCTCATCATTCTAAATATGTGGCCCGTATATTTGGCTATGGAGCAGACGATGGCAGATATAAGACAGCTAGGCTCTGTATTAGGAAACCTTGTGGTTTTTGATCGAACTGGTACTTTGAACAACCCCACTGCGATCGCTATTGACAGCTTTTTCGGAGATGATTGCTATTATTATGGCTGATGACCCAAGCTACTTGAATTACATAAAAACGACAATAGAAAAAAAATGTAAAGACATAAAAGCATCTTGGTCCTCCTCATGCATCAACGAACGGATGAAACCAAATCCAGCACGAGCACCCTGCTAATATAGCAACGTATGGAGACTGTGAAGAAGAATGGAAACAAGAACAGCAGCAGAGAGCCTATGTTCTCCAATACTCACGCCACTGAACCCGTGACTATTAAGCAGTACTTCGGCAAACACATGTATCAACGTTTGCATTATCACATGCGGTTATGGTCTTAGCTAACACGCGGTGTCCAGAGGCACATGAACCTCCGCCGCAACTCCACGACTGCTTGAAGATCCGCTAACTTTCCGTAAATGTAATTGGAGTTTCACTGCAACTATCTAGCCATTGATCAGATAATAGATCCCTTAGCTTGTTTTGCAGTAGTGGTCGCTGTTGCTCCCTTTATCGATTTTGCTACTCCTCTTCTCTCTAATGACTGCGACATCTGCCACTAAGTGTATGAAGGCACATTCAAGCTTGGATCTCCACACCAATCTCTGTCAGGAGTCAGGTTATGAAGGCTACATTAACTAAGCACCTACACTATGATACTGGCATTGGTTGAACATGAAACTCATTAGAATGTTACAGTGCTAAGGGCAGTGTCCAGGAAACCACCCAACAGCGAGTCCAAAGTTGGCCAGCATCGCGTAGTTGCCATGGTCCAATACCACAGTTTACTGAGATGATTTTTCTTGGGATGACGAGGCAATGAGAGGTTCTCCACGGTACATGTAGGCTTTGCCAAAGCACATGCAGTCAAGTCATATATATGATCTATCGTGCTGTTGTGAAACATCTCGAATTACAATGGCTAGGACTAAAGAGCATGAATTCTACCATCACTATCGACGATACGGTTCGCTGCTAAAGCAAAATTGTAAAGATTGAATTGCCGAGTTCAAGGATATGCCGAGTTACAGACTTGAAATCTCACTCTATCCGTTGTTATGGTCATGAAATTGTTGACCAATTGAGTCAGTGAATGGAAGCAAAATCGTTAGGAGTTCACTAGATGGAAAGAAATCTCAAACCCTAGGCACTATAGTTGTCCACACTTGAGTTAATACATGCATGTACATACAGCCTAATAAAGTTTGTAAGGGAGAATATTCCATTTGATGGAGTCAATTTATCCGATTTTATCCTCTGTATTATTGCTCCGGTGCTGCATCAGGAATCATCCGGAAATCCTACGTTAGACGTGTAAAAGATGATATTAAGTTCCACACAGATAGATTACATACATGCTGGGCAATTCGTCGGCACACGATTCGTCACAGTGAAATCCCAAGCCGAAGCCGGATGAAGACATCTATCTGGAACGCAACAATTACTATATGCACAATAAAGGGCATCCCAATGCCCATCATGGCGCTGTTTTACTGCCAGAACAACGTAAGGGCAAACGGGCTATGATCGACCAAAGTACGATTATTGGCGTAACTCAGGGTTCCGTATTGCACGCCCTTAAAACAAATAACCTTTTCCCACAATGTGAAAGGGTTTCAGAAATGATATCATAACAGAAATTGAATGTAAAGGACTTATTTATACACAATCAACGAGTGACACTGGCTGACCTAATGCTGAATATATGCAATATATGCATTCTTTATCTTGCTTGCTGCTTACCTGGCCCACATTTGAAGTTCACATGTGACTTGAGTAGGATATTCCATCATCTCCGTTCTAATCCATATTATCATCCATGGTTAAAAAGCATCAGGGCCGAAATAATCATGTAAGTCCACGCCACAACTTGCATTCAGGCTTAAAGTTGGCGTCCGTGGTGACCTCGTGTCAGGATTTCTTAGAACTTGCCTGTTTATACCACTCTCCCTCTTCCATACACTGGCTATACTGGTCGCCGTCAAATAGTACTTTACGAATGCTCTCTTGTTATGCGCATTGGCATTGCCTTTAATAAACCTTCATGCACGAGGTTCATCTGGGTGCCGCAAGACAAGGTCCACTCCACCACCCGACTATCATCGCGCCAATAACAAGCTAGTGCAATATACCTGTAGAGTCTTGACATGGTCCAAGGATTGCTACTGGGCATTTAAGATGCAACGCCTCCGCGCGCAGAGGATATTTGTGCCGTGCTCTCCTCCTAAGCCCAGTATACAGAACTCAGCCGCCACCACGGACTACATCAACAACACGGTGATACGTGAGGTCTAGACTGCCCTGGCACGGCTCGCCAATCCATGGAGCTGAATAAAAAAACGCATCCTACTCAATGGCTAATGCTGGCAAATCCATCTCTAGGTTTAATCCAGCCTAGCTCACTCAGCTCTCATAAAACGATGACGAAATCGAGAACAGCCACTTGCAGGTCGATATAGGCACAAGGCGGCTATCTCGGCCACCGAAAGAGCTCAAGGCTGCCGGGTGACAAGTTGAGGTTAAACTGCTTCCTGCAACCCCGCACGTCCAACTGAATGCCTCTCGTAATTCTAGATCGTGGCAGGCCTTTTGGAAGCTTGGCTCAAGCACTAGGTGCGCGCGGCTTAAGCTCTCGTGCATGGGCATGAGTAAGATGGGCAAAATGTCTCTCTGCTGCGCATATGCTGCTATTATCAAGTTCCATTTATGCATCACATACATACATGTATGTATGTACTCTATCTGGCGCCAAGATCCCGGCTTACACACTCGTGCCAGACAAGCAGCCCCATCACAGACCCCTGAGCTTCATCCCAGCTCAAAGCCGGTGCTTGGAGACAGACCCTAAGTAAACATACATATAACTCGAATGCGTACTCTTCCCCAACTTGAATCTGTAAAGGGCCATCTGTACAGCACTACTGTAGATGACTGCCCCCCCGTGTTCGCCAGCGACCTTCCATGTCCGTCCACGCAAGTTCAGGCCAGGGATCCTCGTCCCTTGCCCACCATTTTAGCGCGCGAGGAGTGATCGTTCGCTAACCGAGTGGGGTGTTAGATTCGGACCTGGCTTAGAGCCACGCTGCCAACGTTGGTTCGCATATCGAGAATCAAAGCTCCGGAAGAGGCGCTTGGGTTTCAGAGGTCGGGGCTACCCGCAGCAACCGCTGGACCTGACCCCGCCAGTGAAACACGAACATTCACAGTAATAGATGGCAGCATTTTGCGTCTCTTGCTGGCCATTTCGGGGGGCGGCGGCGAGAGATGTGAGCTATCGATATGGACTTCAAGTGGAATTCGTCATCTAGTCATTGCTACATAATGGGGCGAGAGGTGAGAGCGAGTAATACGGAGCAGACTCCGATTTTCTGTCGTCCGCAAGCACAAAAAACTGGCCTGGCCGGATGGGTCTGTCAGGCGTATGAGTCGTATAGACAGTGCGCAAATGCGATGTTGCGGGCTCACATGGAAGCCAGCATACTTTGTATATGTAAGCAAGAAGGGGGGGAAAAAGAAAAGAAAGAAGAAAGTCCGGCAAGGATATGATGATGCTATTCACGGAACGGCTAAGAGGCTCTGATGCATCACATGGCTCGGGTTAGCCTCCAGCTAACGGCTCGTAGCACGCGCGCAGCGTCCATGATGTCCTTTCCAACGCCATCGCCGCAGAATGCTCTGGTCAGCGGTGTATCTTGGTTGATATCTTGATCAGGAAATAGTAGTACATACTTACGATAAGTCATCAAGCAACGCCAGCTTTCAAGTACCCCACCGTCTTCCCAAGGTGAGAGCCCGTTAGCTCTTCCCAGCCGCAGCTGTCTACATCTACATGGCCCTGCGGCTTTGGCCCAGATGCAGATGCGCTGCAGGAGAACTCTGCCGGCGAAGCAACGCTCCAGTGGCAATTGCTGGCAGAAAAGCATGTCCCGGCAGATCTTCATACTTGGCCGGCTTTTCAGCGAGATAGACCGGCTTTTAGTAGAGATGCAAGTGCAGAGTAGGGCATGGCAGTATTATAGATGGCAGGGCTGCATTTGTAACCCGGAAGGCGGAGCGAATCGCCGCTACCTTCCAAGTTTTTGATTGACTCCATTGTAAGCTGCGTGTAGGTTTGTTGGGATAAACAGAAGCTCCAGGTGGTCTCCTCCTACATGTGTTTCGCAGTGCAAGCGCGTGGGATAGGCACGACTTGGATTTCCATACTAGTACCTTAGGTATAGTAAGTATGGTAGGTACAAACAGGCTCTCTCTTTGCTATCCATTGGATTGGCGCGTGCCACCATCCTCTTCTCTCAAGCTTAGCCCTTGGTTTTCTGGCATGGCTCAACTACAGCTTTTTGGTGGGAAACAATCCTCTTCAACTCGGTTGCAGGGCACTCAACAGTGATCATGTAGGTAAGTACTCAGCTAGGCACTGGCTGAACCAAGTACCTAACTGTTGAAAGAAGGTATCGATACATCGAAAGGCGTGAGCATCAAGTGCTTGTACACCCAGCAATTGAGGGGCGGGCGGGGAGATCCCAAGGAAGACGGTGATCCTTCAGGCGAGCGGGATTGCCTATACGGCCCTCGCCACCGCTACCGATGCGACTCCGGCTCTAGGTTTGCTATTCCGAAAAGCCCACCCCGAATAAACGACAAGGATCTTGCGCATGTCTCTGCGGTGCGGTGCCCGCAGGTGCTCTTCTAGGTTAAGGCGAAGAGGCTGCCAGCAGTTTGCGAGCCTAAGAGTTGGGCTTGAATGCTGCGGCATACAAGCAGGTGGCTGCAACGGGACGATGCCCTGCCCCAATTCCATACAGGCAACGCCATGTACCGTACGTGCGTGGTATTCTGTTGCGGCACTGCGTTTGGAGCAGCGCGTTTGCTTGCACGACGCTACGATGCCGTGGTGTCGAATTTCCATGGCCGCCGCGGCAATGGGAACCAGCCTGGAGTTCGCATCACGACTCAATCAACTGCCGCATGCGAAAGCAGACGACGATCAATCTGCCGGCATCTACTAAGCACGCACGCTCAGGCACTGTAGGCAATTGATGCTTGCTGTCTGCCTCGGCGATGCGTACAGATCAGATACGGCCGCATTGAGGTGCCACAGCAGCATGCAGCATGCGGTGAACACGCTCTCCGCAAACAACTCATCCATGCAGATGTTTACATACATGCTGCACCAACACTGCTGCTGAACCATGGCCCATGGGCATGGCTGCAAACCATTGGATAGGCCAGCATGCAGAGTCTTGCGTCTGGCCTCGCTCGTCACCTGGATAGGCCCAGACAGGACGCTGCCTACCAGGCATAGCTGCAGCTGCATGTATGTGATGGCTGCCTTTATCCATATCTGTAGCCGCCACCGAACAGCGTCGACGAGTTGTCCCGAGTCAAGGTCCCTCCTCTGCGCTAGCCGAACCAACAAGACTCGACTCGGCCAAATTACCTTAATTTTTGTCCAGGAAGAACGGATACCAGCTCCGGCGCTGAATTTCCCCTGAGTCCAGCAAAGCCTAACCTTAAAGGACGCTCCTCGCCTGGCTACATACAGGTGGGCTTCACTTGTACCTGTTGAGATTCTGCTCCTTAGTACCTACTATACCTAGTAGGTATTGCTAAGCACATGTATTCGAGCACGAGTAATCCGCATTTCTGCCTCCCGTATACAGATAATAGGAAGTATACCTACCTACCTACATACCTACCTCACTTGCCCGGGCAGCATACAAGGCCGATTAGGACGCTCTCTGCACCAGCACAGCGGCCAATCTGCTGCCACAGGCTCAGGCCCGGTGAAAGATCTAGCGCAGCGACACAGCTGCCGCTTCGGCACAGCGTAGAGTTGAGGCCACCTCTTGATTGGCGCCGCAGCCCAACCGCAAAGTCGCTGTGGCACCGCCTCCTGCACCTGCTCGACGGGGCTCTTCCGGGCCTTTCGCAGCGCTCGCCGTAGCGCCGTTAGCACTGCACTGTAGCCAGGTCCGCTCCGCCACTTGCCTAAACTGGGATGCCAGGAAATGATTTCTCTCACGCTTCGTGCTTCAGACAGATCTTCTCCCGCCATCTCTCATCCCCACGCTGCTCCTCGCCCTCTGCCTCCCTCTGTGTGCGTGTATGATACGGTCTCGACGTCCATGGTGAGGCTCTGGAGCTGATTTTCTTGCCCTTACTTTTCTTGTGCTCCAATACGCTCCTTTCGCCTGTACTGTATCTATTATCCGCCTGTTCAATTTCCCTTTCCGACGGGGCTGAGGCCGTCGTCAACCGCCCGCTGCACTTGTTCGCTGAGTGCCTGTACGCTCCATTCATCTGTAATTCAATACTACATCAAAAATACCGACTTGGGCCACTGCATTCGAACCATTGTTCGGTCGTTGCCCCGTCCAGCGTGGCCTGTTCCAGATTGTGAGGTGCGTTTGTCATCCAGTCCTGTTTTGCATTATACAAACACTTTTGGTCCCCAATTTCCATCTCCCTCTGCCCTCGTTCGCAGTGCGTGTCTATGACCACTGCCAGTATGACATACCATCCCTGGGACTCGACCAATTCGGCGATGAGCCGGCCGAGGCACTTGATCAAGGAGATGGGATGCTGGCTGGGCCACGGAGCTTTGCTGGCTGATTATCCTCCGTCTTGGCCAATGCCTCTTCTTTCGACGGCACGGACTGAGCAAAGGGTCAACATCGAGGCTGGGAGGCCCTTGGGTGCTTCGTACAACCAAGTCACCATCACCAGCACACGAGCACGAGCACGTTTTGCTTGTATACGAGCAACGGTAGCACTAGCGGCCATGGCCTGGCGTCACCTTGGCTGGGGAGCTGGATATAGTCCGGGCGTTTGGCTGCTGCCTCACGCTCCGCCTCGCCGTGCTCAATACCCAACACCAACGGGATGCTGAGCTGGCAGCGAGCCACCGATGACGACTCGGCCTCCCAACGGTCTCTGTCGAGCTTGATCCAGCGACCTGCTGCAGCACGACGGGTGGAAGCTGGACGCTGGATACACACCAAGGACCCCTGCCTGGCGCGCTGGCCCCAGTCCAGCCCAGACCATCTGGGCATCCACCGGCTCATCCTTGCTCATCCTTGCTTGTGGCTGCAACACCGACCACAGACCAGCATCGCCTTGCCTCGTCAACGGTCCAATCCCTTCGCCCTATCCCACCCCGCCTCCAGCGTCGCTGGCTCCCGTACCTGGCCCTAACCTCCTCGTCCACAACGACCAGGCGTGCTGACTCTTGTCCTTGTGCTTCATGTCTGCAGCGGTTTAGGCTATATAGTCCGTCCGAGCGCAGCCAATTCGGCGTGTACGAGTATTGTCGCTTTCCCTTCGCTGCCCGCCATGGAAGATTCGCGATTCCGCCCTCAGCAGGCGCCGAGGAGCGAGCCGCCCGTCAACCCGCTTGTCTCACCTGCTCGCGGTGCCGCTCGTATCCCTCAACAGCAACAGCAGCAGCCGTCGAGCCACGACTTGCGCTCCTCCTTACCTCGCCGCTTCACCACCGACTCGGGCCGTGTGCCAACTCTCTCTTCAATGAGCTCCTTAACCTCTCCACCCCGTAGGGCCGACATCCCTCAAGACTATAACGGATCCCAAGAATATAATAATGTAAGTCGCTGTTGGAGACCTGGCTAGGGACAAGTTTCTGCCGCTGCTTGCGGTGCCAGGCTGGGACTGCTGCAAAGCTCTCCGTTCTGTTCATGTGCGATATTGGCTGACTCTCTGCCACGCAGACGCTACATAGGGTCCAATTGGTAGGCAGCCCCCAAGCGATGGCTTCCAAGCACAACCAAGCCCATCTAATCCAATCGCCACATCCCGTGCTGAATAGCTTGAGAATCGCGAGCTCGACTAACTCCGTGCTCTTTAGATTGAGAAGAAGCGGTTAGAATATGAGAGGATTCGAGAACAGAGACGGCTCTTTGAGATCGAGATGCACGCATTAGACCAGAAACAGCGACGAGAGGCGCTGGAATTGGTGCGAATGGAAGAAGAGATGAATCGATTCGCCGGGCACCAATCTGAGCCGACAACCCCTCCCGAATATCGAAACACCAACAACGGCTTTCCTTCCATCTTCTCGCGGCCGAATCGCTTCTCGACTTCGAGCATAACTTCTCCCCCGGGCTTATTTGGCCGACCAGCTCGCTCCGGTTCGCTATTGGACTCTCCTGTCCACGGCACCAGCTCGCTCCAGCAGTCATACGGGCTAGATGATGCCCAAGTGCCATCGCGATCTGTTCCTATTACGCGCCGCAACAGCGATGACGATGATAAAGAGGACGCTGTTCGTCAAGACCCGAGCAGTCAGCGGTCTACAAACTCGTAAGTAACACAGCGAAAATAACTTCCTGTTGATTCCCCTCCTCTTGGTGGCTAGATATTTTGAAATTGTGTAAAGTGTTTGCCTCGAGTAGCAAGGGCGGGGCTGGTATCTTAATGCATGCGAGACTTGGCTTGCCTGATGACTGAGTGCGAGCGCGCTTTGGATTCATGCCTGCGCAGCACTGTTGCTAGTCGCCAGGAACGAAACCCGCGAGCCATCTCTTGTGCAAAGCACGAGTACTTTGCGCCACCTTGCATGTCAAGCTGCCACATCTACTCCTCCACTGACTCGAGAGCTCGACTCCTTGACCTGTCCCATCTAGCTAATCTTTGATATTAGGAGGATAAATCGGTATTCCATGCCGGTCACTCGCTCAAGAACTGGATTTTACGACACGAATCTTGATCAAACAAACACAACGCGCTTTTTGTTTGGTGACGACGAGCCACACCACCTGACTTCCGGCTACACTGCTGACGAGAGCTTCCCCACGCTTGTTCGCCGTGACGACCAAATTGTGAGTACTCATTCTTTTAGTTTCTTTATTCTTGCAAAGTTTAGATGTTACATAAACCCTTGAGGGCGCTGCGTTTAGCGTACATTGGTAGCTTCTCCTCCTGTTCTCCCAGTGTTATCACTTTCGGGCTGCCATATTGGGATGACAGACGCCCGGCAGCTGGTAGCAGGCAGCACACCTCACACACACACTCTCTCTGCTATCCCTGGCACGCGTTTACCATGGCAACTCTTATTTCCCTCCTCTTACTCTTCCTCTTCCTCTTCCTCCTCCCCCTCCTCTTCTCTCTCATCTTTTTCCCTTTTCCCAACATCACACTTCTCCGTGTTCTATACCCAGTTTTCCCACACCACTCTTTGATGTGCCCCTTATCAACCTGATTCTTATAATCAGTTGTTTTCAAATTTGCTAATTTCGCCGTCCTCTCTTAGCTATCGGCCTCATCAGCCGCTCTCGACCTTGCTCTGGCACCCTCGCCTAACCCTGAAGCGCGGTCCTCCAGCCATTGGAGAACCAACGTAGCCCGGCATCGTACCCAGCACAGCATGTCTGCCATTAATGGGCACTCCATTGGCCAGACGGGCGATGCAGGCAACATTGGAAGCCGCCCTGCATCTTTCCGGCACTCTCTTGATCTCAAGTACATCTCGGAGAATTCAAATGAGACTGCTGGTGCTTCTCAGGCGGTCCACCCACCTCCCAAGTTGCATAGCTCTTATTCTGCCAACGACATCCCTACTGTCAAGAACCCTGCAGGTACCTCTATGATAAACGGTGGTGCAAATAACCACGCTCAGCAGCACTTCCATAATCATAATGCTAGCATCGGTCGCATTCCGGCTGGAGCAGTACCAGTTCGACATGCTCGTGAGTTGTCTAACGATAACAATATCAGTGCTAGTCGAGAGCAAGCTGGCGTCTTCCCATCGATTAACTCAGCCCTTCAAGCTAACGCTGCCCCGTTTGGACCGACCATGGCATCTGCGGCTCCTCACCCCGCAACCCCTCATGCTGCCGCATCTGCGGCTTCTCCTGGCAGTGCAGCGTCAACGAGTTCGTACAGCACTAACTTCTATCCAACAAATGGCTTTCCAACCCCAAGCTCCACTTCGAGCCCTTCATACGGCGCTCATTCACTCTCTGCTGGAATGCAGCAGCTGAACATTAATGGGGCCAATGGCGGCGGCGCATACACATCTCAGAATTATCCTCCTTTTGGTAACGTATCCTACAGCCAGGGCAACCAACATCGTGACAGCCAGGCTCGTGTTATCCAGCATCGTCGACAACTAGATAACGAAAGTGAGTGTCATGGCAGTAATATTTCTTATTTTACCCTTTCTCCTTAATACTGACATTCTTTTTTGTAGCAATGTCTCGATATCAAAATATGCCACTGGATTCATTTCGAGGCCAAATTTATGAGCTATGCAAAGATCAGCACGGCTGTCGCTATCTCCAAAAGAAGCTGGAAGAACGCAATAGCGATCAGGTTCACATGATTTGGCTCGAGACCAATAAGCATGTCATAGAGCTCATGACGGATCCGTTTGGTAATTATTTGTGCCAAAAGCTCCTCGAGTTCTGCAATGACGACGAAAGAACTGTCCTTATCCAGAACGCCTCCCAAGATATGGTGCGCATCGCTCTTAACCAGCACGGAACGAGAGCCCTACAGAAGATGATTGAGTACGTCGGTACTCCTCAACAAATCCATCTCATTATCGAGGCTCTCCGTTTCCGAGTCGTAGAACTCATCCAGGATCTGAACGGCAACCACGTCATCCAGAAGTGTCTTAACAAGCTCACTGCTACTGACGCCCAGTTCATTTTCGATGCTGTCGGCAACAACTGTATCGAAGTTGGTACCCACAGGCACGGCTGCTGCGTGCTTCAGCGCTGCATCGACCACGCAACGGGTGAGCAGAAGCTCTGGCTGATCCAGCGCATCACTGAGCATGCGCGCATATTGGTTCAGGATCCATTTGGGAACTACGTTGTCCAATATATCATTGATCTCAATGAACCCACCTTCACTGAGCCTATTGTCGGCATGTTCCAGGGCTGCATCAGCCAGCTCTCTCGCCACAAATTCAGCTCCAATGTAATTGAGAAGTGTTTGCGCTGTGCTCAAGCTCCTTCCAAGGACATGATTGTAGAAGAGATGCTGGCTCAACCCGAGATGGAGCGCCTTCTTCGTGATTCATTTGCCAATTATGTCATACAGACGGCACTTGAATTTTCAACTCCTCACCAGAAATACCGTCTTGTTGAGGCTATCCGCCCTATTCTTCCACAGATTCGTACAACTCCATATGGACGTCGCATCCAAGCAAAGATTGCCGCTTATGATAACCGCGGAAGCGCTGCTTCGAGTGGACAAGTCACTCCTTCTGACAACACAGGTGGCCAAATACCTCTGCGTCCTAGCCACAACCGAGGAATTTCTGGTCCTGGAGTACTCCCCCCTATTGGTCCCAATGCCAGTGCCAATACCAACGGGACAGCGGGGCCTAGTATTGGAGGTCAGGGCATGCGCCAGCAAGTGCCGCCTCCATTCACCAGCAGTACCTCTATGCCGGCATCCTCTACAACCTCCAGCTCGGGTGGCTCTGTCCAGCCTCCCCAGTTCAATCAAAGATTTAGCCAGGGACACTCTGCTAACACTTCGGTGGATGGTGGCGAGACGCACTGGGTGTAAACTATTTGAAACTTCGTCTATTTTGACGATATACGTGTATAATGCCACTTCACCCGCCTATGCTTTTACGTTATTCACTCATGAGATTTCAGTGGAATACGACTTTATGCGGCACGGTGGTGACACTGTCACTATGATGACATTTCTAATTCTATTTTCGGTTTCCTTTCCTATTTTGTTTCATTAGCTCCGCAAGCCAGAACGCGATATTCCTTCAGGAACGGCCTGCTCAGATACTGAGTAGTAGCACAGCATTTATACGAGTGTTTTGCGTGTATATTACGAACGAGTGAACGCGGTTCGGAAATCATTTTTTTCGGTTTGCGCCATCCGTGCCTCAGGCGATGTGCATACGATTTGAGAACACATAAACAGACGAGGCAGCCCAAGAGTTCGTCTATTATTGTGCTTGGATCGTTGCCGCCCCTAGTATTGGCTCCGATGACAGACTATTGTTTTTCTTCTTCTTTTTCTTCTCTTTCGATTCTTCTATTGTCATTTGATGTGTTTTTCCCTCCTCGGTTTTTCAGTTCTACCACCTAGAATGGTTTTCTTTTATTCTTTTATTTGCCACTACGGACAGTCATTTAAAATGGCATACGTTGGATTTTGCGGTCCGGGTGCCTCTTTTGGAAGACTGCTGGATTTTCATTGGAGTTGTACATCTGGTTTGTTGAATGGATCAACTCCCCAGTTCGCTTGGAGGTTGTTGAGTTGTCCAATTAAGTGACAATGGTATCTCAACATTGGAGCTTTAAAAGGCCAATGAAGAATATTTGGACCATATGAAACGGCTGGATCTTAGTTAGGGCTCAATGAACTGGTAATGTCACCAATGCGCAAACCTAGATAGCTGGATTTGTGCTCTCGTTCCTTTTCCATTCACATTTTGCCCCGCCTTTTCCCTCACGTTTCTGCACAAAATTGCCTGCAGTTTGCGCGCGGCTTGTATTATGTTTGAGAATGAGAGAGAGACAGACAAAATTGGAGCCATTTGAACCCGGTTTTTACTTTGGGGGAGTTCAATTTCACGATGATGGAGCAAGTAAGACAAGCTTTCTTCTGGATCGGGGCTGATATGCTTTGGGCCTTTTGCGTACGGAGGTCATAACGAGATAAAAGCTCCTTGCTTTCTGGATTGTATTTAGAGACGAGAAATCATTTTGCTATTTATCAATTGAAAATGGAATGGGTACTGAAAAATGAAAAAAAGAAAAAAAAAAAATTTCCCCTCTTGGTGTATGATGCTATGTGATTTGCATATCAACGAGGGTATTATAATGAAATACTAATACTTTGCGTCTTACGTAGGGAACACTGGCAGAGTTGAGATTGGGACACACGCGGGAAGATGAAGAGTGAAAAGTCACAATTGCTTTCTACATAGGAAAATTTTGAAAAGAAAAAAAAGAGATATCATCGCAGTTCCGAAATAATTAATCGGAAAGTGTTCATGCCATTTCCATTAAAGAACTACCAAAGAAGAAAGTAGCATCTTTTGGCCTTTCTTTTTTTTAAAACTCCGATCTTCCAGGCTACCTCCGTGATATTGTTCCTGCTCGCAAATACATTTCTGCTGCAACAGTAAAAAAAACCGAAGAAGACCACCAAAGAACTCTCTCGCGATGAACACTCCCAGAAGGATATCCAGGAACGCAGGCACCGCAAAACTGCCCCGGCCGTCAACGCTTCCGCTTTCCGGCGGAGAGCGTTTACCTGTAGCGCCACAGGGACAGGGTGTTGTGTCTCTTCCAGGTCTTTCTGCGGCCAGCGGTGGTCTTGTTGTAGCGGTGGCCCTTGTTGAGACCACGGGAGCGCTTGCCGGTGGCGGTAAGGCCACGAGCCTCGCGGTGCTTGTGGACGGGGTTGACGATCCAGTTGATGCGGGGGTCGATGCGGATGGCCTTGTGGCTGGGGTCGACGAGGATGACCTCGTAGTACTTGTAGGTGGAGTCCTGGTTGATCCAGTAGGAGTTCAGGACGCGCAGGTTAGCGCAGCGGCGACCAACACGCTCCTCAGCGGTGGCCTTGAGGGAGCGCTGGTACTTGAGCTGGTTGATACCCTGGTTGGTGGGCTTGCCTGTTTTCGTTCCAAACTTGTCAATAAACAGAACTCTTGCCTAGAGAAGAAAATTTTCTCGTAGAAAGTTGAGCAAACGTACCATAGGTGGCACCCTTGGGGGCAGGGCGCTTGCGGCCACCACGGCGGACACGGACGCGGTAGATAACGTAGCCCTGCTTGGCCTTGTAGCCCAGACGGCGAGCCTTGTCGGGGCGCGAAGGGCGGGAGGCGCGGTGAATAACGTTCAGTTGACGGTACTATATTAATGCACTCTCAGCAAATGTTCAACGAGTGTATAGCAAAGACAAGGGGGGTGATGTAGGTGTTGGCAGTTGGAAACACAGAAACTCATCAGTCATGGACCTTTCTTGTTTTGCTCCATCTCCTTTCTCTCTCTCGTGACCTTCAATGCCGTTTCACGGGCAAAGAAAAAGGAACGGCATGGTGGGAAAAGGGAAGACAATTTCCCAATCTCACACACACACACAAGTCCTGTCCAAAGATGGAGGTAGCCACAGAAGAGAGAAGAAAGAGAGTAGAGAAGGAAAATCTAGACCGAAAAAAAAGTTTCAATTCCCACTGCCTCGACCTCATCCGGCCCCGTCCACAGAGAACGTATTGAAAATTTTTTTTTATGTATTTCGTCTCGGGATGTTTTGCGTGTTTGTGATAATCATTCGGAGTTGTAACGTACTTCCCAGCAGCGCACACGGAGAAGGAAGCGGACCAGGTCGGACTGCTTCTTCTTCTGGAGCTCTTCGACATACTTGAGGGCACCCATTTTTGCTGCTCGGCGACGATGACGACAAACGTTAGCTTTACAGACGACGTTTTGCTATTCACTCCTCAATGGAAGAAGAGGAATTGGAATGTAGAGGAATGGGACGGGGAGGACAAACCGGCTTGAGGTCAGAAAATTTCCTGCCGAGGGTTAGTTGAACGAGGTTGGATCGAGAGGATGTCGAAATTTCGGAGGAGAAGGCTGCAAAACCCAAAACCGATAATGAAAATTCAAGGGCCTGTTTGTGGGTTAAGCGACGGGCTAAACCCATAATGGCTCTAGCGTGATAGGACTTGCCCCTCAGAGCCCTCATGGGCTTTTTTGGTGGGAAAAAAGATGGGTGGGGAACTGATGAGTCAGCCAGATGAACGAGACAAGCTCGCTGCAGACGATCTACAAGATAAAGTGGGGACACCAAGAAGACTTTGAGATCAAGTAGGCCAAGAAAGCAGATGCTGGACAATGGTGAATGCTCGCTATTAGGCCAATCAATGTAAATTGATCTTATTTATGTATCACGACAAGATCTTAGTAATTCCAGATAACGCCTTGAGAGCCTCCCGTACGACATCGCCCCAGGTATCTTCCCTAGTCGAGACCCCAGTCCGCAGCCATCTCCTGGCAGCTTGCTCAACTTCGTCATCCAATTGTGCTGCCGAACGAGGATAATCTGCCGTCTTCTCCCCAAGTACTATACCATTCAATGTATTTATCGTTATCTCCATAGCTCGTTTGTCGACTTTTGCTATGTCTTCAGAGTCTTGCTCCCACTGTTTGATCTCGAGAGGCTTTTTTAGATTGGCCGTGGCATGATTCAGCCGTTTATACTCATCTATAGTCTCCTGCATGTTTTGTAGATGCTCGCACGATTTCTGATATATAGTATTGGGGTTTCTGCTGGTCTGCTCATGCTCCAAGCCGATCATTGTTTTCCGGAGAGGTGTCGTCTTCGATTCAGTTGCAGTAATGCCGGACCCAAGATTACCAAGCCTGTCTTCAGCTCTACAGACCAACACCTCGTTAGTACTTCTGAGACGAGTATAAGAGGAGAAAACTCTCGGGAACTATCATACTGAATCTCTATCAAATGAATTAGCTCGTCTGCTTTTTTCCGAATGTCTCTCTTTGCAGTCGACACGCTAGAAGCTGTTGGCTTGATGCTTTTGGGGGTTCTTGCGGAATTCAAGTTCTCACTTCCATAAATTAATACCAAGTCCAGTGTCACAGGCACATCTGCAACTGATCTTACATAGTCCCTGATCGTCCTTTCTTCGCAGATTTTCTGGCTTTCGATGGCTGTTCTTGGCTGTTCGTCCGCAATTTACGAGATGCTCGCGAAGTCTTCACCGCTGCCGGCACAACCTCAGGTGTTGCATCTTCTAAAACCAAGTGTCATTGTTGAATTCAATGCTGAGAAAAAAAAAGGATCTCTCACCCTCTTCTGAAGCTTTTCTTTTCCGCGTCGTTGCGGGCATGTTGACAAAAGACAAGACAATATGTGGAATAAAGATTAGAAAAATGCCGTCGAATGTCTGAGGATTATCAACAAATGTTCATACAGAATAAATCATTTTGCAGAGAGAGAGAAGAAGAAGAAAAACGAGAAAGAAGAAGAGAAAAGAATTTGTTGCAAAATTGTACTCGGAGAATGCAAATGGGTGCAAAATAGCTAGCTTCGTCGCACCTTCCTTCCATCGAGAAGGTACCCTCGAATACGGAAGGTACATCTCTGTGCACCCGCCCTTGCAAAGGAAGAACGTCTACATATCAAGATATCCGCTCTTGATACATTTCATTTACTCATGTCAATATATCCTGTTCAAAGCGGCGGAACCCGAGAAATAGGTTTAGGGTAGTGATCAATATTAGCCAATTTCGTAGTCATTTTCGCCTTGGGTGGTTAAAAGTGCTGGCTGCAGCATACCACGCAAGTCTCGGATGCCGAGATGGTGCAATTAATCATCAATTCAATGCCAATATAATATTCTCTTTATAAATCTGGATGATTCTTTATCTTTGAGAAAACGCAAATACTAATGTGGTCCAAATTCTGTAAAGTAATATAATAAGAAAGAAAGTTTGTCGAGAGAGCATGACAAACAAGAAGAGCATATAAATAGGAAAAAAAAAAAAGATAAAAATCTCTTGTCGTACATGACATTAGCCATACCCAATCCGTTCCCTTTTTTTGATTGTGTATTAGTTACAGCATGCATTGTGTTAATTCAGGTCTCTCTGTCTATATTCTCAGCCAATGGAAGCGAAAGCAAAACCATACCCATTCTCCATTCTTTGATCTCGCATGTCCAATAGCCAAATCCGTAATCCATACCAGGGTTATAGAGGGATAATATGTATGTATATGTATGTATATAGCAAAAAAGATTTCCAGATGTAATGACTGTCGCGAGAGGGGCTCATGTTGTAATAACGAGAGGAATGGTGCTACAGACTCCCCTCTTCAAGCAGGAAAAAAAAAACCCTCGGGTTCCGCTCATGTGATGTTCATTCTGAGCCATAGCCGCCGCCGTAAGAGGAAAAAATAATAATAAAATAAACCTGAAGAATAGGCATATTGCAAAAAGAAATATTTTGTCTTCTTTTATTCTTTCATTATCGTTGAATATCCTTTAGAATATAGCAAGCAGCGCGCAATAAAGAAAAACGAGCGTTGTAGTCTAATCATGCTATAAGTCGTCCAAATGTTGCCGTCCAAAAATTTAGTGAGTGTTAAGTGAGAGACCTTGGAAACTGGCTGTCCAGTCGCCGGGAGGTGAGATTGCATTCACGCCCTGGGGTGGCTGCCCAGGAGGTGTCATGGTTTGAGAAGCAGGAAATCGTTGGCGAATTGACTGGAGATCACCCGAGTGTGAGAATCCAGCGCCAGCGAAGGCATCGGCGCCCTGGTTCACGCCCAACGTGTATGAGCCACCGTTATTCATTCGAGTATTGCCGAAAGCCCCTGTAGAGCCATATGCGTAATTTGGAGGCGGAAATCCGGTGGCCGCAGGAGCTGGCCTATCCGTGGCCAATTGAGACTGGGCATAGCCAGATCGTAGGCCCCGAGCTTGTTGTGCAGCGCCAGCGAAAAGTTGTGATTGCTGTTCCTGCTGCGAGACTTGGTTCGGGCGACGTTCATTTGGATTTGCTCCGCGACCAACACCAACGGCACCAGGTCCAACTCCGCTCGGCGCTTGGATCCCCAAGGTAGGACTAGCAAATGATGCCGGGTTGATAGCGGACATCCAGATGCGAGTCTTGTAAATCTTGAAGAGATCCGTGACAAGCGAGTTGAAGTTGATATAGGAATCAGCAAAGTAGTAAAAGGTCAGTTTCTTCCAGTCCCTAATAATTCGGTTAGTTTGATGTGATGTCGCCATCAAGAAGACATGTTTCAACTTACATTTGGAACTCAGCGTCAAGAATCTCCATGTTTAGGCCGTGTTCCTTGACCTTTTGCATGCACACTCTCTTCGCCTTGGCCTCCTGTCCTTCTTTGTCTCGCAGAGAATGAATCTCGTGATTCTGGGCGAGACGCTTGATGAGCTTGGGGCGTAGCTCGCCAGCACTGGGCTCTTGCATGTGGTGCTGATTCGGTGGGCCCATGCCACCAATTGCACTGCCCTGGAGGCCATTGGACGAAGCCAAGAGGCCGGCACCTGAACCTTCCTGTGCGGCAGCTGCGTTTTGAGAATACATCATTAACCATTTGTATTGCTCCTCTGCATAGTGTTCCTTGAGCTCTTTGGCTGTCTGCCAATCGACGTTGTCTCGTGCAACAGTTCCTAGGTCGGTGCCTCGATCAGCCTCGACAATGACGAGGTCGCCAGGCTTGACGGTAAGCCCAGTCCCTTCTTGGATGTAAAATACATCCGCTCTAGCACACTTGAATAGGACAACGTGTAAGAGCTGGTTGTGCCTTGGTTGACCCACGCTGTACACGTTGCGATGAGGAGACGGCGGACGGTTAGCAGAAAATTGACCATGCATTCCAAACGGAGAAGCAAATGGATTGCTAAATCCCGACGGCATAGAGCCCGCCATGTTACCGCCTCCGGGGAAGAAATTAGCTGTTGAGGAACTGTTAGCGTCTGTGTACACGCAGGTGGCCTGGTCCAAAGAAAACCTACGATTACTCGCGCCTCCAAAAGCTGAGCTGTCTGGATAGCCGGACGGATAGCCCTGGTTCAACTGGAGATCAGGATTTGGGGCCTCCAGTGTCGCAACAGAATCGGCAATCGAGCTGATGGATCCTTGTCGTGTGGGCATATTGGCAAAGGAGTGGCGTCTACTTTGGGAAAGATCATTTGCAAAGTAGCTTGGAGAGCTAGACCAAAGCGCCTTCTTCAAGTTGGGGACTTCTTTCCGTCCATCAAAGCCCATGGGATTGCGGTATGGGCCTGAGATACCAAACTCGCTCATTCTCCTATCGGTAGGTCGCCTGCCTATGCCCTCGCCGTCATTTGTTTCGTCAAGCTCATCGATAGCATAATCAGCTTCTTCTGGAACGTACTCTCGAAGGGGGTATCCGTTGCCATGATAAGAACCGGGAGCACCTCGTTGTCGAATCCTTGAACCGTACTGCTGTTGCTGCTGAGCCTGTTGCTGCTGCCTAAGCATGGCATTCTCTCGCGCAAGCATCTCAATAGCTTTAGCTTCAGCACTCTGATGGAAAGAGCCTTGGAGAGATTCGGATGAGTTTTCGTCGTCGTCATCTTCCACTTCTTTGACCTTTCCCAGCATAGTTCCGTCGCTCGACATCTCGCTTAGCATGCTAGGCCGTGAAGGTCGATGTTGAAGAGCAGGATAACGGGCCCGACCAATGACGGTGGAGGAGCTCATCCCAGTGCCTGGTGACATTTCAGGATCCAGCTGTCCAGCAGAATACGATTGCGAGCGGTAGGTTTTTGGCGTAGGATGAAGTGGAATGGGAAAGGGAATCTGTGAATTGGTGCCTGGTTCACGAGCGGCTGCGGAGGTTGGTGTTAGGTTAGACGAATCTGGGCCAAAGAAAGAGTTGCTTCCAGCTCCGGGAGGCACAGTTGAGGTAGGAGACGGGAGAACCTCGCTGAGTCTCAGCGGCGGATCTTTGCGGTCTGTGTTCCAAATACCAGTTCCCCAATGAAAGTTCGATCCTGGCGTGCGGCCCATTGTTGAGGACGTGGAATGAGATCCCCAGGTCCCCGCCCCGGTTTCAATGGATGGGGTGCTGGGGTGCGATGTAGTTGGAGACATTGAGTTGCTCGCAAATGACCCCTTGCGAGGTCGGCTGAGAGGTGCAGATGTATCGTTCAACCAAGAAGCCCGGCGGACAGGTTTGGGGGGCTGTGCAAGGGTTTGAGAGGTTTCGTGGCGATGATCTCCTTCGTCTTCAGAGCTGGCAAGCGCTTCAGAGTCCGGAGTCGACGTCCTAGCATTCACTTTCTCCAACAGCAGAGACTGGTTGGACGGCACCTGAGTCAACCTCGACGATGATCCGTTCTTAGCGGAGCCTGAACTCATGATCGGTCGATGGGGATAACGCTAATTGGGTGCAGGAGCGAATCTGTTCAATTCGAGCCGCGGTTGTTTTTCTGTGTGTGAACTTGCCTCCCCAAGTGGTAGAGGATTTAAGAAGTCGATACAAGCGGAAGTTAATTTTATGCCGAATAATAAGGCAGAGCCAAAAGGATCAGGTAATCGCCCGGGGGTGATTCGGCGTGTGAGGTCTTTCGAGCGAAAAATACCGGCGGGTGGAATATAGATCTGGAGGATGACGTTTGATAGGTTGGAATTTCAGAAAACGGATTGATGTTGTAGAAGAATAGATCTGAAAAAGAACAAGACAAAGCTATTTGATCGTTAGCACATCAATGCAGACCAAGGCAAACCCAGCTTATACAGACATAACAAGATGTCAACGATCTGGTCGAGAAGTCCTTCGCGGCCGCCTAGATCGCTACAATGAATAATGCGTGGCGGGGAGAGGGAGAGAAAGCGTCAGGACTGGGTCGAGGCCAGCTGAGCTGAGATTCAAAAGAACGTCCCACTTACCAGTCACAAAATGTCAGGTACGGTCTATGTGGGGAATCAAATGGGAGAATAAAAGAACTTCTAAGCGGTAGAAATAGTAGACGAGAGCGACTGGACGAGACGCGATAGGCTGACGAAGGTTTTTTTGGAAGTGGCGAAAGAAGCGTGCGTCGGCGTTCTCGAGCGGCAATGATGATGGTGGTGGTGGTTTTGGGTGGTGATGGTTGGGTGCCGCAAAATGCCGTTGGGCGATTCGATTGATTAAAATGAAACAAGAAAGGCGGGAGAAGAAAGGACAATATCGGAAAGTATAACGTCTAAGCCGGCGCGTCTAATCCAGAACCCGAAAAAGAGAAAGGCGAGAGAGAAAAGCAGACGAGACCAAAGCAGAAAGAGGACAAAAGAGGCAGGGGTTTAGGCTGTAAGGAGAGAGGATGGGACCAAGGCGAGATAATGCTCCGTACTCATCCACAGCCGCGGGAAATGGCGAGCGACGACTGCAGACGGAGGAGAGGCAATGGTGTTGCTAGAGCTGGAGAAGCACCTTGTGCCAGTCGAGGCCCATGATTCTCCTGCTAGAGGCCCAGGGACTCGCCAATCCAAGCGCAGCGAATGCTGACAATGCGCGACGCCAGCACGGGAGCTGTAGCAGCAGCAGCTTAGCAAGGCGCTGCGGCCAGGGGAGAGACGAGGTAGAGCGGGATGCTACAGGCTGAGTCGATCGCCAAGGACGCGGATCGAGTGAAGCTGCGGTGCGAGGGACGAGTGGCGATGGTGAAGGGCAGAGAGCTGGAACCCGGCAAGCGGCTGGACGGAAGCAGGATCAGGAACAGACCCGAGGTTTAAGTCAGTTCGGCTCAGTCGATCGGTTTGAACTCGAAGACGTCGCAGTTCGGCGCAGGTGGGGTGGAAGAGGTCGAGAGGCTCGCGACAGAGGCCAGCGCAGGTGTCGTGCGGTCGACGTTTTCAAAAGGTGGAGAGAGAGCCCCCAGGCCTGAGCGCCAGGGCAGTAAGTGGCGTAGACGAGGACGGCCGGCGTGCTAACTTTATGGGGTCCGGAGTACCCCGAAGTACCTGCTCAATAGCAGCTTGTAGCGCTAACGAGGCGGAGCCAGCGCCGCTGCAGAGCGCTGTGCAGAGCGCTATGCAGAACGCTATGCAGAGGGGAGATTTAGGCGCTGGGGTCCCCTGGGCGCCGCCAGACGCACGGAGCAGACAGCACTGGAGGAGTTACGAACTGCCAGGTACCGTCGCATTTGCTGCACGAGGGGGAGTTGCGGCAGATGCAGGGAGAGAGGCGAGTGGGCTTTGCATGTATGGATGTAGTAGTAGTGCTATTTTTCTGTGGGCTGCACTTGTGATATTATTGCCTGACCGGGTGGGCATTTGCTGCATCTATGGTACTCCGCACACCGAAATGTGATAATGCTCAGTATATACAAATGTACAAGTAAGAGACAAGAAGTGATGGGTCTGAGTACGACTGCAACTAACAGACTTGCACATGGCTCAAGAGAGCCTTGGAGTCAAGTACAGGCTCAGAGGCACTGAGCTACAGCGGGTGGAGAGATCGAGGGCCCTGTGTACAAAGCTGCTACCACTTGCGGCAAGCAGGTTAAATTAGGAGAGCAGAAGCTCCAGAAATAATATCAAGTACCTCGCTGTACCGTGCGAACTAAGAGGGAATACCGGACTAGGGCGATCCGGATAGGCTGGCCGCGGCTGGAAGTGTGGAGGTCGACCAGCAACGAGAGGGGAAGCGCATACAAAGCCGGCCTGCAAGATGATGAGGCGTCTGCAGAGGCTTGTAAAGAGGAGCTGGCGCTGCAAATATGCTTTTGCTTGACTCTTCGGCTTGGGGCCCCCTCCTTTGTCGTTAAGAGAAGAGGATTGATGAATGGCGCTAACACGGATAGCGAAGCCAAGCAAGCTAACAAGGGGTGATGTGGATGGATGGATGGATGGTGGATTCTTCATGGGTTGGAGGGCGAGGGCTGTTCTGGCACTCGACTTGCATACTGCCTAGTAGCAGTAGCAGAGCAGCACACGGGCGCGCGCGAGCAGCCTTTCGTCGGATGATGGTGGAGGTGGTGTCGGCAGACGAGATCAGAGGGATGGAAGCCCATCCACGCCAGGCGAGCATCTAGCAGCATTGATGGCTGAAGGCAAACTATAGCCAGAGAGCCAATCAGAACGACGATGCTTTATTTGCCAGCATCGAGAGTCAACCATTGTCAGCCCAGCCTCGAGCTTCAAGTGCCAGTCTGGATTTCCCGCAGCTATCCATGAAGGCCTCGAGACGCCCATGGGCCTAGGGCAAACTCGATGTGGGCTGGGCAGGTGGCGGCCCGAGGTGGCCGTGGAACCGGGCCTGCAACGAAGGCTGCGGTGCATTGGACTGGAAAAAAAGAGGAGGCATTAGTTTGCATCTCACAGTGAGGAGACGGGCGTGCGGGATGTCGTGCATGTGGTGTGATGTGATGTCGTGAGAGACAAGTCGGCATCAAACCTGTTCAACAGAGAGTGACACAAGAAATTTTTCTTCTTCTTCTCTTTCTCTTCTGACTCGACTAGCTGGAAGATCTAAATACAGGAGAGTGCTATGTTCCTTGCATCTGCAAGTGCCATGCAGCAGATACCTATTACCGGTGCCTACTCATTATAAGTGGGCATAAATTAAAGATCTCGCGTTTTGAGGGCTCAATTTACATGGGACTTCGGATGATCGCTTCTCGTCAGCTAAAACTCTCAACCGTAGACGTAATCCGGCACATCGCCCACAAAGTAAAGGGGGGAAAGGTTTCAATCTCTCTTGCTGCCGCTTTTCTTACCAGGACACTGGAAGCAAAATAAATTCTCACCTCGATTCGTCTGAGGCTGCTTGCAACCAAATACTAATGCTTGGCAGTGCCTACTATATGTACGTACTTCGCACTCCATGCTAATATCGACAGGGCATCCAGCAAGCTCACCCCTTGCTCTCGTCTTAGACAACGGTTACTAATAGCGCCATGTTGTATGGCTTGCGTCGCGTTGGGTGTAAGTTGATTCGCCATGAGCACGGGACCAGATTCTCTCCCCGTAAGGATCGACATCTAACCGCTGGGCATCGCCGTCCCAAAGCTCTTCACAATGTAACAGGGCACAGCTCTTTCTACGACAAACGACTTTACCTAACAATAGCACTGTAATGGTTACGACTACCTGGGCAGGTAGTATGATGCTATGCAGAGCCGTAGCAAGAAAGGCAGCTCTGCAGAGATTTTCTTCCCGCACTGCACTGCCCTGGAAAACGCTCGATCCTGGCTCGCATCGTCGATGCCGGCCGGCATCCCCGACTGCTGATGGAGGCGAGCAGTCACATTTAGGTGACCTGAAGCTGCCGCTATAGCCTATTTAGGGCAATACCACTGTCGCCTTGAGGTTATTTTAGCGGTTGTTCTGATTACTACCACTTCAGCCCCAGGAACGCACAGGCTGCTACGAGTAGGCGCAGAGCCAAGACAAGGTACGGAGCAGGTAATACTCCGTACCAAGGTTGCAGTAATTTGCTGCGTCTCATGGAGTCCCTGCTGGCCCCCTTTGGCTGAGGGGCGCCTCGTACCTGTAACTCCGGTGGACTGGATGGGTTGCGATAGTGCTGCGTTCAACGGTGGATGCAAGTCAGAAGGCACATGTATGGCAAAGTACCTCGCTGTAGCGCAGAATAGGGCTGCGGTACTCCCAGCCTGCGATATCCAGATCTATCATCGCCCCTAGCGCGTTCGCCTCGACTCGACTCTTCAACGTTATGGCAGAAATAAAAGAAAAGCGCCATTGACTCACGACGACGTATAGAGCAAAATCACTATTGTGCGAACTCTTTTCGCCCTCAATTTAGTCGTCTCTTTGCCTGGTGTCATCCTTCGCTTGGCCAGAGTATGGCACATGCAGACCATCATGCAGACCATTGAGGGTCTCTCTCAGTGATGTGCTGCTGGCCAGTCATGCTATCTTGATATCTTGCTACTAATAGGCTAATCTCAAGATGCATCCCATATTATGGCGGTTTCTATTTGCTATGACCATTCCTTCCCTTCGTTCCTTCAATAATAAATACTCGCATCTATTCCCATTTCCATCTACAAACTCTGCAGACATTGCCTCTTCTCGCTGTCGATGTTGTATCTCCGCCGTGAGACAGGGCCAATCTGGTGATTTTCCGGCCCTTTCCAGTGACCTGCATTAGCGAAACTAGCCGAGTACCAGCAGGTACATTCGTGTCTTGCCGTGCCTGCGTGCTCAGGAGGATCCTGGCAGCTCTAGCAGGCCACTAGAGACGTCTGCAGAGCTAGCAGAACTAACACAATCCCGGCAGTCTTGGCCTGGGCCTTCCCACTGGAGGGGCGGGGGAAACTTTGGAGGTGCGGCTGGAAATTGTGCCCTAAAAACCTAAAGCAAACAGAACAAAAGAACACGATCCGTCGACAATCATCAGGAAACGAGACACCATCAGGCCTTGGTCACTGCGGCTAGCCTTGGCTGAGGGAGACAAAGCACCGCCTTTGGGGTCTAATAAGCCTTCGCCACCTTAGCTCAGCAGCCACTGTCAATCAGCCAAGCTTAAGCTCCATGCCTAGATGGTCTCATCCGTTTTTCCACAACCTCAGCGGCGAGGCATCGAGTTTCGATCGCTGGGATTGGTTGCTGCCGATTGCGGATAAAGGCCCCAAGGACGGACGGGCTTAAACAAGCTCTCATACGAGAGAACAACGCGGCGCTAGTGGCAGTTAGCAGCGAGGGTGTCGTGACGCATGCAGAGCAGACGAGGGGAGAGCTGCAGTTCGACTGGATCCCCAGCTTTTGGCACAGAAATATCAGTGATCGCCACCCCGCAAATCATTCGGTTCCAGAACCCCGCCTCAACTCGTCGCAAGTCACCTGGTCTGCTCCAACTGCCTCTGCTCCCACCTGGGGCGGCACAGTTTCTCGCATCGAGATTGGAGATGGACGGCGTCGTCGATGCTAGCCTTGTCACTACGAGGTACCGCTCGACCTCGACCAAGCTGTACGGGCTAAGCATAGCGGCGGGCACCTACGACTCGCTTCACCTGCTTGGCACCCCTCCCAAGGCCAGTCCGTCCCAGCCATTCCATAGGCCAGCCGCGAGCCGGTGGGAGCTGCAGAGGCCTAGGGACGAGGTACCAGCAGCTGAGACAGCATCACGCGACGCCTTTTCTGCAGCAGTTGAGCGACTCTTGCAGCAGCTATTGCGTTTGCGATTGTTCCAAAATCTCCGAGTGTTACGAAGCTCGGGTCCGCAGCTATAGCATGCATGGCCCCAAACGGTTCCAATCAACAAGGAGCGCCCGCTCAATGGGCGCTGATACCAGCACCAACCCAATGCTCAACTGAACGGCACGCTGTCAAGATGGCATTTCGAAATTACCGTACACCTCTACTGTACTACACCTCCCCCAACGCCCGCCCGCCAGCCGAGCTCCAAAGCTGAAGAGGGACTAGGAACTCGGCGGGAGGAGCACTGCCGGCGTGCGATTCGCATAAGCCGCTGGGCCAAGGCATGTTGGTCTGGGCAATGTCCACGCGGCAATGACTTTTTGTTTTCGAATGCAGTTTGAATGCTCGTCATGGCAGTGATTAGGTGGCGCCCTGCGCTTGCTGCCCCCGCTTCTATGCACTGTGCTGTCAAGTCGAGGCTATTCGAACCTTGGGCGGCACGCCACATGCTACGACTCTGGGGAATCCAAAACCTTGGGAGGCTAGCACGACGCCTAGGAATCTACCAACTGGAGCTTATTCACTAGCATGCGCGGCATTGTAGCCCTACGGCTTGGCCGCCGCGAGCCAAGCCAAACGACCTCAGTGAGGACTCTCAGGCAAGTCACTCTGACCGATAACACAAAGCGGCGAACGACATCCAGCAGTATCCCCAACATGTCTCGAAACAATCCAGCGAGATACGTATATCTATTCTTTCCTTTACTTAATTCAGCTCGGCCGCCATGCGTCAATCAAGAGGCGCCACAGTGGCGTTCTTCTTAGCTAATAGTACGGAGTAAAACAAGAAACAAAAACTGACAGGAATATCATGTCGATACTTGCAATGGTTGAATGGTAGTCAAACTTGCGTCGTCTTCACCACGGCCAATGGAGAACTAGCATAATGAACAGCGGTTGAGACCAGCAGAACTTGACTTCTCTCGCCACAGCAGAAGGTTATGTTGCTTTCTATGCTCCAAGAAGGGGCGGCCTGTAGGCGCTCATTTGCAAAAATCTCACCAGCTATTAGACGGCCAATATGACGCAACTGATGCTCCAATGATTCACTGACTTGCATTTCCAGGGTGTAGGGACGCCATAATTTTTTTTCTTCTTCCTGCGCCCCCTTGACAAACATGTTCCTTGCGCCAGGAGCTCCCTGTAAGTGGTTTAAGCCGTATAATTTGAACAATGTGCTACTGCCGTATGTATGTATATATGTACTTTGTACCACAGAGAAGGGTGGAAAGGGAAAAAAAAAAAGATCTGCGCGCAAAACGACTAAGTAGGCCTGCCCAAAAAAAAAAAAATTTAGAGTGGCGGGGCGTTACTCTTAACATCACACTTTTATATGTAGAATCGCACACGTGCCGAACATTAAACGAACACCCTGCTGCGAACCACCTATCAATACAAACAATGGCGTCAGAGGCTCTCCATTGCGAGGCTGAAGAGAGCTCTGCCTCTTCAGCTCCCGCGGAGATGTCTGGCATCGAGGCTGCTGCGAGCTCTATAGACGAGAACCCCATCTCCGCCAGCCAGCAAGCGCATGTGTCAGACGCGGGTGCAGACGCAACCCAGCAGAATGCCAGCGACAATGGCGATGGTGCGGCGTCGCAAGCGCCCTCGATGCGGATGCCAAATGCCAACCTTTGCGGTGTTTGCGAGATCAACCCTGGCAAATACAAGTGTTCGCGATGCCGTCTTCCATAGTACGTCCCGGCGAATCCTCTTTGCGCTCGCATCATGTTGGCTTTGTTCGCAAAGACAAAACAACATGAAGACAAGAAAGAAAGAAAGAAAGAAGAACAACTCGTCTAACAAGTTCACAGCTGTTCCGTCCCCTGCAGCAAAGCCCATCAGCAAAACCACCCTCCCGATCCTCCAAAGGAAGAACCCAAGCCAGCAAGCCAAACACTGAATGCGCCTCCCCCAGCAGCGGCGCCTCTTCCTCCTTTGTCAGAGCACATCGACCCCTCCAATCCCTTCAGCGCCCTCGCCACCTCGGACAAGCTTCAGCTTCTCTTCAAGAAATACCCAAACTTACCGAACCAGCTCCTCGAAATCCACGATGCGACCCAGCCCCCGCCCGAATCCCCAGATGCCGTCTCCAAAGCCATACCTGCTTCCCTCATGAAGGGCCTGCCCGCGAGTAACAATAGCGGCAGGGGTCAGTGGAACCACGACATTGGCATCAAGAATGGCAAAGCTGCTCTGCGAAAGGCAAGGAAGGCTAGCGGCGAGGACGGCGAGGCGATCCGCGAGTATACAGAGCTGATACTGCACATTATGAATGAGACAAACGATAGGAACGATGCCGCGGCCTATGTGCAGCGCCAGATTGCCGAGCAAGACACCGCTCTCATCGAGCGTCTACTGGCAGAGGATCGACGAAATCAATAAGACATACATCGAAGACATGAGCGAGCGAATCGCTAAAATAAGTTATATTTATAGAAAGTATAGGCTTGAGGGAGGCCTATGCGACTATTTTGGGGGTATAATGATCTTGGTCGAGAAGAACAGAACTTCTCCTATAAAACACATCGACTCGCTTTCTTTTACCACATCCCAATCATATACAACAGCCATCTCTCCATTGCCGATGTATACACCAACATATATTATCATTACATCATCCTCAAGCATTCAAGCATCCAGCCAGATTACTCAAGGTACATATTCGATCCCTTCGTCCCCATGTGTGGATATATATTGTCTTTTCTTTCTTTC